CAATTTTGTTCAAACGTGTTTACCCGCAGTTAAAATGAAATGCTTTAAAATTCTGTAAAACAAAAAAATTAATTAATATTTATATCTGTGCCACCGTTAGCGCGCCAGGCCAAGTTCAGCAACCGTGCGAGTGTACCTTTTACATCAGCGGTTCACAACCTGGGGGACGCGCTCCCTAAGGGAGGCGTGAAAATGTTGGTGTAGTGTGACCTGAGATGGGCGTTATCACAGTTATCGCCAAACATTAGAAAAATCGATTGGAACTGAGCGGTGCCAACCCTCGCATTAATCTGCATCTACATTAATAAATTAAAAATTTAATACTTAAAAAAGTGAACATAATATAATTTGTTTTAATAATTTCAAATTTGAATGATGTTTTCTCCCTAACAAATAAATTCATTAAATATTTAAAAAGACGGACATACATCGCACGTGGGTGCAGCCACAGTTGTATATGTGAAGTTGGGAATGTAGGATACAGAAGGGAATTGTAAAACCATAAGGCTTCTTTGCTTCATTCAGAATCTAAAAATCTTCATTGATTTTCATTTACATAACCATTTTATTTATCCATAACCGACATTAAAAGTATGATGTATGCATTAAACATATTACAATCTTATTATAGTGTTTTGTCTTATTATTTTTTCACTTTTACACGAATACACTATATCACATTTGGTTATCGCGATATATCATTCGTCACACTAAAATAATAGGTAATTAACATAATATTATAGTTTGTAAACCGACACAGTAATATTATCGACCGCGAAGTACTTCGAACTACTCCGCCCGTTATCAATTATAACACGTTTAGGATATTTTAAAAATTAATAATTTTCCGCGCCAAAGTTGTGCGCGATTTTTAATAGAAAATAAAATATGAATAGTATTGTTACGTCATATGTATGTAATATGTGTAGTACACATAATACACAATTACTATACGGGTACGCGTTGTATACCCATATAATTGTTCTGAATAAGGGTGTCGAGTTTGAGATCAAAATAAATAGTATAGTAATAAAATAATATTTTCAATCGAATACAATTTATCATTCAAACATAATAGTTGTGCTATGCTATTATTATTATTCATACTATTGCACTATTATTACTTTTATATAACATCTAAAAGATGAGTTTTTTTTTTTTTTACTTTTTTCTCCGTTCGTATTTAAAAGGACGTTATACCCGTATTTACTGTCTCAGTCCAACTACCGGGTGGGTAACTTGCAAAAACAATGCTTACGCAGAATAAGTAAAACTAGCTTAATATTTTTTAGATAATAGAATTACCTATTATGAAATTTATAAAGACCAATATTTTGGAGGGACTGCCATAGGTGTTTTTTTATTTATGAACTTTTAAAAAAGTTACTGTTATTTAAAAAAAAAAAAAAGTTTTTGTATCCAATGTATCGAGCTTTATATTTTGAATGCTACGAAAACCCTATATCATTCCTTCCGAAATAACGTTCTCTATAAATTTCATAATAGGTACTTTTACTATAAAATCAAAACCAAGCTAGTTTTACTTATTCTGCACAAGCATTGTTTTTGCATGTTACCCGGTAGTTGGACTGAAACAGTGTATGCGGGTATAACGTCCTCTTAACCAAAACCGCTAAACGACGTACCGTTATAAAGATATTGAGTTTCTCTCTTCTGACGAATTGTTAATTTAGAACTATACAATCCTATTGTTCGTTTAAGAATCAAAGTTAAAAATTGATGTTTGACCTTTAAGTGATTTCCTTGGATGGATGCGAATTTTCCGTACGGGTTATTTATCAATATTACAATACTACTCTTCGGTAATAATTTGTCACAGATAATTTGTTCGTAAAATATCACATGATTATTCAATTAGCGAACGTTGTGCGATTTTTAAATGTATACGTTTAAATATTGCAATAATTATAATCAATATATTGTATAGAAATATAGCTGAATACCAGCTACACTACATTCTCGATAATCAAAAAATAAATAAAATATTCATATTGTACATAATAACGTTAAATATAGCATTTTCGTTTGAGCTTTTTAGTTTTTTTTTTATATATTTTATTTTTTTATTCGGTTTTACCGTGATGTGATACTTGAATATACGCGGGTGGTGTGCGAGAGGGAGACTCGCCCCACTCTAAATATTTATTTCCGGCCGAACGAAACACTGAACGAAATTTAATAAAAAAAAAAAAAACCTAAACAAACATATTATACCTACCTATACAATATAATAGATTTCGGTTCACCTTTCGGCTCTAATGAAATATACATTATCGTTGACAAATGATTATGATTAATGAAGTTGGAACGTCGAAATAAACCTGCAAGTGTTGTGTAATATTATTATCCAAAAGATGCCTAAAGATACTTAGCAGCCCGCGCGTCAAATCCTCGTATCTTGCTGGATCTACAGCACTGCTGTAGACCCGTTTTTTGACGCTGTTTTCCCGAGTCTCGGGTTCGAGGATTATCGTCGAAAAATTATGTATATTTCGATATGTGTGCGCTATATCCAAGGTCGTTTCGGAAAAAAATGTACTGTTAAAAAAAAAAAAAAACTAATCTATTTTTCGGCCCGAATATTATCCGGTTGTCTTATTCGCCGTAGATTATTCGACCTACACCGCGTGTTTTAAGATATACGCGTAGTAGTAAAAAAAAAAAAAAAAAAAAACAGAAAATATCGCATTCGTATCACACCTATAGGCAGGTGATTATACAATAATAATATTGTAATCAGCACTCGGATTTTGACAGTCGATATTATTGCGCGCGGTATCACCCACTCGACAGCATTATAATCCGTAATACAATAATATATGATAATATTATTTTTTATTTATATTTAATACGAGCTCGACGGATTTCGAACCGCACAAGATTTATGCCCGCCAAACGAAACGCCAATCACTCGCCACTCGTCCCGTTCCGTTTCCGAAACCGATAATTTCATGTTATTATTTTCCGTTCGTAAATTGTTTGTCGGATACCTGCAGCAATAGTTATACCGGTAGCGTGTTTATATTGATAGCGAATGTTTCCGGAGCGCGTAACACTCGCTTCCTCTAAACTGGCGGCGCACCCCTCGATCGCTCCGGCCATTACAATAGTATAATTACATAATATCGTAGGTGCGTAGACGTATCGAACATAGGTATCCATAATACCCGTGTATAATAATAACAAATCGTATTTACAAGGTGCGATGGCTGGAAACTACGGTATAACGGATTGTAAAAAGTTGATTATTTTTTTTTAATCGTTTTAATTCGACTGCGAACTGGACTACGATTTTCCGTACGACAACATTGGCTGAATTAAAAAGGAAAAGCGCGGTCGAGTCCATTAAGGACACAAGTCTAGAATGGGCCGAGTATGTACCTACGGGCGATAGGCTATTGTACATGGTCACAAAGAGGAATGGATATAGTCAGAGACGGGCGAGATACTTTAAAATGAGTATCTGGATACATTAATTTTCAGTATCTAGACAAATTGCAATCAATATTAGATATTCGATGTTCGACATTCGGTACATTAAAATTAAAATATAAATTAAATTTGTAATGTTCGCAGTAGATATCTTAATAGATGCGGTGGTTATTTTATTGAAAAAATGTTAAAAATTACCGACAATTCTTCCTATATTATTGTACAACCACATTCAATTTGTCATGCGTTATTCGAAAATCCATGGGTTAAATGACCCGCGTTTCTCTCCCTCTCAGGCGCCTACGGCTGAAATCTAGATATAATAAATCTAGATACTCGATACATTTATTCCAGTATCGCAACACAAAATACTATAGATACTTTTCGACATTGTATTGTGAAACAAAACATAATTGTGTCGACGACAGACATTACCCAACGCTGTATAACGCCGTCCGAAAACTTGCGATTAAACTTACTCAGTCCCGAGAGGTACAGAGATATCACGGTAATATTACACACTATGCAATATCCCGCATTTGCTATGTACAGATGAAAGGTGGAAATGATTGGTTTTAGCAGTTAATAGTCGATCCGGGGAGGGAATACCCCTTTAACTAGGTATATATAAGTTTAGTTTTCGTCGTGTATAAACTCGACGTTCTACAGAGTTGATTTTCATTATAATGTCCGGTTAAGTTCGACAGGTCGAAGTCGAACATGCGTTCTACTAATTCAATCGATTGTATCCGCGATATTCAATTGGTTATAGTAATAAAAATTAATATAAAAAGTGAATTATAGTGGTATTATATATAGTTACTAAATATATTGAATATTTAGGTAACAAGTGTTCAGTAAACATTTGTTTTCACATTTTGCATAGGGTTAAATGTACTTTTCGTTTAACTCTAGGATCTTTTCGTTCGTTCGACTTGAACCAGTCTAGTTAATTACGTTCATTAATCGCATTGGCCACCTCAGAATATTATTAGACGTTTACTCGCGACCGAAACCAACGAACATCCGATCCGATGCATCGTTTTTTTTATTATTATTATTATTATTACACGGCCACTGTATAGCCTCTGTACGTGTTTTTTTCCCCCGTTGTCGACCATTATTTTTCCGGGAGAAAAGATTTTCACCGTCACGGACCGTCGAATCCGCCGCGGAACGTCAGCAGCCGCGGTCATTTCACCGTTGACCGAACTCCGAAACGGTTTCGCGTATCGCTTAGGTTTTTCGTTGTCATATTATTTTTCATTATTATTATTATTATTATTTTTTTTTTACAATGTTATTTTGCCCCTTGGGTAGTGCTAACTATAGAAACTATAATATTATTATAATGATGGCGGCGGTGTCATTGTCGGTTAACGCGAAATATACAAGTTTTCGTTTTTATCGTTGCCTATACTGCAGATAACGAATTATCATTAATATTATAATTAATCAATAAATGATTGTAATTATCGTAAATAATCTTATTTATTATTCGTGTTCATATTATTATAGGAATTGCATGGTTCCGAAGGATCCACGAGATGATGTCGTCCACCGCACCCGAAGACCTGCCGTTCATATTTCGCGTCAATGAAAACGGCACCGGTCCGGCCCTGCTCATACAGGTACATAATCAACTTCAAAAGTTTTTAACGGTTAGACGTAATAAAAGATTCGGCGAAATAAAAACATAATATTATTAATACTTACTTATTCACCCTGCAAGTACTACGTTTGCGTTATCGCCATGATAATCCATTATGGATACCATCTTTGGTACTAAGGAAAAGGGCTTAAATCAATTTCGTAAAGTTTTCGATACAACCAAATGAAATGTTGAAAGTACATACACCTGTAAGTACATAAGCAAATGCACTAATTTTGAAAATACATAAACCAATGTAATAATTTAGATAAAAAAAGAAGGACTGATTATTGACCCAACTGTTATTCAATTACAATCTACTATTTCCACTGACGTGTACTATATGAAGGAAACGTTCAGCGAAACAAAAAAAAAAAACAAGTCTACTTTTTGAAATTGTTTAGCAGATAAAAAACTATACCTATAGGACTTGTATTCTTTTTGCCCAGAATTTGTTTAAGCTATCATACAAATCCATACATCACTATTTTCTCCGTATTTAGTAGAAACTCGGAACTTTGAACAAGTCATTTCCGAACAAAAAACGTATTTGTCTTGTTGCATTGAGCCTTTCATGTATACAGGGCCGTTCTTAGGGGGGGGCAAGGCCCAGGCCCTAAGCCTCGCGCTATTTGCTTAAATTTTTGGCCTTGCGTTTGAAAAAGTAGTAAAATTAGTTTCAAAAATTATTTTATTTTCATAGCATTTAAATTGTGTATTTTATATAATTATTTAATTTCAAAAATTTTATCAAAATAACAATGTATTTTCCCGATTTCTCCCTCGTAATTACGTTCAACGTAAAAAAATAGAAATATCCAATAGTAACATTATCGTAATCGTAACATATCAGCCATGGCGGTCGGTTGTCATCATCGGAAAAACATTGATAATAATAAATAATATTAATTGAGCAAAATAATAGGGTAAACCAATTTTATTAGTAGTAGTTTTGAGTGTGTGTTCGTTTGCTGTTGACATCGGGTCTGGTTATGATAATATTAAATTGAGTGGTCGATTACGTGATAAATATCGAAAATTTAAAAGTGGTGGTGAAAAACGAAAACTTAAGATTATTAAATAACACCAAAATGAACGTCAAAAAAACTCATTATTTGAATTTTTTAAAAAAGAACAAAATGATACTATAGCCGATAGTGGTCAAATTGAAAGTCAAATAAATGCGAACTTTCAATTGAGTGATAGTGACGATGTTAATTCTGAAAAAGTAGAAGTTCTATCCAGTAGTGATAGTGATGAATAAGAAAATGTGCAACTAGTATCAGATGGTTTACGACCGAAAGAAGACATTGAGAGCAGAAAAGTAAAAGAAGAAGAAAACAACAACGACGACCCAGGTAATTGGTCACAAAATATTAATGATAAATTACGAAATTATTTAGTTAAAAATCCATCTACAAAAATTATAAATTATAAATTTCTATCAAACGATGAAGGTCGTAAATTTAGTGTAATACATTATAATAGAACAATGGCCAACGGTGAAAATGTGATTAGAAATTGGCTTTTGTATTCTAAATCTTTTAATCGAGTATTTTGCCTTTATTGTCATTTGTTCCCGTCAAAGTCTACATCATCTTTGGCATTAATAGGATTTTCAAATTGGAAACAGATTAGTGAACGTTTAAAAGAATATGAATTATCTATTCCACATAATACAGCTCAAGAAAAAATGGATACAATTACGTATGAGATTTGATCTTCATAAAACTGTAGATAATAATATACAAGATAATTTAAATATTTGAAAAGAACGTTGGCGGAGTATTCTTAAACGAATTATTACATGAATAGAGTTTTTAGTAAAACATAATGACGCTTTTCGTGGTACAAGTTCAAAATTATATACAGCAAATAATGGTAATTTTTTAGGACTAATACAGATGATTGCAAAATTTGATATTATTATGGCCGATTATTTACGTAATGATGAAATACATGATCATTATTTAGGACCTAGCATCCAAAACGAACTTATTAGTATTATTTCTACAAAAATATGTGATGAGATAATTAATCGCGTTAAACAGAGTAAATACTTTACAATTTTATTAGATGGAACACCTGATAAAAGTCATAAGGAACAGTCTACATTTCTTAGAAATTTCGAAAAATTTGAAATATGAAATAAATGAATATTTTATATGCTTTATTCACACTTCAAATAAATCTGGTTTAAATTTAACTGAGGAAATAAAAGAACAATTCAAATTAATGAACTTGGACTTGAAAAATTGCCAAGTCGGCCGAAAACAGGAAGCACAATCTCGAATTATTTCAGAGAACCCAAGAGTTTTTTTGTACCATGCACTACGCATAGCCTTAACTTACTTCTCGGGGACATGACATCTGTACCGGCTGTACCGGCTGCTATGGCATTTTTTGGCGTAATTTAAAGAATTTTTACAATTTTTAGTGCTACTGAAAGATGGACTATTTTTTCAAAATACGTTTCAGACTTTAATTTAAAGCCAATGTCAGATACCAGATGGAAATCTCGGGTCGAATCAATTAAACCCATTCGTTTTAAATTATACCCAGTACACGATGCTTTAGTAGAAATCAGTGAATTAACAAAGGATCCTAAAATAAAAAGTGAAAGTTCGTCTTTGGCAAATTATGCATTTTCTTATGATTTCATTTTAAGTGTTGTTATTTGGTCTGAACTATTATCTGTTATTAATAAAGTTAGTAAAAGTCTTCAGAGCAAAAGCACGGAACTGAGTAATGCTGTTGAGTTATTAAGTGGTCTTAAAGATTTTTTTAACAATTTCAGAAAAAACTGCACAAAAATTATGTGAAGACATTGGAACTTAAGCAATTTTTAAATAATCTAGAGTTCTAAAAAAATTAAGCAGTTTGATTCTGAAAGTAATGATACACGTACAATTTCTAATGAGCAAAAATTTTATCAAGATTACTTTTTGGCTGTGATAGATCAAACGATTATATCAATTAATCAATGATTTGAGCAACTTTGGATTTTTATATAATATTAAAAATTTGAAGTTATTTGAAGATGAAAAATTACCAAAGCATTGTATGGATTTAGAAATATTATTAAAGAACGATGAAAATTGTGATTGAAATGGAATTGAACTTTTTGAAGAGTAAAAAATATTTTGTAGAATTTTAAACAAACAAAAAACATCTATTGAGCGTCTTAATTTAATAGAATCAACATGTGGTTCATTTCCAAACATTTCTATTGCATTAAGAATATTATTAACTCTTCCAATAAATACTGCTAGTGCTGAGAGAAGTTTATCAAAGTTAAAAATCATAAAGAATTTTTTGAGAACAACAATGATGCAAGATCGACTTTCTGATTTAGCAATTATTTCAATTAAACGTGATTTGTATGAAAATGTAGACGATTAATGTATTATAGATAATAGATGAGTAAATAAAGAAAAACATGTTAATTGAGTCCACTGTAAAATTATTTTATTTTCTTTACCAAAATTATAATATTTTATATAAAAAAAAAAAAAAAACCTTATTTTAAATTATAATTAGTGAGGTACCTACTAAACATTTTGCGCGATCAGAATTATTCATGTCCTTCTATGGTTATAGATAAATTTAATGTTACAAGTATTTTTGCCCTGGGCCTCGCAAATCCTAAGGACGGCCCTGCGTGTATATACCTACGTGTAAACGAAGTTTCCATTTTACTAGTAGGCTATAAATGCCGATACCGCTAATTTACTACTAGTCGCTAGTAAAAATTAAAAACGTTGTGTATAAAAGACTCCTTAGGTAGCTTTTAATAATGCTTAAAATATGTTCGTTTATTTCGTGAAATATTTTATTAATTTTTTTTTTTTTCTAACAATGATGATACCAAATCTCTGTTGGCTCAACCCGTTTCTAGAATGATGACCCACGATGATAGGTGCGCATTTGGTACCCCTGAATATAATCGTCGAAACGTTTTTCAGTCGGTTGGCCGTTTTTATAGGAAATCCATAGGGCGTTGGCTTTCGAATGCGCTATATTTTCTCCACGTTAAGTATATTTATATATATTATACTAGCCTCGCTCGGCGGTGCGTAAAAATGATACTATACCCCGAAATTCGATCGAAAACGTCCAACAAATAATAGCTATACCCACCCTATAGTATTCGATACCTGTTTATTATTGTACCATATTATTCCTCTTACGAAATTTCACTCGTATCCGTTTTCATTTATTTTCTAAATACTGTATAGTATGCATATTTTTTTTTCTTTTTTAAACGCCTTATTGTCATTGTTGTCTATCGTTTTCCCGCGACAGTGCCCTTTGTCAAATGTCACGAACCCGTAACTTCACCGTGTAACGACAATAAATTATTATTATTATATTGTTGCAACCGCTTTGGTAGAAAAATAATTAATAACATCAAATAACGGAACTCCGGTTATTTACGTAGGTACGTCATGCACGCCCCCTATATAACGTTGGTTATGGTTACGACGGTACAGTGGTTTATACCTATAGCTTTCCCGAAAAATTACCCTTGACGGCTTAATTTATCATTTAAGAATTTCACTAAAAGGCCTATATCCGTTCATCCGTCTAGTTTCGTATACAAAACTACTACTACAACAACAACAATAATAATAATAATATCACGGCCCGTAAACATAATACAAAACAAACTTCAATAAAATACATAGAACAACCCGTCTCTCTCCCTGCGCCGCCTGCATCGTACTTTGATGGATGGTACGAATATTTACTTTGTATACGCAATAAAACTCATCACTAAAATTTGAACTTAAAACTTGTAACGGTAATTTTTTTGTTTTGTTTTAGGCTAAAGCCGCGATTAAAAATAAACTAAACGCGCTAAACTCGCTTTTAAAATATTAATATGTTAAAATCGACCACGTGTACGGTAATTTACTATTAATAGAAAAATATCGAAATCATCTGTCGAAAAATAATATACGTCATGTTGCGCCTAATATATTAATAATTGCTGCCGCCGCGTCGTGTTTGCTTTAAGTTCGACTAGTTGGCTTCCTTTCAAATCTGCATGTAGGTAATTAAATGTCCACCGCATATCACTCGTTAATACGTGGTACTTTTTACATTTAAAACAAAAAAAAATATCAACATTTTCAACCACCAACAATTTTGTCAAAAATACTTTTCAAATTATATTTAAATGCTAATACTAGTACATCCATTCAAAAAGTATTTAGGAACAAATATAAATACTCGGCGTGTATTCAAATACTTCTCAAATACTTTTTTAATTTGACTCAATAGTTTATTAAATTAGGTCTGTGAAATTAATTTTGAAATTTCTGATATAAAATGCAATATTCAACTATTTAAGTATTTATTATTAGAACTTTGTATCACCTACTTTGTTTTATATTGAAAAATGAAAATAAACAAAATGTGCTGTATATTAATTCTAAAATAATTTAATTCCTTGAATGGTTAAACGAATATTAGGATATAGAAATTTTAAATTTATCATATCATAATCGTTCCATAAATTTTGTATCACACTATTAAGCAACATTGGTTTTCCAAAGTGTTAATATGAAAATGTTTTTTTTAAGCCTGTAAATGGTAGTTTAATTTATGTCTAGTCCGTCACTACACAATTCATCAATTTGCGTTTGTCTAACTTTGTTCTACTCGATTCGTAAGGATGACGACATTACAAGATTCAAATCACGGATTATAATTTATTGTTTTATTACTTTAAATATTAAATTACAACAGGGAATTTTCAATTCTTGAATTTAAGAAAAGTATGGAAGTTTTTTCGTTATTTGAAATTTGAAATTTAAATACAAATACATCCAAGACAGTATTTAAAATAATTTCCAAATACTTAATTCAAAAGTATTATATTTACTATTAAAGTATTTAAATAAATTAACTTGAATAATCTCACTTAAATACTTCACAAGACTGACCATGGTGCACTAATAGAAAAAATACAAAATTCAAATACCAATGATTTTATGCATATCCAATAGTAACTTAAAACTATGTATCCGAAAATACTCTACATGTTACAGTAATCCGAAATCAGTTTGAAAAAAATGAATCGTATGATATAATATTAATACTTAAACGGCTAGAGTATATACATAGAGACGGAATTACATTTCGTATATTTCGATAGTCGAAGAATATCCCAGATAACGTAATTGTTTTAAAAAATATTTTAGATTTTGAGCTACTTTAATTGAAACATTTAATTACAAATGTTCCGCAGTTCAGTCTGTAGATTCTTTTTGTTGTTGTTTGATTTTTGTTGATTTTTGCAGGGTTACCTTGACAACAAAGGAAAAAAACATGACTAATACTATTACACTTAGAATCGTTTTTTCGTTTGCAATTATTTATCGTTGCGTTTATTATATTAACTAAATTACCCGGTTTTTCCTACGTTCCGTAAGTTCAAAATTACTCAGTCACAACAATATTTTACCCGTGATAAGTATACCTATCAATTATTTTATCTTTTTTTTTTTTTTTAAGAAGACCACGCTAACAAATAAATGTGTACATTTGTTCACAAACCAATAAATAAAGCGACAATTTCCAATCATTCTTAGTATACCCGTATAATGTTATACAGACAATTTAAAATAATTATCAGTACTGTTTATGGGTAATAATATAATATTATTGTTACACGACAAACGCAATTTGAAGTAAAATCGAAAAATATTTTACCTAGGTACGTTTAACTAAAACTGTCTTTTAACAGTAATAGTTATTTATTTAAACACGTAGGTACTTCATAATATTGTAGTTGTTTGTATTTGGACGAAAATTACAATATATATAATTAATCGTTCTCGTGCGTTTAACGATGCCTAAAAAACACAATGTTGTTTGTTTTTTTTTTTAAATTTCCAACCCAATACATCACAGCATTATAAAACACATGTAAGTGGTACGTAAATGCAAAATAATACATGAATACACACACACACACACACACACACATACATACACACGCACGCACATGTGCACGTAAATATACAACACCAAAGCCGACGGAGCCAATTATTACACGTTGTTGCAGCAACTCGTTCGCATCTATCGTTCCATTTAAGGAAGCAAAATCGTTTTTTATTTGACAGGCTCAACAGCAATGTATGTTTACGTATATATAAACGCATGGGAATATAAACAAAGGGGTATAATATAACCATATACAGGGCGCGGTCAGACCAGTCAACGCTTTACATCCACCCTTGAAATTCTACATGACACACACATGCACTCGCATAAATTATATACAGAGTGATCGTTTTACCATAGACCAATTACTAATTTAGGAAGTTTAAATCTTTTTGGAATTTTTGGAAAAAACAAACAAACATAAATTACTTATAGTAAGTTATCCAAATCCAAATTCTAAAGGTAAAAAAATGTAATCATTAAAAAAAAAAATAAAAATTAGAATTTGCGTTTTTAAATTTACGAAATTCCTACTCAGTCAAGTTAAAAGTTACTCTACTAATAATTTCTCAGTTTTATTTTATTTTTTGGCATTTTACATGATTACTGATATATTATTACCAGCAAGTTTATCACTTATCAAAGGACAAAAGTATGAATAAAAACAATTTTTGAACTAGGTAAATTTGATAAACTTAGTATATAGTCTATTAATTTTTAATCACACCTCTAATCGAATTTTGTTAAATCCGGTTCTGGTTGTTCATTATACAAAATTCAAAAAGGTATGCTTAAATATTTTTTGGGAAAAAAGAGGTTCTCTGGCCCCTAATTCAAGCACTGGGTCAATTATAAATATTATTGTTATACTATACTGTTTCGTGGATTGGTGAAACCGATTGCAGGTTTTTTTTCATAAAGTAAACAATATAAATAAGGAATGAGTGAAAAAAAATTCACTTCGAACACAATATTTTTATATTACGGACATTTAAAGGTCATCTATAAATAAGCCATGGTTTACCATGTATCATGTAGGTACTTGTATTTCTATAACTTTCTTAAATTTTGTAAAATTTGGATTTTTTTCACATTTTCATGACTATCATAATCATGAAATTTTTCCAATGATCTATAGCCCGAAATCCATTTAAGAAAAAGGAATATGGCCGTTTTTACGTTATTTATGAACTTAAATCAGCAGGTATACGCTTGACAAAAACGTTGGTACTCACCTACCAATTTTAAAAATGTATATATTTTTTTTAAGATTTTATGTTTATTGTATTTTATTTATTTTTTTTAAACACACTAATAATAGTATTGATTTACAACCTGTACAAAAGTATTAACTTTTCTAAACATAATTTGTATTATTTTTATATGATTGGTAGTTAATTCGATTTTAAAAATAAAATAAGTTTGAATCCATAAACAAGTTTAGTTTGCATCGGTTGAAGCACTTTTTCAATTTCATTAAATTATTTACGAGAATGAATATTAATTGAGATTTGTATAGATTGTAAATTTTAAATGATAAATAATTGAATTAAAGAAATTTTAATATGTAAAATATGTTTCAACCTAAGTATAGGTACCTAAAAGTACCCATGTATCGACAAAGTAAACTAAACTTGTTTATGAGCTCATAAGTACGTTCCTTTTTTAAAATCAAACTATAGAAAGTACCTCAATTTTTGTCAGGCGTTTAGCACGTTTAGGTTTTCTTGGCGAAATATTCATAACGGGTGCAATGGCCTTGATATTATTATTATGATGTCTTTATATAAAAATACGGTGGTGGTACAGGATAACACAATCGAGTCTAAACATTTCAATTAGATTGTAATAATATTATACTATACTCGAATTTTGTATACAGAGCGATTCTTTTAACGTAAAACATTCATTATTTCACAAAGTATTGACTTTTTTCAAATTATTTTGACAATTCAAGAAACGAGCAGCTCTAAAATATCGCATTACGATTGGAAGAGTAGTGGAACACTATTAAAACACCGCATGCTACGGCCGTGCTGCCATACAAATGATGCTCCCGGTCTTTTCCTACCAAAACTTAAAATTGAAATATTTCATCAACGACTTGACAGAAATCAATAACTTGAACGCTAAAATGTATTTAAGCTAACACTCCGTCTACTTTTAGAATTTGTAGGCATTTTGTAGGTTGCCATTTGAAAATCAAAAGCAAGTAATTGTTTCACCCTTCAAAAATGAGGGTGATAAAAGAATAATGGTAGTGTAACATTTTAGACCTGCTTGTTTCTTGAAATGTCAGTAAAATTGATTTTTGAAAAAGTCTATATTGCAAAGTACTTAATGTGTGTTTTCCTTTAAATGAATCACCCCGTATAGTGTAGAGTTTATGTGGGTGGAAACAGCTTTTGTTTGTTGTTTTTTTTCCTGATCGGAAGTCGAAGCAGGGTTACCGACAACATGATATGATGAGAACGTTCTACACATGTGCACGCGAACACGTATAGAATATAGACTTACGTATAATAATCGGATTAAACTATTTCGTTTTTATATTTATTATTATTATTATTTTTTTTTTTTTTATTGACAGGTGTGCCAAGAACGAGGATGGAAGGAATTCGATGGCACGAACAAGAGTGGAGATTCGGCGTGGTCGGTACCGGCGGACGAGTACTGGAACCTGTGGTGGAAATCGACCGGATTCTCATTGTCACACTATAAACAGCAGAAAATATGGCAGGTATGTAATATACACTTAGTATAAGAACCCGATAGTATTATATAGGTGCGTTTGTGTATAATATGTTTGTGTACTGTTATTACTTTTTTTCTTTAGGATGCGTGCGAGTGTATATGTGCGTGTGGTATTGTTATTGAGTATATATTGTAAAGTAATATTATTCAAATTCTAAGCGTTTTAGCACAATATACAATATATGTACGTAATATATTTTTTTTTAAGTTCCTGGAACTTATTATTATACTTTGAATTTGATGTGTAGAAAATTCGAAAAATTTACCCCTCCCCCCTTGAAAATTATGCTATACAATATATAGGTATAGCCTATCAAGGCTATGCATATAGTCTATCGAATCTATTGCAAGTATATTGTCAGATCCGTGCTTTCGTATAATGATAAAATTCAGTATGTCGTGTCCGGCGTGAGTTGACCCTATTTCGAGATGATACGATTTTATTTTTTTTCGTCTATCGCATCGATCTGCTGAACGATGAGTCTCCGTTGTTTGTATACTTACACTGCGCCAAAAAGCAGCAAATGACGTGGCGGCAACGCGCGGTTTCGGTCGACATACAAAGTACAATAATAATACCTACGTAAGTCTTCCTCGTGCCATTCATTAAACAACAGCGCACATCGTTTAAAAAATAAATAAATACAAATTTGATATGGTATACATAATGTTAGGTTAGTCTTATATATTTGTATAGCTACGAAATTTTTTTTCTTTCTCGAAAATTTTATTCTGTTTTTGCTGTTTCTTTTGTTGATACGTTTATAATTAGGTAGGTACGTCAGTAGTCCGTGAAGAAAAATTGCACCGTTTTTGTCTGCAGGCGTATATTATGATAAATATCATTTCGCGCTTATAAAGGCCGTCACAGTGGGCATGTGCAATCTTTCTGCTCGACAAAAAAAAAATAAAGAGCTGATAATATTGTTGATGGCTGCACCCCTGTTATAGGGGGAAATTTCAGAGAAGATAATTTACATAAAGTTATTTTATTTATATCTGTAACTAACGATAAACAATTATTAATTATAAACGATTCTGAGCAAAGTTCGTTCATACATAATTTGAAAAGTCATAATATTTATAATTTCTATCAAAATTTGATTTTTAAACTATTATAAAAATAACTACATTGCAGTTTACTTTTTTATTTGGTCACTAAGTACAGCTCGTACTGAGCCTCCTGTTAACTTTTCAATCATTTTTGTTTACTGAAACAATGATATCCACGTAGGACCTAGTTCGAAAAGTTACTTAAACATAAAAAAAAAACACACATCATAGTAGCTGTTACACAATTTTTTTGTATATACAATAACGTTTCAAAGAAAACCTTGTCGATGTTTAACTGACTTGTAAATATTACACTCGTCGGCGCATATATATAAAAAAAAAATTTTCGAATTTTTTCTTTAATAGATACCTAAATAATATTTTAAAAAGCGCCAATGAGCTCGTCTATACAAATATTCGATTTATACATTTAAAAAATGATGTATGGGATTTTGAAGACATTTTCGTTTGTTTTACGTGAATATATTTTTTCTGTGTAGTCTGTTAGAAAGACACGACACGGCATTTTAACATTTGGTTTTAAAAACGATTTTTATCAAGTTTTTGCACGTTCTACGAAAACATACCAATACTATCTATTATATTTTTTTAAACGTTTATTTTGCTTGTTATTTTTGCATGTAGGTATTTATACGACATTAACATATTTTTTTGGAAACTCATTAAAAATTTTTACTTTTATTGCAAAAGTACGAAGTACAGCGGTTACTTACTAAAAAACATGAAAATCAAATACCCACCTATTTTACAAATAATGAATCAAGGGGGGTCGATCGCCCCCACTGTTCGCTCTCAAATATAATTTTAGCCTTAATACACTCTGAAGTGTATTTTTATCATAAATATACGTGCCTTTTATGAATTTTAAAAATTGTCCCCTCCCACGTTTTCTTCTCCTGGTCAGTTCTTGTTATAAATGGATTTGCCTACTAAACCTGCTTAAAATTTACAAATAATTATAAATTTTTTTTTTTTCGATTAAACAATTATTTAATACAAGTTTTCATTGTTCTTTAGCTTTTTCTTTAAGGTACAAAAGCGATCTCAAGGACCGTCACATGAATGTTCTGATGCTCAAACTTTCCATTCTTATAATCCTCCTAGTTCTTCCTACCTTCTACCTACTATTCAGTTTTCCAAAGGATCAACCACTTTCTAATGAATACGTTTTTCTTTAACAATTTTAAATTTCTTTACTTCTACATTTGTTTTCCTGTCTATTCAACTTATCTTTTCCATACAGGGGCGTACTCAAGGGGGGGGATTTCAAGTCTGGAACCCTCCCATAATTAATGTAAAAAATTTCTGTAAATGTGTTTACAGGTGTGTGATGCTGTGTGTATGTATAACTGTTATGACTATTATTAGTGTTATTAACAGTAATCTATTGGTTATAAATTTAACTATAATTATAATTCTTAGAGAATAATGATGGAACCCCCCCACATAAAATATCGCGTCTCAAAAGTTTTTAACATTTTCCTAGCTTTTAGTATCGTTTATGATTTATGTTTCACATCATGTGTTACTATACGCTCCAAACATAATATGTTTTGATAAGTCTTTTCTTAATGTTATTCAGTTTTGTTTTCATAAAAATGAACAATTTAGTTATTTTTTTTTTTTTACTAAAAGCAGCTTGTGTCAAACTCAAACACATTTAGTCATTGTTTGGTTCAATTATGTGTAGGTACTTATATTAGATTCTGAGTGAAGCAAAAGAAGCTATTAGTTTTACTAAGATATTTATTTTAAAAAACATTTTTTCAGATGCTTCAATTTTTTCAGGTCATACCTTAAAAGATTCAAAATGTATGCCCGATTGTACAAGAAACATTTTGAAAAATACAGGTCATTTGGGGGGAGGGGGTTTCGAAAGACACGTTTTCAGTTAGGTACCTAATACTTATAGAAAAAATGCTACAGATTGTTCACATTGTACCTTAAAATATGCGAATTGTTCATCCGGAGGAACATTATATAAAAAAATATCTGCTCCAGGAGAAAAAAAAACTAATACTATAATTTATATATAACTTTACTTGTTTACCGATCCCTGTTTAAAACCGATTTTTGATTCCAATGATTATTATCTTCGTTTTCAGTATTAAAACTGGATTAGAACCCTATGTATCAGACTTGCCTGCACGTACAGCAGTAATATATGAGCAATATTTCTGGTAGATAAATTGTGTTCAGATAAAAAAAATAAACATCTTTATAAAACCATAAGCTTCTTCGCTCCGCTCAGAATTTAAAAAAGCTGTCCTAGGATAATGCCGGGGTCGAGTGCAGCCACTGTTATAGGTAATTTAATGTATACCTGTAAGAAACGATAAACCATTGCTAACGAAAAAACAATTCTAAGTGGAGTTTAGTTGATAGTTATGCTGTGTTAACAATATATATGTCAAATTATGGTAAAATAATTAAATAGACATTATACATTTTGTTAAATAATATTTGTATAATGTACCGATTTTTCCGTTTTGACCCTTTATTTTTTCCGATTTTTCACATTTGTTGAGAAAACTGCTGGGGAAATCAATTAAAATTACCCCTCAAAAGTACCTCCCCTAATTGATTTCCTTTTAGAAAAAGTGTTATCATTGTAAATCAGAATAAAATGTTTGGTAGAAAATTTGTCCACAAAAAAAAAAAAAACGTAATATTTTACTAATATAATTCGTACACTTTCCCGTTTTTCCTCCGTTTTTTTTTTCAGTTTTTAACATTTAATGAGAAAACTCCTGAAAATCAAAAAATGACCTCTACTAAATTACTACCCCAAGAAAATTTCCTTTCAGAAAAGGGTCTACATCGTATACATCGGAGTAAGCATTCTAATAGAAAAAAAGTTTACAGAAAAAAAAAAATAATCATCTTTCTTCATGTATTGGTTTAACCAATAAATTCTTCGCTACACTTAATAATATAATAATAATTTATAGATAATAATAATAATAATAATGAGCACTTAAAATATCATAATCAAAATCAGCAATAATAATAATGAGTATTTCAATAATAATATTTAAATCAGCATCATAATAATCATCAATACTTTTGTAACATAAATGAGCAATAATATTAGCATAATTATAACAATCATAAATCATAATAATAATCATCAACAAATATCACAATCAGCATTTTAATAAAATAATCAACAACAATCATAATTATCAGTTATTTAAGGGTATTGTTGATGATTATTATTATTATTATTGATGGTTGTTATAAGCATGCTGATTATTATTATTATTTAAGTGATAATTGTATTTCTTATTTCTTATTATGCTTCTTATTAAAATGCTGATTATGATTATGATTTTTAAAGTGCTTATTATTATTATTATTATTATTATTATTATCATCATCATTATTTTAAACTCTGAGTGGAACAAAGAAACTTATGGTTTTACAAAAATGTTAATTTTTTAAAACGGTTTTTCAAATTTGGTGAGGAGGCTTCTGGGGAATGTATTACCAACAGATTATGTGAAATTAATAAAAGAACATACTAAATATTGTTTAGAAAATTTTGGGATATAAAAGAAGTTCTTGTCACACATATTATGGTTTGTTTTAAAGTTTATCTATTAGATAAAAATGAATCAAACCAAGGAAGAAGTAGATTCGTAAACCTATTTTTTGCGAGTTTTGTGATTAAATGAGTGTGATTGATCCTGTCAAAGACTTTCGCATTATATTCCCGGTTTCCTCAGTTTTTTTTTTTTCGGTTTTTCATATTTAATGAGAAAAGTCCTGAGAAAATCAAAAAATAACTTCCTCAAAGTACCTCCTCGATCCGATTTCCTTTTAGAATAGTTGCGTACAGATATAAAAAAAAGTAAAAATTTTTTAAAACCATAAACTTCTTCGCTTCACTCATAATCTTAAAGACATTTATTTACGGTATTTGTCCGTACACGATAACAATATTATTTAAATATTATATAACATGACGTATATTGACGTCTCTTATACACTTGAAAAAATGAACTCCATAGGTTCGGATAGAATATAAAAATCGATTTATATTTACGTATGTAAATATATGTGCATTTATAATTGATTTTACATCACCTCAGTGGTATTCGTATAGTCGTAATATTATTATGTAGAGAGCGCTCGTGCACAATTTTCGTACATATTCACGGCATATCATTAACTTTACCATTTATAATAATATTGTAATATGTATGCGTGTATATCATCATAGGCGTGTTGAGAATTACGTGGGTAGAAAATCGGGCACCAATATTTTTCAGGGATCCCCGCCATACAAGTGAGAACTTATGGACATCTTTTAAAAATTTAAAAATAAATGATTGCCCATATAATTATTGTCTTTTTGAACCAATATGACTCGTAACCTAAATCTGACTTAATTATTAAGTTCATAATTTAAATTTTCAATTACATATTTATTGTTTTTTAATGATTTGGATAATAATCTTGTCTCGCTCCCCCCCCCCCCCCCCNCCCCCCCGTAAACACGCCAATGGTATATATTGTATATATTCGTGACTGTGTAAACGCGTACTTGTACGTTAATGACGAGTGTGTTTCATTGCCTATAATGTATGTTTTAAAACTGTGTTTAGTTTAACAATCATATACCTAGCGGATCGGCGTTATGCCGCAAAGACAACTTGTGGCGATATTTGAAATGCATGAAGAATATTTTCGGCACTTCTCTGTTCGGATTCAGGTAATTATTATTATTATTATTGATGTTTCAGTGTAATATTATATTGACTAATTTAATATGTCTAGTGCAGTGTTTTAATGCTTCGGCGATACCTATATCATATCGAATCTGTGCTTTTTATTTTTAAATTTCAAAAAAATAGATCAAAAATAACACAATAATATAAGATAATCTCACTATAAATATAAACATATAAGATTACGACTGTTACACGCACGCGAGTGTTCGTATTGCATACGATAAACGCCTACTGTATTAAAAAATAATAACAATAATAATAATAACAATAACTTACGTTGTTTATAATATATTCGAACAGTGTTGTTACAATATAAGGTGAGGGTATACGATATGTTATTATAAAAAACACGAATATAAAACGTAGATACACGTGAAACAAACAAAATATATACTTACTATTATACGTGGGGGTAGGGGTGGATTTACCTACGGAAGTTCGGTTACCATTCGTGTGCTCGTTTATCGTAATTCAACGTTCTTAGAAGTAAAAAAAAAATGGTTAGATAAACAAACAGACGTATTATAATATTAGTTTCAAAATATAAAAACGCATATTAATGCGGATTTATACAAATTTCGAAAACTGTTTCGTTTTGTGTTTCATCTAAAAAAACAAAGAGTTTAATACAGTCTTAAACAAATAATAATATAATGATGATATCGGATCGCTAATATTATACAGCAGCTGTATATATTTTGATTTTATTCTCCGTGTATACTTCAGCTTGCGAGTCATTGTCGTGACTAACCGCCGCAATCAAGTCTGGTAAATAGATCAAACATGACATCCTGCAAGCTAATTTTTCTCGTATACCGATATATTGTAATAACAACTAGGTTACTAGGTATGATAATATTATAATATATTCAAATATAATTATAAAATTTTGGAAAAAAAAACAATATAAATATAGAGTAAGTATATTTTGTGACCTTTATGAATAAATGTTATGCGCGGAAACCTATAATTTTTTTTAAGAAATAAAATAATATCATATTTACAATACAATGCATATTAATTTAAATGTTATAATCGAACGAAAAACAAACAGACAATATTAATTAAATTCGTGTTAAAATGAAAAATAAAACATATATTAATCCGGAACGTAAAATAACGAATAGAATAGGGAAATCATAATGTTTACATCTTCAAGGTTGTTAGAATACATTGTAGTGCAACTCCATCACTATCAAATTTAATTGTTGATAACGTCGTTCACTTCATTGATAAGGCATTACTGTTCGTTTTCAAGGTCATCTAGAGCCGTACGGCGGTAATTTTATTTCGATTTTTAATAATGGAGTTGCACTTCCACGTATTATAACTACCTTGATCAGACCCAAGAAATAAAAAATGTACAATACGATATATTAAGCAGAATAATTGATGATTTTGTATCTTTACTGAAAACCTATGGCTGTGACTATTTTTCTCCAAAATTGTGATACCACATTACATTTGTCCACTTTTTCTCTTCCATTATACAAAAATAAGAAATTGTCACTTTCCGAATAATTTGTATGCGAGTGGAGGGGGGCTTTAAAAATAACAGAAAATGAATAAGACTTTTCTATTAGTAAATGGTTCTTGGTCCCTGTACGTCAAAACTTCCAACAGCTAAATTGTACTCCGATTAACCTGATTTTTGATCTGTTTCTGTTTCTACGACGAAAATGTCGACCATAAAATGACCAAAAGTAAAAATATGTACTTATCATACGGTTCTTTCAGTATGTGTAATATAAATACCCCCTCTTTAATACCTATACTTAATGTTCCCTGACCACTCGCTGCAGTAATCAAATGAGGTTTAAAAAAAAAAAAAATCCATTAAATCGAATTGAAATATGGCAATCGTGAGACGGAAAAAAATTATATATATTATCCAAACTCGTATTATCGTGACATTGGTTATATTAGCGCTTATACGAAAGTTCTGTAAAACAATCGTCCAAGCGAATTACAAATATTTTCACCGCAAATATTAACATAACATTATCTGCATGCTGTTTGCAACTCACCTATAATTTTACTGCGCTCGTGAGTTAATAATGCATGCACATTACAATATAATATAACAGTGTAAGTATACGGTACCTCCGCATATAACGTGTCGTGACCAAAAGCTACTGACACGGTAAGTTTTTCATAATGTACACAATCGAAACGGGTCATAATTACAAAACAGTAGTGTATTATAGGTTTATGTTGCGAAGACAATAGTTTTTTTAAATAATATAATAATACGCAAGTTATGCTTTTATAGTTACAACAACTACCGAACGAAGACTAAATATACTACGATATTGGACGTTGAAAATGTTATTTCGTTAAATTCGAATATTGTGTATTTGTGTCGAGTACAAATCAACTTGAACTGCATTGGTTTAACTTATAGAAAGCCTATACGTGTAATCACAGAGTGGCTCGCATACTGACGTATTCTGATTGGTTTATTTATATCCACAAACAAATAACATAATATTGTTCTGCTAATATATTTCTGCGTGCTGTTAGGTCACCTATATATTACTTGATATGTAAACGCAATGATTATCGAACGTCCAAAATTAAAATTAACAGTTTCCTAATTTTCTAAAATAGAAATAATATTACGAAAACACGACAAAGCGTAAGCCAAATAACGACATAAAAAAAAAAATATTATATACTATAGTTCGACGATTTTAGCTAGGGGTATAGGTGCAAGTAGACTTGAATTTTATTGAGGTGCCCACAATATATTTGAGCACAATCTCTTTCCTAATAATACAAATAATAATATTGTACTTCGAATATATTTTTTTTTTATAAATTATTTTACGGAACGTGATACTTTAGAAAAAATTACATCTTATTTAGTAACATCACATAAAATACGGGCCCCTGACTCTGGGGCTTAATAATTGTATAGCCCCTACAAAAAGATCTGGAAGTACCAAGGTACACCCGGCTCGTCCGTCTTTGTGTATATTTTTGTTAGGTAAAAAAAGAAAAGACTGAGAGAAAAATGACTCAGAACTTGTCGATGTATACGAATGTAATATAATGTTTTGCCTTTATCATAGATTCTTCGCTCAATCAAATTTTGATTATCCTATATTAAGACCAAAGCTCGGAACTTTTAGCACTTAAAATCCACAAAAAACGCGCTTAAAAAAATATTTAATAAAGTAAAAATGAGTTTTAAAATTCCCCCTCAAGCGGCTTTAACTTATAAAATATTATTTTTTAACGTTTTCAAGCGCTTCTTTTACGGATTTAAGTCCCGAACCCTGGTTATAACACTATTTACTTGAATATTGTATAAAACGTATTTATTTTTTCATCAGTTTTGGTCGATGAAAAACATAACATTGACGCCGCAGTGTATAGATTTAGGGGCGATCGTCGTCCCCTACCGTTGGCGTTCATGCACGCAATCCGCATTCAGGTGTTTATGTACGTCCCCTGTCGTTGCATATATACATTATTATTATTGTACACGGTTATACTTTTTAAGTCCCTTCGATAAATAATACAATTTTATTTCACCGTGGCATGTTAAAAAGTCATATAAAACACGCGGCCGGTTCTTTATACCGCGCAGCCGAGTGCGGGAAAAAGCGCCTCACCCTTTGCTAAAAAAAAAAATTTATTTTTTCATATTCAAATGTATTTGAGAGCGGGCTAGGTAAATAATAGAGCTACGGGTACGTACGGAGAAACTAAAAGCCATTTATCGACTATACATTATTACAATACTATATATACGGCCATGTGTATGTATATATAATTTTAATTTTGATATACAAAAATGTTGCGGCATCACGGAAACTATACCGCCGTCACATTATAACTTATATGCATGAATTGTTTCACAACAGTCGACTTATATATACATATGTATACATCTTTTTTTCCCAGTCCAGATTCGTACAACCTGCCGCTGGAGTATACGAAATTGGCCGCAGAATGCAGTCACGACTCCGACATGGGCGAAAAGTCCATTTGGATATGCAAACCGGTGGGCCAGAGTCAAGGAAAAGGCATATCGTTGATTTCGGTACGTATAAACTGCAGACGCGCAACTCTATGTGTATACAAGTATCGTGTATTCGCAGTGCACGATACTCGAATATTGTTCGTCACAAACGCGCAACAAGTCTGTCGGCAAAAATAAACGTCTTAAAATTATAGAAATAATTAAAACGGAACGGAGAAATAATTTCACATACTACGGCGGGGTAATAAAATGCGACCATACGTTCCGTTTCCGAGCCATGTGCCCCGTTATCGCCGAAGAACGCAAGCATTTTTTTTAAAAAAAGACGGCTGACGGGGTCAATGCGCTCTATCGAAAAACGACATTTATTATTATCAATCGCAGCGAAAAAACCAAAAACGGGTTCCGTGCGCTCTGAAAAATATGGAAAACCAGTACACTGGACTGCACACGATTTTCATTATCGAATTTTCATTTAACGAACATATTACATTATTTAACTATATCGTTTTGAATTTATTATGATATTCTACACTGCGTTTTATTTATACCGTATGTTTATTCATTTTACCGTTGTTCTATGCGGAAAATAAAAAAAAAAACAATTGCCGAACCCCCGTTTGATAAAATGTACAGGCGTCCCGCTCTGAAGGAAACAAATTACGGTCACGTTATCTATATACATACGACACGAGCGATTGTAAAATGCGTATGACGGTTTAAAAAAAACTCACGATGACGGCGGGGTGTTTGTTCGCAGCAAATCGGCGAGCTCGTTTATGATACCAACATTGTGGTCCAACGGTACGTCAAGAACCCGATGCTGATCGGCGGGTATAAATACGATCTGAGGCTGTACGTGTTGGTCCCTTCGTTCCATCCGCTCACCATTTACGTGTACAGGGAAGGACTGACCCGGTTCAGCACAGACAAATATTCGCTGAACAACCTGGACAACCATTTCGCGCACCTGACCAACAGTTCGATTAACAAGCTAGGTCCGAACTATTCGGAGACCAAAGAAAAAATCGGACTCGGTAAGACTACTATTGCAATAATAATAATATATTACTATAGTACGCGTTCATTTCCGGCCGGGTAATTTGTTAACTGCAAATGCATTTTTCGGACGTTTGTTTTATTATTATTTTTTTAACCGGCATTCTGTAAACTCGACTGATAACTATTTGCCATTGGACGCAGGATGCAAGTGGACGCTCCAACAGCTCCGGCAACACATACGTCAGGCCGGCGTCAACGATTGGCTGTTGTGGCAAAAAATATCCGTCTTGGTCAGCCTGACATTGGCCAGCCAGTGTACGGGCATACCGAACACGTCCAATTGTTTCGAACTATACGGTTTCGACATATTAGTCGATTCCGATCTCAAACCGTGGCTTCTCGAAGTAAGTATCGCGCATAAAACCAATATTTTTTTTTCTCGAAAATATTAAAAATAACGCTGAATGTTGTTATTCCAACGAATAATTCGCATTCGAAGGTGTGTCCGGACCGGACCACGGTTAAATCTACTCGGATTGGTGGACTCCATGTTATCGGTGGTCTATGTGGCGTCGTATTGCACTAATAGCGCTAGTGGTCAGAAGGTCTACTTTTACACGTGAAAGATTATACCCCTTTTCGTGATTATTTAGTTATAGTTAATAAATAGTTACATTTTCAAGGATCTATTATACATGTTTTTTATAAAAAACGATAAGCACTTAAAAAACGTTTTTGTTACGAATAATAGGTTTTTTGAGATATCAACAAATCTAGTATTCTTACCGTACCTAAAATACACTAAAGCACAAAATAAACAGTTTTTTTTTATAAATATTGATAATTTTTGTACCTAATGATAACTTAAATTTCAACACGATAACAAACCGTAGACAGCTTACTAAAGTATTAAAACAACTGTGATCACGGACCACGGTTATCTAGAACTATACTCTGATTCGTAGGAAAAACAATGTGCTTATTATTTTCTATACAAAATCAGTTGGATGTCAACATTCGTTCCGAAAACTATATTTTATATTAAACGTTTGTGCTTTGTTAACATAATATATACAAGTATATGCACGTGAGCGAAAGGTTCCAATTGTACACTAACAATAACTAACAGGATTCGGCTAGAATTTAGACTAAAGTGCGTTCGGACCTAGTCGACTTAGTCAAATGAAGGCAACCGAATACTTCGCTTACTAGTTACTACGTTTGTCGATTCGATTTGGATACGAAATCGGTACGTTATTTAAACTCTAACCGAAAACTCTGTTGGTCCACAATGGGGGACCCTTCGTTTACGAGCGAATATTTAAAAATGTAAAATATTGTGTTCGGACCTAATGTCAACATTCATATGAATATCAACGATTCATGTCCAAATTAGTTAACAAAAATCCTTGGCGTGCCTCTGATCGATCGAAGGTACATTAACATTCGTTTGGTTGTGCTGTCTAAGGGGACGTGGTACCCACGCGGGAGCGCTTTGCGTTTGGGCGAGTTTCTGAAAATTGCATTGTGTTTGAGAAATTTCCCATAATGCGTTTGGGCGAGTGATTTTAAATTTTAGTAATGTGTTTGGGCGAATTTCCAAAATCCATTTTCCCTCTCATTTTGACAGACTTGCAAATGTCTGTGAATTTCACGAGTATGATTGAACATTTTCATTCAAAATGCATCGTTTATTTCGTTTTTTAGTAAACGTGTTTTCAATTTTAAGATCCATATTTGGTGCACTTCTCGTAATAATTGATAACGAGTTCACGTTTCCAATTTTCGAATAAAACTAATATTTAAAAAACTATAATTTTTAAGTTTAGATCAATATAATATTGTTACGAGAAAATTACAATTTTTGCTATTTTATTATCTGATTGTCGGTCGAGAAATACTAATTGTGAAAATATTTTATGTGTTGGTAATTTATAACACGTTTGGTAAATATTTTAGATTCTGAGTGGAGCGAAGAAGCTTATGGTTTTATAAAGATATTTATTTTTATTTTTTTTATTTATTTATTTATTTATCTGTAAACAACTTTTTTCCCAAAACCTTGCTCGGATTTCTAAATGTAGCACCTTTTCTAGAAAAAAAATTGGTATGGAAAGGTACTGTAAGGAGGTCATTTTTCGATTTTCTCAAGAGTTTTTTCCTAAAATTTGAAAAATCGAAAAAAAAAACAGAAAAATGTACGAAATATATTACTAAAATATTACGATTTTTTTTTCTGTGAACAACTTTTCTACCAGCAATTTTCATCCAACTTTTAATGATAACAATGTTTCTAAAAGGAAATTTCACTAGAGAGGTACTTTTTTGATTTTTTCAGGAGTTTTCTCAGCAATTGTGAAAACCAGGATAAAACATGGGAAAAAAGTAGGAAAACTGGGAAAATGGGTACAACATTAAACAAATATTATTAAAGAAAATATGTAGAACATTTTTAATTACTTTACTATAATATGACATATATATTGTTGACAGTGTATCATTATCAACTGAACTCCGCTCAGAATCGTTTTTTTCGTAAGTAATGGCTTATCGTTGCTTACACATATACATTAAATTCCAGTCCGTATCCTACATTCCCAACTTTTCATCTACATCAGTGGTTGCACCCGTCTCCATTATCTTACCTTTTTTAAAATTTTATCTTTTTTTTTTACGTTGTACTTATCCTACTCGCCTAAACACACAGTTTTTATTATATGTGAAAAAAGATAATTCACCCAAACGTATGATGCGTGCGCTGTTTCATCCAGCTATCAGCTAACGTATCAAAAAAAATTTGTATGCAACCTAAGTAATTGAACTCACTCAATTTCGGTTTTAGAGTAAAAGCACTTATTATAAAACTATAAAAATGGACAATAGTCTTGTGTTCCGGAGTATTGTTCTTTATTAAAGTTAATAACAAGTGCTTTTGCTCTAAAATCAAAACAAAGCGATTTCAGTGTTGTCTGCGTACTACTGTGTTTACTATATCTTGTGTTTGTTAGACAGAAACAATAAATGCGTGACGTGTAACATCCTCTTAAACCAACATCACCTAATCATTTTATTCGCGTGTTCCTTCGTTTGCCTTGGTCGCGTATAGTCGGGACGCGGCTTTATGCGAGTTCGTAAACTTATTTGCGATTTTTTAATCCGGGAATAAAAAATTAACAAAAAAAACGTTTAGCTGGATAATTTCCGTGCTGTACAAAAAACATGTTAAATGTGTACATGCACACACACACACACACACACCTCTGTGTTACAATAACACCGCGGTGCGTTTTATTATTCCTAATTTTCCTGTCGGTTATTTTTTTTTTTTTTATTATAACGGTCCCGTACAATTTCATTGACGTTAGACACGAGCTGTGTAGCTATGTAGATAGGTACCTCTATGTAGATACGCGGGAGAACCAAACACGTAACACTGGCGTCAATACTTTTGGTGATAGCGTTCGTTTGAAAAACATTTCATTTAATAATAATTATAACCTTTTATTGACCTTGAAATCTATATCGCTACAATTTAATTATTTCGACAAAAGTCTGGATGGAACGAAAATAATGGTAGGTACTACCGCTAACTGGTGCGTGTTAAATAGTATATCGCACGAAAATGCGATTTAAAAATTTTTATCGAGTTTGAATTTAGTTTCTCTTTAGTACCTAGTCGCCAATTGCCAAGTTGCCCCGTGAAAATTAGTAAGAACATTAACAAAAAAAAAAAAAAAAATACTTTCTGCAATTATATAATTTTGCTCCCTCTATGCTATAAAGTAAATGATAAACCTTTATGAACAGCAAAATACCCATATTATGGTTTCTAAAAACCCGTAAAAATTGATTATAATTCTGTGAAACCACTAATCACTACGCAAATTGCGTGTGATTCGATACCTACGTGATAATCAACAATCTTCGGCAACAGCATATTATAATACAAGCGTCTACAGAAATTTAATTCGAATTTTGTTTTTATTTTTAATATGTTTGTACCCGAGGATGTGCTTAAGTCAGGGCTCGAAATGAACGGCAATGCAATTCTGAATCGGATCATCACAAAGAAAAAAAAGTGCATAATTTTTGTCCACAAATCATAATATTACCGTACCATTAGTATTATATATGTATTTAAAAGACAATAATACATTCAATACATTTTTCATTTCGAGCACTGGTGGACGAGTAAAAAAAATAACACGGACAGAGTGGAGGTGAGCGCTTTCCCTATCTACTTGTGTCGGGGTTATCACGGCGGAAAGTCTGATCACAGGACGGCGTCACTATCTGTAGTCACACCGTTTGTATTTTCCCCCCCCCCCCCATCCCCATTAGCAAAACAGTTCTTGCGCCTCTGCCGGAACTTGACCGCGTCTAACCTGATCTAATCGTTTGTCGACGGAACGTTGTACAGGTGAACCTGAGTCCGGCGCTGGGCAACGATTGCGACGTGGACAACCAGGTGAAAAAGCCACTGCTGCACGACATGTTCGACTTGCTCGGACTGCCCATGTGCAACACCGGCCTGTCGCTGTTCCGGATGGCGTATCGGTCGGCGTCGGGCCCGCGGTTTGGCGGAGGCGGCGAAAGCGATGGCCGGCCGTCCGCGTTGGCCGCCGCGGCAACGGAAAAATGGAAATTGAAGCGGATGACGAACAGTCGCAACAACAGCCAGAACAATAACAACAACAGCAGCATCAATTCTACGAAAAAAGACACAACGCCTGCAATAGTGACGTCCACGCAGGTGGTACAGCCGCCGCCACCGCGTCTATCGTCCGTGTACGGTCCAGGCAAACAACGCACCAGCGGTGGCGGGACCGTACGACCGGGGACCGTGTCGCCGGTGTGGGGCAACGGTCGAGATTGGACCAGACCCGTCGACTCGGAGGGCGACTGGGTACGGGTGTTCCCGTTCGCGCCGGACATGACGGCCGCGCGATCGCCGCAACTGCGGTCCGGCGGCGGCGTCCGGACGTCGTCGTCTTTTCAACAGTTCGCCAGACCCGCGTCGTCGTCGTCGGCGGACGAGAAGAACAACACGGCTCGCGCCATGATCAAAAACATTCAAGAGTACTTGCGGTGTTGCAAAAAAGTGGCCAGATCGTGCGAGGGCCTGACCGCCGTGTCTGACGACGAGCTGAACGACAAACTCAAAGACCTGTTCCCGGCAGTGACGAAAACGTGGTTGCCACCCAACTAATAAAACATTAAAAAACATTTTAAAAAGACTACTTAAGGCATATTATAAAATGCTATAATATATACCGGGTATATTTCATGTCGTATACCTGTTATACGTAAATAGCGTACTGCGTACAATATGCTTTCCGACTCTGTTCTATACTGTAATTTAAATTATCGTTTTTTTCTGTTTTTTCTTCTCTTTTCTCTTCGAAATATTATATTATTATAAAAATATTATGTGTATACACAATAGTGTTGTTCTGTTATCAGAACAGTTGTTATGTCGTTTTATAGATGTATATTATAATTTATTATAATGCCAATAAAATATATTATATTTCGTCTCGTGGACAGGAAGCTCTCGACCAAACTATACAAAATAAAATCATGTCGAACACACAATATATTTTATGGACAGATTTTACTTACGATTTCGATTTCGGTCTACTGCGACACTTTATATTATTTCCGTATAGTGTAATATTATATTCTCTTAAATCGATATAGAACCTATTGCGTGTAGATATTACGAGATTTTTAAATGACACGTGGTACCTAAACTTACCAATAACATTATTATAAAATATTGTTGATGTATATTAGCGTTCGCTTAACTATAAGTACCTACGTTAGAGTCTGAAATATTATTATGCGTTATACTGTGTTTGTTTGTTACACGAGATATAATTAATATACGATTGTTTTTGTTGACAACGGCTTGCTCAATAATACGAATATTATGCGTGTCGTGTGTTATGCACGGTGTTAAAATTAATTACGATTCCGCACAATCTCCAAAACATCCCTGTGAGTGCAACAGACCCCTCCCGTCACTTGATTACAGAACATGACGTTCCCCTTCGTACGGTTTTACATGGGTATTGTTTTGTTCTGAAATCTGATATTTTACTTTAAACATCAGGGGTCGGAACAATGCAGTGGTTGGGACCAGTCATGAGAAGAATCGAAGAGGAAACCACCAGAGGAATTATGGAATGGGAACAGGTAGGGAAGAGACTTCGAGGCAGACCGAAGAAAACGCGGTTCTGGAGGGGGATCTGTCAACACTTTTCTACCAGAATCTGCTCTGATTTTCTCTGAAAAAAATTGTGTCTATTTGGTGCATTGAAAAAGACGTTTTTCGATTCGTCATGTTCGTTAAAATTGAGCACACGTTCAACAGTTTTATTGGATCAATTTTACAAAAAATATATAAATTATAAGAACTCAGTTCGGAGTATTTTCTCTACGTGCAGTTGTGTTATTATATTGTCTGTACGGTTCACGAAACTAGCGACTCCGCAGTGGCGCTTCCGATGATAGATTTTCGTGAGGATTTCCAAAACGTGTGACTAAAAACGTGCGGTAATTTAAAAATAACGCAAACATTAATGTTAAAATATCAAAAGAAAATGTATATTTTAGTATATTATAATAAATAATATAATTTATAATACAGTTTATTTACTATATTATACAATAAATAAAATAATTATTTTTATTCATATTTTTTAAAAACCGTGCAGTATTCCAAATTGCCGCGTTTTTTGTGCAAGTTTGAGAAACCGCGGAACACCGAAATTTCGCCACCGGAAGCGCCACTTCGGAGTCGCTAGTTTCGTGAAACGTACTGCAGTTAAAAATTTAATGTTTAACATTCTACACACTGAAGGTCTAAAGTTTTTCCCTATTGATCGATAATTATAATTATTACGTAATAGGCTGTGGTAATGCATAAATTACGGTTTTTTTTTTCTTAAATGTTATTATAAACGTAAGTTTATACATAATGTTTATTACGAAAAATAATACATATACACGTTAAAATAATAATAGAAAATAGAAAAAAAAAAAACAAATTAAATGAGCGAGGTTTTGTCGTTCGTCCATCTACGCGATAAACCGATGTAAGATACATTCCGGAAATACAAAATTACAGTATTACGTATTTTTGTGTCGCACTAAACAAAATATTATACATAAAAACACAAAAAAAAAAAAAACATGATTTTAAACAATATATTATAAAAAAAAAAAATTATAATGATACAATTTTATTGAACTAATATATTATAATACATAGATAGTTCAAAACCAAATAGTATCATCAGGGTCAGATTTAGGATTGTGGTAGCCCGAGAGCCTATCGGATAAAGGTTCGGTAAATAGAGGTAAATTTGAATTTAAAAAAAATAATTATAATTATAATTTGTAGATATTTAAATTTCAGAAGAGTCTAAATACTACTATATCTAAATAATAGTACTTATTTCGTGGCGACTCCTCATAAATTGAATTTTGTGGGAGTCTATGGGCCTGCCCCTACCCTAAATCCGACGCCGAGTACAATAATAATATTGGTAAATTATCACTGTCTTACGTATGAGTTAAAAAGCTGGTAAAATAATTTGGCAACGTTGAATATAACTCCTCTACGTTACACGATGTGAGGTTATAAATAATAGTTATAGCTCGGCCCCGATTTCGATTACTAAACACTATATTATTATTTAGTTATAATAATTTATACTTAATATATAATGTGGCCAGAAAAAAATAAAGTTTTTTTTACATAGTTAGTCGTGGTGTAAAAATACCTGTACGTTCTAACATAATACAGGTAAGCATTATAATTTATTACCATACTATTGTTATATTTTATATAGTATTATTCGGGTGCGTATTTTTTTTTATTTTTGTTAATAAATTTGTATTATTCGTAAAAAAAAATAATATTCTTATACATAGGTATTATACAGCGGTGAACGTATGGGCAGTTTTGGAAGTTTTATCCCTCTGAAATATAAAGTGCCTACTCTGCATAATATTTATAATATAAAAAAATAACAACTATTACTTATACTATTAATTTATAACGATATACTCGTATAGTATAGTAGGATGCAAATATTTGTTCAAACCTCCCTTTCCCTCGAAATTTTTTCCTTCGTTCGCCTCTATTGTATAGGTGTAATATTAATGTGCCTATATTATATTTGAATCGATCTAGTGTGTTAATACGTAATAATAGTATTATAGATAAGTGTAAATAAATGCGATTTTAATAACTAGCTATTATAATGTATACAATGATATAAATTCCATCTGCAACAGTATCAAAATGGAACTCTGAATTTGACTCTTTTTTTTTTTAACGAGGCGTGAATATTGTTTTATATACTGTCCATATAAAAGATGTCACGGTGTTTATAAATTAAATAGATTCACAATATGTAAATGTTCAGTTTACAGTTTATACGAAAGTCTGAGATTTAAATTTGGACGGGGTGTGATCAAAAAGTTACGGGACTGTTTGAATTGCGATTCAGTTCGTCAAAATGAAAGACAAAATTTTCTACAGATTCTTGAAGCTTGTCGTTTCTCGTCCTGTAGATTAATTAATAAACAACTTAACGCGAAAAACATGACACTATTCAGGTACTTAAACATATGTTACATCAAAACAAGGAAAGCTATAGATAATCTATACAAATAGCTCAGGAAAATTACTAAACTAAACATATCGTACTATAAATAAATTATAAATCAATGTCCAACGAATTTCCTGCCCTTCGTTCTGTTAATCACCAAATCATGTCAATCGATTACCGAACTCATCCTTTCCACATCATTCTTCACTCAATCCTCTCAACTCGTGCGTAGTCTATTTACTTCAACCCTACGCGCATGATTGGCCCACGATAATCCCATTTTCTCGATTTCGATTATATCTGTCGTCGAAGATAACTGTCAGAGTTCAATGATTTTTTCAAATCATTCTCCTGGTATTTACATTCTGAAAAGGCCCGAAGATTCTTCTCGACATTTTCCTTTCGGAATCTCGATAATATTTCCACACTTGATAATTTAGATAATCCGAAGAAGCACTTAATTCCTCTATTGCAACCTCGCCTTGATAGATATTTGCAAAATCTTAAATCATTATACCTAACTAACATTATTTTTTCATTATTTCGCGATGATAAAATTAATTTCTAAAAATATGTGAAATCGTGACGAATATATTCGAGTACAGCTGCATCTGATACAGCGATACCTATATACAGTAAAATGCAATAAATCTGATAGGAATTTGTTATAGCTACGCACATTGTGGACATTTTTGCAAAATAAAAAAGAACGATAACGTTTTTTAAGAACGCGATTATTGAAAACTTCAAATATTTTTTCGATACAGATAAAGTACGTAGCAGTGCGCGCTGATAATAAAGTTTCTCGGGGAACCGTACGAAAAACATTATAAACGAGTAAAATAAAAAAATTGTTTAATTCGGTAATAAAAATATAATAAGAATATAATAAATAGTTGTATTTTTTTTTTTTTTTTGGAAAAAAGAATCAATAAGCATACTTCCTAAAGGACATGCCATTACACGTTATTGTGTATTAAATTGTACAAGGGATGGCGTCAGTGTGATATGCTGGCCGGACGTCTGTGTTCGAGCACCTTTCTGAGCTGTTTGCGGGTGTTACAGGCCACGGTCAACGAACAGGAAGTGACTGCGTGACCGGCGGCTACGGTGGTTGGTGCTGTCGCTTCGGTAGCGGCTGCTCCTGCCGTCGTTTCGGATGCAGCGATATCATAGTCGTGACCGTCAACCCCGTCACCGAATCGCGCTGGGCTATACTCGCATGCGCCACGACCAGCTACGTCCGTCACCGCCACCGCAGACACCGGGAACGTGGGTTCAAACACTTCCAGCTGTGGGCTGACCATTAGCGAAGAAACCGCGCTGTCGGGACAGTGATCCGCGTTGTCGGCCACCAGGCTGAGTATGAGTTTCTCGACACTAAACTCTTCGACCGTATGCATCGGTTCTTCGGTGACATGCACGTGATGTGGTTCGCACACCGCGAAGTCCGTGTCGGGTTTGGACACGAGTATGTCGTGGAACGGTATGAGTTCATCAGCTACCGCCACCGCCGCCGCCGCCACCTCCGACGTGGACGACGATGTCATAGCGGCCGCGGGTTCGGTGGCGGCGGCAATAGCAGCGGCCGACTGTTCGACGGCCGTTACCGTTTGCTGCACAGGTTCGTCGACGAACTGCAGTTCTTGTACCGTCTCCGTGGCTATGGACATGGCTGGTGGCTGACTAAAATCGTCCTCCATGACCGTCTCGTAGCCGGCACCATCGCCGTAGATCACCGGCATCATCAACAGGCTAGACATCACCTCGCCGTTGTCCATCACACACAGACTGATCGTACCGTTGGCATCCTGGCCCACCTTCCGCACGTCAACGTTGCATTCCACTGACAGTTTGGCAGGCATGTCGTCGTTCGGCTCAGCGAGAATCATTTTCTGCACAGTCGCCGTGGTCGAGTCCGTGGTGCCAGCCGCTGTGAACGTCCGTATGGCGCTACCCGATAGGTACGCCTCGACCTCCACCTCGGCCGTCTCCGATCGCTTTAGCGCTTCGATGTTGGCCTTCGACAGCGGTATGACCAGTTGACCTGCAAATAAAAATAACGATGAATTAATTGGCTATTTAATCAAATGTCCGGATAATACCGTAGTGTTATAGTGTACGTTCGGCGTGAACTTTTTTCTAACTACAAGAGGTTAGGTTATTATAATTAATTAATAAATACAATTTATGTTACGTACTTTGGCACTTTAAATATTCCGAAGCCGTGCTGAAGTTGGTTTCGCTGTCGAAATGCTGTAATAAATCGTCCGCGAAATCCGACATTGACTCGGACTCATCCCAGGTGTCGTGACTCCGCTGGTGTGTCTTGAGACTGGCCTTTCCCGGGAAAGTCTTATTGCAACTCGGCCGGTCGCACGTGTATAACTTGTCCGCCGAATGCGTTCGCTTGTGCGTCTTGAGATGGTGACTGGCCGTAAACGCCCGGCCGCAACCTTCTTCTACGCATCTGAAAACCGCGTAAATAGGCCATTCATGAAATGCATAAGTGACAATTTTACAGTATCCACGAGGTTTTTACTGTAAGCAAATCTAGAGGGGATCGAGAAGTCTGCCCCAATGTGTCAAACCAATATTCGCGAATAACATTAGCCTCGTTGTAGGCTGCACAGCTTGAAAACGAATGTATTCCGTAAATTTGCACGCTATCAATTCTCAATAATCAACTATCCTTGTATAAACGAAGAAATTGAATGACGTATCAATGCACAGTCCAAAACACTAAGTATTGAAACTTGAAATTTTACTCATAAGTTCCTTTATAATGCAGGTAACCACATAAAATTGATTTTTATAAATTCAACTCTTAAGGGATTAAAAAAAGGGGTGTCAAAGTTAGTACAGAAAATAACTCTTTATAATCAATCAAAACGATTGAGTTACATAAGTACATAACAGACGATTTTAGTTTTTGTACAGATAATAGATTGCCAGCGTAAAACTGAATACCGTGCAAACACTTTCGAAGTTTTGAAGGAAAATGATATCGTATTTTTAAATTAGCCAACGAGAATAATTTTAAATATTGGTTATTATTTATGACTGTTGGGAATATATATACATTTAATCTACATCTGCAATAATCTATTTAGTATTTACCTTTCATTAATCCCGTCGAGAGAAAATTATAAAAATCTATGCAGACGAATTTGCGATTAACAGCTAGTAAATTAACAAATGTCAATGTTATTGCTTGTTATATAAAATCCCTGTCATTTTATATACTAAATTACTACGGCGGCTCTAAAAAATGGCCTATCGAAATCGGATGACCCATAGTTCTTTCTAAATCCACCTGACATTGATATGGTTTTCTATCGAAAACAAAAATAGCTTTATAATTTATATTTACTTATACGGCCGTTCTTGCGTGTGCGTCCTGTAGTGTTTTTTCAGATCGCTAAAAGTCGTGAAACATTTGCCACATCCTGCTTGCATACAGTCGAAAGTATCACCGGTGTGCAGACGCTGGTGAGCCCGTAGCCTGTACTACACAAACAACCCGTAGGTCCGTCATACATCACATATTTCTAATATAGATTACCGGAACAATCGTATTCGAAAGTATCGAATTCTTTACCTGTAAACGGTGTTGAAGGCTTTTTGACACTCTTCTTTGGTACAAACAAACGGTTTTTGTTTCGTGTGCACGCGTTCGTGAATTTTCAAGCTGTACGACGTCAGAAATGGTTTACCGCAGTCGATTATGTTACATTTGAACCGATATTCCCCTATTGAAATCAAATATTAATAAGTTTATTTTAGGAAGTGAAGGAACAATGTGAAGAAACAGGTGTCAGAAGTCCTGAAAAACACTAGACTGAGAATAAGTATGGAAATGTTAAAAGGAATAGTTTGACAAATAACGAGATGGAAACCAGATGTCTAAAAGGACCTACTAGACAAAAATGGTCGGACAGAGTAAGGGAAGACCGAAGATTGCTAGGCATGGTATACGGCGAAGAAGCAACATCAGATATCATGTTATCGCGTCATGGACCTAAATAGTCTCTAAAATGTCCTACGTATAATTTATAGGATATAAATAAACGATACAATTAGTTTATAATACACTACATAACTGTCACGTGTACACATAATATATTTCACTGCATTATTACAAATTTAAAAAAAAATGAATGAACATAACTGCTACGAGTATTCTTAAAATTAAACGCAAATTAGTTAATTTTATAAACTTAACATGTAATGTGTTTATTGTCAAATTATTTTAAATCGTAAACTGTACGAGTTATATAGTGTTTGTGTTAAAATACTATTCGTTTTTTAATTATAATACTTACGACTTTAGACGGCAAAAAATTATATTTTGTGCAATATATTAATAAATACATATTATATCTACTTACTTATATATAGGACCAAATATACATAAAATATGTTACCTTTAGACTTCAAAACAACTTAATACTTTAGAAAAAAATAGTTGGCTGCAAAATGAACCAAATTTAAAACTTTAAATATTTGTACATCTTTAATCTAGTTGATAGCTTCGGTATTTTATCAAGCTGTATTACACATTAAGTCTCCATATTTTAATTATTGCTACCTACATCGTTTATTTTTAAGTTAATTTCATAAGTCTAAACTAGTTAAATTTAAATTATTTTCTGAATGTAATATTTTTCTTATTATAAATTGTGAACTCATGGGCCCCCACACGAAACTGTTCAGTGAGGCCCATTATCTTTTCGAAAAAATAAATAGTAATAATAATCGTTATAAGTAAAGATCGGATTCTCGTGCAATCGCATCTTTTTATTAGGTATTCCAAAACCTTTAGAAACAAGTTATGATTCCGAATCAAGGAAAATAGATTAATCTATTAATCATACATAAATTTAATTTACACAAAATTGCACGTTTCAGCGTTTTTGCATTAAAATGCACGAATTCGTATTTTCTCAATTTTTATATTTATTTTTCATATTAATCTGTTATTATAGGTATTATACTCATACTACATTGCAATCTGTTACTTTATCATTTTTATCGGACTTTTATTAAGTCGACAATGCATGAATAGTCTGTTATACGGGTAGTTATAGTGGGTAAATACCATAGACGAGTAGGTACAGTCTATCCGTCATAGCCGTAGCTAAAATTATATATTAGTGTTTTTTGACAAATACCAAATATTTTACAAATTATATTTTAAATTAAAATGCTGAAAATAGGTAGCAGTTATTCTTCTAAATTAAAGTGCTGGATTAAAAATTTCCTGTATTTAAATCAGACGATCAAGTACATCAAAAATATAGGTTTGCACGTTTTTGCACATTTTAGAACTTTAATTGCATGTTTTCAGGTGATCACTGCACAAAAATTCGGTCTTTAGTTATAACTATAACAACTTTAAATTCAGTAAATACTTGTTATTCTATGAGCTGTAGATACAATATTATAGTTTTTTTTTTCAAATTATTTGGTGCTGATTTGTAATTTTAAAATTATATTAATGTGAAAAATAAGAAGATAATAAGTATTCTGCTTTAACTAGGTGCACAAATGTATAGTCATATTTTGACTGTAGATATTTATTAAAATTTTAAGACTTTTTATGATGAAATTATTTCAAAATCATAAATTCATAATATTAATTATATAACGCGTACATATACGTACCTTTATGTGTTTTCATATGAGTACGTAAATTCCCCACAGTGCTGTACGTCCTTTTGCATCCGGTAAATTCACAGTTATGTCTTTTATTGTCTAAATGGTCCAACGGTGTATCGTTGCTGAACGAGCTTTGAGATAAATCGTCTTGAAACCCTTCTCGCGATATAATATCGCTTTGCGGCTGGACGTCATATTGCACATAACTGTTTGTTTGAAAATTATAATGGACAAAACTGTCAAAACAAAAATGATTATTTCGAATTAAATAATTTAAATGTTACACAAGGTGCATTAAAATAGTTCATAAAAAGGCAAGATAATGATGACGGGTGTAGCTACTGGTGCAGGTGGAAAGTTAGAAAATTAGGATACAGACAGGAATTCAATGCATAGATATACATCTGTAAGCAACGATAAACCTAATAAACGATAAACTAACAAAAAACGATTCTGAGCGGAGTTCAATCGATAGTAATGCTTTTTCAACAACATATATGCCATATTATAGTGAAATAGTTAAATAGGCTCTATATATTTTCTTTAATAATATTTGTTTAATGTTGTACCGATTTCCCCGGTTTTCTTACGTTTTTCCCGGTTTTCCCATGTTTTTCAAATTTGCTGAAAAATTCCGAAGAAAATTGAAAAATTACCTTTCTAAAGTACCTCTCCAGTAAAATTTCCTTTTATAAAAATTGCTATCAATAAAAGTTGGAGCAAAATTGTTGGTAGAAAAGTTGTCCACAGAAAAAAAAATCAAGATATAAAACATTATATTTGTTATATCTTGTACATTTTCCTGTTTTTTTTTTTCAGTTTTTCGCATTTGATGAGAAAACTCTTGAGAAAATCGAAAAATAAGGTATCTAAGGTGCCTTTCCATACCAATTTCCTCTCAGAACATTTGCTACACGTAAAAATCGGAGCAAGTCTTCTGGTAGAAAAATTATCCCCAGAAAAAAATAAATAAAAATCTTTGTAAAACCATACGTTTAAAATGTGAAAAATATGAATGCGTAAAACGGTAAATACTTTTAGATCACACTGTATATGATTCTTTTATTTGAATCAAAGTCAAAAAATACACTAGCTAAGTATCTTAGTACTTTACAAAAATAAATGGCAATATTTTTTAATAAATAATATTAAAATACGTATATTACGACAATAAAATATAATTCACTTTCATAAAAATCATGTTTGAAATATGTGACGTTGAAATATTTAGAACATAATATAATATACATGTTTGTACGCAAAAAGACGTTCTATTTAATCAACATTATATAGTACATTGACAAATTTTGAACAAAGTCCAATTTTTTTTTTTTTTTAAATAATGAATATCAAAATAAATCTGAAGAAAATGTGAATTTATTTTTAAAAATACATAATATCTATTATATATATAATATCATACATGCCAAATATCATATCATATAATACATCGTATCCCATTGGTAAAATCAATTTTTTTCATGTACCTCTAGCGGAAATCTACTTTATGAAACGTATGAAAAATACGAAGGTTTTCTATACCAAATGGGCAAGTTCAGTTTCTTCATCCTAAAACTATTGAATCCTTATACGTGATAGCTTTTTATATCAACTTTATTCTGTTGTAGTATTTAAATTAGTAATTAATAACAATTAAAGAAAACTTTAAAATTTTAAATTCTATTAAAAGTGTCCTTAGGAATGACATTTTATGAGAGTAACGACGGTCTGCTAAAGAAGATTGGTTTAGACAGGAGAATAATCGTGAGGTGGGCGGGTATATTTAAAGCATAATTGGCATAATTTAGGAACTTCCATTGGACGCCTTCAAGTCGCCGACACAAATCAGCACAGTAAAAAAACTAAACCACCGAATCGTACTCAAGCATCGGTCTGACGAGGGCACAATACGGGGATTTAAGTGAACCGGTAAATTTAAATTCACACGAAACCCTCCTACTAAATACCAGCAGTTCATACGCTTTGCATGTAACGCTATTGATGTGTGAACGTGGAGATGGGGAAGGTGTAAACATAATATACTATACCATATTACTATAATAATATTCTAGCAGCAACCCACCGGAAATTTTCCCCGTGTGCTACAGGCCCGATCCGGTTCTGTTCGAGATTAATTTTAATCAAGTAGGTACCTACATATTATTATAACTGAAACATATGAATCATAATAATACCGTAAGAATTCAATAGAGATTAATCGGTCCTTTTTATACACAACTCTCGCACGGTAATAAATAAACTGTGTGCACACACTTTACGTGAAAATTTATGCAATATTCAGGTTTACGTAAGCATATAAATAAATAAATAGAAAATAAATTATAGATACCTACGTGCAGATAATGGATTTAAGAATTATTTAAGGACAACTGACGGTTAAATATTATAATAAAAATCAAATAATTTTGGTTTATTATTTTGTAAAACGATTTATACTTTATCAAATCATATTTACCGAGTATATTAATAAAAAAAAATCGTGTACATGCTAAAATAATTTTCAAATCTGTTATTCCTAACTTACAAGTAGTATAATGTCTTTATTACACTTAAAAATTAAAATTTATATTTATTCAACTTGAGTAAAAATATAACTACATAATATAATGTAGTATATTATATAATTTGTAAATGCTGCGTGGGGTCACATAGAATCAATTGAAAAATCAAATTAGCTGCACACATTAGATAGAACGTGACTTATTGGGTGGGCCACGGGGGTGGGTGTATTACAAATCAATTTGAAATCTACATAATATTTTAAAAATTAATAACATATAGCCGTTTATCAATTTTTCACAGAAAAAATTAGGTATTAAACTTGAACTGTTGTACACAGGTGGGTAGTTAAAAAGTTAGGAATGGTAGCACACCTTATTTAATTTAAATATACCTAAGAGTTAACACTGAAAGCCTCTATAAATCATCGCGAACAAAAAGCTATTCGAGTGGAACTCGGTTAAACATTTTATTTTCTAAAGATTAAAATTGAATTAACGAAAATGGTTTATAAAACGTTACGGTTTTTACAGATTTATCAAATTGTTAAGCTTTTTTACCGAACCAAAAATATATTATACTTCTACGTATAATTTAAAAAAATACTAAAACATATTGTAAATATTAAACTTTAAAGACAATATTATGTTACGTAAATTGTATGAATTACTAAATGCTGAAAAAGCACATGTTTAAATTTGTAAGTATTTTATAAAGACAAAAAACTTCTTAACCGCCTAGAATTTTATAATATTTCATAAAATAATTTTAGAAACCAATATACGATATCTAACACTATAATATAAGGTTATGGAGAAAAACCTCCCTCAAATCATCTGGTCAAAATCGCATATTCAAAAATATAAAAAAAAGCATACAAATGAAAACAGAAATATTATAATAGTATACCTCATCAGTTATTTGTATTTATTTAAAATTCATATTTTATATTCTCTAAACTAAAATATTACGCTCCGAATAATCTATAAATATATTCTTACCAATGTACCTTATGGTATAGTCCAATGATAGAGAATTTTTTTTCGACGCCAACAACCTCAAACTATACATTTCAATATTAGATTAATATACTAACACCTCCTATAATATTTAAATTCACAATTTTCCTCCGTAATCTATTACTCACGTCACATACTATTATACTAATAAAGAAAAATAATCTTTATGAATATTTTTTTTTTTAATGTACAGATGGTTTTGCTAGGATAGTTGGGTGTTTCCTTTCTTTAAGTAAACAACTTTTCTAATAACAATTTCGCTCCTATCAGTTTTGGTACGAAATTTTGTCTACTTAATACTTTGATATTCTCAGTAGTTCTTTTAATATTTGGAAAAAGACGGTAACAATTATACAAAAACGATTTCTGTTATTTTTATATTTTGTTTTTTGTAATAATTTAGTTATTTGATTATTATGAATACAATTTTTTTTTAGTTTCAAAAATATTCGAAAAACTTGTTACATGATTTTTCATTGTTATTCTTGTTCATCGAAAATTTAATTAGTCACGGTTTATTTTACGATTTATTTATTTATTTTAAGCGTAAAAATTCAAATGTTTATGAAAACTGTAAGAATCGCAGTATTTCAAAACATGTTGGCAATGATTAATCGTTGCGTACGGTTATAAATTAAATTAGGTTCTCTATATTATTGTAATATCCTACCTTTCTAACTTCCCTCCTGCAACAACGATACATCCATCGGCTCTTTTTTTATTTCGACGTCTTTACGCGACAAAAATATTATCATTATTCAGATGTACGTACTATAATAAACACGTTTTCAATTAAATAATCCGTTTCTGAATCAATAATATTATAGATACTTATACACAATATTTACTCAGAGTATATAGAATAATATACTACACAACAAGATTACCTACTTAAACAGTACTAATTATCTATCAGAAAAAAAATTTAAATAATTGCGAATTTAAAATTAACTTTTCAAATAAGTGTGTATGTGAAAAGGAGTAGGTTCAACCCCCCCCCCCAAACCATTGTCGAAAAAATATAAATCGTGTTTTTCATTTTTAATATAAACATGGATATCAATTAAGCATTGAATGAATTCTTTTCTACCCCCCGTCGAGTAAATTTATTAAAACAATGATTTATATTTTATAATGTTGATAAGATTAACAAAATTAAGAATATATAATATTTACTAATTATTCATGTATCTATGTTAAATAAATATATTTTTTCAACCCCCCTCATTATGAAAACATGTGCACGGGCTTGTTACCCATATATATATATATATATATTTATTATTTCTTAATATTATATATCCTATTAATATAACAAGAGAATACATTCCTCGCTATGATTTATTTATATGCCTTTACTTGCATAATATGCTGAGAATTTATTTATAATTTATTGTGCGTTAATCACAATAATTATTTATTTAGATTTTAAATTATCGAGTGTAATGGTAATATTACTTGGTGAAAACTCGGTACCCGGTTTGTGTTCACATTACTCCTCAGCCAGTATTACTATCGGACTTACCAAATATTTCGACTCACAAACCAATTCCGTTACTTTCAATAGCACCAAAAATATTTGAATCTATTGTATCAGAAAAGATAACGTCAGAACTTGATAAAATAATTGTTGATGAACAACATGGTTTTAGACCGTCCAAATCAACTACTACTACAAGCTTGCTAACACACTACGATATTCTTTTATTGATACTTTACTGATAGTTCACGTATTGACATTAATTATATAAACTTTGTAAAATCGTTTGAGAAGGTTAATCATTCAATTCTTATACATAAATTAATTTTGATTAGAGTATGTGGTTCACTTTTACAATGGATTGAATCTTAGAACTCTCAGTGTACTCAAATTGTTGTTTATAAGACATTTTGGTCTAAATCAAATATCTCCACGCGTACCTCAACGTTCGCACCTTGCCCCAATTATATTTGCAGTAATTTATACCAATAACATCACTTTTCAAAATAACTCTAAGCTAATGTTTGCTGATGATATTTAACTATAATGAGTTGTAAATTATTGTAATGATGTTGCTTTATTGCAATTTGATTTAAAATTGCTTTTTAAATTGTGCAAAAACAATTTTATTACACTTAATATTCAAAAATTAAAACTTTCTTCCGATCTCGTTCAATAATTTTTTGACTATAATATTAACGGTGAAGCTCTACCTAGAATTACTAACGCCATAATCATCCTAAGGTATTTTTCGACCACAAACTTACATTTAATGTGAATATTCACTTCATAAAAAATAAAGCCCTTAAACTACTTGCATCCATATACTGAAGCTATGTTGATTTCAATGATAACCCTTACAATATTGGTTTCTTCATAAGAGAGACTTCATAAGAGAAAGTTCAGAATAAGTTTTTACGTTTCCTAACTTTTAAGGGGTATAAAACTTTTTCCTAAGTGTACCTATAACTCCCTATTTATCATACGATCCTTCATAAGCCACTTAACCTACTAATCTTTCTCTACTCACACACAAACGATGAACCTATTTTATTTAAAATCTCAAACTACTAATTATACTACTAACACCATTACTGCAAACATGCACATCGGTAATATTTATAAAAATCTTTTGCTCATAAATACACTTAAAATACTACTAATTTTGGACTCTGAGTTTAGCAAATAATGTATTAGTTTTACTAAGATATATTTTTTTATATATACTGTGTACAAAAATTCTACCAGAAATCTTGCACAAATATGTATGCGCGGCATCATTTCTGAATGAAAATGTTGGCCAGATGGTACTTTTAGGAGGTCATTTTTTGATTTTCCATACAGTTTTCAAAATAGCTGGAAAAAACCAGGATAAAACGTAATAAAAACAGGAAATTTACGAAAATTATGCTTTCATTGTTTATTTTTATTTGTTATAATTCAGTTAAAAATATTCGTAGAGACTTGAAATTTAGATAAAAACTTAAATTTGCCTTTTCTAGACATAGTAAAATTTTCGAAACATTTTTGACATTTTTAAGCTATTAATAAACATTTGAATATTGCGAGTTTTGTACGTAATGTTTATTCAGTAAGTATTCTGTGGTAAAATTGTTAGACTTATCAGTAATACTTGAAAATTTAACAGGAAGTCCATTAAGAGGCATACTCTGTGGTTAAAAAAAAAATTGAGTTTGATATAGTATTCTTTTTTAAGGGGAATTTTATATCATATTTTGACGAAAATCGTTGAGTAAAAAATTATGTGGAACAAATTTAATTTTTTTTTTGTTTTTAGAACAATTGTATACTACCGATTTAAGAACGATGGTGAAGTCCGAATTGACCGGACTAAGTTTCGAAATTATAATTTTTTTTAAGTTCTGATATTATGCGAATATTATATGTTATATTAAATAACTATAATATTATTGTACTATTATTAACTATAATACTATAAAATATTGTCTTCTTTAAAGTATGTTTATCGTAGCTGAATGGTTATACATACCTATTTTCATCATAGGGTTCACGAGTTCGAAACACGCTTTGGGTGTACCTAGATCCTCAAGCCATCACTCGCTCGGACTATTTTAATCGCGAAATACCCCTCGATTTGTTGTGCAAACTTTTCTACCAATAATCTAGCTTCGATGTATCAAGTGTAGCGTATTTTCTAAAATTCTGGAAATTTAACTTAGGGAGGTTGTTATTTAATTCTCCCAGGAGTTTTCCCAATAAATAAGAAAAATGGGAAAATGTACAAAATAAATTAGTAAAATATAACGAATTTTTTTTTTCTGTAAACAAATTTTCTATCAGCAATTTTGCTCTAATTTACAATTATAGTAGTTTTCTAAAAGGAAATCTGACTAGAAAGGTATTTTAAAGAGGTCATTTTTCGATTTTTCCAAGAGTTTTCCCAGCAAATGTGAAAAACCGGGAAATAACATGGAAAAACATCGTCACAACGTCATCGGCAGTAATCTTGTAGAATTCTCCCAACATGTGGCCATATGTGCGTAAATTCACGAGTTTTAGTCACCTCACAGATACTTTCTCTTAATGGGGTTAATGAGAATTGGGCCTATAATGGAAAAACGGGAAAATCGGTACAATATTAAACAAATATTATTAAAGAAAATATATAATATCTATTTAATTATGTTAATGATATGATAATTATATTGTCTAATTAATTTAATAATTCGCATTATTAAACCATAATGTGACATATATATTGTTGACAAAGCATCACTGTTAACTGAACTGCGCTCAGAATGGTTTATCGTTGCTTAAAGATATACATAAAATTGCCAATAACAGTGGCTGCACCCGACCCCATTATCCTAGGTCATCTTTTTAAAAATTCTATATATTTAATATAGGTATATATATACTTATTTTATGATTGGGTTCAAACTCGTTTAATATTTCAATAAATAAATACCTGGTAACCGATTTCTATTTACATTATTACTCGGCCAATACTTAGTATGTACCTGGTTTGTAAAAAATGTTCTACCCGTAATATCTATAATCCACACGTTTATCTTCAAAGTTTTTCCTACTGTTGAGTCCAATGCTGTAAGTGGAAAATAAGAGATTTTAATTTTGAAAAACTTTTTCCTTTGTGTAATCCTACTTGTTAAATTCTGGGCGCAGTAGGGAATGTTTCGGGTTTTACTATGGCTATGGGCAATATGTTATCAGTCATTTTTGTCTAGCTGTAAATAACTTTTCTGCAAGTAATCATGCTCAGAGGTGATTTCTAATGGAAACTCTGCCTATAGTTTATGCACTGAGGAGGTATTTTTTAATTTTCAAGAGTAGCACACCCATAAGCAATTTCAACTCTTTTTTCATGTCCAAGTGTTAAACTTCTACCAGTCTCCGTTATTTTGCTGCCAAAGTAACAATAGTTTTGTATCTACTTGTACAACAGGTTCTCTTTAAGTGTTTATATTTAGCGCATTTTATCTAATTTGCTATTCCATCGCATTATACTTTAGTTTTCTATTTGTTTAATTTAATTTCACGATTCCCAAGATACTATTCAAATATTACCAAAACAAAATGAAAATTGAATTAAATTAGGTACCTACCTAAAATATTAATTATATTATAAACATGTAAACCCTTTTTTGCTAACCAATTTGAACCGGATGTAAAGAAAAATATATATAATCACGTACTTACATGATAAAAATCATACAATAATAATAATTATTTTTGTAGTATAAAACCGCTCACTTTGTCCTGACAAATTTCATATTGTAACTACATATTTATTATTTAAATGTATACGTATTACCTATGCATCTGTTCATTATATACACACATATACCTACACGACGAGATTAAATCGAGTTTTAAAATATTTTGCGATTTCGTGAGATAATACAAGGAGATAAAACGTACGAAAAAAAATCCGTACAAAAAAAAAAATAACGACAAAATTGTACAGTCTACGGTGACGGTAATGGCGTGGGACGAATCGAAAGTCGAGTGGCGAACGCACCGGGGACTGCGTCATCCGTTTGTCGAGTGTGCAGTCGACGCCGACGCGTCCCCACACCGCTTCTGCGCGCACAATAATATACAACCGTACCGTCTAGGTACTGGGTTTTCCACCATTCTTGCGAGTTGTACCTAATATCCGATTATATACTATAAACGATTTAAAGGTCCACACCGCACTTGCCGAAATATGATGGCTAAATGCACCCGTATAACTAAAGGGCTGGAAGCGGCTTAGCCACCGTTAACATATTGACAGGATCCCTTGTGAAATATACGGCAATTTGCATGGTTGACTTTTTTGCTCAATCCCCGGCGACTGAAAAATACTAATTACGCCTAATGGATTAGTGCGGATAACTACCGCAGCGTCATGTATTTGGTACACGGCACCGCTGTCTGCTACATGACTTTGGTATGAGTCAGTCATGCTCCACATAATTGACCGTATAGTCAAAAACGGACAAAAACACAGCAGTATAACATTTGATAATTCACAAAAAAATAATAAAAATAATACGATTATTTAGACGGGTATAATTCGAAAAATATTTATAGCCATGTACATTTTGTACCTTTAGACACAGTAAGTGTTTGATACACCGTATATCAAGTATATTCTCGAAAATGTTTGAATTTGTCTTGAATCTAATTAAGTTTTTTTCTACCTACTATAACTTGTATCTTGTATTATTGTCTCTAGATAGACAAGCACTTCTATACACTGGACTACTGCTCACCTGTATGCTGTGTCGCAGTAAAACGCATTGTTGTTGCCGTCATCGCCGTCTTCTGCTTCTTCCGCCGTCGTCGTCGGCGGCTGCTGCTGCGTGATAGGCCTCTGCTGCTGAAGTTCCGGGCCGTTGTAAACAAACGCGACCACTTCTTCCATGGTGACAATAGCGACCGGAACCGCCAGAACGCATAATAATAACCCCCCCGGAGACCGTATCGCCACGGTGAGGCGCGTCGCACGCGCGTGGCCAGCGAATTACGGTGCGGGCGACGAACGGTCGTACACTGTTGACCGACGCACGCGACGGCTGATGTGACGCGCGCGCGATTCGTGTTTGAACGCTCGGCTGTCCGGCGGCCGGCGAATCGGCTGACGGGCGTGTGTGTGCGTGGCGTACAAGAGGTCCGGACGAACGCACGTCGGAAACGTGACACCGCCGCAACCGCGACGGTTGCCGTCCGACGGTGGTGGAAAAAGACGTGGGTGCGCGGACGCGGAGGCGAAAATAATATTTTAATAATATATAAATGACGGGGCGACCTTGAGCCGTTTCACGTTTGCGGTGGCCGACCGCGGTCGCAGATGGTCGGCGAGCGCCAAAAAGATTTAGTAGAAAAAAAAAAAAAAACCCCGACGACAACGTTGCGTTCCCGATGGAAAATCTTTTCGCAGATTGTGCTGCTGCGGCGACAACAATAATAATAAGAACCGTTCGCCGATGGTTGCGACGGCGGCGTTTCTCGTGGCAACGGCTGCCGTACGTTTAAAAATAATATTCGTCCGCACGCGCGGCCACTGCGCGCCTTTTTGGCACCGGTGTATTTAATGTTTACCAGGCAATAAACAATAGTTTTTTTTTCGTTATTTACAATTTTTTTTCCCTCTGTTACTACAATATTATTCCATGCGCTTTGTATGACGTGTGTGTGTACTTTATTTTACCGCATGTTTGCTGGATTGGATATCGAAAACAACTCCACAGATATACTTTATATTATAATAAACTATAGATTGATAACTGTTGATAAAACGTGAATTTACAACCGCAGACATTATAAGTATATGGTTACAACTCAACATTCAATTCGAGCCTACGAGCCAAATAGCCAAATTATAATATACATATATTTAAGCATACCCACCTAGTAAACTGATAACTTTTGTATCTCAATACGTCCTGTGCATAGTGTATAATCAACAGTCACCGAGTAGGCAGGTATATAATATAGTAGAATATTACAGAATACCTACTTTTTAATGTTATTAAATATCCAAGCAAACGAAATAATAGACGAATATTTATAGACTATTACTATTTACGTTTATAAATGCAGTCACTAATACGCACTATAATTTCATTCACAATAAATTGGGTTATAAAGATACATCTCGAATTTATAAATTATTAAGTTGTCAACAGATTTGTCCAACTCTAAGCTCTCATCAAAAAAACATTTTTCTAAATTTATTCTATCAATGATTTTAAAACAAACAGTTTCACGCTAATATTCAATAGTATTTAAAGTATTATTTTCAGACTCTACTCCTATTCGATGACTCCGGGTATAATCACGAAGTTTAATTGTAGTTTACTGTTTAAGATAAGAACATAAAGTAAGATAATATAAATGTGTGATTGTTGTTCAATGTTTATACGAAAACTGAAATGAGCATTCAGACGATACTGTTTTTATCGTGAACTATAAGTAATAGAAAAAAAAATATATTTTATCCAAACCAGTAAATTACAATAATTTACAAATGATTGGTGAAATACTGAAATAAATTACTCGAGGAAACTGGGTGTGCTAATTTGAAGTCTGGTGGTACTGAAAACCCCCTAGCACCCCTATGTGTGCCTATGTGTAGCATAAACGTTTAATTAAACAATTTATAAATATACGTAATATTTTTTTAACTTACGTATAGGTATAGCAATACACATGAGATGTATAAATAAAAATCTAAATACACAAATTAATATAATATAAAGTAAATACATATTCTGAAAGATTAAATCGCTGATGAGTCATGTATAAGAAGCACAGCGGAACTGTGAAATGTTTTTGCCAAATTCTTCAACTACTTATGTTATAACTACATTTTGTTTTATATTTTTTTTTATTTTTATACAATTTATAATACTTATTCAGATTCCATATATTAATTGTTTATTCTATAATTCTTCTGTATTTATCTAATTTAAAATTTAAAAATTTCATAGAAATCATATCACTTAACATTTCATTTGTTACTCAATGCAATGACTCAAAACTCATAGGTACCTATGCTCATTGACCATTTTTAGGTATTGAGTCAGTGGTGTACCGACGGTGGGGGTTTTAGAGGTTTAACCCCCCCCTACCATAAGAAAAACATTTATATTGATTTCTTTTATAAAATATTACATTTTCGCCGAAAAATAATTAGTGTTGTACCATGTTATATTTTATTACACATTTATATATGCCATACCGGCAAAGTACAAAAGTTTATACACACATATAATGTATATATAATAGGTACGTAATCGTAAATCGTAGCTATCTACTTCATAGTAACCATTAGCGGACATAATAGCAGAAAGTAAAGATAAATGTATACCTAATCTACAAATAACCGATCAACGATTAGACAAATCAACGTGAATACTTATTAAATTTCATTTAATTTTGAACTCTTGTTCTATGACGTTCTGTATTTAAAATTTTTGTATTTATTTAATTGTTTTAAACGTAATTCATTTTTGTTCAATATGAGTGATGGGAAAAGAAAATTGAAAAACACTACTATAACAAATTTTTTCAAATTCCGGTCAGTAAACTAAATTTGAATGATAATAACATTGCTAATTATTTTAAACAAACTCATATGTCACACGAGTTAAATTTATCTATGTTTAAAGTACTATGATACCTAGATAAATCGTATGAGTATCCTACCAGTGGAAAACGTAATTTAAAATTTCAGTTTAACTAGTTTTCTCGATGAGAGTGGTTAGTTTATTCAAAAACAACAGACGGAGCTTATTGTAAATATTATGTATTTTTTTCTTTACGCCGTGTTGGAGTAGAAAGTGTTTCACTTAAATCTCTCGAAATTCCTTTTTCGAAATGGAAAGATGCCGTAGACAATTTTCGCAGTCATGAAATAACTGAGTATCATAAAATGGCTGTTCTTCGTGCTCAGAATAGATTAGCTATTACTGAATAAAAACAAGTTTCGGTCGATTTGCAACTAGACTCTGCTTTAAAACTACAAATACTAGATAACCATTCAAAATTGTTGCCCATAATTAAAACTATAATATTTTGTGGACGACAAAATATTCCTATTTGGGGGCACAGAGATTCTGGATTACTTGATTTTAATGAACCGGTTAAAAACGACGGTAATTTATGTGCCTTATTACGATTAAGAGTTCAGAGTGGGGAAGCAAATTTAAAAAATAACATTTATCTACATCATCACTTAATGCAACATATATTAGTCTCAGAATCCAAAATGACATTATTGATTGCTGTAGTAATATAATGGTTAATTCAATTGTTCCAAAGATAAATGTTGCCAGGATATTTTCTGTATTAGCAGAAGAAACAACTGATACTTCATGTACTGAAATTTCATAATGTGTTTGGTATATAAAAAGTAATAGTATAAAATTACGTAAAGATTTTTTTAAATTTATCCCTGTAACTAGTTTAACGGGAGAAAGCCTCGCTCAAACTTTATTAGACAATCTAATAAATCTTGGTATAGATTGTTCTTTTATGGTTGGCCAGGGATATGACGAGGCTGCGGCTATGAGTGGTAATTTTAATAACATACAAGCACATGTGGCTATTTATATCCACTGTGCCTCTAATAGTCTTAACTTGGCTATTTCTGACGCTTGTGAACTTCAAAGTATTCGGAATTGCATTGGTGTACTTGGAACTGTATACAATTTTTTAATACTCCTAAACGACAAGAAGTTCTTTTGAGTGCAATCCCAAGAAAAACAAATACAAAAGCCACTAGACTTAAAAATGTATGTCCCACAAGATAGGTTCAGCGACATGAATCAGTTTTAATATTCTTAGAAATTCAAAATGCTGTTACAATTTCTCTTGAAACCATTTCTTTGTGAATAGATAAAACTACTTGTTCTACAGCATTACAACTATTATCCGCAATCCAAAATATTGAATTCCAGATATTCCTCCGTACTACCACCAAGATTTTTGGTATAACTTCTCCCTTGAGTCGTTTACTACAAATAGAAAATCTTGATTTATCAAATGCGATAACTATTACAACAAACATTGAAGAAATTTTACTAAAAATACGTAATTTTAGTGAAAAAGAATTTAATTATATTTTCAAAGCGGTTAAAAAAACATGTTCTTCATTGATTGGGATTTTGATCTTAAAATACCACGAAAAGTTGGTGAACAAGTAAGTACATAGTAGTAATATTGAAACAGATTCACCTGAATTATATTTTCGTGTTTCATTATTCATTCCATTTTTAGATTTTTTCATTACCCAAATTCAAAGAGGTTTGTTAGATCACAAACAAATTTTGACAAGTTGTCAATGTCTTTTGCCATTAAAAAGAATTAGAATTAAAACAACAATTCGAGACTGACATTATGAATTTGGTACATTGTTATAAAAAGATCGTTAACTGCAGTGAACAAAAAAGTATCGGGGAACTTAAATTATGGTGGAAGTATGTAAGCCAAATGAATGAAAATCTTAAAAATGCTCATTCAGCTTTACATGTATATGATGAAAAAATATTTTCTATTGTACGAAAACTTCTTGTTCTTGTTACTTTACCAGTGACAACGACCACTCCCGAAAGGACTTTTCGACTCTTCGCCGTCTCAAAACTTATCTACGAAATACAACCGGAGAATCTCGTTTAAATGGATTAGCAATGGTAAATATTCATCGAGATATTAAAATCTGAACAGACACTGTACTTGATGAATTATCAAAAACATCAAGACGAATTAATTAATATTAAGTTATAAAGTGTTATTAGACGATAAAATATATATTTTTTAAAATTTAATTGTGCTATAATAACTTAAATATAAGAAGAATACAATAATATAAACATTTTTTATAAAAATAAATGGGTTACCATTGGGTACCCCCCCCCCCCTATAAACGAATTCTGCATACGCCACTGTAATTAGTACATATCTTATAATTTAAAAATATTTGAATTAACCCTGTTATAATATTTGAGCTACATAATATTTGTAAATAAAAACTAAACTACAAAATGATTTGACCCAACTTTGTTAGATACAACAAGTTCTCAACGAAAAAAATTCTGTATCAGCCTTGATACCATCCTTACACACTATTATAGTTTAAATTAAAACATTTTTATATTAAATTATTATTTATGCTCAATGTCAATCTCTGTTTAAATTGAGAGAAAAATTAAGAGTTGACGTTGGCTTTATTGCTTTATTGCACATAAATGTTACGACAACCCATAGATCACTTCGTTTCCCACTCCCTCTAAAGTTTAGGGTGTGGATTTTTTGAATACCTACCCAGTACATATAAAAAAAAAGTAAATTAAATAAATTATAATTTAACAATAACAAAAGTATAAATAAGAATAACTGATATTTGACATACATTTCCAACCATTTAAATCGTTAATATAGATTAATTAAATTAAAGAATACTTACACTAAAATCTATGTATGAAAAAAATTACAAGGGACTCAGTCCACCCTCGTAAATTCCCTTCCTTTTACTTGTTCGAGTACTGCACATAAAGTACGCCGGAAGACCATTAAACTTCAAATACATATCGCTATGAAATAATTAGGGTTATTTTTCAAAAATGTTATCTAGGTTTTTGCAATTATTCAGGCTAGTGTTTTTCTTAAAAATATTGAGTGCATATTATATATGTAGATAGCATTTTTTTAATTTGTGTATCTTGCTAAAATAATGATGGTAATGTCGACATATGTAAATCCTAGAGCAAAAGGACTGCGATTCATACATTTTTTTTATTCGTTAAAAATGGATAAGTCGAAAAATAACTTTTAAAAGACGGACATACTTCGCACGTGGGTGGGCTTTTGTTATAGGTGACAACTTGGGAAGGTAGTAGAGGAGAAATTGAATATATATCTGTATGCAACGATTGACCATTGCTAACGAAAAAACGATTCTGAGCGGAGCTCGGTTAATAGTATTGTTTTGTCAATAATATATATATATCATATTATGGCAAAATACCATAATATAAATGCATTATACAGAATAGACACAACTTCGTTTCATCCGAAAAGAACAAAGTCCTTCATTATCGGAGAGTCCAATTAACGTGTTCAGGGCGAACTGCAACCGTTCCTTGCAGTACTGTGCAACTAGTTTCGAGTCGGCAGCATGTCTACGTTTTTATTTTCGTAACCTTCTCCTAACTGTAGATATGCTTGTTGTACTGCGAACTGTGTGAAATTGCTATTGCAGCTCTACAAAATCGATTGTGCAAAGACATTAAAGCGATCGTCTCTTTCCGCTATGCAGCGTTATCAGTCTGATCTACACCTCCGGTTGAAGCCATCAGTCTCTTAATACCGTTGGAAAACCGTCGAACGGCAAAACGGCTCAAGTTTAGTTGTCGTGCAACATCACATTGTCACATCTCTGGTTCCAATAATGTTATCACTTGAGCGGCTTCGTTAGCAGTGATATCCATCAATTTATCTTAATAAGTTGCTTTTAGAACTAATTATTTAAAATGTATTCACGTATGTCCTTTCCAATTTTCAGGTAGTGAATAACCTGCATTTGACACTTTAAATTGTTATTTGTGTAGCCCAAGAATTTTCAAAATATCCCGTATACTTGGAATATAATTCTTGTTTATTAGATGAAACTGTTATCGGATAAGAGGTTTAATTTGGTTCAGTCGTTAATTATAAGACTTAATCTTTGAAAAATAATCACGCATATAATATAAAAACAAACTCCAAATTAATTTGACTATAATAAATTCTCTAATCTGCGTTCCCGCTGTAAAGCGCAAAATAAATATGAAATTACAATAATTTTATCTGAAAAACGCAAAATTCCATTACTAGGAACTCTAAATTGTTTTGGAAATATATCAACAGCAAACGTTATAATAATTAACTACCTAACTCTATGCATCGCAATAACAACAGCATTTTTGGCGGTGATAATATTACAAACTGTTTTACTCAATACTTGTCAAATGTTTATAATCATTCTTTGACTTCCCAAACTATCTTTGATACTTATAATACACTTTCTCTTGATTTCAACTTGAGTATACGAACTCTCAGCGATGTTTATAAGGATCCCATCTCGGTTCACTTCTCTTCAATATTTATATTAATGATATAAGTGTTGTTAATTCGAAAATGTTACTCTTTGCGGATTATCTTAAACTGTTTCGTATGAAAAGGTCTTCACAAGATGCTGAACTGCTTCAAGAAGACCTTGATTATATTAATCATTGTTGTGATACCAATGTATTAAATTTGAATGTTTCTAAATATAAAATTACCTTCTTCAAAAAACATTTTTCTTTAATTGTAAAATATTTCCTAAATAATGTTGAGCTAAATTTAGTTGATCACTTAAAAGATTTAAATGTTTTTCTTGATTCGTCTCTCTCATTTAATGAACATTATGCACACATATAAAAATAAATCCTCGTCATTATTGGACTTTATAAGTCGGGGCTGTAATAATTTTGATAGTCCAATCGCCTTTAAGTCGCTTTACTATTTCTTTGTCCAATCAATTTTGGATTACAAGTTCTTGATCTTGATTTTTACGTAATTTGCATTCAGTAGGTACTTTGTGGATAAAATTATTAGACTAAACAGAAATACATCGAAATTTAACAAGAATTTCATTATAAATCATACTTAAGGTCAAAAACAATCATCGAATGTAATAGTTTTTTTTTTTTTTTTATAAGAATTTTAAAATCAAATTTTGACAAAAATCGTAAATATTACGGTCTTTCAAAACATATATAACCGAAATTCGTTCTGAATCACTTTTCGTAAGCAATGGTTTATTTTTTTTTCTATGGACAACTTTTCTACCAGCAATTTCGCTCCGATTCACAATGATAGCACTTTTTCTGAAAGGAAATCTGACTCGGGAGGCACTTTAGAGTGATCATTATTTTTATTTCCTCAGGAGTTTTCCTGATAAATGGGAAAACTGAGAAAAAACAGGAAAATAGGTGTAATATTAAACAAATATTATTAAAGAAAATGTTTAATGCAAATTATTTTACCGTAATATGACATTGACATATATATTGTTGACAAAGCAATAATATCAACCGAACTCCGCTCAGAATCGTTTTTTCGTTAGCAACGATTTATCATTGCTTACAGATATACATTAAATTTTCCCTCTACTATCTTCCCAACTTATCACCTATAACAATGGCTGCACCCGCCCCTATTATCCTAAGACAGATTTTTTTTTTTTACCACAGAGTACAACTTATAATGAACCACATGTTAAATTTACAAGCATTTCTTTTTGGTCTAGCAATTTTATATCTGTATATACATTAATTTTCCCCTCTATTACCTTCCCAATTTCTCACCTACAACAGTGGCCCACCCACGTGCAAATCATGTCTGTCTTTTCTTATTTTTATTATAATATACTATAAATACAAATTGATTTTAACACAAAATTATATATATATATATATATATATATGCTATATAAATATATATATATATTATATAAATCACATATGCTATAAACATTTTGTTTTTAAATTATACATTATCTACTAATAACAGCTATTGAAAACTTGGTATAGTTAGATATAGTTTTTAAACGATTATAGTGTTAAAAAAAGTATACATATGTATATTATACTTACATAAACATTTACACTTGTCACAAAAACATAATGAAAAGCAAGTTTGATTTAAACGAAGAAAAAAAATTGTATAAAATTAATGAAGAAAGAGAAAAAAGGGACAAAAAAAAAATAATAAAGAATATTCCATTGTTAACCATTCTGCAGCTCTCCGAATTGTTACAATTGGTTGATACTAACCAAAAATACTAACTTTTTCATGAGAAGTACTTACATTTTTTGTACTTATTAGTCATTGAACGTGGTTTTTCTGCAGTAAGTTATTTTACCAGAGTTTTGATGTTGTGATAGACGATGTTTTTAATTATTTGGCACAGCAGACCAATAACTTCATAATCTTAGATTTGGTTTACTCGGTTTTCTAATAGCTCTTCCAAACCTTGTCCTTTTGTGTGTACCTTCACCATCTACTTTCATTGTTTCTTTGTTACTATTCTATCCAAGCATAATATCATCATTATATTCATAGAACTCATTAAACTTTTGACAAGTTATAAAATCGAATAATAAATTACCAATTGATTTTACCTGATCTTTTAGGACATATTTTCTTGTCTTGATCGGCGGCCCGGCGGGAGATTTCAAAGTAAAATTTATTGTTGACTTTTTTTTATTTCTTTTATTAGTTTTTGACAAACAATCAACAATTTGTCTCCAAGCCCATGGTATACCTCCAACGTGTAAACACATATTGTAAAATCCATCTGGAGATCCAAAAATAATATTTCCAACTAATCTGTATACCCCATTTGTAGTTACAATTAAATCATTTTCTTCCCTTCTTATTAATAACCCAGCATCATAAAATTCGTCTATTATTGTACCTCGATAGTCACTTAATAAATTTCCTAAAATAGAAAAATGAAAATAAAATATATTTTAATGGAACACCTACGTATTTTAATAACAAAAATAAATTGTATTACCAGTTATAGCTAAATGAACTGTTAATTTACCATTTGTTGACTTGATACGCTTCATGTTAACAGACCATTTAGATAAGTATTTCTCGCCATTATCCAAAACAATTGACTCTTCATTTTTAAGTTGCCTTAAATTATTGCTATTAGATCTGTTACTTCTATCTGGTTTCGCAAGAACAAATTGTAGAAGTTTTTCTATCGAACTACTGCTGTAAACTTTTTGCGTAAGTGGTAGTTGGAAATGTACAGGTATTATTAAGGCTGTATACTTAGTTGAATCCTGCATTATGATTCTTTTTAAGTATAATCTGTAAAAAATATGTATATTGTAGTCATATGCATATATATACGGGCAAAAGCCGAAATCAGAAATGCCCGTGCAAAACGCGAAATGTCCACGAATACTTGAGCAAAATGTCATATTTATTCGATAGGTACTCTGTAGTAAAATTGTTAGATTTGAACAGAAATGTTTCAAAATTTAAGAAGAGGTTCATAAAGAGTCTTACGTTGTGGTAAAAAAAAATTGAGTTTAATGTAATACTTTTTTTTATAAAGGAATTTAAATATCAAATTTTGATGAAAAATTCTGTGGAACAAATATAATTTTTCAATTTGTTTTTCCTTGTTTAGGTAAAAAAGGAAAAACAAATGCATTTTGGAGAGCATTACCTAGAGACCCAGCCATCGCTCCCTCGAAATATTTTAATCGCAAAATACCCCTCGATTTGTTGGGCAAACTTTTCTACCAGGAATCTTGCCCCGATGTATCAAGTGTAGATCATTTTCTGAAAGGAAATTTTTTCTCCATAGTAATTTAGAAAAGTCGTTTTTTGATTTTTCAAACGGTTTTCATAATATCTGAAAAAAATCAGGATAAAATGTCGGAAAAACGGAAAATGTACGAAATGTAGGTATTAGTAAAAATAATATCATGGCCTTTTTTCCTGAGTACAACTTTTCTACCAGTAATTTCGTTCCGATTCACAATTATAGCACTTTTTCTGAAAGGAAATCTTACTGGGAGGGTACTTTAGGGAGGTAATTTTCCGATTTTCCCAGAGGTTTTCCCAATAAATGGGAAAAATCGGGAAAAATATGGGCGATTCAATACAATATTAAAAAAAAAAATAAATAAAATATATAATGCCTATTTCAGTTAGTAAAAAACTATTAATTATTTAACCATATTATGACACATATATTGTTGACAAAGCATCAATATCAACTGAATAGCGCTCAGAATCGGTTTTTTGTTAGTAATGGTTTCTCGTTGCTTACGGATATACCTTAAATTACCTATAACAGTAATTGCACCTGTTTCCATTATCCTAGGACATCTATTTTTCAATGTACTTAATATACATAATATTTAATTTTAATACTTTTTTATTGTAATTTTGAATAATATTTGTCAATATAATATGTAAAATATATATTTATGGACGTTACAGATTTACCCGAATGAAGTTGATCACAACTAGGTTTGTCCGAGTAAAAGCCGTAATGTAACGTTTTGCCCATGCAAAGTATTACGGACATTTCGCGTTTTGCCGGGCATTTCTGAAATTTACCAGATTTTGGCTTTTGCCCGTAACATATTCATTACAAGAAAACTTTTGTTTCAGTAAATGAGCTCAGAATCGTTTTTTCGTTAGTAATGATTTATCGTTGCTTACAGATGTACATAAAATTTCCCTTCTACTACCATCCCAACTTCTCACCAATAACAGTGGCTATTATCCTAGAACAGCTTTTTTTTATCACCAAGTATGACTTATAATGAACTTCATGTTAAATTTTCAAGCATTTCTGTTGAATCTAACAGTTTTATCATCAAAGTACCTATACCAAATAAAAATCGGAGGCCCTTTGATGTACGATGTCATAGTATATTTTAAACACCAGCGCTACTTGTAAAAATTATGACAAAAAATTGAAATTTGAGATATAAAGCTTCTGACATCGTAAAATTGTCAAAACAATTTAGTCATTTTTGAGCTATTTATAGACATTTTCATTTTGCAAGTTTTTTACGTAATTTTTATTCGGTACGTAATCTGCGTATAAAATTGTTAGACTAAACAGAAACACTTGAAAATATGAAGTTCATAATAATTTGTATTTCGTATTTTTGTGGTCAAAAATTTAAAAAATTTAATAAAAGGTAGAATTTTTTATGAAGTATTTTTAGTATCAAGTTTTAATGAAAATCGTTTACGGCTTTTTGAAACAAGTTTAACCGAAATCCTCTCAGATTCATTTTTCGTTAGCAATGGTTAATTGTTGCGTACAAATAATATACATTAAATTCCCCTCTATATCCTACCTTCCCAACTTCTCACATACAACAGTGACCTACCCATCGTGCGAAGTATGTCCGTCTATTGTATTTTTCGAGCACTTAAACAAATTTAATCTGCACAAACCCAAAAAAGTTTCTAAAATATCATGTCGGTAGGCATTTAATAGGTACCTAGAGACCAGTGGTTTTCAACCGGTGTGCCGCAATAAATCTAATAATAGTTTCATAATTTTGCATCTACCAGTATTATTATCGATATTCGAGGAAAACTGATAAATAAAAAACGTAAACATAGGCTAAATCATTAATCGTAAATACGTATAATAGTATTTAATATTAGTATGCCCGTCGCAGCCGTTCGATCGTTTTACGTCGCGTCGCAGAATGTTGAACTGTATGCACTAATCTCATTATAGGTATTTCTTCGTGTTTTTAATAACTTATGTCTTACATGGTATATTTTAAATAATACTCGTAATTATAATTTTTATAATGGATACATTTATAATTCGTTCAACTGACAGCACTTCAGTAAGTGAACAACCAAAGAAAAAAACTAAATTAAATATCAGACGTCAATATCGTGAAGATTATTTAAACATAGGATTTCCTTGTCCGGTAATGTAGATGATTTTCGTGAATACAATTAGTTTCAACAATTAAATAAAAATAATATAAAGGTAGAATACAAAAAGAACAAAAAATAATAATAACAGTATACAAATTAAATTAAAAAGTCTGAATGATTAAAGAAACATAATAAATTCAATGTGGTGTTTTTTTGTTGGTTAAAGAAAATATTTATAATGTCGAAAGGGATATTGGGGACGTTCAAAAGAGACAATAGGTGGTCACGATGTGTTACTAGAATGGGGCAGATAAAGAGTAGGTGGTTAATACCACAAACCATAGGATCGTTGTGGAGAATGCAGAGGGGGGAATCATTCTGTGACAGTTTAAAAGATTGAGAAGAAAGACGTTTGTGGCCAAACTGGAGACGGGAGAATGAAATTACGCATTTTCTGGAAAAATTGAGGTTGTGGAACCAGGGTAGTGCCGGGATAGTTGAAGAAATATTTCTGTACCAGGTGGCGAAGTGAGGAGGGAGTGAATCCAGTGTCTTTATTTCATTGTACAATATTATATAAAAAAATATTTCTACTAACACATTTTTTCATCATTGTATTCATTTATTTCACAATAATTAACTTTAATAGAGTAAATTGTAAACAGTGTACTTATGTATGTATATATATTATATATAAAATATGCTTCAAGTATTATATGAATTGGTGTGCCGCGAAAATTTTGTAATAAATAAAGTGTGCTGCATTATTAAAAAAGTTGAAACCACTGTTATAGACTACAATAAATTATTCAAAACGAACCACAATATTTCTAGCATTTTTCATGTTTCCCCCTATTATTAAGAAAAGTACAAGGAATGCACAAACTATGCAAAATTTGTTACCAGTTACACTGATCCTTAAAAGGACGCTGCACATGCATTTGTTGATTCCGTTTTGTAAACGCATATAGGTAATTAAAATATGCTTACGCAGACTACATAGAATTAGCTTAATTTTGTTTTCAGAGTGAAAACATCTGTTATAAACTGAAAAGAAAAGAATATATTCCGGTGGGCAAGATATTATTTCCATTTTCTTTGAATATAACAACCAATTTTCTGTTTATAAATAACAACTTTTTCAACGTTTTTTTAATTCACAAAAATTTTAAAAATAATAGTTTTTTCACATAAATGCAACTAATAGCCCTCCGGAATATTATTTTCTTTTGATTTTATAATAGATGCTTTTACTTTAAAACCAAAACTAAGCGGAGTTCTAAGCGTATTCTGCGAAAGAGTGTAAGACAGAAACAACAAATGCATGTATAACATCCTCTTAATGATTAAAACAAATCTTCAACTTAAAAATTGTTTACTTGCACAAAAAAAAACGTAAACAATTACGAACTGTTACTTGCACCAATGTGTTATATCAAAAAATTTATTTGAATTTTAACTTTAACTAATACTTACATACCTTCGGTAATTGTTAAACATAAAACAGTAAAATATATAATATTTAACGCCGTAAAATAATTTCACCACAGATAATATACTCGATTCATTTTTACATAAATCCATAGATATATTTATTCATCAACTTATCAATCATTATAAATCCAAAGAGATTGTGATTAATCAGTACAGTAAATGCAGTTATTAAAATGAGTTTCAGATAATTTCATTCTACCAAATTAACCTATTAAGGGCTGGGTTATAGAGATTGAAGTAGATTTATTACCAAACTCAACCTTTTTTTCATAAAATTAAAAGATTTATGGCTTTAAAGTTTCACTCGAAGTTAGTAAAATGTGAAATTCGAACTGGCTTGTCAAAAAACAACGAAAAATGTTTAAAGAAACCCAAAATCAAATTTACTTTTCAAATTTTTGTTGATGGTTTGTATTAATAGAATTATCTTGTATAACTAGAGTAAATTCAAGACATTTTGAATGTGTAATTGTTTAAATTCAGTTCATGAGTATACCAACAGTAGTTATTTAAATTTTAGATTTAGAGTTGAGCGAGGAATATATTGGCTTTACAGTGATATTTTTTCATTATAACTTACCTATATATTACAATATCATAATACGTCTGCCTAATTCACTATTGTTTCAACTCTAAATTGACTTCTTTTCAGGAGATAAAAAAAACTGATTCATAATACCATAGTACTTCATTTTGGTCATCCATACAAATAAATTCATTTCATTGAAAATTAATTGTCTGATAAAAGTGGAAATATTCTTAAATGATATATTAATATTTCCTATTATATGTAATAATCTCAAAATCGCCATTTTGGAATTACAACGATTGGGAATTAGCCCGGCGATATATATAAGAAAAACTTATAGATTAGGCACTAATAAATTTACTCAGTTCAAAAATTAGAAATAATTTATGTCAACAGAATACAAAAAAACTTAAAGGTAATCCAAGTATAAATGCATACATACAAAAAAAAAAATCATTTATCGGTTATACCGCTAAATATATATACTAGAATAGCATAAATATTATTAGTTGTCCTTAGTTTAAAATAAATGTCCAAGACAAAATTTAGTACTCAATTCTCTTTCTATCAGGACTAGAAAATACACCACTATAACACCTCATAATAATTTCAATCAACGTAGGAAGTACATTATTTTGTTTTTTAGGAAGAAAAATAGATAGACTAGTTATTCCCAAATAAATAAAAGGCTAACTACCTATCTTTGTTCTAAAATATTATGATAAAAATATTTTATATCGAAAATTGGTTAATAAATTCATTAGAATTTTCAACAATTTTCTTATATTAAAACAATATAAAACCTTAATTTTAAATAACTGCACTAAAAATTGAAACTAACATTTTAATAAAAAATTGAATATATTTAATCAAATTTAATAAAAAAACAAATACTATACTTAAAATCTTTTTTTTTTTTTTAAATTTTTTCCTTTAAATTTCTTTTTTCTTTTATTGCCACTTTTTTCATTAATTTTTCCTCCAAGCGCTGCTGAAATATCTTCAAATCTAGTAACTTCCTTTCCTAACTTTCCAAGAGTAATTGACGATATCTGTTTAGCTCTATGTTTGTCCTTTTTAGTAACTGGTAATCTAACAAAGAATATAATATTTCAATTAAATATTAATAAAAAATAAAAATAAGAATGTGTTAAAGAATAAAAATATATAAACTTAAATTTTTAGGTACCTTGTAAAATAGTCTTCTTCGTACTTTTGTCTTTCTTTATCATAGTTGGATTGTTTATTTTTTAATCCAACTGTATTAATTTGCATTTCTACAGGCGTATCTGCATACTCTTCCCGTAATTCTTGCATAACTGAACTTTGTAGAGCTCTCTTTTTTGCCCTTTCTAATTCTTTTTGTCGTTTGACTGCTCGTGACTCATCGCCATCATATGGAACTGCTGTAACTTTAGGAGCAACATATATTCCATCTTTGGATTTTTTCTTACTGTGTGAAACAGCTTTATCAATATCAGATTCATTGTCTTCTTCACAATCATCAGCATCTGCATCTGCTAGGCCTTCAATAGTAGCACGAAACCGATCTGGATCATTAGGATCAACAGAACCAGATAATGCAGTTTTAACAAGTTTGTCAATTTGATACTTTATTTTAAATTCCAGAGGCCTAATGCGTTCTAAAACAGTACGTTGTTCAACAAGACGTTCAATAGATGGGTCATCTTTAATAGATTGGAATTGGCATTTCTTTAATATAATATGAGTCAAATCACTAAGATAACTTATTAATGTATGGCATTTTACTTCTAATAAGCTTATTCCTTTGGATGTTTTATATTCTTGATTGACGATCCTGATTATTGATTCATTTGCTTCCAAAACACTAGAGTTGATTTCGTTAAGCAACTTGGTAGTTTGTGCAATGTAATCTGGATGGTCTTCTTCCATAACTTTAGAATATATAAAACTTATTGAAACCCATAAAATTGCAATAATTTCTAATACACACGTGCATACATTGTAAAACTTAGTGTATGGACGTGTGGTGTATCTATTATCAATATCAAATGTTTGAATCATTATCACTTTATCAGTATATCGTGGTTCATGGAATTAACTAACAATGGTTAACTATCATTTTTATGACTAAAATGTTTAACAAAAATCAAATAATCAACTGATAAACATTAATTTTTTTTAAAATAACAAATAATAAAATTATTGTTGAATAATATAATAACTGAAAATTATATTAGTAATTGTGACATAAAATTAATGAGAAAAATATCAGTTATTACAATAGACTTATATATCTATACGAAACATTTAGCATGAAAATCCATTTCAGTGAGTGGAGTGTCATTTAGAGTACAGAAATCAGTGAGATAATAAACGGAGTGTTTGAATTAGACAGTGTTGTCAGATGTGGAGATTTATTGGAGTTATTTTACTTTTGGCGAGTGGCGGAAAAGTTGGTGAATTTAATTTCAAGTGTGAGATTCAATGATTTTTTTCTTCTGTCCAAATTGTATTAATTAAATAAAAATGTAATTTATTTTAAAATAATTTATTATTTTACTGTTTTTATCATAAAGCTGAATAGAAAAATTCTTCTATAAATATCATCAGTGGTTTTATGGAGTTCTAAGCATAGTATGTCCAAAAAGATGTCCTAGAATAATTTCTCTGGGTCAAGTTATGTTAAATATTATGTTTGTCTAGTCCTTGTTTTTTATAGCACCACCATCCATAATAACATAAATTAAGTATATTTAATCTATGATAATAATACATTGTAATTATATAAAATACTAAGTTTATTGAATGATTTAGTGTTAAAAAATGTATAAAAATTACTTTTAAATCAGTATATCGGTTTGATTATTAGTTTTTAAACAACTCAGATTATGTGATATTATGACCTAATAGTAATGGTATAGTTTTTTCATTATTTTATATTTAAATATATTTATTATTATAGATGGTGAGGTGATAAAAAACCAGACCATTTGTATTTCTGATTGTGTATTGAAAAAAAATATACAGGATGATTCACTAAGCATGCTCACCCCACTTTTCAGGTTAAATTATGCATGTATTCAAATTCTGATTTTTGGAATTTTTATGTGCAATTAAAGCCGATATTTTCAAATATCTAGATTTTGTACAACATTTAAGGAGTATCCTAACCAAAGCTGGTATCGCCACAAGATACTCCTTAAATTTTGTGAAAATATTGGCTTTAACTACACATAGAAATTTCAAAAAATCAGAATTCTAATATATAAAAAATTTAATCAATAAAATGGGGTGAGCACACTTAGTGAATTATTCCGTGTATATTTATTCATAATATAAAGAAATATATATATATAGAAAAATCTTAACCTTGAAATTGGTTGTATTCATTTACAACCAATTTTGATTTTTAAAAGAGGAGAAAAAATAAAATGTGACTAAACATAAATAAAATATTATTATTTTTTTACATTAATAATAAATATATTTTAATAACTTAGATATTAGTAGAAATGTTATTACAATATAATGGTTAATAAAATGTTTGGATAAAAGATAATACAATTAAGTATAGTATTATAACAATACCTAGTTCAAATATACATTTACTAAATAATTGTTTATATAATCATCACTTAACTAAAAAATGTTTTTTTTTTTACGCAATATTAATTTAGTATAATATTTTGAACACACTAATAAGTCTATAAATACTACTAATATACTAATTAATAAGGAAAAAACTTTAAAACTATTGATGAATATACTTATTCCAAAATGCACTAATAATTATGCAGTTCTATAAATAAATTTGTATATAATACAAATAATGATAGTTTTTTAAACTTTTTACAGGATTAGAAAATATTCATAATATTGTATACTTATTATGATTTAAATCATTATATATACAGGTCATATTTATACCCACATGAATATATATTATATTAAATGCAAGTTTTTATTATAGTGGACTTTGTTCCCACAAAAATTCTTTATTATATTTATCACCAGTCTCACAACTTTCAGGACAAGTGTAAACAGCTAAAATGCCAAAATTGAATGAAGAATCATTACTTGAAAATTCTGGCAATTTTAAATAGTACAAAATTTGTGGCATTATCTAAAAACATACAACATAATAATTTATATGTTAAATTAATATTAATTTAATTTGAATTTAACATACTTGAAATTCAAAACTTCTTTGTTTGCCACAAAATTGACAGGAGGGAATATCATTAAGTTCAGGTATGCGTTTGGTACAGATCCATAATGGTGCTCCTAAGCGATCGTATCTATATAAATATTTTACATTTTAGAATCTAAATGGCACGTGGAATGTATTTGTTTTATAATGTTATTTTTTTTTTTTTTCTGTGGACAACTTTTCTACTAGCAATTTTGTTCCGATTAATAATGAAAGCACTTTTTCAGAAAGGAAATCTGACTGGGATAGTACTTTAGAAAGGTCATTTTTTGATTTACTCATAAGTTCTCCCAATAAATGGGAAAAAACATAGGAAAAATGGGAAAATAGGTATAATATTAAACAAATATTATTAAAGAAAATGTTTAATGCATATGTGATTTGCCATAATATGACATGTATATTGTTGACAAAGCAACACTTATCAGCAGAATTCCGCTCAGAATTGTATTTTTTTTCCATAAGCAATGGTTTATCGTTGCTTACAGATATATATTAAATTCCTATCTATATCCTACCTTCCCAACTTCCCACACACAATAGTGACTGCACCCGTCCCCATTATCTTAGGACAGCTTTCTTTCTGAAGATAATATTAATAAGAATTATAGGATTGATATCTACCTAATAATTTGTCCAGGAACTGAAGATATTGATTTTTTAAACTTTTCAAAATATTCATCATCTTTGTCACCTCCATAGGCCATTTCTAACAAAGCTTCATCCAAGCCATCCATGTCTATAAATAAAATATACAACATAATAAAAAATAAAAATACTAAAAATTAATTTACAAGTATTTTACCTTGAAGAGATCCTTTTGGAATATGGGCTATTTCGCAATTTTCACTGTTATCACTTTCATCGTCCTCACTATTCAATGAACTTTCAACTGAACAATCATCAGACTCTTCATCAATAATATATTCAGGTAATATCACAACAAATCTAAATTATATAATTTCTAATATTAATATTTTTAAATTCCTTAATGTTAAATGTTAAAATGTAACACATTACTTGTCTTTTAATTCTCTATTTAAATCAATATTTTGATGGTGTGAGCTACAATATAAATATTCATATTCTATTATAGACTTGCATCCACATATCTAACAAAAAAAACAAAAAATAAATATCAACTATACAAACTAAATAGTCTAAATTATAGGAAAAAAAAATGCATAAAGTTATTAGTTCTTTTAGTTTAAGTGCATAATAAAATAGATAGGTACTACTTTAATTTTGTGAAATTTATATAGCGTTTAAAACCATTAAACATACATCAAACATTTCAACAATAAATATGACATTTTTTGTTTCTATATATTTGGCCACATGACTGAAAACATTACTACTTATTTACACAAATGCCACAATACTTACTTTACATAATTTTATTCCCCACATATCTGGTGTAATATCCAAATCACCAGGTTCAGCGGGATCATCTGAATAGTAATCATTTTTAATGCAAAGTTGTGATCTGAAAACTAGAAACGTTCTATTGTCTTTGCATTCGTTGCAAAAGAACACATATAATGTTCGGTGAAAACAAGCACCATGGCGATCGGGTTCGTCGATTGGAGCATACAATTGACACAAAAAAACTACAGGGACATTACACTTTGAGCATATCAATTCACTTGCTTCAGGTATATGTTTCAAATCCAACCAAGCTGGTTTGCCACCCACCTTGGATGGAAAAAACTGACTAGTAAGCCTAAATGGTTCGATGGTAGAATCTTTGTCGATCGTGCCTAACATAACCGATGACATGATTTTTGTAAATCGTCAAAGGAATCTATATCTAACTTTCAATAATAAATAATATTAATACAGTATATTAGGTAGTAATGGTAGTTATTTAGGCTTAAACTGTAAGTATACATTTAATGCACGTATTACGGTCGTCGATCGTATACAAGGTTTAAAGATAATAGTATTATCTATAAACCTTGGGTCGTATATACCATAGACCTGTTAATAGGTCTATGGTATACAGTTATTATTTTATCTGTAGTCTATGATAACAAATAACCATAGACCAATAAACACATTATCAGGTCTATTCAAATAACCATAAAATATTCATTATAATCAGGTTATAGATAGAACTATGATAATAATCAATATCATGCCATATCTATATTCACGATTGAAAGAAACTATAGGTTGCGCTCTAGTCGACCTCAATACTAATGATAATGCTTACGGAGAGATGGACGCTATAGTAGCATTAGAATAATAGTAATTTATCCAAATTAATCCAATTATTAGTAGTTTTTTTTTAAAATTTCCTCATTAAAACTTATTTTGCTTACAATTTGCAGCAATAAAAGTACATAATATTTTATTCTGTAAGAGAAATCACCGACATAATTCAATAAATCGGTGATTTTAAAAAACCATTTGTCGAAGGTTCAGAAATAGTTAAATGCAACTATATTATTGAAAGAGGAAAAAAAACGTTCTAGGATAATGGGGGCAGGTGTAGCCATTGTTATAGGTAATTTAATGTATACTATTAAGCAATGATAAATTGCTAACAAGTAATAAAAAAAGGATTCTGAGTGGAGTTTAAATGATAGTGATGCTTTGTCAACATTATACAGAGTGATTTTTTCTATCATGCATGAACCAGCAATCATCTTAGAGGATTTTAAGTAAATTTAATTCCTGTTCTTTTCTGCACTTATTTAAGGTATATGGAGTAGGGGTAAAAAAGGTGTTAAAATAAAGTTTTATACATTTTAATAATAATATTTATTTAATGTTGTACCGATTTTCCCGTTTTTGCCATGTTTTTCCTGATTTTTCGCATTTGCTGGGGAAAATAAAAATGACTTCTTTAAAGTACCTTACCAATCAAATTTTTTTTAGAAAAAATACTATCATTGTAAATCAGAATAAAATTGCTGGTAAAAATGATGTACTCAGAAAAAAAAAATCGTATATTTTCTGTTTTTTTTTCGGTTTTTCACATTTAATGAGAAAACTCTTGAGATAATCGAAAAATGACCTCCCTAAAGTACTTCCCAACACCATTTTTTTTTCATAAAAGGTGCTATACTTAAAAATCAGAGTAATATTTTTGGTAGAAAATTTGCTAACAGATAAATAAATAATAATATTAAAAAATAAACATCTTTGTAAAACATAAGCTTCTTCGCTCCACTTAGAATCTAAAATGATATATTTTTTGAGATTTTAAGACTATATTTGTAAACCAGTGACCTTCAAGGTAATCCTTACAAAGTATGTAGGTACATTTTAAACGTCATACCTATTGTTTATTATATATTAAATAAGTTCAATACAAGTTTGTATTAAACTTATGCCTTTTTAGTATCCATTTAGCTAGAATTATAATTATGGTCATCCATAATATTAACAAATAAAGCTACCTATATGATTATTATGATTATTACAAAGAAATTCAAAACTCACAATTCAGTAGTCAATATCTCAATATAATATTTTAATGTAATCAAACATACATGTTCCCCGTTAGAGCAGTTTTAATAAATTCCACCAGGTAGCGACTCTGTCGCTTTCAATTGTTAATCAAGCCGTTCCCTAAATCGTTCTGTACGAGCTGATGCGCAAAAGGTTTTTATTTTACAGTACCATTACTTTTGGGGAAACAAATATTGTAAAATACTTGGTACGATGTGTTGTCTTTACTTTAATATCTAACCAGTGTACAAGATATTTCATAACATATTTTTTTTCCTAAAAGTATGTACCCTGTAAAATAGATGTATACATGGGTCATGGCTTAGATCATATTATACTATGGATGTAGCTATGCATACACCGAATTGTGTCCATCATCCCCACTACTTTTAAAATTGCATGGTATACGACACAAATGTGCATGCTTAAAAATTAACTGGCGGCTTATAACGAATAATACTGTAATAATGATACGTGATAACGTTGAAAATAAAACCAAATTGTTTGATGATTTCTAGGCATGTGCAGTTGTGTCGTATACCATGCAATTTGGAAGGTAGTGGGGATTATGGACACAATTCGGGGCTAGAGCAATTATACGCATAGCTACAACCATAGTATATGATATAAGGGTCATGGATAGGCCATTCCTACACCTAATACACACGCTATCAGGCACGTACACAAAAAAAAAATGAGGGGGGGAATTCATATAAAATGTACAATAATCAATATTTATAAACAAATATTAAATTTATATAAATAAATTGAAAAACTATTCATTTTCGGGAGGGGGGGGTTAACCCTAACCACTCCCTCCCTGTGTACGTGCTGCACGTTATAAATGTATGTTTCAGTAGAGAATATTAGTAGTCGTTTTACATGAACAAAATTAAGTTGTCGCGATCATTTACAATATACTAAAAAATAATTAATATCATAATAATATTAATTATTTGTTAATTTGTCTATGGTCGCCATTTGTAAAAGGTTGAAAACCACTGACCTGTTATACTACAGAATAGAGGAAATATACGAAACATAGTGTCGATAACTTCATATACCTATGATCGATTAATGGTGTCGAATCGCACAGTTTTGCGTGTAAAATATTGTAATGAATAATGAGTATAGTACATGTTTACGAAAATAATCTGCTCTTTCAAGTTTCAACTGTGTCTCCGTTTACCCACTAATCCTTCCATTCGTTAATCACTGTAATTTGTATTATAAATTATATTAATTTAGAAGATATAAATATCAAAATATTTTTATACAATTATGATATACATGTGTATTTATATTTTTACAAAACACAGAATATTTATATATATTTTTTTATAAACAAGTCAAATTTTTTGTACTTTTTAATAGAGAAAATTCAAGTCATATAACAATTAGTATTGTCTACTCTGTTATTCACTGTTTGTTTTGATAAATACCAAAATAAATGGTCAATATAAATTTGAAAAAAAAATATAGAAATATTGTTAATAAAATACATGATTATATAACAAAAAATCTATAATACACAATACAATACTTTGATAAACATATAGTTAGTATAATGAAGTTCAAAGATGTATTATTTCGTGAATATTTCAGTTATGTTTAAATGTGGTTTTTAAAATATAGAATCACTTTTTTTTTATACATAATTGGACAACTTAGTTAATTTTTATTTGAGAGAAGAATATTGAATACATACCTAATATTAAATTACTATTTTTAACATTTTAAATTGTATTATAATTAGAAAAAATAACTATAGGAATGAAGTTATTTTTTTACGATATTTCTACATTAATGTAACTTTCACACTTTTTAATTTAAAAATAAATTAAATTGAGATCATATGATTTTGTAAGGTTATATTTCCTGTGCCAAATTTTAAAATAAACTAATTTATTTAACTACTTTTTATCTATACTAATTATGTTAACTGGCTTGAATTTCTTTACATCTTCTTTTAGCTTCTTCCAAACTAGATCCAATGAAGCTAAAGCATCTTCTTTACTGTCGTGGCCTTCCTCACTTTGAATAATTCTTTGCAAGTGTTGTTCAGATAACAATTTCAAACCCCATTTATATGGAGGACCATATTTATGTGGATAAATAATACTTGTATCTACAACATTATAATGAACAATTTTTAATGCTTTCAAATCGCTCTCTAAACTATGACCAATCAAAATTGTATTTTTATCAAATATCTTCAATAAATCTAGTTGAACATCTAATAATCTCTTAGAACAATTTTTCAACGACTCTTCAGTTATTCCACTGTATTTAGATTTGTAATCAAGAATCATATTTTTAGGTTTTACTTTGGACTCATATACTTCTTCTCCTTCATGATTAATGACTGTAACTCGGACAATTTCTATACCAATAGTAGTATTTACCATTTCACAATCTAAAGCATAAAAATTTGGGCTTTCGATATTTTTATTAGATATACTTTTTGTCACAACAAAATTCTCCAAGGCATCATCATCTAACTTATCAGGCACATGATAAATACTTGTTTCACAACCAGATTCGTGTTGTCTCCTATAACAACATAACCAAAATTTTTCATTTTTTGGTCTTTCAAATTTAAGCTTGCCAGAATGATAAATACATTTGGTTAATGTTATAGTAGGCATACCTTGTTTATTAACTTCAAACTCATTTTTACAATTCATGCATATAAATTTATCACCATTTCGTTTTTTAGAAAGTGGTTGGTAGTAATAAGCATTTTTAGAAATATAAGCTAAATTATTGTCACCCATAAGTGGATAACCATTTTTTTCTAAATCATCTTTGGATAAAATATATTTTTTCAGTAATTCATACAAACATACACCATGCATATGAGAAGGGTAATTGGGATTCATTTTAACTTGTAATTCAGGTGATTTGTTAGCTTTCATTAAAGACTGCACAATAAGATTTCTATAAATTCCAGTTGATTTTGCTTTATTGTGAACTTCTTCTTCAGTAGTATAGGCCTTATCAATTGCTTCTTCAGACGAATAATGATTAATGAATGCTGTATAAAGTTTCTCTAAACAGCTTTGTCGTAAAGGATTTGGCATATTGTTACTACTTTTAAATGATTTTATTTTCAAATTCAGCTTCACATTTGTAGTTATTTCTTTGTTGTTTATCTTTGAACTCTGTGAAGTTTGAAACTCTGTAGTCTCAGACTCAATTTTTGGCTGATGAGCAATACGAGTTTTCGACTTTAACGTAGGTAAAGTAGGATCAGTGTTTAAATTAGTTTTAGGTCGTTTTGCCAGACCTACTGAGATAACACTGTTTTGAATGGTTTGTACTCGTGTTGCTACCATTTCTTGAAGTGATTTTGTACATTTAGGTTTAATATTTCTATTTGCATTAATTTTTGAAAATATGCTTGATGAAGAAATATGTGAAATTCGTTTTTTAATTTTAGCTTCAACAACATTTAAACATGTCTTTTGTTCGTTTGGCTCACTATCAGAATCTTCTGAACTAAAAAAATCCATTAACTCTGACTCCATTGATTCAAGATTATCTTCATCACTTGAACATTTTAAATCAGTTTTTACAATAGTTGATTTAACCAATTTGTTTTTTACTTTTTCCATAACTGCTTCTTTTAATGATTTTTGACCAGATGCTATGGTAGCAGTATTAAGTTTGATATTATGCTTATTATTTTGATCTCTTGAATGTCTTTTTTCCTCTTTAAATTGTTCTTTTTTAATTTTGAGGGGCTCTGGAGATTTATCTTTTCTAGGTTTTTTAGACCTACTTGAAGATTTTGAGGAACCCTCTGAAGATTTTGAAGAATGCCTTGAAGACTCATGTTTACGTTTTGATGATGTTCTGTGTTCACGGCGATGTTTATCAGAATGTTCATCTTTATCTTTATTTGTTTTTAAATCTGTTGGTTTCTTAATAACAGTAGGTACATATTCTGCAATATTTGAATTTTGTTTACTAATATTTAAAGTCTTTGAAAGTTCTTCTGTGTACTTAATTGATTCAGTATGTTTTATATCGTTAAATACAATATTACTTTCAAAATTTACATTTGTATCATTTAGACGCGACGGTATGTATTCAAGTATAGGAGTTTTTTTTTCATCCATTTCAGTAGATGATCCATAAATACAAGATTTTTTGACTAATTCTGAATTTTTAGATTTAATATACTGAGGTACATACTCAATAATTTTAGACTTAACTTTTTGTTTTAATTTCGGTTCTTCTGCTAATTTTGGCTCATGGGATGTAGAGACAGTGTTATTTTCTGATTCGATAGTGTTTTGACAATCTAAATCTGACAAAAAATCTTGTTTACTATGTTTAAAATGACAATATGGTCGATCACAGAATGATTCAGTATAATAGGGACATTCTAGAGCTTTAAAATAACCTTTAGAAGGCAACATCTTGTTAAGGTGAATAATATTAAAATGTGGAAAAGATTAAATCATTAAAAAGAAAACACAATATTTTTTTTTCTTTTTTAGTTCACTTTTCACACAGTAAATAGTATTAACAACTAATACAATACAAAATTATAAAACGTTTTCGTCATTGCCTATTGCACTATTGCATCTTGAAACACCGTACAATACAAAATTAAAGTATTTCAGTTTTAATTATTTAAAATACTTTATATTACTCCGATTTGATCACATTCATTATCAACAACTATCAAGTATTAAAACTGTGTTCACTATATTTAATTTGACGATAAATGATAATAATCATCTGTTTTCTTTGTACGATTATCAGAATTATTATCTGTGATTGTTTGCTCTCCGAGCTCGAACCATTTTTTTGATAACGAAATTCCAAAATATCTTAGTATTTAGTAGTCATAACAGCACTGTCACATTTTAAAATTTTAATTCAAGTATTATATTTTATTTTAAAAGTTAAGTGTTTTTAAACATTATGCCTATGGATTGCATGGATAATATAAACTGGGGAAATTGTTTGTGGTTTGAAGGCCGAAGTGAAAAAAGAAATGTTTTTGCAGGGATGATCTCAGGCCTTTTGGTATGTTAAAATTATTTATTATTTCTTAAAAAAAAAAAATTATAGATAAATGTACTGTTTAATTATTTACAGTTTGCAATAGGATGGTGGTTAATAATTGATGTTATGGCTGTAAACCCTGGTCAAGTACCTGGTACTTATCACATATGTGGATTGGTGGGCACTCTTTCATTCTTTATGTAAGTGTAGATTTTCTGAATAAATTATCTTTATTATAAAATAAAGATGATTTACTTTTCAAGTTTACCTATAGGTAAATAACTTCAACAATTTTGTGTTTTAAAAGTATAATAAACAAAAGAAAGTGATGTACTTCCCACTATAGGTATGAAACTGTTGTAAGTGGGGAGGGTGTATTGGGTAATTTAATTTGAATCCATCTCAAATTTGTATAAACCGATAAGATGTTATCCATATAAATTGAATAATATTACCTACTTAAAATGCCAGGAATTTTATGATTTTCTTAAAAATTTGAACTTTAAATATTGAAAAAAAATTATACTTAACTTGTTTTGCTACTAAGTATAATATGTAAAATTGTTGACCAGTCCAAACAAATTTGATTGATATAAATTGAAAAATAGTATGCAAAATATTCTGATTTTAAAATTTTCACAAAAATTTCATATTTAAATACTTTAAACAATATTTTATTTTAGAAATTATGTACAGGTGAAAAACCCTTGAACAAAAGAAAACTGACAATCATAAATGGCACAAGTAGGTACCTAATTAAAAATAAAATGTATGAAATAATAATCAAATAAATATAAATAAATAGAACAAAGATAAAATTACAGGATACAATTAGTTAACATGGTATATACATAACACTTAAAAACTTCTTGAGATAAAAAAAAAAATCAACACAAGATGGTAATTTATTTGCTAACATTAGAACTCGAGGAAAATATGATGCTGAGTTATAATTATTGGTAAAAAATGGAACATAAAACAATTTATTAACCCTGAAACAGATATAACTAGTATGAAAGCCAGCCATTGAAAGTAATGCCGGGCAATCTTCATTAACATTAAGCCAAGTCAAATAAAAACATTAAATTAATAACTTTTCTTCTGAGACCACAATATGTAATCTCTAGCTGAAAAGAGTGAAAATGATAAAAATTCCTAGATAGACTAATATTCAATTTATAACAGATGGATATTTGTATTGAATATTTTCAATACGATTAATAAAAGCTTAGTTAGGAAACCAAACCAAAGAACCAAACTTAAGCTTTGATTTAACAAGAGAGAAATTTAACATTTTTAATATTATATACCTAATTTTTTTCAAAATTTTTCCTAACATTTTAATAAAAACTTTTTAGATTTTCAACTAACAATTTTGTTCAAAGCATTTTTTTTCACTTCAGACTTACACATCTCCTTTTTTTAGCAACATTTTCAGTCTACTTTCTCTTATACTGTTAAAGAATATCTTAAAATATTTTAAAAATTAAAATTTATATTTACTTTCATAGCTAACAAATTTCTAATTGCCTTTGATTCTCTGCCCTTGTGGTTTTCAACCTGTCGGTTGTGGCTCCCAGGGGTATTGTGGTTTAATATTAACATTCTATTTTGGAGGAATTTAAGGTAAGATTTATCCATTCTTATAATTTAAAAATGCTTTCGAAAGAAAAAGTTGATACTTCTGACAAGTAAAATGTATACTGTTCAAGATGAGTAGTTTAAAAGGTGTATATATAGAATAATTAAGTTTATACAGGGTGATTCACTAAGCGTGCTAATCCCATATTTTTGGTTAAATTTTGCATGTATTCAAATTCTGATTTTTGAAACTTTTAACTGTAGTTAAAGCCAATAATTTTGAATACTTTGATATTTCATAACATTTTATGAGCATCCTGGAGCAATACATACTTTGTTTTTTCAAATGAGAACCCATATTAAAATTTCCTTAAATAGATGTAGTACTTTAAATACATTAATTTGATATCAACATTTTAGATTTCCATTTATTTATATATTTATAATATATCACAGATTCCCATATTTTTTTTGATTGCCCTTCTCTTATCCTTCAATGTAATTCTCTCTCTGCTTTACTAAATGTCTACAGTGTCTTAATGCTCAATCAATTTCCACACAATAAACCTTCACCAATTGAATGGATTTTTTTGATTTAATGCATTATAATTTGTTTTGGTTTTACGAAATATTGTAACCATTGTAATAGTGATATAAGAACAACCTATTAACATTGTATCAAATTTGTAAGCATTTTTGTAAAACTAAAAAATGTGTATATTCACATAAAACCAAATCAAAACTTAAAAATTGCAAATTGTTATAAACAGATTTATTGATGTTATTGAGAGAATGTTTTGGTAAATTTTACCATATATATAAAAAGGCTAATATAAATATTCTGTGAAAATTTCTGGTCTAATTATTTTTTGCTTATGTATTACAAAAATATCAAACTTATTTTTCATAATAATATTCTTAGTTTTTTGAAAAATTACCTAAACCAATGTTCCCACTAGACAAATCTACCCTAGGATAATAGGGACAGGTAGAGCCACTGTTATAGGTAATTTAATGTAAATCTGTAAGCAATGATTAACTATTACTAACGAAAAAACAATTCAGAGCGAAGTTCGATTGATAGTGTTGCTTTGTCAACAATATATATATATATGTCATATTATTATAAAATAATTAAATTTGCATTATATATTTTCTTTAATATTGTACCTTTTTTTCTGGTTTTCACATTAATTAAACTCCCGAGAAAATCAAAAAATTATCTCCTTAAAGTATCTAGGGAGGTAAGATTTCCTTTTAGAATAAGTGATATTATTATAAATCTGAGAGAAATTGCAGATGGAAAATTGATTTACAGGATAAAAAAGTTGTATTACTATTACTATACATTTGTACATTTTCCCCGTTTTTCTATTAATAGGAAAAATCAAAAAATAACCTCCTGAAAGTACCTCTTTAGTTAGATTTCCATTTAAAATAAGTACTATTTTAAATCTGAGCAAGATGTTTGGTAGAAAAGTTGTTTATTCAACATTATTGTAAAACTAATACATTCCTTGTTCCACTCAGAATCTAAAATTGTATACTAAGGATGCTATCACCTTATTATACAATTTTCAACCTATAAAGTTAATAATCAGAACAATATTTCTGATAAAAAATTTACAATTTATAAAATTTACCTAAGACTGAAAAAAAAATTAAAACTTATTAAAAATAATTTATAATTAATACATAGTGAAAAAGCCTTAACCGGTTTATAAATATTTTTTAATGCCTGGATTTTTAACATACTAGTATAGCCTAGCGCAATTTAAAAATATGGTTCAATGCTTAATTAGCCCTAGCCCGATTTTTGGCTGGTGTATAAAAACTAGCTTGGAATCAAATTATTGATCCAAATTTGATCAGTCCCAGATTTTTGGACGATCCCGTCCATAATCTATTTTAAATTTAAAAAGCCTAATATTTACCCACATTATAGTATAAGTAGAATACTATAGTATAGTACAGGGATTGACAACTGGTGGCCCACGTACCAGGCCCGTGATGTATTTTAAAATAAATTAATAAATAATCAAATATAAAAAATAAATGTCATTTGTAAATTTTGAATTTTATTAACCTTTTTTTTGCTTTCTATGTTCTCTGGCCCAATAGATTTTAAAGTTATAAAAATTGGCTCTGTTGTAACATTGAGTTGCCCATTTCTGGTATAGTATAATGTATGCATAAAATAAATATAATTAGAAAATTAAAAAAATACCTTTAAGTACTTATTTAATTTTAAGCACTATTAATTAATTTATTAAATTAATGGTACTGTAAATAAAAACCCCATTTCTTGGACATCTCACTGTTCTTTTAAGTAATTAATTTTACATGGAACAGTTTATTTTGTTATTATAATTTTATGTACCTATTTTTAGGATTAATTCAGTGTCCAATTCTCAAATTAGAGGAGAAGCATACTCGGGAGGATGGTTTGGACCCAGAGGAGCACGTAGCTGGTTATTTATGGGTTTTGTACTAGGCTTTGCTGCTGTAATTGCTGCTTCTTGGATAACCATTGATAATTTTGTGGCAGTAAAATGTAATGAAATTAAGTTTAACTAAAATTAAACATTTTAATTTTGCAAAGACATGTTTTTATTTTTAGTTCCAGCTCAATCGAATATGACAGTTGGATTTGAACTGTTATTTCAAAATGCTTTTATATTTGCTGCTTCATTGATATATAAAGTTGGTCGTGTGGAAGATCAATGGTAAAACAAATATAGGTTTATTTAAGTATAAATAATATGCACTACACCTTATTTAATTATGTGTTAAATTTTTACAGTGACTAAAATTAATGTTATTAACATTTAGAATTATATTGTAAATATATATATTTTTAAATATATTACCTAGGTATTATATTTTATACAATTACTAATAGGGTATGATAATTAGGTTTTGGAGAGAATGTAAGTTGAAGAACTGGATTTAATTATTAGATTATGCTCTATTTTGTTCTATATTTGAGTACGCGTTAATTATTTATCCTATTCAACTGATTCTTCTAAAATGCAAAAACTCCATAGTTTGGTATATACTCAACATTCTGTCTCCAGCATCTAATTATCTTAATATTTAATTTGTCATAAGTGTACTTTAATTTAAACAAATTAAACAAAATATATTTCTTATTTACTTTCATTAATTATTTTGTATATGAGTTTATGATACTGACCTCTACTTCAGTCCTATAATAGTACATATTCTTCTTTTTGTAATATAGTTATATACAAATTGTAAAAGGGTTTAACATTATTAATATAAATATATAAATAAAATAAGTGCATTAATATACTTAAATACTGGTTTAAAATATAATATAAAACAATATATATTAAACTCACATTCTGTAAAAAAAAATTTCAGGGTGGGAAGATATTTTTAAACAATGCAACCCACGGTGTTTGAATAGATACCTAGTATTTAAGAATATAACATTTTAGAGCGGCTAGTTTCATTCGTAGAAACCATCCAGTAATAGTTGAGAAAAGAGACAAGGGAGAAGAAGATATAATAATTTTCAAAGAATAATAAAAATTTTAACTTTTAAAATAATATCTTAATGAAATTTATTAAAACATTTTTGTTTAAACAAGATAGTAACATTAGAACAATATATTTATAACAATAATTCAAGATCAAGCATTGGAACAAATGATTATCTTAATTTGAGATTTTCATAGAAAATGTTTTCAATTAGATAAGTTCAGATAAATGTTCATCTTTCCATTCATTTTTTGGCCTATTACTTCTTGGCATATAAGTTGAATTGTTGCTTTTTGATACAATATGTATATTGTTAAATGAGGATTAATTTTTAAACTTATTGAACAATTTTTTTCTTATCCACGGAGGACTCATGTAATTGTTTAGATTTTCCATCACTTAAATTATTTTTTGAAATGTTTTCAGTTTTTTTATTTTTATTTGTTGGGTATTTTTTTTTTAAACTATTAGTTTTAATCTTACTTTCATTATCATTTTTTGATATAGATTGTTGTTGGTGATTACTATTATTTGTATCAAAATTATTTTTACTAGCATAAACATGTGGTTTTTTATTAGGATAACTTCTATATGAGTTTCTATTATAATTTTGACTTTGAGAATTAGTTTTATCATCATTTAAATGTTGATTCTTATTATTGTTTTTATTTAACAGTTTTTTGAATTGATTACATGTGTTGTAAACAATTACTTTTTCTTCTGTATTCCATTTGGGAAGCTTGGATATAAGTTCAACTTTGGCAGCTAAATCATATAAAAATTGCTTCACTCTGAATAATCCATTTAATTTAAATAAAGGATAAGCGAACTGAAATTAAAAAAGAAAAATATTAAATCATAAAATACTGTACCTAAATAAAAAATGTATTTTAGTTATTTAGAAATACAGTATTGAATTTAGTTAATAATTTTTCTTAACAATACTTAATTTGACATAATTACATTTTTCACGTATTTTATAACTTCGTAAGTATGGTACAAAACTGGTTCACCTTTTACCAGATTATTAATACATTCATCTTTTAAAACAAATTCTTAACTATTAAATAAAAGAAATTTATTTGCATTTGATTGAAACTGTAGTGTACAAAAATTATTTTCACTTTTTGTTATAATCCTTCTATAGATAACCTTTATTATATTATTTGTTATTGAGATTATTTACAATAAAAAATAGGCAATTTAGGTATTATCTATATAATTTACTCAAATTTAGTATTTTCATTATATAGACGTTTTACTATTACTGTGATTTAACTTTTTTACAACATTAATTAATATATAAATTAATACATCTTTTCATAAATTACAATTGTTAATAATGAACTTGGTAAGTTTTTATGAAATATTATTTATTAATTAAAGAATATGTATAATTTGATTTTTTTTAAGTTTAATTTCTATGATTTACATACGTAATTTTTTCATTATTATATATTTTATTAATATATTGATTTTACTGGTTTTTTTTTCTGTCTGTGAACAATTTTTCTACCAGATAATTTGCTTAGAAGTATAGAGTGTTGCACCTTTTCTGAAGCCTAATTTTCTCTAGTTGGTGCATTTGGTAGTAATTTTTCGATTTTCCAAGGAGGTTTTTCGAAATAATTGTGAAAAATCTTAAAGAAAAATAGAGGTGAAATGGGAAATATTTATGGCATGTTTTCATGGTTTTTATTATGTTAACATAATGCTTTCTACCAGAAATATTGCTTCAATCCAAAAATGGCAAAATCTCGATTTTGTTCCTTATAATATTACATCACTTACAGATAAAGTCGTTTTTGAATATATCCAAAGGGACTTTTCTAATAATTGGGAAAAACTAAAAAAAAAAAAAAACAATTTTCCAAATTACAAAATAATGTTTTCATTATTTTAAATTTGTACGGCTCATGTTTTTTACCATTATGATTGCTCCAATTAAAAAAACATCAAGAGATATTTTTTGTTGAATTTGTAATCTAGTTGGTGAACAAGAAAGTAGTTATTTTAATAATTGAGCAAAACCGAAAAAAATGCAGAAAGTACAGGCAAAATATTTTTTTTTTAATTTCATCAATTTTGTTTTTCTTAATGAAACTTCCATTATGAAAAAGAAATTTCTATTGGAAATTCTTTTTCAGAAATGAATTAATATGTCATTTGAATAGATAAGTAAATAGTACACACTAAATATATTATTACTATGTTTATCTGTATACACAAAAGGATAAACTAACTGAATGATCTATCAATGCACAGCTCAAACCACTGGATAGATCGGGCCAAAATTTGGCATACAGATAGTTATTATGACGTAAGTATCTTCTAAGAAAATATTTTTCAAAAATTTAACCCCTAAAGGGGTAAATTTGGGGATAAAAGTTTGTAAGAAAGTAGTCTATTTTTAAAGTAGAATTCATACCAACGGTATTTGACGTTTTGGCTAGAAATTAATTGGAAGTTAAGAAACACGAGTATCGAGATTTTTGAAATTTTCACCCTCAAAATGTTAAAATAGGAGATAAGTCTTCCACAATTTTTACAAAAATGTATAAGTTTTAGGGGTTTTAACTTACAATGACTATTCTTGTACCTTAGATAAAACTGAAAAAGGATCACCTCTATCATAATTCTATCCCAAAAACTAATTAATTAACTATTATTAAACTCAACTAACAAGAACCGACTCTATATGAAGTATACGTGTAAATAATATTGGAACTGATAAACCCACTCCATCCTTAATTTGTAAAATGTTAAAAGGTGTGTCAACTCTATGCCTATTATGACAAATCAGATTGGACAATTTTGGATAAAAATATTACAGTGAAACCTTGGAGGAACAAGGTAATTAAAAAAATATTTCAACCGACTGTAATTAAGAGATAATGTCAGATCTTCCAATAAATTAAAATGCGTGCTTAAAATAAATAAAAGGGAGAGAAATTCTGTACATATTATTTTGAAATAAAAAACAAGTTAACCAGATGCCCCAAGTCACTCATTTCTATGTTATTTGAATTTTAAATTAATGAAGTTAATTGGAAAATATATTGGTTAAGTTCTGATAATAAATCCAACATGTGTAAGTGGATGTTTATCTACACTTGAATAATAATTTAAATGCTTAAAAATTGTTGAAATTAAAAATAATAATAATTTAAAACTTAATTAAATAATATATATTTTTATCATAGAAAAATTAAAAATGTCGTTTTATTACTTTTTGTTTGTTCAAACTTCAAAATTTTCTGATTAAAAACAATGATAAAAAATGTATAAGTTGATAATTATTAATTAGTTAGTTTCGGTTGAAATATTTTTCCACTTAAATATTTTCTTATAATTTGATGTTCAGCTTAAATACAGTCGATTGAAATATTTTCGGTTGTTTTATAGTCCTTCCTATTCGATGTGTAAACATTGTTGTTTTTCTCTCAATACATCAAAGTTTTCGATATTTTCAAAGTCGATGTTCAATACATCGAATGTTCAAACAATTAAGAACAGGATGAAGATACAATGAATTTCATCTGATATACCAACTTTTACAAACCTAATCTGAAAATTTCAAATACCTACAAACAGATTTAAACATAAAATGGCATTTCAAAAACCAAATCTGTTGAAAACTCCACAAGGTGTCTGCTATTACAATAACAGTGCATTGTAATATGTTTATCTATTGTTTTGAACAATTCTACCCAACTACTACTAATTGTAAGTAATTAGTAGCTCTAACTACTACTAATAATAAGATAAAGGGGCCTACTGTAAGCCTGGTTTTTGAATCAAAAAAATATCTTACAGACTACATTGAACTTCGTTTTTCAATAATTTTATATTAAACTTTATAATAAAAATTTTCTTTAAAAATAAGCAATTTAAAATTTTTTTATTAAGTTTTAATACCATTATTTAATGCTGTTTAGAATATTGTTGTTTATACATTTTAATAATAGTAAGGAAATATTATATTGAAAATAAGGTTTCTCTATTTCTGTCTGTAAAAATGACTGTGTATCTCTTCTACTTAAATGGGTATCAGGCAGTAAATTAGTGAACATTTTTATCTCTAAAATAGTTATTGAAATATTAAAAATAATTTTAAACTTTTAGAAAATTAGAATAAATTATTGAAGGTAAACCATTATATAATGATACTCAGCATAAGGTGTCATAAAATAGCACCCAGGTATATTTATATAAAATAAGGCTTAAAGCGCTTGAAATCCAAAAAATACATAATTTATTTATTTGATGAAATCGCTTCATTACTTTAAGCTCTACGAGGGATATACTGAACACAAAGATAATTTTCCATAGTCAATAATAAAATAAATTGTTAAGTAATTAAAATAATGGATAAGAAAATAATAATATTATTTATTTGTGTCATTATACAACCAAAATACATGGTGTACAGAGTATATTTGAGCAAAACTGATTTACAGTTAAGCAGATAAAATTGGTTTTTCTACAACATACCCTACTGACTATAGTACCTATATAACAGTAGCTAAAATAAATGTCAAATTTTTAATTTTTGTAACTCTTATCGCCATCTAACAAGAATTTTATCCTGTTATTATTACGTAGTGTATTTCCTATTGCAGTGGACTATCTATTGTATATATAATCAATGGTTATACCTAGTAGTAAAAAAAAAAAAATGAATATAATGTAGTAGTGTTTTTTAAAAGCATTAAGTTCAAATTGTGTAAAAATCAAGTTATTTCAAATCACATCACTGAAATTCTCCCAGAAACATTCTTTGTTGCATACCCATAATTATATTTACAATGTCACCTAGTGTAAATTCCTTAAAATATACTCTGAATTTGATAATAGTGTAAGGAGGATAGTATTTTAAATGCAAACCTAAACCTTGAAGACTAAGTCTTTGGCCGCCACTTTTCGCTTGATCATCTTATAAATCAACTTACAAAAACTGTATAAATAATAAACTTAAAAAAGCAGCTATTACTTTTTTTTAAATATTATAAATAATTTTAAAAAAACTAAGATTTTTTTTCTTGTTTAAGTACTTACAATTAAATGTCGTGTTTTGAATGTATCATCAATATTTTGATCCATGTATAACTTTAAATAGTGCATAGTTTCCTTCGGGTTATTTTCATAATAATAGTAATATATCAATATTTGTGATAAAATAATAAGCCTTCTTTTTGGGCTATTAAAAACATCGTAAATCATATTTAATGACTGTACCAAAGGATATTCTTCAACAGGTTTAATAAGACACTCGACTTTTATTAATTGTAGTGAACAATCAAAATTACCAGCAGCCATTCCACGAGATAGATGCAATTTTGCTTTTTCATAGTTCTAAAATTACAATAATATATTTTTATTTTTCAAAAATAATAAACTATTATTAATTAATAGTTATTATACCTTTTCGTGTTTTAAATAATATTTGCCCAAAACTTGATCCACACGACTACATTTAACATTAGTTAATTTTTGAATAACTCCATCAATTGTTTTTTTAAATTGAAATTCTTTTGGAAAATCATTGTATACCATTAAACACGAATTAAGTAGTTTTACATTATCATTAGCTAACTCGACTGCTTTCCTGTTATGAATAAATATTCTCAAACAATAGCAATTAGCAAAAGCACATTTATATATTAATGAACAAACCGCAGAAAAATCAGAATTTTGAAGAAATTATAAAGATAAAAAGCAATATTTAGTTCAATATTATATTTCAATGGTTAAACAATTTTAAGCTAAATATAGATCATTAATCATATTTTAATCCAGAGATATTTCATTCGTACATAAAATCAATTGAGGTTATAGCCGATTCACACTTATATGACAACACAACACGACAAAACATACTGGCAAATAATTTTGTGAACATTTGTAGAAAAATGTTAAAATACAAAAATCAGACTGAGTAAAACAAAAATTGTAACCAAACTAATATCAATTTAAAATAGTGTAGCTAAGTGCACGTCAATCATTGCAGTTCGTATGTGAACTCGACGACATTTTTGTCTATTATGTCATATTGTGCTGTACCGTTCAAGAGTGAACCGGGCTTTATACTTAACTATATCTTCTATCTAAAAATATTTTCTTATAAGTCAGGGTCTCAGAATAAGATAACGTAGGGGGAGGGGGTTATTTTGTAAATGCATCTAAAGCGCAAATTTATGATGAACTCAATGATTAAATAAACTAAGAGTATATTCAAAAACGTAAACAGAGGGGGACGATCACTCCTATACCCCCTATAACCCCCTGGATCTGTCACTTAAAGTAAATAGAAATATTAATTTAACACTAAAAATAAAAGCAGTTGATATCATCAATCTTCATAATCAAAATAATAATTAGTGTAAGTTTAGTAATTTAAGTAACAATTCTCAGTCCTAGCATAGACCCAGCATAGGACTTATACAAATTATTATTTAAAGAGCATGGTGCTGATTATTAACTAAGGGACAAAATTTAGGCTATTCCTAATCACATCGTCAACTGTTAACCTTGTGTTTGTTGTAAATGAATATTAGTGTGAGTGTGGTTTCATGAACCTACCATCACCATAGCAGATCTGGTTTTGTTGTGCTCGACATCATTATCAGTTATTTTTGGTTTATTATCCAAATTAGATAAAATTCTGTTGATATAACAGTATGCATATTGTATAAAAATATTATAATAAAATATATAGGTATTATTGTTATCGAGTATGGACGCTTGACAGAATTTTGTTTGCTAATATTGTTCAGTCTCGTTTTGACCTTTCCTCAGTACTCGAATTCATAAAATATAAGAAGGACCATACAACGTAAAAAAAAAAAATTGCGCCCCTTGTAATTATTGAACTAAATATAACTCATGGAGGGGCTTAGCCCTCCACACCTCCCACACCAATTTTCAAACATAATTCAATAATTCATAATTTCCAAAAACAAACACTATCTAATGTAGGCTAACTTTTGCTTACACAGTAGTATAGTAGCTACTATAGTAGATATTATTTATATTAGATTCTAATATGATGGTTACTACTATAATTCTATTATGATGATGTGTTTGTTCTTTTTCTGTATCTGAACAACTTTTCTAGAAGAAATCTTGCTTTAATTATCAACTTTAAAGGCAATGGTAAAAATTGTAATCTCATTGGTGCAATAATGAGTTTATTTTTAGATCATCTTTATAATATTCTTAATTATGAAGAAATTCTTAGAAACGCCAGGAAATCTTGCATCTGTTACATTTACTGCTTCTGTTTTATTCTATTTTGTTTATGAAAAATAATTGTTAAGGTCAGAAATTCCAGTGAATACTTTTATAAATATATTCTCTTATATATAGCTCTTTCCAAAGAGCTAAAGAAACGTTTTACAGGCCGCATTGACCTCCAATTTTTTAATTCCAATTTTAAATAATGGAATAAAAACTTGGAATTATCTTTTTTTTAAAACTCATTAAAAATGTTAAGAATAAAATATTTAAAAACAGAGTTCAATGGCCTGTAGAATGTTTTTAATTAAAAAGAACAAAAATTTTTAATTTGGTTGATTCTGTTGAACAGTATCACTATTTTCGTAGTGTATTTTTGTGGGCAAAACAACAACATTGGCACCTTAAGTAGTTTTTCTCATAAAATATAATGTGGAATATGAGTAGTATTTAAACTTTTTATACTTACAATATTAGTTCTGATGACATCTTATAATAGTTATTAGATAATTTTTTGTTTTTTTTTAATTTCTGTGCGAATGCTGCTTCTTTATAAATTTTTGAAGCTTCAATCAATGGTCGAGATTCAATCTCATTTGAACATAAGCTTTGTGCTGCATTTAATTCATCTGATGTAGGCATTTCATATTGCTCATTATAACGCCTAACTCGTCCTTTGGCTTTTAACCAAGTGATAATATTCTCAGAATCCGTAGGATGAAGATCACAGGCTTGTTTAGCAAATTTTAAAGCTTCATCATTTCCCTTCGGTGGATATTCCATAAATACCCTGGCTCTAATTACATTAATTGCCGCTTTTTCAAATTTACTAAAATGATTAACTGGTTTAACAAATTCCATTGTCTAAGGGAATACAAATTATTTAATTAAATTCTAAAAAATTAAAAAACTATACAGTCTGGTAAAGCAGAGTTAATTTTTTTTAAGCAAATTTTGATTTATTCAAAAATATTTAATTCAGTTATCTCGATTACTTGATTAATTAATTAGGATTTTTTTTTATTAAAAAAAATCACCAGAGTTCACTAATTTACAACATGGAAATTGCTGAAACCTTGGTCTTGTATGGCGGAGTTGGGTTTACATTTAGGACACCTCCACCTTGCAACAGTATTAGAAATACTAGGTTAGGTAAGTTAGTGGCCATCGCCCTCCTGTAAGGGAAGCCTGTCAAAGAGCTATGTAGCAGTCAGCAAGCAAATGTTTATTCCGTATTCCACATATTATGTTTTATGATATACCTATAGTTTTCAAATAAATAACTTCTAAAATAATAATTTCCTCTAATTGCACCATCATCTTCAGCATTGAAAACTCAATTTTTCCTATTAAAATTTTTTGCAGTTTAATATCCGTCAGTAGTTCATCGTATATTATACAGGTACTCGAGATAACCAAAAAATACAAACAGTATAACATAATAAAATTATAATTATTATTATGAAAACTAAATGATTGATGAAAGCTGGATAATTGTTGAATAAGAAAATAGTTTAATATTTACTTTTTCAAAATCAAAATCCAACGTTAAAGCAATATAAGCATTAGTGGCTCGAGCAATATGATTGCTAGTTTCTAAATAATGATTATTTAACTTGTCAAATTTACATGTCTCCACATATTTAACAATATTTTGGATTTCAAATAATGATTCTTTATGTCTTCCATTAGTATAAAGTTCATAACAAACAACCAATTGAAAAAAAAATCTAAAATATTAAAATAATTAAATACTGTTTTGTTAAGTTTTTGTACTCAAATTATTTGATATTTAAAAAAAAACATTACAACACTACCTGTGTAAATTGAATACATCATTTTCATTACTCATATTCATTTTTATTTTTTCTTGAATTTTATCAATGAGATTTATCATCAGATTTTCACTGGTTCCAGTTTTCTCTTTGATCTCCCACGAAAAGATAGTCTCAAAGTTGTTTTTTATTTTATTTAATTTTGTCTGTAGGTTGTCAATCACATCGAGTTCTTTAAAAGCGGTATTGTCAATAGTCAAGCTGTCTAATGCGTCAGATAAAGCAGCCATTTTTAAATTACCTAGGTACATATAAAACAATAACAATTACAATTATTTAATTAATTAACATACAATCAAAACTTACTTGAGAGCTCGATTCACTAAATTATTGTTTATTCACTTAGTGTAATGGAAATCAATTTGAATTTCTCTTCGCATTAAAATTATTTCAAAAAACAAAACGAAAATAATAATTGATATAAAAGAAAAAAATGCAACGTGCTACTATAATATTACAGTGATTGAATTAAAAATATTGATAATTATGAAAATATTATCAGAGATTATATAACACCAGACGGTGCACTTCTCAATTTACTGTAGTCGGTTTTACAAAACTAAGCACTCGATCGAAGCGCGACCCGTGGCCAAATCTCGTCAGGGTTTTAAAAAATGTTCATATAAAAGCGCGCCAAATTAAAAAAAATATATAATGACAGCTGTTAGGTATATTTCACATTTTAGTAACCAATGTATACTAAAAAAACAACTGCTATTATATCAAAGAAAGAAAATATGAACTCGATTAAATTGTCCTTCAAATGGGTCATGAAGTTGTACTCTTGCCGCCATACCATTGCAAATACAATCCCATTGAGTTAATATGGGCACAAGTAAAAAGGGAAGTCGCTAAAAATAATAAAACTTTTAAATTTGCTGATGTCGAAAAATTTTTAAATGACGCATTGGAGTCAGTAACTGTTGAGGATTGGAAAAAATATACCGATCACTGTAATAACCTACAAGAGGAGGATTTCATCAAAGAAGGATTAAGAGACGAAATTTTGACACTAACAAAATACTAACAATCAATCCAAATGATAGTAGTGATTATGAGAGCGACAGCGAAGGATCTTAATTTTTTTTATCAATAATGACCGAAATAATTTTGATTTATTGTATAAAAAATATACTTATGTGTACTCAAATCATATTTAATCTACTTAATAAATTATATTTTAATAAACTGCAAAAAAAAAAGGTTTTCGTTATTATTTAAAATGATTAAAAAAAATAAACAAGATAATAAATTGGCGCGCATTTGGGAAACAATGGAATTGCTAACTTAGTCCACGGGTCACGCTTTAATCGAGTGCCTAGTGTTGGAAAACCGACTAGAATAACTTAAACACACTCACTCATATTTATTTCTATGCAATACAGCAGGGCCACATAATGATGAATAAATTATTGTACATCATTTATGATAATTATTGTATCAAATAATGTTTAAAATTGTATGTTAATTGTATCTGAGTATTAAAACAAATTAATGGAATTCTAAAAACTTAAACAAGTTTTGAGTAACTTTAATTAACTACTTAGTAAATGGTAATCTTCAGGCCTATACATATTCTATCTACATATAAAATGTTCCATTTAAGTGAGTACACTTATCTCAGAAAGTACAGTAGAACCTCATTAGTCCGGACTAATTGTGGTTCTGATTGTTTCTTCAATGCACGAAATTTTTTTTTCATTCATTACATTTTTCAAACTGTTTATACCTCAAAATTTGGAAAAAATAGTAAAAAAATATTAGACATGGTTATTTGTAAAAAATGATTTTTCAGTTTTTTGCAAATATGCAATAATGCACATGAAAACAATTACTGTTTTTACTGCAACTATAGACAAATTAGCTTGATAAGTTTCTTTATTTTCAAATTTTATAACAGCATAATATTTGCGCTGGTACCTACATGAATAAAGGACTACAAAAGACAAAAATGTCCACATATTTTAAATTAAAATTTTTAATTCGCCAATAGTAACACGAATAGGTTTACTTGAATCGTTTTGGACAGAGAACAGTTCAATTTATTTTTGAATATTAGTTAATTTATTCGTAAAAAATAAAGACAAAATTGTAAAGGTGTATCTAATTTATATACAGTTCACGCATATTACCAGAAAAAAGAATATTGATATTATGTGGTCTAGTATTTTCATTGAATACTAAATTAACAATTTTCCACTTTATATTTTTTAATTCCACTGAAGGTCTTACTGGATGATAGATCTGTCTTACTGGTGATTGGGGGGAGGCTGAGCTTAATGGACACGGGGTTGTACTAACTGGAGTTAGTGAGCGTTGATTAACTTGTGCAAAATCAAAAGTTACTGTTATGTTTTCAATATCCAAATGACCATAAAAATTATTATCATCATGAACAATAAGATAATCATCATCACCATATGTATTCATTATCAGAATTATTTAGTTCGTCTTCACTTTCACCCCAGGTTTTATCATCTATTGACGAATTGTTTATTTTATCAACATAAAACAGTGCTACACGTCTTGTATAAAATGAAATAAGCAAACAAAACTAATATATTATACACATATGCATAATGTTGCATATATGCAACAATCTAATAATAATTGATGTAATAATAAAGGTATGTAGCCAGTTAATAAAATTATCATAATTGTAAAATACATAGTAACTTACAATAAATATAATTTTTTCAAACACGTATCTATTAGCAAATTGTTTAAAAAAATAACAATGAATTCGCTAATATCAATCAAGGTGGAATTCTGGTGGATTAATAAGGTGTAATCACTTTCACCTGCCCGCCAAAAATAAATTGATTGAAAACTTTACTGCAGTTAAAATTGCTGCTAGGTTCGCTGTCTACCCGATAGAGGATCATAATTTTTTTTTTTTCTAAAGCTTTATTTGAAAAATTACGATCTATACAAAATGTAAATAAATAATATTAATAATTCACAGACAATTGACATTTATGTAAACATTTGTGACACCTCGTAATATTTTTAAATTATTATTTCTTAAGTTTTCAGGTAGCGGCACCAGTTTCTTTTGAGGCGTCTGTTAGGGTTTCTAGGAAGTGTTAGTGAAGCTAACTCGTTGATTAGTTGGTTTGGAATATCTAGTAGTTTGGCGAGGAAGTGTTTATAGTAGGTAACAGCAGTTTCGTTTATGGAAGATAATTTAAGGTCGAAATTTAGGGTCTCGTTTGAGACGAACTGTGCACCTGTGATTAACCACAAACAAATGTTTTAGGATGCTTGTTTGGTTCTTTTATTTTAGTTTTTTGAAGAGCCCCAGATTACTATACCATGTGTCCATATTGGTTAAAAAAGAGTTTTGTATAAAATAATTTTGATGGATATGGTTAGGTTGGAACGAAGGAGTAGCTTTAACAGATGGAGTCTGGAGTTAAGTTTCTTACGTTTGTCTTTAAAATGAAGAAACCAGATTAAGCACCTGTCAAAATTAAGACCAAGGAATTTAACTTCATTCGAGTGAGGAATGATGATGTTGTTGATAGATACGGCTGAGCAGTAATGAGGTCTAAGCGAGGTGATATAGGAGGATTTTGATTCGTTGATTTTATTTTCCAGTTTGTGAATCATTGTGAAAGAGTATTTAGGTGATTTTGTAGTTTTTCGACGTATATATAGTATACAGGAATAGAGCGATGTCACTGCCTTGAGGGACGCTAGCAAAGATAGGATATTAATTTGAGTGTTGTAGGTTGTAACGAACGTTAAATGAGTGGTTTTAAGTATTAGGTATAAAGAAGCTAGACAAATATTTTTAAGTTTGGAGAGAAGACCTTCATGCCAGACGGTGTCGAAGGCTTTCGCAACATCCAAAAAAACTCCGGTGCAGTATTTTTTGGTTTCGAGTGCTGATGAGATAATATCCGCAACTCGGTAAAGTTGATGATTTGTGTCATGGTGTGAGCGAAAGCCAAATTGGAAGTTTAGGATACTGTTTTTTACTAGTGCTATAGTGGTGATACGCTTGAGAATGATTTTTTCGAAAATTTTTCCCAAAACCGGTAGTTGGCTAATGGGCCTGTAAGAGGAGGGGTTTTCTGGAGGCTTACCAGGTTTGAGAACTGTGACAATGACTGAAGATTTTCAGGTAGTTGGAAAGTACGATAAACGAAGAGCAGCGTTATAAATATGCATTAAATGAACGATCGCTTTTGCAGGGAGATTTTTAACGACTTTGTTGGAGATAAGGTCGTGACCTGGGGATTTGTTGTATGCCAATTTTTTTTAATAAACGCTATATCAGCTGGGGAGGTTGGTTTTTCAGGAAGGGCTATAGGTAAAGTTGACTGGAGAGACTTCATGACTGACGACACATGAAGTGCTGGTGTGGAAATAAGGTGAGGTTTGAATACTCCTGATAGTTTTCAGCTAGAGTATCTGCTTTTTCCCTGTCTGTGGTAGCAAGTGAGTTAAATGGACGGTGTAGAGGAATGGTTTCTTTAAACCATAAAATTGACTTTGTTTTGCGCCAGAGAGATCCATTTCTAAAAGAGAGGTTTTTTGTGAGTTTTGAAAAAAAGACTTAAGTTTTTTTGAAAGATAATTGTAGTTTATCTTGTCCTCCGGGTAGTGTGTTTATTGCCATTTTGATCTGGCTCTGCGTTTTTCAGCAATAAGTTGTCGTAATACCGGAGAAAGATTGGGTGATCGAGAATAGGGAGGACTCTGGGTAGATGAGTCCTTGGCTGATTTTTGAATGTCATCAGAGAGTTCGGTAATTGTTTGATCGACATCAGTAGATAATTTTAATTTGATGTTAAGAATTATTTTGTTTGAGATAGTAACTTTGAATTTGTTCTAGTTTGTGATACCCGAAGTAATGGTAGGTCTATTTTGCTTTAAAGAGGGTTAGGCTCTGATGAGAAGCAAGACAGGTGTATGATCAGAAGTTGGATTGTTTAAAATTTAGAATTTAAAATTTCGTAAGAAAAGTGATTAGGGAGATTTGTAATAAAAAAATCAAGGTTTTTGTGGTAGCGGTAGTTATATGATGGCCAATACGTTGGAGAGGGAGGCGCTATAACCTTGAGGTGATTGAGCAAGATGAAATTTTGAAGAGCTCAGCCCCCGGTGTTGATGTAGCGACTCCAAGTTTGGAATTTGGCGTTGAAATCAGCGCCGATAATATGGGCGTAGCTTAAGGATTGAGAGCGAATGCTCAGTTCAGCCGAAGGAAAAGACCTTCCTGGAGGAAAATAGCATGAGAAGATGGAGATTATTTTTATTGATATGATCGCTGCTTGAATATTTGTAAACAGATATGGTGTAAGAGGGAGATGATCAATTTTATTAGAAATGAGGAGAGCAGCTCCATGTGAAGTACCATCCGGGCGGTCAGCTCTATTAATATCGTAACTATATATCTTAAGCGAAGAGGTTTTAGTTAGGTGAGTTTCCGAAATAAGTGCTATTACAACTTTTTTTTTATTTAGAACTAGTTGTAATTCATTTAAATGTTGTAAAATGCCGTTAGCGTTTCATAGAAATATGCTGAGTGGTTGCAGGTTATTTGCTGGCATTATTTATAAGTTTAACAATGACTGTGGTAAGAAGTGAGATAAGAGGATTTATTAATGCTTTAAATTCATTAATAAATTATGAGAGTTGTGCAGACATATTTTAGTTTTTTTTAGAGTTGGTGTTGAGTATGAAAAGAAAAATCTTGGTTTAATGGAGGAAAATTATGTAAGTAAGCTTAGTGCGTAGGTATGTTGGTTCACTCGAGTTGGTTGACGGGGAAGGGAACTTTTATTCAAGATTTTTTTTTTGAAGGGTTCTCTAATAATTTTTTTTTAAGATCAAAGTAAGATTGACAACCTCTTAAGTGGGCCGGGTGAATACCACTGCATAAAGCACATTTAGCCGGAGAGCTGCGTTCTTTGGTGCATGCTATCGTCTCATGTTGCTCACCGCAGCGGATACAACGAGGGGAGGGATTACAATAACTACGAATGTGGCCATAATTCTGACAACGGTGACATTGCGGAATTTATTATTTAGGATGGGGAGGACCCGAAAATAAAAATTGTATTATTCATATGTACTTTATTAGGAAAATGACTAAAATTATAAAAGTTTCCTAAAATTTTTATTCAAATTTCCGCTCAGAATCTAAAACATTTTTTTTGAATATTAAACTATTTGTCTGCAATTTTATATTAACTGTATATATGTATTATGTGATCAAAGTTCACATCTTAGATCGTTTGTTTTGTGATACGAAATTCCTGAGAAAAGCGGCAGATCTCTCCAAAATTCGTACTCGTCAACATACGGTCTCTCGGATATAACGGGATTACTCGAGTTGATCAATATATATTTATAACTGGTCGTATCAAAAGTCGGCCATTTCTGCCCCTCTTTGGTACCGTTAATAGTGGGTTTGCTGGAAATAAATATTCAACTCAAAATGATTTACAAATTGTTTAAATCTTTAATGTATAAAATACACGATGTAAGTGATGGGACATGTATGAAGAATGAATGGGGATATATAAATCAACCTCTAGATAGACCAAGGACAAGGTGGAAATTCAGGATATGTGATTGGTTGAAGGAAATGTACTGAGCAATAAATGGGGAAAGATGGAGTCATATTATAATGTCAGCTTAGGTTCTGAATAGACCGTTTATAGTCTTAAGAAAAAGTAAATAATATACTTTGTGGAAACTGTAATGGAAAAATATTAATATTTTGGCACTGAGTTATACAATATGAAATGGGCATTCAGACCGTTTATATACTTATATTTTTATTGTCTCAGCATTTTTTATAAAAACGCAATTTCCGTAAATTTTAGTGATTGAAGCAATTCCCTATGTGCAAAATTAACTGAGTAATAGCCATTTAAAGTTGTTACTTGCTGCAAGTCAAATTTCTATAACTCAGCTAATTTTTAATGAAAAAATCCGTTGTCCATAGAAATTTCAATGTGCATACACACATTTAAGCATTTGTGTAAATACTGAGACAATTACTAATTAAAACAACGATCTAAAAACACCAAATTCAAATTGGATAACTCAGAGTGTTTTCAATTATCATTTTCACGCTACTTAAAATACGTACTCTGAAGAAGCAAAATGGGTCCATAAGTTAACCATGAGTTTCGATACTTCAAGATCGTCTCCGTCTAAGTTTCCAAAAATTGCAGGCATATAGAACAAACTTATCGTGTCATCTGCATGCGTTACACCCAATTTTCTTGGTTCTGGATACGGCCCGAATAGTGAATTATACGTTTTTTTATTTAAATGATCGTATACATAGTAATACGGAGGCTGCGATAGCTTCACCGCCATGCCAAAAACACCATTTAAAAATAATCCTCCAGTTGTGGCCTATAATTAGTAAAAGACGCACATGTGATGATAGTAATTTTATAAATTAATTAATAAATGAATGCGACGCCTGGAGTATTATGATATTTTACGACCGGTTTCGAATTAAAAATTTATCGTCAGGTAAAATCACAAAGGCAACAAGTAAAACGCGATTGAATATGAAAAAATAAATGAACAAATACATGTAAAAAACTATACGAATTGTTCGTTTTACATGGAAAAATATTTATTTTTATAGGAGAAATTATTTAAAATTAATTATTATTATACATAGATATGTTGATTAAGAAGTAAAAATTATTATGATTTATTATCTAAAATGTCTAGTTTAGTCCAATATAAGTATTATTACAAGTTTAACGTTTCTACGTGTGTTTATAACCGAATTCCAGCAAAAAAAAAACTCTCAACAATTAAAATTCTTCAAAAGCTTAGAAGTGGCTCGAACTTTTGGCGATGATACTACTGATCTACTGATAGAAAGGAAACTAAAAAAGCAACCAAAGAGGTATCTTGTGATTTTTTGATTTAATCACTTTTTTTGGTAGAAAACTTCGTCGGTGTTTTTATAAAATAATGAAATCGTGAAATTGTACGTTTTCCTACGTTTTTTCCCAATTAAGCGCTTTTATTTAAAAAAATGGCGTTGAAAATCAAATAATGACCATTTTAAAGTACAATCAAAAAAACTTGAGCTTTTAAAAAATGTGCTACACTTATACATCGGAGCAAGTTTACTAAGCAAAAACGTGTCCACAGACTAGAAGAAGAAAAAAAAATAAACATCTTAGAAAAACTAATACTACCTTGCTACGCTCGGAATCTAAAACTAACGAATGATACATAGAAAAAGAAAAAAATTGTATCGTTTGGTCGTTTTACATAGAAATAATTTATTTTAATAGGAGAGATTATTTAAAATGGGTTATTATTAGACATAGATATGTTAAGAAATATAAATTATAAACTTTATTATTAATTATTAAAATTATTCGCGTTTTACATTTTGACTGTCATATACCTGATGATGAAATTTTAATTTATGTACGAGTATTAGCTATTATAAAGCTACACTATCAATTGAACTCCGTTCAGAATCGTTTTTTCGTAAGCAATAGTTTATCGTTGCTTACATATATACGTTAAATTCCCGTCTGTATTCTACCTTCCTAACTTCCCACCTACAACAGTGGCTGCACCCATGTGAGAAGTATATTCATTATTTTTTTTAAATTATATCTTTTAAAGGTTTTCTTGATTTTCTTTAATCAGGGATGTCATAAAAATTCTGGGATAGGACATATAAATTCATTCAAATTTGTTAAGGAAAAAGTATAAAAATTTCAATGGGGGATGGAGAGCTGGAAACACGTATGTCTAAAAATCCTTATTATTCAGGTAGTTATTGTACATAAAAGTTTAAAGTGTGTACGAATTCGGAGGTTTTTTTAAATAATTTTATGAAAGTTTACTTTAATGGCGTTCGAAACATTTCTTAAAGTTCCATCGGGAAAGTATCGTTTAAATATTTTATCACCAATAAACTGAATATCAGACGATTTAGTCGTATATTTATACTGTATCATTGACGAAAAATAGTAATTGAAATTGTCTTTCAATTCAGTATACACAAGATCAGTTGCATTGTACATTCCTAAAAAACAAATGATTAGAATTATTACTAATAATGATAATAATATATAATATACAAAAACAAAATTTAAAAAACCTTAAAAGGACGTAGGCTACTCGTAACTATTTGTTTATGATTTTATTTAGCAATTTTCACGTGTTTTTTTTTTTTTAATTAATTTGAAAATATTCAAAATCATTTTTTCAAATAAATTTCCTCTAGTTTTTTCAATATTTGATGATGTAGTTTTTTGTTTTATTTTTTCGTTATCACTATACTACTAAAAAAGTTATTTGATTTTGTAAAACTATAGATGTGAAATAAACGATTTACGTTATCCTCGAAATTTGTTTATCCTCTTAAACTTTTACGGGAACACTTGTGTTTAGTTTACATAATATTTTACGAGAAAAAAAAAATACTTACGTGAAACAAATATCCCGCCTTCGCTTGAGGTATGTCCAATCAATACCGGCACATTCGATTCTTGTTTGAATTCTAACGGAGGATATTTAGTCAAAAATGATTCATGGTGTTCATTACATAAATGGCGGCATTCAACGACAGGTGAAAAATTGAGAATCGGGTAATTTCTCCATTCCTATAAATTAAATATAACACAAAACATATTTATTTATAATTTAAATGTGTATAAATGTATACATACACAGCGAACGGTTATTTTTCAAGTATATAGGACATGGATATAAAACGTAATATTTACATAAAAATTTGTGTAAACATCCACTAAAACGGCTGCGGGTACTCGTCTCAAACACTCGACCATTTTTTCAGGGTCTTCGGAACATCCTACGACGGTCGATACATTCGAAGCTCTTCTTTTTGCCAGACCCGGTGGAGTAACACCCCATAAATTTAACGGAGTTGAACTTTCCATTATTGCTTTATGAAATAATCCTGAACAATGATATTTCCAATTAACAATATATAAAGTACATGAAAAACTAAATCGAACGATAACACGTTTACCTTTACTCATTGGCGATAATAAATGTAAACCGACACTAACACTTCCGGCACTTTCACCAAATATCGTAACTCTATTTGAATCCCCGCCGAAAACATTGATATTTTTTTGAACCCATTTCAGCGCCAATACTTGATCTTTCATACCGTAATTACCCGGCAAATGTTTATCCTCGGTACTCAAAAAACCTAAAAACTACAATATTGTAGGTACATCGAACACAGTTAATTTCGAGTTAAACCTATGGATAATTTTATTTTACCTAGAATGCCGAGTCTATAGTTAAAAGTAACGAGGATAATATCCTTGTCCAACAAATATTGAGGACCGAATGCGGTTATAGAACCGCCCAATGCGAAAAAACCTCCCCCGGCGATCCAAACCATAACCGGAAGTAATTTACCATCTTGTTTGGTCGGTAGCTAAAATATTTTAATACTTTAAAATTCGTTTAATACTATTATTTAAAGTAATAATAAATTATTGTCCGATCGCCATTACTTATATAATCAAACAATTGTTACCTTCGGAGTGTACACGTTTATATATAAACAGTCCTCTTCACCTAGCAATACATCAGCTATTTGATAGAAAAACAAATTTTTCTGAATGCATATGACGTTTTGCGCCTTAATTGAAGGTTTTAAAACACCGTCCCATGGACCCGCCGGTACTGGATCCTAATCAATAACAATTTTTAAAACTAACAATTTGAAAGCTCCCTCTTCCAAAATAAAATTCCCAACATCAATTGAGTTACAATTATTTACTTTAAATCTAAGATCTCCGATCGGCGGTTTAGCGTACGGTATTCCGAAAAACGCTTTAAATTCTCGTCCATTCCTCGACTTCAAAACGGTTCCCAATACCCGTCCTTGATCTAATTGAACAATATTATCGATGTCTCCAATAGCGAGTACAAAACCGAAAAGGAATACAAATAATAACATAATCGAAGTTACCATACTCATCTGAAATAAAAATTTTTTTTGTAACAAAATATGATTCTGAGTATCTGAGAGAAGTTCAGTTTTATGTTTTAAAATGTCGGAATTTTTGTAATTTATGTCAAAATTTGAACTTAAAAAAATGTATTATATTAATCTACTACTAATATTTATACTCGAATTTTTTTTTATCACTAACTACAACTTCCAATAAATAAATCAAATAAAATCTAACAACAACTAGAAACTGCCAAATACCTATGAGGCTATACATATCGGTTAATAGTGTTGCTTTGTCAACAAAATATGTATTATATTATGATAAAATATGCATTATATATTTTCTTTAATAATATTTGTTTAATTTTGTACCTAGTTTACCATTTTTCTTACGTTTTTCCCATTTCTCGGGAAAACTTTTGGGAAAATCAAAAAACTATCTTTAAGTACTTCCCCAGGTCAATTTTTTTTCAGAAAAGTTGTTATACTTTAGAAATCGGAGGCTCCGATTTCTTAACTTCATTGAAAGTCTTAAAATTGTCCTTCAAAATATAAGAAATCAATATGATGGATATGAAAGTAATGGTATGAAAAGAGCTAAGAATGAAGACTATAAATTAACTAGGCATAGAAAAAAATTTAAGAGAAACGAGAGTAGTTTTAATGAACTAAATACAAAAGAATCATTTAAAATAAATACTTTTTATGTTATAATTGATCAGCTTTATAGTGCTTTGGAACATAGAATTAACACTTATACTACCGTAAGGGATAATTTTAAGTTATTATCAGACATTAAAATGGACATGAAAATTGAAGACATAGAAGGAGGAATGAAAAAGTTATTAGAAAGGTATCCAAAAGATTTCCCTGATGATTTTACAAATGAGTTTAAACAGTTTTTAAGTTTTTCGTCAACGTCTTTATCATTAATTACAACGAACGAAAATAAGAATAAAAATATTTTGCTTAACATGTATAAGATGATAATTGATTTAAATGTGACCGAGAGTTTTCCAAATATTGAACGGTTGTTACGTTTATATCTTTCTCTTATGTGTACCAACTGTACAGGAGAAAGATCATTTAGCCGATTAAAATTATTAAAAAACGTTTTAAGATCTTCATTTTCACAAAATAACCTACAAAATCTTGGAATTTTAAGTATTGAAAGTGAATTTGTAAAATCTCTAAACTTTGAAGATGTGATCCAAAATTTTGCAAATGAGAAATCCAGAAAAAAAGAATTATGTTTTGATAAACAAGTTGATAGTTGCGACGATGACAGCAGCGACTAATGTTATAATAATTTATGTATTTACTTATAATTTAAAAATATATTTTATAAATAAAAATTTTCAATTTATCATAGTTTTGAGTTAAATNTGTTCATTTCATGAACTACGATCATAACGTGTAAGTCAAATTTTAGTTCATGAAACGGACATATATTTTATCCATTTCATGAAATGGAAACTCTTATTTTACACTTTGTGTAATATTTTAAATTAATTACATCAATAGGTAACTTTTCGTGAAATCGAAATAATAACATTGATACTGGTACGTATCGCACCGTACTATATTTATTATTAATAAATTGTAAAGATGAGATATCGACCGTTCAGCAGATAAACTTTAGTCGATAAAATATATATTTAATCAAAATTCAATTGATTCAATTGTATAAGTATGATACGACCAAGGTATTCTGGAAAATCTGTATATTATTTTTATATGATGCCAGTACGTCCTCTGACTTGAAGCGAGCCGTATATTAGCGTTAAAATGGAATTTGATTCATTTTCTGAATTTTATGAACAGTTAAATGCGTACTACGTAGACAAGCCTGGGAAAAAGCCACCTACCAAAATTGACGTTCAATTAATGATTGAAGACATTTTAGCAGCAAAAGTAAAAATGTAAGTAATCGTTAAAATATACAAAATATTATTAAATAAAAATTATATATTAAGACACTTCAAATAAAATTATTACAATCAGCCATCAGGGCTTGTCTTACAAACACGTAACATAGCAAATTTACGCTCAGCAGTTCACGTTTTATTCCGTTGGATTAAAAATTAGATAATAAATATTTAAATAATATTATTTAATATTTACATTAAATATTTGTTTATAATTTGAAATTTATCTGTTGAACGGTCGATATCTCATCTTTACAATTTATTAATAATAAATATAGTACGGTGTGATACGTACCAGTATCAATGTTATTATTTCGATTTCACGAAAAGTTACCTATTGATGTAATTAATTTAAAATATTACATAAAGTGTAAAATAAGAGTTTCCATTTCATGAAATGGATAAAATATATGTCCGTTTCATGAACTAAAATTTGACTTACACGTTATGATCGTAGTTCATGAAATGAACATCCATTTCATGAAAAATACGATTACACTAAGTGTATACGACATATACATACAATAGTTATTTATTATATTAATACAAAATTATTCACAGTATATGTACCGCAGACTTGGCCAGTTTCTTACCTAAACTTAAATATTCAAAAATACATCACACACGACAAAATTGCTAATAATATACAAGAATGATAAGTAAATTGACTAGACGACTTAGACTGGGCGCACATCAATGTAGTGTGGCGGTTGTATGGAGAAAACGCCGTAAAAAGCGTGTTAACACACACCAATACGGTGCAGCAGTGGCACAGTGGGTCCAATTAATTTTGCATACATTTAAATTTTGATTTTTGGAATTTTTAAGTGTAGTTAAACCCGATATTTTTGAATTTTTTTTTAACAACATTTAGTTGTATCATAAACATATTATAAAATCCTATTTTGAATCATATTTTAATCATTGATTAAGCCATTTATTATATTATGCTTTAAGTAGTTCGATAAGCCTCGAAGATCGGGTTTAAAAAATTATTCATTGCATTAAACTCACAATTTATCTTCTATACAAATAAAATTAAAGTTTTTGTTTGTTCTTTTGTCCTCACTATAATTTCAATGAAACTATTCACAATTTTAAACAACCTATTCAAATTTAATCTAATTTAAACTATTATTAAACTATTTAAACAATTATTTACACTATTTTACTAACCCAAGATTTAGATTTGCGGTAACAAATATCGAATTATTAAAAAATGAGGTCATTTAATATTTCAGAAATTCAGCTTATGATAAAGAGATACCATACCTAAATTAAAACAATATTTACATAAATTATAGACATATTTATTAAACTGTGAAAATCTTTGTCGTGAAACCCGTTAATATTTAGGAATATTAAAAGCAAATAATTGCAAATTTAGTATTTCTGCCGAATTCTGATGGGCATGATAATAATAGCAACAACAAAAAAAGCTGATACTGGGGACGAATGCAGTCACTGTTGTAGGTGTAAAATTGGGAAGGTAGAATAAATCAACTTATTTAAATTATAATACGCAACGATAAAACATTGTTAACGAAAAACCATTCGGAGTGAAGGTTAGGTTTTTCATAGAGTCACGAGATATTAAATAGAAAAATTAATCTTTTGTCATTTTTCGATTTGAGCAATATTTCTGATAGAAAACATAGTTTGCATCACAATTTTTTCTTTTTTGAAAATCCCTTGACCAAATAAAAAAAATGACCTATCCAAGAAAATTTTCTTTCAGAAAGACTGCTACACTTTACAGATCGGAGCAAGATTTATTTGAAACATTGTCTACAGATGAAAAAGATAAAAACAAAAATTACACATCATAGTAAAACCAATAGATCCCTCTCTACGCTTCGAATCTAAAATACCAATTTACTGCTGTAAATAAAAAAGTAAATGAGTAAAACTTACTTTAATTGTTGTCATACAACTTACAATGAGCTGTCACTGTAAACTCTACTACAGCGGGAATGGTTATAAACCTACGTTCGTTTGATTTAAATAGGATTAATTTAAAAACAAATAATAAATATAACCTTGTATATTGGCTAGGTTAAATAACTATGTTATCGTACAGGTTTTAGTGAACTAGTGAAATAGTGGAAATGGTTACCTAAAAATCCCCAACTAGATTAAATTTGCGAATTATGCGATTGTATAATTAGTTGATTACGTTCCTATAATTGGACTCACACATTTAGATCCTTGAATTCTTATTAACGATTGAAAAATACACCGCACATAAGTGTTATAATAAACATTTATAAATCATATCAACCATTGGTGAATACCTGTACATGTTCATGCATTTAAGTAAGTGCACTCATTATCTCGGAAGTATTAACCTTTCTCAGAAATTTAATTTATAGAAAATTTAAGAGATAAGCAGGTTTACAATTTTAAATTTAAAATATAATTATATACTATAATATAATATATAATATAATCTATGTATGTCCATATATAGATGGAGTATTATTTAAAATAAATTTTGGTGTTGAAATGTTAGATTTCTGTCAACCCGTTGACGAGATATTCCACATTTAGTTTTATTGGGGGGAGAGTAGTGGAGCATCATTTGTATGGCTGCACGGTGTGTGGCGTGTTAATAATCAGAGCCGACACTAAGTTTTTCGAGACCCTTGGCAAAATATTCCAGAGGGTCCTTAAAACATCTTTTACAAATAAATATAGGGAAAACCAATATATTTTACTCACCCTCGTAATCGGGCATCGTGGTGGCTTATACCCTTATTTATACATTTAAATAATAAATAATGATTTATTAATAAAATAAGTTGGTTCATTTCTCCGCTATTATATTGACCATCGATCGATTGCGCTTGCGGCATTTATACCGCATTTTTTTAAAGAGCCAAATATTTATACCTAATAATATACAAAAATGTACGTATATTTTACAATTATTCTCAAAATTATCAAAAAATCACCAATTTGTTATAATAGAAATATAATAAAATAACAATAAAAAAAGTAATTATTATTTTAAAAAACATCCTAGGATAATGGAGACGGGTGCAACCACTATTATGGATAATTTAATGTATACTTGTAAGCAACAATAAACCATTAATTACAAAAAAATGATTCTAAATGGAATTCAGTTGATAATGATGCTTTGTCAACAATATATATGTCATTTATGATAAAAAAAAAATAATTAAATAGGCCCTATATATTATTTTTAATAACATATGTTTAATGTTGTATCGATTTTCCCAGTTTTCTTACGTTTTCCCATTTTTAACACGGTTTTCACATTTGCTGGGAAAATCGAAAAATTACCTCTTTAAAATACCTCGCTAGTGAAATTTACTTTTAAAAATATTGCTATCATTAAAAGTTGGAGCAAAGTTGTTGGTTGAAAAGTTGGGCACAGAAAAAAAGGCCATAATATATTTTAACTAATACCTACATTTCTAATATTTTCTGGTTTTTCAAATTTAATGAAAAAACTCTTGAGAAAATCGAAAAATAGCTTTCCTATAGTACTTCTCCATGTCGATTTCCTTTAAGAAAAGGTGCTATACGTAGAAATCCGAGCAAGTTTTCTGGTAAAAAAGTTGCTCACAATTAAAAAAAATAAAAAATATTAATATCTTTGTAAAATCATAAGCTTCTTCGCTCCTCTCTAATCTAAAAACCACAACCCAGTAAGTGATAACATTTTTATAATAAGTCAAAATAATATTTCAAGATTGATGGCGTAAATTATATTTTAATGATTTAATATGTAATTCATTAAATATTTTGAGTAGTTTGATAAGCCTCGATGATTTCGGGTCGATTTGATCAAAAACGTAGGGGTTAAAATAATCGGGTTTAAAAGTTAATTATCACTTATCAACATTTGAATTTCACCTCACTAATCACAGTTCTTTAAACACGATTACGAAATTTGTTATTGTGTCATGTTCGACTCATTTAACTAATAACCGCCACTATCACAATAGATATATCCGTATACCACATTATTATCATAAATGATTTTATCGTCTAAAACAAAAGGTAATTTAATAATATTATTTATTATTTTTTTGTGTATCTTGTAATAGTTGAAAATAATGAAATACAAATTTAAGCAAGTGTATGTACATTTAAACATTTTAATTTTGTTATATGTTAATTGTATTTTAATGATTGTTTTATGAATTTTAATGAATATAATGTTGTTTTATGTTGATGTATAAAAATAAATAATTCATATGTATAAATAAATATATAAATAAATTAATGCGTCGCCTGGAGTACCGACAACAATTATTTTACAGGTTATTATACTCTTTGATAAAAAAAAAATGTATTACCATGATAGCGATTAATATCGTAATAATATTGGATGAGGATAACGATCTAATTGTGAAGGTAAAAACTGTTGTAATAAAAAAATATTCTTGATTCCGTTTAGATTTCAAAACATTTAGTGTGGATAACCTAAAAGGATGATAAATATTTAAAACGTGATATATATAATGTATTATAGATTCTTGAGTGGAGCGAGGAAGCTTATAATTTTACAAAGATATTTATCTTTATTTTTTTTTTTATCTGTGCGCAACTTTTCTATTGAAAGACTTACTCGAATTTCTACATGTAGCACCTTTTCTGAAAGAAAATCGGCGTAAACTTTTGGGGGATCATTTTTCGTTTTTTCATCAAATGCGAAAAACCAAAAAAGAAACGGGAAAATTTACGAAATATAATAAATATAATCTTACGATTTTTTTTACTGTGGACAACTTTTCTACCAGCAATTTTGCTCCAACTTTTAATGAGAGCAATGTTTCTGAAAGGAAATTTCACTGGGGAGGTACTTTAAAGAAGTCATTTTTTTAATTTTTTCCAAAATTTTTCCCAGCAAATGTGAAAAACTGGGATAAAACATGAGAAAACCAGGAAAAACTTAAGAAAACTGGGAAAATTGGTACAACATTAACAAATTTTACTAAAGAAAATATATAAAGCCTATTTAATTATTTTACTACAAAATTACATATATTTTGTTGATAAACCATCACTATCAATTGAACTCCGTTCAGAATCGTTTTTTCCTAAGCAATAGTTTATCGTTGCTTATAGATATACATTAAATTCCTGTCTATATCCTACTTTCCCAACTTACCACCTATACCAGTGGCTGCACCCATCCCTATTATCTTACCTTTCTTTTTTATCTTTTGGGGGATTTTATTATTTACTCATTTCTGAATATTATATAAATAATAATGCATCAACAGTGATTATATATGTAAATATTATTTCACATTAATTCAGATTCCTTCGCATTTACTAATATCGTGTACAAGTAATATTTTATTATTTGTATGGAATAAGAAAAAAAATGTATTTAAAATTATGTCATCTATTTTTGCAACTCTTTTACCGTGTATTAAGGCTAAAGTAGTGGAAGTTGCTAATAATGATATTACTAATTACGTCAATCGCTAATTAACTTTTGTTTTTTAAGAGCTATTAAAACTTTCTAAGTATGTATATTCTCCTTTTTATTAATGACAAATACTCAAACCAACCCCCAAAATAAGGGCCAAGTTATGCCACTAATATCATTAAAAAGACAGTTGTTGCATAATAACAAATATTTTAATGTGTGTTCATGTGTATAGTATTCTGTGTTTTTGTGATTTTTATTGTTTACCTGATTCGCTGATTTATTTTAATTTTTTTTCACTGTTAAATAATCATACTTAACCTGGGTGATAGCAACTATAATTTCATAATTTTTGGATATTCCAATGTAACCGTAAATCATTATATTTTCAAAATTATTGTTATTTCATACATATAAAATAAATATATACGTGTTTAAATAATATTCGTTTCAGTTTAAACTCATTTTTATACATAATAGTTATTGTCGGACAATATCAAACTAAATTTTTCTGTATAATTTCAGACTCTTACAGACTCGATAACAGTAATAATTCGTTTCAAAACTTGTATTCGTCCATATATGTTTTTTCAAACAGGACAGGAGTACTAGAATTAATCAATAAATATTCCAAATTTTTAATACCGAATAACGGCCTCTCATCAGTGTCGTCAATTGTAAGTCCCCTATATTAGAACACAACATACGTACTTAGTTAATTATAAAAACATTGAAATTTATTTCATTTAGACTGTTTAGAAGATCTTTGCATATTACGTACTCGGTGCTAGCGAAACGCATCCGGAAGTCTAGAAACAATTTGAATACCTTTAATAATTCGAAAAATCACAAGACACCTTTTTTGTTGCCTTTTTGATTTACTTTCATCGCTAAAACTTTTGAGTCACTTTTAAGCTTTTAAGGAATTTTAATTTTTGGGAGTTTTTTGCTGTAATTCGGTTATAAATACACGTAGAGACTTGAAACTTAGTAATAATACTAATATTGAACTTAACTAGATATGGTAAAATTTTCAAAATCATTGGACGACTTTTTTTTTTTAATAAGCGTTTTGAAATCAAATTTAAACGAAGATCTCAAAAAAATTACAGTACTACAAATTATATATTTTTGAACTGCGCTTGGAATCATGTCAGTGGCACGGTAATGGTACATATTGAATGTAGAAAATCATACACGTGTAAAAGTAGCATCTTAAGTGACTTAAAACAAGCTAGTGCTTCTACTACATTTGATAAGTGCCTCTTACACCTATCAAAAATATAATACGGTCATCTCATCAGTTGCTTCAACTAAAATGTAAGTGTCTTTTTGTTTTGAAATTATACCAGACAATTATTCGGATATTCAAAAAGATAAAGCCTGTTGAGGATAGACAGATTATATTTACAGTAACTAGTTTAAACGTAGTCCATTCTATAATTGCACAAGAAATAAAACGAAATGATGTATGGGGTAAAGAGGTTGAAAAACGTTTGGCTAATAAAATTTATATTGTAGCAGTTGATGTTATTTATCACAAACACTGTTTTGTTAATTTTTTAAAATCATCCTCCAGTGGCAATTTAAAAAGAGGTAGGCCGCAAAATAAGAGTATTATGTTAATTATGGAAAAAATATACTCTATTTTAGAAAACAGTGAAGAATGTCAATTTTCGATTGAAAATGATATATTGTGGTGTAATGATTACGAATATGTGCCCGGCGTCAAAACTATTGCTTTAAAAATATGGTGAAAATAGCGTTATAAGTTCTGCAAATAAAAAAACCACAACCGTATGTTTTCGAGGTACAAGTCAAGATATTTTGACTAAACACAGGTATGAAAATCAAAAAATAAACAATGAGGAAGAGAGATAAAGAATCGTTGAGGCAGCAGCAATAATTATTCGGGGAAGTACATTCGCTTGTAGAAAAATTATATAAGTCCTTACAAGTTTTTACCCAGCACCCAATGACTTTTTAACAAATGTAGATAGTGTCATTCCTAAAACATTGAGTTCATTTTTAAATAGCGAAATATTAAGTAATCAGAAAGATGATAAAACACATTTATCAAAGAAATGTACTTCTATTGCTCATGATATGTCAGCGACAAGACCTCGTTCATTTCAGTCTATAATACAAATGAGCGTTGGTATATACATACACAGAAAATTTGAATCAAGATATTTAATAAATATTTTATCGTCTAGGGCTTTGTTCGACATACCTTAATATAATTAAATTTGAAACATCTTCTTTTATTTACCCAAAAACTCGGATTTTTCAATTGTATTGCCAATTTGTATTTAACAATGCTGATTTTAACTCGCGCACTATCGATGATTTAAATACTACCCACATAATGAGTGGTATATACTGTGCTACACCAGCCACATCAGTTATTCCAGATGAGCCTTTACTTATTGTAAAAACGCCTCCATCAGCTAAAGATATTAGTAAGTATGGTATTTACGTGCGCTAAGTGGATGTGATACAACCTTATTCCAAAAAGGAAAAAAAATTGCGTAAAAATACTAGATAAACAGAAGGATATAAACTCAATTCTTTCAATTTTTAATAATCCTAATTCATCTCATGAGGAAATAGCAAAATATGATGTTAAATGTTTTTATATTTATATGGAGCATCAGAAAATGAGAAGTCTTTGAAAAAACAACGTTATAAGCTATTTACAAAATGTGCTACAAAAAACAAAATTAATCTTGCGTCACTTCCTCCGATATTTCATATTTAAGTATACTGAAAATTACTATCACACACTCCAAATATACTGGCGCAATGACCTTTCACATTACATTCTAACAAAACGGTCTTAGATGGAAATCCTGAAGACATCAAGTTTTTAATGTAAAATTAGAGAAAGGACATCTCCCTGTTTCAATCAAGTATTAATTGTAAACAATTTCAACAGTTGGCTATTAAATTTGACTACAAATCTAGAATTTTAGATGTAAGTTCTTATCACTCTCGTGAGCTTTAGTAGTATCTTAAGCTTTTCCATAAATCTCCACAAGCTTTCCTATTTAATAAAGTTGTATACCTGTTTGAAGTCTACAAACATCAAGAATTATTTATTTGACCAAATGTTTTTGACCCATTGTTCAGTGGAAAAATTGATTTTTACTTCTTAAAATATTGCATAACAAAAATATATTTAATAGAATTGATACTTTTTTTATAAAAAATGTTTTATATCTAACCTGTTACATTGTTAATAAAAGAATAAAAGCAATTAATGATTAACATAATAAAATTAATGTATGATTTGTCTTTATTTTAATATTATTTTTTTTTATAATTCCTGTTGTATTCATAATTTCCTTTAAAAGTGCAAATTGTAACCAAGACTTGAACTTGTGAATTAATAGTATACAAGATAAAAAAATAAAATAGCATTTTACACAAATATAGTGAAATATTAATTATAAGGGGCCTCTACAGTATGTTTTCTCTGATTAAGACAAAGGTTATACATTTAAAAATAAAGAGTATTTAATATTGATTATACAAATATTTTTAAATAAGGAGCGGAGAGAAGATTTCTAACATTCTAACTTTTCTAACAGAAAACTTGCTCCAATCGAAAAATTCCACAACTTTTTTTGATCCTGATAGTGAGTAAGTAGGTTGGTTTTAATTTTTTAATACATTTTTCATAATAATTGAACAGGTAAAAAACATTGAAATAATGATTTTATTATTTTCAATAAGGTTTTTTGTTGCAATTCAGTTAAAATTTGTTGTTAGCGTTTGAAATTTTAACAGAAAACTTATATTTGTTTTTTTTAAATGTAGTAAAATATTTAAAATATTTTAAAGTAATACACATTCATATCTAATCAATAGTTCATAAGTAATAGCCATTTTAATTTCTAGAAAAATGGCGGGAAATCATAAATTTTTCAATAGAATTACACATTATAATTAATGATATAAACATTTTTTTTTTTAATTAAATGAAATATAAATATTTGTAATTTTTATCTTATCTCTGTGAGTAAATACCCAATTTAAAATTTTTTTCAAAACAAATATTTAAGTTATTACTATTTAGATAACACTAGGATATCCTGTATATGATGATAACCAGATGTGAGACTCATACAATTACAATTGGTAAAAAGTGAATGACATACGCTATTATTTTGTGTTTAATTATTGTATTACATGCAATATATTTGTTGTCACTTATAAATCGTTTGTCATTATGTTTTCATTTAGAATTTGTTTTACTATTTTTACACCCATGGCTATAAAATAGTTACAGAGTATATTGATACATTTAAGCGAATCCATTTTGTTTAAAAAATAACCAAACAAATGTAGAATGAAGATAAATATAAGTAATAAATTTAAATCATAACTTAATTAAAAATAATTACTTTCTTAAAAGTTCTAATTAATTTAAAATGAGTGGTTTTTAATTAAATAAAAAATAACCGCAATTATGAGGAAAATGTATAAAAATATTCAATATCACTAAATTAAAATTTTTTTTAAAAATGATAACCTCTTATAATTCTGAATCATGGTCTATATTGTCCCATAAATGTACCACAATTGGGGCATTTATGGTTGACAACATTGCAAGAATCCATGCAACATGGAATTAAACAGCATCCTAAAACGCACCTAGAAAAATATAATTGTACATATTATAATTAAGTCATTGTCTATTCAAACTTAAATGAAATAGGTAGATGAAAATTCATATTTATTAATACCACTACTGCTAAAATAGAATAAGAAATTTTAAATTTATATTGGCCTAATTGGTTACATTTAACAAAAATGTTTTACACTCACCCACAAAAAAACAAAATAATACAGCTCCACCATGCAGTAGAAGTAGCTTTTCTAGATGTACTTGTATAAATGTCAACTTTACAGAAAGGGCATCTGGCATGAGTACTACTAGGACCCATTTGTTGGTTGGTTGAAGTAGTCTGAGGCGGCCCTAAAAATGGTGAAGATAAAAGAAATCAACTATAAAATAAAAAAAGTACCTAAATATTTAATTATTTTAATATATAGAATAATTATTAAGTATATTAATGAAGAATATTTTAAATAGCGTGCAGAGTTATTAAGTTAAACAAAATATTATTATATTTTGATAAATAAATATTAACAAATTATTAGTTTTAAATTATATTACATTCTTATATCATTCAATTTTAACTATATTCCTTTACTTATTATATTATTTTATTATTTATTATTTAGATTATTAAGAAATTAATTTTTTTTAGGTTTAATAATTTTATAGTCTGACTATTTTTTTTTTTTTAAATAAAATGAAATTACACTTTTTTTCCAGGATTCATCAGTACAGGTCTACCTATCACTGTTATAACTGAATAACAGAATAAATGATTTTTGATGAAATTAAATATTATTTTATCCTGCAGTAAAAAATATTATGCTGTTGAATGTGAAATATGATTTTAAAAAAAATTGAGAATGAAAACATTTATGGGTGTTTAACCCCCTAACCTCCCTCTGTATGCAACACTGACAGATAACACAAATACAAAAATAAAGTCACAGAGTCGATTCATTGATTCAATTTACTAGAATAAGTTGAAATTCCCATCCTTATTTTCTCATAAAAAACAAAATATCTTAACACAATAAAAATAAACCGTTTTTTGAAAATGTTGGCCGCGTTTTAGGTTTTGTACATGTTAGGTTAGGTTAGGTTACCTACCCATTCAAAAAACTCACAGGATAATAATGGCACAATTCGCTTGGTAATAATACATTTAAAAAACAAGAGGAATATAATTGTTTATTTATTTTATTTTACTTACACATTTGAATCGGTGCCTGCGGTTGTCCCATATTTGAATTCATCTTCGATTGATCCTTAAGAAATAAATTTTTTGAGTTAAAATAAAATCTAGGTACAAATAATTATTGTTAATGAATAATATAATATAATAAACCTATGAATAAATATTAATAATATTAATATGATATTATATATTCTAAACAAGTGTCAAGAAAACATGAGCGAAAATTGAAAAAAATATCATTAGAATATTATTTTCGAATATTCTTTGACGAATACTGACCAGAGATAAAACGACGCAACGAGTAGGCTGGTCTTTCAAAATTATATTAAATATTAATAATGGAAAATTAGTCCACGACTATATAGTCCCTGTAGTAGTGTTTGAAAAATGATTAGTAAATAACAATTAATAATTTGACTATAAGAAAAAATATTAAATACAAATACAAGATAATTGAGTCCCACCCAAATAAGAGACGGGAAATAAATACCAATGATAATTAATCTGTGTTTACACACCAATAAGATTATTTTTAGTATTTGTTACTGAAGTGGGGAACCGTGTTATCTGTACTTGGATTCCGCTTTGCCATATTTTGTAATATCATTTTATCCAAAAATAATTTGAACCCAAATGAACAGAACGTTGACGCATTACAAAATACGATTAGAACCTCTTTTGGGTTTTATCCAATAGTTTTTACTAAAAATAAAACAAATCCACAATAATTATTATTATTGTTTGTACATGAATTTTATTTTTGTAAATTTTGGTTTACCTTGGTTTTCTATGGAAAAAACACGACTAATATCCTCCGCTCAAAATCGTTTTTTAATTAATTAATTAACCAAATAATAATTATTTTATTAAAATGTAGGTATCATACAAAATCTAAAGTGATTAGGTAAATTTACCATAAAAATTATTCTCATTAGATGCACTATGCGAAAGGATACTTTTTTTGGTACTTTATTTACTTGGTGTCAACAAAAATTAATTTCTTCTAATTATTATAATTAATTATTCAAGACAGGTAATTTTATTATAATTTTACAAATCCACTGGTTATGAACAAATAACTACTTAAATAACCTACTGAGTATTGGTATAAACTCAGAAACGGATTGGACCATCGGGCAAGCGAGAAATTCCCAATTCCCGATGGAATACGTCCTATGTACTGACAAGTTAATTTAACTGCCCAATTTTGCAACTGGGAAATTATTAATCAAAATTATTGATATTATATTGTTTACATACAGTTTTTTTTATAGGTTCCTAGGCATTTTATTCATAAGCATCGCAAAGGATTATGGCAATGGACAATCTAATATATATGGGTTATAGATAGGTAATTTATTACCCTTCTCTACAACTCTTCCGGACTAAACCTTAAACTGTTATAAGTTATAACTCATAAACAGAAAATGTGATCTTAATGTTATGCATATCAAAATATTTCTAGTAAAATATTCTATATTTAAATCTGTATTTAAAAGAGGGGTTCCTATTTGAAAATCAAAAGTATGTATTTATTTAAGATATATGAAGTTGGATTAAAAAATTAAAAATAAAGCTTAAACGATTTTAGATTTACTTAACATTTTTTGAGATAATTGCTGGTTCATGGTAAAAAAAGCAAACATAAATCTAACTTGATTTTATGGATACATAATTTGTCAATGCAGAGTAACAGAATCAACAGTTTAGTAGATATGATGAATTAAACTTGCGTTCAACCGAAAAACATAAAAGTCAAAGTATCTTCCTTATGAAGATTCTTTTGGTTGCATTTGAGATGTAAAAATACCTCCTGAAGTTTGACACAATTATCGTGCAACATTCTGTACACCTACTAATTTATATAAATAATTTTGATATTTTTTTGCAAAATAATGCATTGATATTTTGAACTTTAAATTTTTTTCATAACTGGTTAATTCAACATTGATTTGTTTTATATTTTTATCATTGTTATCAGAGAACACTTTAAATTAAATTGCAATGTAATGGTTATGTGGAAAGTATATTCTGGGATACTCTTAAAAAAAAATAATTCTCTTTTCTGGGGAAAACATAAGAGAGACTATACATTACTGATATATGTTATACATATATATTTGTACTGACATATATGTTTGTATTAATTATTAATAATAATATACATAGGGAATATTAAACATGCTTCCTTAAAGATTTTACAAATTCAAACAATTTACTTTGCTGTCAAAAAAAATAAAATAAAATGAATACCAATCATCTGTTCATCAACTTATTAAATACCTACCTATTCATAAAACTAGTGAATTGAATTCCACTCAAAACATTATCTTACAAATATAATACATATAATTATTGGTTCAATAAAATCTGTTTCTTTGGTCACATAACAAGTAAAAAATGTTTGCTTTTATACCTTTCTAATCTTCTTTTGAAATTCCTTTATACTCAATTAATTTTAGTCATTTTACCATGGTAATATTTAGTTATAATGGCATACAATAATATAAAAAAATTGAAATTAATAAATTAGGCTAGACTAGTTAGCCAATGATTAGGTTAATACAATGTATTTAAATTTTTAAAAATAATTCAAGAATAATAATAAAACTACAAATTACCTAATACATGAAAAAAAAATAATGGAAAAAAAGTTTTATATTAGTTTAACAAGAAAATTAATAATACAATAAAAACAAACAACACAATATTATTATATATAAATATAAACAGATAACATTAAACATTTAAATTTTTGACGATTAATCAATATTCTAATAAATTATAAAATTTGTTTTAATTAAAAATAGTTTTAGAGATTTACATTTTTATTCACATTATATAAGGCACATAATTTATTACAAAATCACCAGTCAAAATTTGTTAGTAAATATAAATGTCTTTAAAATCGATTAAAACAAGCTGTCTCACTGAGAAAGCATTAGTGTATTAAATTATTATTAATAACACAGTTAACAATAACAGTTTAACAATTCAAAAAGTAGTTAGGCATTTAATAAAACTAAAATAATTTATTAATCTATTGAATAAATTGTCCTAAGTAAGCTTCACATTTAGGGCATTTGTGTTCAACATTTAAACATTGATCCATACAAAATGGTAGTAAACATGGTCCCCAGAAACATCTGAAAACAATATACATATTATAAAGCAAGTATTTTGATTAAAATATTATTTAAAAAATAATTAGGTATACAAAATGTATGTGTAAGGGTGTGCTGAGGAGGCTATCACTTTTATTAAATAAGTTCTAAAAGCATTTTCTTGCATATTTATCACATTTGTAGGCATCAAGAATCATATCAATAGTAAATACCCATTTTTCAATCAAAATTATTTTATTATAAGAAGCAATAGTTACATTGAATTCCACTATAATATACATATCTAAATTATGTGGTTTTTTAAATTTTCCTCCTTTAATAACTGTCCAAGGACACCTTTGTACGCACATAATTAGATATATTATGGCTAAATAAATTAATAAATAATTGTTTATTACCCGATAACACATAACAATAAACTGGTTAAATAAGCCTTTGTACTTGGTTTCTTATTTATATTGGAAGTAATCTCTTTTCGACAATTGGAGCATACCATTCGGGTACTGTGTGGCCCAACAGGTACAACGGTGGTAATAAGTTCAAATGGAGCTTTCACAACTAAATGAAATATTTGAAATTGTAGCAATATAAAAAAATATTCAATAGAAACTTACATTCAGGTTGTGGCGTGTAAGGACTTGCCGGTGGAACACTTGTCTGTTGACTCCATCCATACGGTGCTGTTGGAACTGTACCCGGTGTATATACTCTACTCATGATTCTTTATAAGAAAAAGTTTAACAAAATAAAACATTGATAACATATTAAGTATGTGTAATTATGTAATTTTAAGCATATTAAATCTATTTCAAACCATTTTTCATGATTATTTGTACGTCCATTTTGGGCAATAAGGTCAAACAACATAGATATGGAGGTAATTTAATAGGCCAACTAATTTTAAATACTTTCTATTTTTTAAATTACAAAAAAAATAATAATAATAACTCGTAGTACAGTTAAAATACTTTACCTGGAGAATCTATATAATGAAATAATAAATAGACCAGTAGGAAAAATTAACTACAAATCAGTTTTTAATTTCGTATTAATATAAATTGTGAAATATGCAAGGTAGTTAAAATAGGTGTCACGGAACTGGAAGTTTGATAGTGCGAAACTTGTATTCACTACTTCAGCCTTCAATACTTTTTATTTCACTCGTGATATCGTATGATCAACTTGATAAAAATATTTCTCTTCCATATACTTTCGTGGAAGAATCAAAAGTATATTTCTTTCAATGGTGTTAATCACGAATATACAGAGTGGTTAGATTAGGTTTGGGTTACAGATAGGCAATTTATCATTCTTCTTTACTCCTCCGGTCTAAACTTTAAACTGCATAACTCATAAACGGTAAATCTGATATTAGTGTTATACACATCAAAATTTCTGGAAACATATTCTCTATTTAAATCTTAGTTCTAACGGGGGGGGGGGTTCTATTTTAAAATCAAAAGTGTGTACTTATTTTAAGTACACGTAAGGGTAAAATATTAAAATAAATCTTAAATAATTTCATAATGATTAGAAAAAACAGAAATCAAATTAACTTAAAATCCTCTGAAATTATTGCTGGTTCATGATAAAAAAATGTGTATGCAAGATGACGATTAAAGAAATACCTATAGGTATAAATATGTATATCTTTAATCGTGTGCAAGATCTAGATTCTAGAATAGAATAGATCTTGATAGATATTATCATATCAAGTTAAGTCATAAGAAGGTTTATTACTCTAAGCATATTATAATATTATTATTATAGCCATTAATAAATTAAAATTATTACTAACTATAATTATTTAAAACTGTAATCAAGGTGGATTAATCCACTTTGCCTGTAATAAAATAGAAATCATAATAAAATATGTAAACCTAATATCCATTAAGTGAACTTAAAATATGATTGATAGGTCTATCTAAAATATATGGGTAGGTAGCTGACGACAAACTTTGATTTTTACATTTATAATGTATACCTATTTTTTTATTCACTGTATTAAAATATAATTAACTGAAGATAACAAATTCCAAATCAACGATTGAATCAATTAATTTAAGAATTTGATCAATATTTATACATCAAGAAATCAATTATTAGAATCTAAAAAATAGATTATTTTAGCTCATCACTATTCGGTATTAACTATAAATGACCAAATTACAATTTATAGTTGATTCAATTATGTGCTATGTGGTTTTATCTACTATAATGTATATATTAGTTTATATTTATTGCTTAAATTAATAATTTGTGTTTTCACATAAAATACTTGAATAATATTATCATTAACATCAAAGTTTCATACATTTTAAAAACAAAATGTCAAAGTTAGAAATAACATTGGTTTGTAATTATAAAAAATGACGTGTGTCTTTAAATACTTCTGCGTGAGTAATATGTTCTCAAATATTTTGTGAAAACGATGGCAGTCAAATATTAAACCGAGAGAAACAATGTCCATATTGTAGAAAATACTCAAAAACCCATTGGATATTATACAGATATACTTTTAAATTTAAATGTAATTTTGAATTAAAAAATAAATCCTTTATTAATTAATAAAGATTTTAATGATGTAGGAAGTGTGTTAACAATGGTTTACCTAGGTTAAAATAAGAATATAAAGTATAAACTATTTACATTTTAGATAACATTGTGTGGTCTAAGATAGGAAATTATGATGGATTACAAGCAATGTCTTTTTGGAATCATCAAATTACTCAAGAAAACATTATTCAGACCACTAATACACATAAAAAACGATTGCAAGAGAGATTTGAATTTGATAAAAAGTAATAGACTTTAGAAAGGTTAATGATAAGTAATAGTATACTATTAAGTAGTTATGTAAACATGTATTTATAACTACAACAAAATATAATTTATAGCAGCTTTAAAAGATGCAGAATTACTAAAACAGAGAATTTGAGAAATTGAACAGAAACTTATGAAAAATAATAGAATTTTACACCATGTTCAAATGATTTTAACATAATAATTAAAATATATTATAATTAACAAAAACCTATTCAAATCTGGGGAACAGTTCTGTAGAATTGAACATACTAGAGTAATTGTCTCAATGTAGGTATGATAGTGTAGGTGAATTTAGATTTAGTAATTAAATAATAAACATAAATTACTATAATATATTAACTATACAGGCTAAATATGAGTGTCTGAAACGCCAAATCACTCTCACAACTGTTCAATCAGCAAAACCATTAAAATTGGAAGTAATTCATATGGTCCCACCCCAATCTAAGTTATTTAAAAATCACACCGATAGTAACTATTTGGTATACAATAATTAAATTCTACATTAAAATAGATATATTTTTATTTTACAGAATTTTTATTTGCACCAATTTTTTAATAAATCAAAAATAAATATAATCAAGAACATACAAATTTGTATTTAAAAATAAACTAAGAAGTCAACACTAATACAGAAAATAATAATTTTTATTTTAAATCAAAAATTTCTAAAGGTTTAATATTTAATTCTTTATGTAGTTCTTCTATTGGTTGTTCCCATCTTTTTTCAAAATAAATATTTAACATAAAATTACTGTTTAGTCCTGTTTGAATAGCCCATGGTAAATAATATTTAACATATTGTTCTCTTTGTCTAAAAACAATATGTGTGAAGGTATAAATAAGTAAATAAATAAGTGATCACACATAAGATGTTCCATTTTACATGCTACATTCATTTTCTAGTTTATTTTTTTTTTCTAAAATGTTTATATACATTCTTTGAATATTTTTTCAAATATATTAATATATAAATTTAAAAATTATAACTGTAGACAAAAAAAATAAGTGTGATAAATCAATTTTATATTTCTTAAAATTATAGGCATTACTTCACTTCTCTAAAATAATAAATAATTTGTTCATTATTCAATACTGATTATATGTATTAAATAAAATTGAAAAACTCAATGCAAAATGAAGTAAAATTAAAAATTTGTTTTGAAATGTATAATATATATATTATACATTTAAAACGAATTTAAATTGAGTAATTAAATACAATCAAATGGCTAAAAATGACCATAGAGTTTGACATGTAAAATGGAAGATTTTTGCATACATTCATTATATATTTATATAATGTATAAATTTACTTTGGTTTAAGTCGTACAGCTCCAAAAAGACCTCCGCTTAATGTCATTGGTAACTTTGTCTGAAATGCTTCAATCCATTTTACCGTTACTTCTCCTGAAAATTAAATGTATACATAATAATTTATAAATAACTTTATTCATATAATGTATTAATTAATAATATGAATTGTGTTACCTAACATATTAGTTGGCATACCCAATACTGTATGGAATAAATCATGTACTTCTCTATATCTTTGCATTACATATGCTAATTGAATATCATCTATAAATTGAACAATTCCTCGAGAGTCTGGGGTTACTTTCTAAATAAACATAAATAAAAGATTAAAAAACTTTGATATTCATAATTCATTATAAATACAATAAAAAAATTGAATACATTATGATCCAAAAATTTAAAGTAAGCATAACCGAGTGTATTATGTGGCATATCTTTTAACTTTCCAAAATCAACTGTTGAACTGTTAATTCGAGGTTGTAACCTTAAAAAAAGTATAAATATTAGTTAAATACCTATTAAAAATAAGATTGAACCACTTGGATGATAAATATATATCACACTTCACATCTCCACTATTACTTCTAACATCGACCACACTTGATCCTTGTAAGCACGATGATAGCAGAAAGAGTGAAGAGAACTGATAAAACTATTGATTCTTAATGAGAATTCACAACCAATCACGTATTTACTATAAGGGAACTGGACTTAGCAGGCTGAATCTATATAGATGAAAGCGGTTGCAATCTTATTTTGAATAGAGTATACATAAGAATAAATTAAAAATTAAAACAAAAATTTACTGTAGTATTTCATTGCCTTCTGGATTATTAATCATTTTATCTCTTATATATTTTAATGCATGTGTTCCAGTAGTTTCTCCCAAAGTGGAAATCATATCTAAAATATTAAAATGTAAATAAAAATATTGAATATCTATATAGTATTACATAGTATAGTTTTATCGTATCTTAATAACTATAATTTGTTTTTTTAAACAAAGTACGTATTTTTTTTTTTATTATTATTCTAAATTAAATACATTTTTAATTTAAATAGATATAGGTAGATTACAATATCATAATAGTTGATAGTACATAAAACAATAATATTTCCAATATTACCTGCCCTTCGAGGTTCAAATAATGAAATAGCTGCAGATCCAACAGATAGCATTATTTTTTGTAATGGTGTAGTGGGTATATGATTTTCATTATATTGTGATACAAAACCAGACATATGTCGATACATTTGATTATTTGAAACGATTAATTTTTTCAACATTTTGTACCTCATAAAATGCAGTAAGCTTTTTACATAAGAAATTTTAAAACTGAGTTAACTAATTTTTATTATTTTTAATTTAAAATTTTAGTTATCACTTATCACTTTGTTAAAATAAATAAGCAAATGTTATTCTAAAGGAACAATAAAAATAATGGTTTATTATCAGTATAATTTTGAATATAAATACATAGGTATAAAATACTTGATGACTGGTTAAGATAATATGAACAATTATGTTCAATGTGTTTTATAAACCAATTACCATTGACAAGACCTACTGAATACGAAGGGGTACATTTATGAAAAAAATAATCTTTATAATATATACGTAGCAAAAGACTAGTTGACGTTATTAGACAATTAATTTTAAATACTTTTATGTTAATTTGAAATTGTAAATAATCTATCTATACCATACAACATTTACCACGATTCAAGATAATATTTATGAATCGTGATCCATAACCACGATTTAAGATCTTAAACCGTGTCCACAATTTATAGACATAAAATAATCACACCAATTATATTAGAGCATCATAGACATTATAGTGCCTTAATTATGTTTTTAAGTTTTCAGTATCAAAAACACTGTAGACCAACAGGATTTAGCACTGCTAGTGTTTTATTAGGAATCAAATTTGTATTAATTAGATTATTTACCGCCAAAAATAAAATTAAAATACAATTCTATATTATGTAGGTATTTATTGTTAAAACAATTTTTAATTAATAAATAAATTGTAATAATGAATATACTCGTAAGTATAGTGTGAAAGTATGCATTAGTGTAAAAAGAAATCAAAGAATTTTTTTTATTTAAATCATCAAAATCTTGGAAATTGGCAGTAAGTAATGCTAATTTAGTCAACAGATAGCGTTGTAAATCGTCGGTCAACATTGCAACCCCCTGCACTTGTGTCTTGTAGCATAGATTATCTTTAATATCTATTAACTATAGACCATTATATCCTCGTACTATAGTATCTAAGATTATATCTATGACAAAATAAATAGGTATGTTAGCAACTTACAAGGTCTACCTGATACTACTATGTCTATTTTGTCATGATTACATTTATAGTCATCTATATCTTAGTCTATGGTTTCGAAATGATTATTTAGTGTTATCAAAAACTTGTTATCGTCATAATATAATTGGTTGAAAATTATTGTTTACTTCTTTATGTTTGAACTTACTACGGACTGTGTATTATATTATAATAATAACAATGATCACAGTTCATGGTCCTTGTTAGTTGTGGTTCAATTAGCATTTAGTTTTTTTATTTTATATGTACAACTATAGTTTTTAATTCGTTTTAATAATTAACAATATCAATAATAAACATGTATTGATTAAAATTGATTCTCATTTGACATGAAGTATTATATTATCATACTATAATATTGTGAACGCTTTCTTTATCAGAAATTAATGATGTCCGACAATTCTGAAGATCAGGTTAGAAAGTGTTCTTTTAAATTAATTTTTAATACATATTAATTGTAATTATATTTACTATATTTAATTAAATAAACTTTTATTTTTATAAATACCTAGGTATATAATTATTAACTTTTATAAACAAACATATTGAACTTATTAAATAGTCTTGTAATTTATTCAAAAGAATATATCCTAACACAACCATCTTACTGTTATTTTTTTTAAATATTATGACTAATTAATAAATTATAAACTTATTACCATTTGTTTTTTTTGATTAATATAGTTTGTATTGTTGCAGAATCCTAGAGATGCTGGAAATATGTGTTTGGAATTGGCCTTGGAAGGCGAAAGACTATGTAAAGCAGGAGATTGTCGCTCTGGTGTTGCTTTCTTTCAAGCAGCTGTTCAAGCAGGAACTAATGATTTACGTACTCTAAGTGCCATATACAGCCAATTAGGCAATGCTTATTTTTATTTAGCAGATTATCCAAAGGCATTGCATTTTCATAAACTTGACTTGGCTTTGGCAAGGTAATGTATTTTTATTTTATATTCTAATCAGGGTGAGGAATTTCTAGGTTTTACAATGATTTTTTTTTTTATCTGTGAACAACTTTCTACCAGAAATTTTTCTCCGATTTTCAAGTGTAGCATTTTTTTTTTTTGAAAGGATATCTTGGTAGTATTTACTAGGAAAGTCATTTTTGATTTTCCCAGAAATTTTCGTAGTAAATGGGTAAAAATGGGAAAATGTACAAATATGTATTATTTTTAAATTGTAAATATTACGGCCTTTTAAAATCTATATAACCGAGCTCTGCTCAGAATCGTTTTTCGTTAGTAAAGATTAATTGTTGCATACAAATATACATTTAGTTTTCCCTCTACTTTCCTAACTTCTCATCTACAACAGTGGTCCACCAATTATGAGATGTATGTTTGCATCCTTTTAAAATTTTGGTGCCTATTGCTAGAATCTTAAAAAAATAATACCTTAACATTTTTGTATCTATAAAATAAGTTAACAATTGGTAATGATGTAGCTGGTTGGATAATGTGTTAGTTTTATTACCGCATGTCGAAATATTGGTAACTGATTGTACCATAGATATTAATATAGAGAAAAATAAAATTCACACTATTTTCTTCCCAATAATTTTAAATTTGTTTGGCAATTAGCTATACTACTCTTGTGTCAATTAAATATTTAATAAATGGGAAAAATGTGATATGAGTATAAATAATGTTTAATTGCCTATACTGAAATTATTTTAATGTATAAAATGTTTGTAAAAAATGTATTAAGTTAAAATTAAATTTCAGAACTTTAGGAGATAAACCAGGTGAAGCTAAATCTAGTGGAAACTTAGGAAATACATTAAAAGTAATGGGAAACTTTGATGAAGCTATGATTTGTTGTAAACGTCATTTAGAAATTGCAAGAGAATTGGGAGATAAGGTTTGTATTTATTATTTTGTATTGGCATTTGTAGTTATAATTAAATATTATTTTAAATAACAATGTATAAAATATTTTGAATAATTTAAAAATAGTTAAGTGAAGGACGAGCTTTATACAATTTGGGAAATGTATATCACGCTAAGGGTAAACATATAGGAAGAGTGGGTCAACAAGATCCTGGAGAATTTCCAGAAGAAGTAAAAGTTTGCATTGAACAAGCTGTTAAATATTATGAGTAAATATATTTTTTGTATATAAATTTATATCATATTAAATTGTTAACTTTTTTGGAAAAAGCTCAGCAATGTTTACACAAGGAATGAAATCTGAGTCTTGCAGGGTATTTACACTACTATTATGCTGGTAGTTAGTAATGCAGATGTTCTTCATCAGTTACTATTATTTTATCATAGTTTGTCTAGCAAACTATTAGTTAAACTATTAAACTAATATTTATTATGATGAAAGTTTCAATAAAATTATAGTTGGAAAATCATATATTTATGAATAATTTTTATACAGGGAAAATTTGAAATTAATGAAAGAGTTAAATGATCGTGCAGCTGTTGGTCGTGCATGTGGTAACTTAGGGAATACCTATTATTTGTTAGGAAATTTTAAGGAAGCTATTCAATATCATGAGGAGGTAATAATACATTATTTTTCTAAATTTAATCTTGTTTTAAATGTATTTTATTTTTAGAGACTAAAAATTGCCCGAGAATTCGGTGACAAGTCAGCTGAACGGAGAGCAAATAGTAATTTAGGAAATTCTCATGTTTTTCTTGGTGAATTTGAAGAAGCTGCTGATCATTATAAGTAAAAAATAATATATTTTAGATTAATTTATATTAATTATATTACAATATAATATTAGGAAAACTTTGATCCTCGCTCAAGAATTAGAGGATCGTGCAGTTGAAGCACAAGCATGTTATAGTCTTGGCAATACATATACACTTTTGAGGGATTATAATACAGCTGTTGATTATCATTTAAGACATTTAGACATAGCCCAAAAATTACATGATAGAATTGGTGAAGGTAAAGTATTGTTTACAATTTGTAAGTAAAATTGAAAATTATTTTATTTCTTAATTTTATATAAAATAAATTGTTGTTTATTTGAACTTTTATTGCATTATTTGCATTCTTATTAATCAATAAGTAATGCCCGGATTTAAATTTAAAATGTATTATTATTTTTAATCTTAAACATTGATTTTTATGTATGTACACAATTTGATTCATTGTAACAAATTCTTCAAAAGTTAAACAATAGCATTGCCATTTTTAGAGTATTTATTGATCACTGTTTGTTTTAAGTGCAAATTTATATATTATTTAAATTAAAAAATTAAATTTTGGTGATTTAAAATGTTAATTTTTATGAAATTTGAATTGGTTTTAGGTATAAGCATCAATACTATTATACATATTGTCAATCATTTTATTTATGATTTTTATAACAGCTTTATCTTATTTAGATCATAGCATCTAGTTTTTTTTTTTTGTGCAGTTTTGACTATTTTTAGAGCACTTTTTTTTTTTTTTCTTATGGCTTAATATAGACCATTCAGGTTAATCACCGCAGCCACAACTTCCCTCCATATGTCTTTATCCGTGGTTAACTTTTTGCCATTCAGGATTCCCAGCCAGCTAGATCTTAATGAACTCTGTTATCCATCTTCGTCTTAGATGGACAAGTGGTCTTTTATTCTTCGGCTTCCAGCTGGTGACTTGACTAATTATCTGTTTATACATGCCTTGCCCATCTTATTCTTTTACTTTTAATTATAGCTATTATGTCTGAATCCTCATGCTTATAACATGCTTATAACTTCTTTGTTCTTTCGTCGCTCATATTCTCCCATATTTTGGGTTCTCCTGGGGCCAAAAATTTGACATAACATCTTTCTCTCAAATCTTACTAGGTTCTGTTTGTTTGTCTTTGTTATAGCCCAAGTTCCACTCATATAGCGCTATCGGGTGTATCATTACTTTGTATAAAGTTAGTTAAGATTTTAAAATTTTCTGTAATCCGAAGAAGCACTTGTTAACTGAGTTTATTTTATTTTTTATTTCTTAGTAGTTATTGCCCAACACATTAAATTCCATCCCTAGATATTTGAAGTTTTAGACCCATTTGAACTCCACACTTCCCTTACTATCAAATTATTACGTCTATTATTTCTCCATGACAGCATCATGTACTTTGTTTTTTCTTCATTTATAGTTAAGTTCATTTGTTTACTTTTATCCATGAGAGCTTCTGCTATGCACTTAAGGTTGCTTTCAGATTTGGATAGTAATACTGTGTCATTAGCATATACTGTTAGTTTTATAGTCATAGATCCTTTTAGTTTATCTCCTATAAGGGTGTTTAATGCCTTTCTAACCACTCCCTCCAACACAATTTTGAAGAGCATTGGTTAGAGAACACCTCCCTGTTTCAGTCCTGTGTTAATCATGAATTTCTTTGACAGTTGGCTGTTAAATTTGATCATACATTTAGAGTTTTGAACACATGCCTGTTTATAATCTACAAATAGCAGGAAATTCAAATTTCACAAGAAAAATCATAGAAGATAGACTTAAGTAATATACACGTTATTAATAAAACATAATAGTACATGTTGGTTATTACTAGGCTTAGGGATTTCTATCATTGGCATATTTTTCCTGAATTATGTAAAAAATAGAAATCCTGTACATATTATATAGAATCTAAATCCAAAATTTGGTTGTGCATATTTTAGCATATTTTAATGTTTTGTCTCATTAAACCATATATTAGCAATATGCAGCTTTTATGTGCTATAACAGGCCATTTATTACATTTTTAAAGCATATTTGTATGATTTTTAGAGCTAGAAGTCCCTAAACCTTGTTATTACTTATTACTGGTTTCTAATCTATATATCTCATATATTTCTATCGACATAAGACTCAATTTGTGCTGGTCTCAATGAGAATCTTCTATCAATGACGATTGTAGATGTGAGAGTTATATTTTAAAACTAGAATACATATCATAACATTATTCTTTAAAATAATAAGTATCCCCTTGATCATATGTCAGATACAAAGTTATCAATGTTAATTAAACATAAATTAAATTTACAGACAGCTGAAATCCAGACAATTGTAAAAACTCCGTAAGATTATACAGGTTGATTTTTTCATCATGAATTAGCAATTATCTCAGAGGATTTTAAGTGAATTTGATTTCTGTTTTTTCTAATCATTATGGAATCATTTAAGCTTTATTTTAAAACCATTTTAAATTTTTTACCCCTACTCCCATGTACCTTAAATAAGTACTTACTTTTGATTTTCAAATAGAAACCTCCACACTTTTTGAACGCAGATTTGAATAGAGAATATTTTTCTAGAAATTTTGATATGCATAACACTAATACCAGATTTACCGTTTATAAGTTATAACAGTTTAAAGTTTAGACCGAAGAATAGGGAAGGGTTTTAAATGGTTCATGATAAAAAAAAATCACCCTGTATACTATCATACAAATGTGTATTACAGTTTGTTGCTAAATTTTTATTTTACTAGACTAATTTTTTTTAGTCAAATTTAATTATTTTATTATTTATTAGTATTATTTAATTATTTAATTTAATTTTAGTTTATTTTTAAAAGTAAAAACTAATAATTATATAGATTAAGTATGTTATATTATAAAAGGTTTACATAAAATTAAAGTATACTTAAATAACTAAATAAATGTATTATATATTAGACTTATTGTTTTATAATTATTATTATAGGTAGAGCATGCTGGAGTTTGGGAAATGTAAATTTAGCTTTAGGAAATCATGAAAAAGCATTGTATTTTGCTTCAAAGCACCTTGAAATATCTAAAGAAGTAATTATTGTTTATTATTTACTTCAAAGTATAAATTATGTTAACAATAATAGTGTGTTTTTTCCCATTAAGATTGGTGATACAGTAGGTCAAGCAACTGCTCAGATAAATATAGTGGATATTAAGAAATCTTTGGGTATGTCAAATGGTCAGCTTTCACCAGAGAGCAAAGAATTATTGGACACAATTTCGAACACACAACCATCACCTCAATTACGACGATATAGGGTGAGACGTCAAAGCATGGAACAGCTTGATTTACTTAAGGTAGTGTGTGCATGTTAATGGGTGATAAGCTTTTGTTTGATATTGTATTTATGTTATATAATATGCATCAACTTTTATTGTGTTTAGTTCAACACCAAAATATTTTTAGCTAACATTGATGTTTTATCAAGTAAATTATTATTATAAAAATTGCGACTATGACTGCTTTATTTTGGGTTTGTATGCATATTTAAAGTGCTTGGAAGAAATAGATTCAAAGGTTTCGTTGATTTTGAGGAACATATTGGAATTTCGTTCAATTATTGTAGGAATATGAACAAAATTTTGTTCAGTTTTTCATTCTTAGATAACTACATAATTTTACTAATTTTAATAAACATTATTTTTATTATTATTATTTATTAATAGTATATAAGATAGTCCAAATTGTCTCTTGCGAAAGACATTTGCAAGTTAGCTGTTTATGAAGTTTATAATGTATAAAATTAAAAAAAAAAATATACACATTAATGATTTTTATTTTTGGAACTAAAAATGTTTCTTCAATTTAGAAATGAGCTTGGAATTAATCCTATTTGAACTAGATGGACATGAACAATTCCTTTATAAGAACTTTCCAAGCACTGGATATTAAATAATTACAAATTTTAAAACTGTGCTATTTGTTAATTATTTTAGTTAACTCCAGACAATAAAGGCAAAACATCTAGTACTAATGAGAAAATGTATCAGCCTACTTCATCAGGTTCTAATAAGGTATTCAATTTAATTACTTAATTTATCATGTTTGTTAGTATAAATTTTGTTTTCGAATAATAGTCTGAAAAATCTGAAGATGATCCATTCTTTGATTTGCTGTCACGATTTCAAGCAGGACGTATGGACGATCAACGCTGTACTCTTGGTTCCTCAAGAAATTTGGAAGATAAAGAAAACCAAAACTCAAATAAATTAATTTCGCAGATTGGTAAATGATTTCTATCTACTAGTTATTTATAAACCTAATATAATTTTTCAACAACTATCAAAATCAAATTTACTTGATTTTTCATTAACTTTATTATTTATTTATACTACTTCATTTTTTAACAATAATGTGTGTTTAATGACATATGTTCTCTCATATATGATTGAGGATGTTTTGTGAACATTATGTTTTTTTTTTTCAATAATGATGAACAGAAACTTATTCATTATAATAGATAGTTGTTTCAAAAAAGTTATTCATTTTTAGAAGTAAGATGGCAGTTTAAGAAGAGATTCTGGAAAACTAAATTGGTTTTAATTAATTATTAATTTGGTTTTACAGTGGTATTTATTTTTATTTTTATTTATGGACAACTTTTCTACTAACAATTTTACTCAGATTTTCAAGTGTAGCACTTTTTCTGAAATTAAATCTGAATACTATGGCAACTTTTAGGTCATTTTTTTGATTTTCTTAGTTTTCATAATAAATTAGAAAACTGGAAAATTTACAAAATGTATTATTTTCAAATCATAAATATTACGGCCTTTCAAAACATCTCAAAACAACCAAATTTCACTCAGAATTGTTTTTCATTAGCAATGAATAATCTGCATATATATATGCATTCAATTTCCCCCTCTACCTTTCCAACTCCTTACCTACAATAGCGGTCCACCTATCGTGTGAAATTATGTCTGTTTTTTAACTCTATAAGCAGTAAACAATACATATTAATTTATTCATAAATAATCTATGATATAAGTACAAATTATTTATTATGATGTATTCAATCATTTTTTTAAATTTTTTAGTCATGGTCTTTAAGACTACTTTACCAAACAGATCTTCCACTTATCACATTCCTATGCTAAATTGTTAATCTATAACATTTGCATCTAACATCTACATCTATGTATTTTTTAAAGTTCTACTATAATTTAAATTGTATCATTGGAAATATGTGTTAGTATAGATAAACATTAAATTTATTTGACTATAATTATAATATTTAAATTTGTTTATTGTAGGTAGTCATGCTGAAAGTCAAGATGATTTATTGGACATGATAGCGGGTATGCAGAGTAAACGTATGGATGAACAAAGAGTAGAATTAGAACAACTTCCTGGAATTGCAAAGCCAGATAATGAACAACCCGATGATAATTTCTTAGAATTGTTGATGAGATGTCAAGGTGAAAGGCTGGAAGATCAGCGCAGTGAGCTACCAGTATCTAACATTAGTAGTGATGGAGAATCTCAACGTACACCGAATCGAGGGCCGACTGTACCAGATGAAGACTTTTTTACTTTAATTATGCGTCTTCAATCAGGTCGAATGGAAGATCAACGAGCAAGTGTGCCAATGTTAAAACGAAATTATTGAGTATTATCAATCAGATTATAGTAAATTTTAAAATATTTCTTGTACATTTAAACATGTTTAAAATTATAATTTTATAATTGTTTAAATTTATATCTGTTTCTTAATGGCATTACTTTATGTTGTTGTAATAATAATTTATTTAAATTGAATTTCCATTATATTATTATATTTTTCCAGTATTACAATGATCTACTTTTATGACTGTTTTAACATTACACAAATTATTGATTATTAGATTAATTACTATTAATTATTAATTTTAAATGATCTTTTACTATACATATTACAATTATTATACTTTTATCATGAAGATTTATTATATGTTATAGATAGATCTGATTGTTTATGACTTAAATATTAGCACTAATATTCTGATACTTCCAATATTATAATAATAATATAAATTAAAATTTATTTAATTAAATGATATGCATAGTATAATAGATTGTATTTGTATAATGAAGTAATTCAAATAAATAAAAATACATAATTTTAATTAAAATACGACTTGATGTTATATAAAGCAAAATATTATAATGTATAAGTTAATTATAATAAAGTTTAATTTTTCAAATTATATGAACTATTTAAAATTTTTTCATAACAAAAATTTATTTAAAAATGGTAGATTGATCAAAAATAGGCTTTCAATTTTGACTGGAACAAATTTTAATTACTAGTATTTATTTTTTGACAAATCTTAATGCATTTGCATATTTTGTATACCACATATATCCAGTTGCAATAGCTAAGCCATACCTGTAATAATAAATAAAATATTAAAAACCAATATATTTTCTTTTAAAATAACATAAATATTAGAAATTAGTGTATTTTCATTAAATTAATAATATTACTATAATTAATATATTTAATAGTTCCTAATGTATTTGAAATCATAAGGACCTAGAATAGAAAGCAGTTCAAACTAAATAAGAAACAATTTAAATTTAAATTACTATATTAAAAAAATAAATACATACAAATGTAAATTTTTGTTACATAACTTTTTTTAGATCAACACCTTAAGGTACCTTGAGGGGTACCTCAAGTTGATGATCGCAACAAGATTTTTGATATAAATCTCAAGTTTTGACAGTTTATTGTGATGTGTGAACAAATTTCACACATATATTTATTTTAATTTGGTATTAGGTCTTTTTTTTATAACAATTAAATTACTATTTGGTTATAATTAATATTTTTTGAATAATTATATATCTCTAAATATTTATTGTGAATATTTCCAAAGTCTTTCTTAAAAAAAAAAATTGTTTAAATATTACGTTCACATTAAACTGTTTGTTCCACTCACAATTTATGAAAAATGACAAAATGACTGATTGTAGATCAGTAATTTACTTAAAAAATAATAACTAAATAACTATTTAACCTCCTCAAAAAACTAAGAATTAATCTGTCAATACATGCATAACTGTCCTAAAACTAGTATAATAGAACACTAAATTAATAGAGATCATTTTAATAGAAAATATGAGCAAGTGATAAACAGGCATTGTACTGACATCTGATATATTTAATAACTTTTTTTCTGTTTAATATTTTTAAGTTTTTGACTTGGATATGTCTTATGGCTGGGATCATTCCGAAAATTTATGTGACACCACATAAATTCTGTGCATCTCACGGCTACCTAAAATCCCTCATAGTCTCCTTTGTAATAATGTTATTATATTATTATTTAAAATGTATGTGTATAAAATGATATTGACAATAAAAATAACACAATATAAATTATATAATTAAAACCATTATTGGTTGATAGTTGTTCAACTATGTAGAAATTTCTTACAGTTTTGAATACAAAACTAGGATTATAATTAAGCAACAATCTCGCAACTTCTACCCAATGCCATTCTACTTGCATCGACAGTCTTATCATCACATTGAGCAGCTTGGAACGTGCAAGTACATTTCATATTTCAGTACCTATCATCCTTTACTATCTATAACTAGTCATACTGAAGTTGTAAATTATAAAAATTTTGTTGTTCAAGAGTATATACAATAATAAATACAGGTTGTCTTTGAAATTAATTAATTATTTACACATGAAAAAAATGTTATCTATAACTTAGTCCTCATATCCTTAATTGAATGATAATTGCACTAAACCGATAGGCGTTAACATTCCCATGTCAACTGAACTCAGTAGCCATAAGATATATTCATGTACAGATGTATCTAACTCTTTTTTTTTTTTTATTTTTTAAATATTTACTAAAATTGTGCACTATAATTCTTCTATTTTAAAACTAAAAAATAATATTTTTTTTTCTTCAAAATTCAAGATATCCAATTTATAAATTTATTCTGAAATAAAATGTTGGTGTTAAAAAATATTTATTAAAAATGAGTCATTAGTTTTCTAAAAAATTTTGTAGTTAATATAAATTATTTTTCATAGATAATCAAATTGATACTATTTAGTAGTGACAATGAAAACAATTTTAATTATCTTAAACTTACTCTTTTTTTTTTTAGAAAATTAACAAAAAGACTAGTAATTATTAAAAAAAACAACTTAAAAATTTTGAATAGAACAAAATGTATTACATTTGTAGTTCTCTATACCCTGTATAACATTTAGTCACAATGTAAAAACTTAGATAAAAGTATTTTAGAATTAAATATAATTATAATTGTTATCTATATTAATATATTATAACTAGATAGGTGGCAAAATAATACATAATTTGTCTTACCAAGTAATAATATACGAGACATGTTCATTTCTCAATGAAATATTAGTCTGACCACCGATTGGCCCTCCAGGAGTACTACATTCCATTAGAGCATCAATTAAAATAGGTTCACTATCAACTAGTTTTGCCATTGCATTTAAATCTCTAGAATAATAAATAACTGTAGTAAAACATAAAGTATTGGGCAAAATGAATAAAAACTGCTAATTTTTTTTTTGTAATACACGAATTATGAATTTCAAGAAGAAACATCTATAATTTACCTATAAGACCAGAAGCGAGAGTCTTCAATATTTTTAGTTACGAATTGAGGTCTAGGTTCTGTTAAACGTACAACACCTTCCAATTCAATTTCTCCAACAACTTGACCAGAAACTCTTGATGCTGGATTTTTATTTTGCATGGATACCCACCCTCGATTTACTAAAATTGTTAAGCTAAAAATAAATATTATTCATAAGTGAAAAAAAATAAAAAAAAAGATTCTTACGGTCTATTTGACAGTTTAAATGGTGTTACAACATAATAACCACTTTTTGTAGACCCAGATCCAGAAAATAATCCATTTCCATTCTCAGATCCACCATCAGTTAAACAGGATCTAGGGCCTAGATATAATTCCTTTGAATGATCAAATTCACCAATGACCTTAATTTTACGGTATTCAAGGTTTTTAAGTTCATCTTCACTATAAAAATAAAACACATCGGAATAAAATTTTAACAAACTTTTAACAATCATTTTAACAAACTTTTCTGGAAAATCAATTGCAGGTAATGTAGTTTTAAGTTTAAGTTCTTCAATGAGAGTTTCCTTCCATTTTTTCCGATTGACTTGCCATGTACCCAATCCGAATGCAGAGATTGGTATCACCTTAAATTTAAATCAATTGTTTATTAAAACAAATAGTAGATATAAAAGAATCATTTTTAATCTTACTAATAAAATCCACCCTATGTCTGGGTTATTACTTTTCCTTCTACTAAATGACTGCAACGGAACTGATTTGGATGACATACTACAGTTTCTAGTTAAATTTGTTACCTAAAGCAAAATATAGTGTAAAAATAAATGTTTATAAATTAAACACACAATTTTAAACAATAGAAAACCATACATAATAATTTTAATAAAAATATATAAGATTCATTATTTTTTATTAATTTATTTATCCAGGCTCAGCATAACATAAGTACTTATAACTTGTATTATTGAATTCAAAAACTACTATGCGTATGTGTGATAATATTATAGTAGGTATTATAAAGTTATTTTAAAACCTACATAATTTTGTACTATTATATCTCTAGGATGATTTGATGTTTGAATTCAACAGAAATCTAAGTATTTTAAATGGTCACATTTATACAGTAGTTATCTATTAAAGATTTATTCCTCATATTTTTCATGAATAATTTATCACATAAATGTATTTAAAAAAAAAAGTTATAAACACTTACATAATATAATCTAGATGAAATAGAATTTTGTCTGGATAAATAATTTGAAACATATTTCAAACAAATCATTCTGAACTTAATTACAATTTATAATTAACGAGTATAATTGAATCAACAATTAAAATATATTGAGGCAAAGGATTTGAATTTTTTAAAGCTAAATGAAATGTATTTTAAGCAGTATGGCAGCAAATTGAAGCTTGAACAAATTTATTCTGTTATCTCTTCATTTTTTATCATACTATTATTTTCTAAGATCGTTATAGATAATGTTACTTTTATTATCCAAGTAGATAGTCTATTTTATATTGTAATTGATAATACAAATTAATATTTTTCAGGTATTGTTCATTTGTAACACGATTTAAGATGTATCTTAATTCCGTGATTTGTACATAATAATTTATTACTATGATTTTACAGTTATTCTTCATTATTTTTTTATAGGAATCACTCTTATTTTTATAAACTCAAATACCTATTATTTATTATTATTTATAAGTCTTTTAGTGTGTAATAAACTGTGTTCGTTGTAAATGCTTAATATCTAATTATGGAATTAGATGAAGAGGGTAACAGTAGTTAATAATTTAATATAATAATAATGTTATGTTTAAATATGTACCTGCTCTATGAACAAATTAAAATTTTGTATTTTCAGAAAATTATATTAATTTGTTTTTGAGCAATGTTTTACAATTTTTAATTTAATAAACTCTTATTAAACTACATAGATTTATGAACTTCTATGTTAATAGGTCTATGATACAATATATCTTTGCAACAGTATCTTTTGATAGAAAATTCTAGATAGAAGGAATAAGGTTGTATCTGCTATAAGGGCTAAAGCTAATTTCTAACTAATAACAGTTGTAACTAGTTTAAATACATCTTTTCAAAAATCCTGTTTAAATAATGAAAATAAATAAAAATGATTAATTAAGTATACTAATACTTTTTTTTTTAAATGTAAATATTATTACTAAGGATTAAAAAGCTATTATTTTTATTTAGATGCACTTTTTTTATAAATATAAATACTTATGATTAGTAAAATACTACAGATTATTCATATAATACAATAAAAAAATATTTTTTAATACTTAATTTGAAAATTATTTCTAGAAACCAAACTGTTTTTCTGAAAACTGAACAAAAAATACGAATAATACTATACCCTTACTAATTTACTGAACTCCTTTCCATGTTATGGTTGTAATAATATATGTATATAAATAAATAAATAAATGAATGTGTCACCTGGAGTAGTATATGTGTACTATACGACCGATTCCAAATTAAAAATCACCGCCAAATAAGATCACAAAATCAAAGAGTCATTTACTTTTTGACTATGATTTTACCTGATGATAAATTTTTAATTTAAAACCTGTCATACAATACACATATCATAATCATTTATTATAGTCCAGTTTATGTTAACAAGCAATAATGTCTTGTAAAGATTTAACGTTGAATAATACTACACATAATATTTTGTAAAAAAAGTTATTATGTATATATTTATATGCACAATAGGTTTGTCAATTTTTTTTTTTTGTTTATTCAGCTGATCAGGATAGTTGGATAATGGAGACAAATATGTTACCGCCTGATGTGTACCCATTAAGCGGATTCTACCATATATAATAAAAATAATCAATAATTACATAAAAAAATTTCAAAATATCGTTAAAATGAATTTTTAAAATTTAAATTTTTTACTAAATTGAAGTTTTACAGGCCGTTCAATGAAAATATACTGCTTGAATTGTAGAGTTTATTTTTCTGAAAATTTTAATGTATTATACATTTATGTAGATGAATAATTTCTAGGTAACAGCCGTTTTAAATTCTACTGATCTGTAGAATGTTATTGTGTATTATAGTTATGTTATTCCGTAGATAATATCGGTTATTACACAAATTAGTAGATTTAAAACGGCACTTAGAAACTATTCATCCGATATAAATGTGTGGTACATTAGAATTTTCAGAAAAATAAACTCTACAGAATGGCTAGCATTTTCAAAGTTGCATTTAAAATTAAATTGAAAAATATGAATTTGTCAATTTGGGAATCATTTGAACCCCCAAAATCATAATCTCCACCTAAACCTAACCTCTGGGTATTTGTAAAAGTCTTAAAGAAATAAAAATAATTTCAAAAATAGTTGTCATAATTTATATTAACAAGTTCACTAATATATAAATTTACTAATTTTAATTTTGTAGATGGGTTATTTAAAATTGAGCAAGAACTAAAAGAAATTAATGCTAAAATTAACAAACTTCAAAAACTTAAAACAGAATTATTGGAACGAAAAGAAAAATTGAAACAGTTATCTTATCAAAAACAAACTAATTCAATTAGTGATCAAAAAAAGTGGACTCGCACAGGTAATCTTAATTCACAATTGTAATATTTTAAGGTGCTCCCCACATATATTTGTTTCCTTAGTATAAAATTAATCAATCAATTTTTATAATGTTACACAGATTTTCCTTGGCAGAAATCTGTTGAAAAAACATTAAAAACAGTTTTTAAACTAGATAAATTTCGTTCACAACAATTGGCAGCTATTAATATTACATTGTCCAAACATGATGCAATACTTATTATGCCAACTGGTGGAGGAAAGTCGCTTTGTTACCAGTTACCTGCTCTCATAGACCCGGGTAATTATTTTTGATTTGTGTTCATATATACATACATACTATTTTAACAATAGTTACTAAACAATTAAAGTTTACTCATATAATATTCTAATTATTAAGAAATTTTTACTTTCATAAAATCAAAATATTTACATGGGATATTCATTTTAAAATCTGATATTTTTTTAAATTTGTTTTATTAAATAATATAATAATAATAGTAATTTTACTAACACTAAAACAATTTCAATAGTTAATACATATGAAAAACAAACAATAAAAGTTGATTTCTGTTTCAAAAGCTAAGCTTGTGCCGAAACGCAAAAGTTTGTAATTAATCATAATAAATATTTTTCTTAAAGAAATTTTTTTTTAAATATAATATATAATAGTAAACATTTAAGCAATAAAAAAAAAATATTAAAAAATAAATTATACAGGATGAATATACATATTTAAGATGTTAACATACCTTTTAAAACAATAAAACAATTTTTTAACGTGAAATATTTAATTCTAATGATTTATAAATTATTATACCAACATTAATTGGGCTACGCCTCCCAAAAGAAGTAGAACACAAAACAGGTTTAATATTAGATTTTAACTTACTCCCAGTATTATAATTATGATTAAATTGTATGTTTTTGAAATTGATAGAGTAGTACCTGTAAAGTGAAAATTTTCTAAAAAATTTAAATAATTAATTGAAAATTTGGGAAAAGAAGATTAACTAATTAAAGTCTAAGCTTATTTAAGATTATTTTTAATAAGTTATTCATTTTTATGTTCATTGGGGAAATGTTGGTTTTAAAAGCTGAGCCCCAAATACATATTCTATAGCTAATTAATTAATGATTGAGCAAATGCTAAGTGAAATATTCTAATATTATGACGATTAAGAATATTTTTGAAAATTCTGAATTTATAAAATATTTTTCTAATCAGACCACTAATATTTAGATATGTTCTTGCCATTTAAAAGGTTGCCACACCGACATTTACTATCTTTGTCTTACAAACGCGAGACATAGCAAATTGACCTATTATCAAAATTAAAGGTAAAAGGATAATATATGCTCTAGCGTTGATGATTTTTCGATATTTTAATTTTTAAATGAGACTTGAGTATCTTAAATATTACAATTTAAAAATGATTATATCTTGTTTAAAAATTATAATTTCGAAAAATGATCAATGCTGGGGCATATATAATCTTCTTAACTTTAATTTTGGTAATAAGTTAATTTGTTTTTATATTAAAACAATGGCATAAAATGTGTCCTACTGAACGCCAATTCGCTATGTCTAGCGTTTGTAAGATGATGGAGACAGTAGATGTCATGTGGCACCCTCATAAGATTATCATTGAAGATAATGCCTAAATATTTAATCTTAAATATATTTTTAAGTTTATAGTTATTACAACGGAGCCATTAAAACAAACAGCTGCTGTTGTAAACAATGTAATATGATGTATATTTTTTAAATTATTATAATTAGGTTTTACTCTTGTTGTTTCTCCTATGGTATCATTGATGGAAGATCAAATTATTCAATTGTATAAACTTAATGTCAATGCTAAAATGATAAGTTCCAATTCAACAAAAGAAGAAACAAAATTACTATTCCAAGTATGTACCAATAGTATTATGAATGTATTAATATTATATTTCCATAAAATAGCATAAAAAGTTTTATTTTTTAGATGATGATTGATGTTAAATCTGGTTTAAAACTTGTATATTGTACCCCGGAAAGAATAGCTAAAAGTAAAACATTTATGAATAAACTGCAAAAAGCACACAGTTTAAAATTGCTATCAAGAATAGCAATTGATGAGGTCCATTGTTGTACAACATGGGGGCATGATTTCAGACCTGGTATTTACTTTGGGATAATTTTGTTATAACTATTAAATTTATTAATTTAACACATTTGTTCAGATTATACACATTTAACTATTTTTAAACCAATGTTTCCTGAAATCCCTATTTTGGGTCTAACAGCAACTGCATCTTCAAAAGTAATTATTGACACACAAGAATTATTACAAATACAAGGATGTGCATTATTAAAATCTTCATTTAATCGACCAAACCTCTATTATGAGGTATGTTATTAAAAGATTTAAGTTGATCAATAATTATTGAAAATTTAAAGTATGTATTATTATATTAGGTTAGATGGAAACCTGATGGTAAAAAATGTGTAGATGAACTAGCATCATTACTTAAAAATAAGTTTAAAAATCAATCAGGAATTATTTATACTACATCTATAAAAGATTGTGAAAGTTTACGGAAGGATTTGAGGTAAGCTATACAGGATGATCAATCTATCATAAGACACTCATTATCTTTGAAAGTATTAAGTTTTTTTGAAATTTGTTTTAAAAAACATTTAAGAAACAAGCTGTTCTAAAATTTAACACTCACATTAATTGATAATCAAAAGTAGATAGTCATTTCACCTCCAAAAATTAGGGTGACAAAAAATAACAGAGCTATTTGTTTCTAAAATTTTCTATAAAACAAATTTTGAAAAAAGTTAATATTTTCTGAGATAATGAGTTTCTTATAAATAGATAGATTAATCACCCTGAATACCTATTCAGGTATTACTTTATTTAATTCGTAATTAAGAAGATATTTTATAGTTTTAATATAAAGGAACTTGTCTTAATTAATTTCTATTATACAGCATAGACAATTAACTACCTATTACTTTTTTATTATTTTAACTATTATAGGTATTATATAATTATATGAGATTGTAATATTTTATATAATATATAAGTAAACAGAACAAAATATTATGCAGAAAAAGTAACAATCTATAATAATATTACAAATATATAGATTTTAAAAAATAACATGTATATTATCACTACAATATACCGGAGAATATCTAAAATTTAGATAATATTATTACTTTCATTTAAAAAATAATTTAGTATTAACCAAATTTTATTTTGTTTAATCAATTTTATGAAAATGTTATGTATTTTTATTTTAATGTGTTGTAAATGTTATAGTCTATGGCAAATTCATACTATTAAAAAGAGCTGATATTGGGGAAGGGTGTGCCATTGTTATTGGTGGAAATTTGGAAAGGTAGGATACATCAAGTTATTTAATTTATATCTGCAAGTAACAATAAACCATGGCTAACGAAAAACGAATCAAAGCAAAATTTGGTTATTCATGTTTTGAAAGGTAGAATTTCAAAATTTGATGTTAAAACTTATAAAAAAAAAATACTACATTACATTCAATTTTTTAAATAATGAACTTCCTGTTACATTGTCAAGCATTTATGTTAATCTGACAATTTTATCCATAGAGTATCTACCAAATTAAAATTACGTAAAACACTAAAATTAAAATGTCTATAAATAACTCAAAATTTTGTTGCGAAAGATTGTTTACAAACAGAAAAAAATACACAAAGCATAATAAAACTAATAGATTCCTTGCTATGCTTCAAATCTAAAAATTATATATTGGGGATATTTTTCCTGGAATTCATGTAAATTATTTATTATATATATTTTTTAGATTCAGAGTGTATTGGTTTTTTTTTTAATACTGTGAAAATTCTACCAGAAATCTGGCTCCGAAGTATTAAGTGAGCCATCTTTTCTGAAAAGGAATTTTCCTGCTGTGGTACATTAGGGAAGTCATTTTTTAATTATCCCAGAGGTTTCATAATTAAATGGGAAAAAAGGTGAAAATTTACGAAAATAATACTTAAAATTTTGGTTTTAGATTCTGAGTGGAATGAGAAATGTATTTTTTAAAGTGATTTTTTTTTATCTATGGATAACTTTTCTACTAACAATTTTGATCCGATTTTCAAGTATAGTACTCTTTCTAAAAAGAAATCTGAATGGGGTGGTTTTTTGTTAGCAATGGTTAGGAAATTTTTGCGTACAAATATGAATATTAAATTTCCCCTCTAGTCTCTAACATCCCAACTTCTCATCAACAGTGGCCCACCCATCATGCGTTGTATGTCTGTCTTTTTTTGGGTTATATGTTTACAATAAATACAAATATAGAGCATAATATCAATTATACTGATATTCAGATTGAATTTGACTTTGATTGACTCATTCAAATGTTGCTGTGTTTAAGAATATTGTGTTGATAAAAGTTATTTATAATGTAATTCATATGTATATTTAAATCAAAATTGAATTTATTATCAATTAGAGAACAAGGATGTAAAGTTGGTGCTTATCATGCTCAATTAGAAGGGCCTTTAAGATCAAAAGTTCATAATAAATGGTTGGATGGTGAATATCAAGCAGTAGTAGCTACTATTGCTTTTGGTCTTGGTATAGATAAACCTGATGTGAGATTTGTTATACATCACACACTATCAAAATCGATAGAAAATTTTTACCAAGTAAAAATATTTTTACATATTATAAAAAATATATATTTATATTTATATTCTAAAACTGTAATAAACTGTTATAATTATGAATTTTAGATAATAATATAATATTCAAATAAATTTAGTATGCAAATTTATAGTTATTATTTATTTATATAGGAAAGTGGGCGTGCGGGAAGAGATGGTAAACCCTCTACTTGTCTATTATACTATAAATTAAGTGATGTATTTAAATTAAGCACTATGGTATTTACAACACAAACGGGTTTATCTAATCTATATTCTATTATAAAATATTGTTTAAATTTAAAGGAGTAAGTCTAAGAAATTTTAGATATATTATGTTGTAAAATTATTTACTTTTGTTTGTATAAATTTTAAATTTTAGATGTAGACGAACACTAATAGCATCTCATTTTGATGAGTCTTGGGAATCAACTGATTGTAATGCAATGTGTGATAATTGTTCCAATTCTAAAATTATTAAATCCATTTGTATAAATAAATACTGTATGGATATCTATAAAATACTTAATGCTGCTTTAGACAATGATACAAAGTTTACTGGTATATTATAAATCGGGTATATTTTTGTGTATCACATATTAATAATTAAATTAACTTTTTATAGCTCAAATGCTACTAGATACCTGGTTTGGTAAAGGTAGTAAAAAAATATTTCTGTTTGATGTAAAATCACCAGAATTTTCAAGAACACAGGCTGAAATGATTTTAGGTGAACTTATTGTTCAGGGATATTTGTCAGAAGATTTTCATTATACCCCTTATTCTACCATTTCATATATAAAAAAAGGTAAAATCTAAATCATTTACCATATTGATTTATGTTTAATTAAAATTATGTTTATAATAGGTTCAAATCAGTATAAAGTGACAAATGACAATACAATTTTCATGGAAATGACTCAAGAAAAGATTAGTGAACCAGTTTTAAAAAAATTAAAACTAAAATAAATAGTTTATTATTATTTTACTGTACAAATATATTTATTTTATTAAACTAAGTACACTAAAGCATAAAATTGCGCTCTTGATTTTTTCTTTAAAACCTAAAAATTAAACTAACAATGATTATAATATATTAAATTTACATTCAATATTTCAACAGATAGGTTACCTACAAACTTTGATTTTGATGTGAATAAAATGATCAATATTAAACATTTTAATGAATACTATAGAGGGTATAAGAAGTTGATTATTTCATAATGTATTAACCATAGACTTATAATATAATACTATAAGTCTATAATATTAACTTTTTTTCTGAATTTTCTTATTGGAATATTTAATATACATTTCCGTTATTATTAAATTATATTCTTAAGTAATCTTACTGGATAGATATTATTCGCACATTATTGGAATCAGAATTTCAATATCAGGAAACTCTAACAATAAAAATATACCTACTTAGTCAATCGACATCAAAGAACATATAAACTTCAATAAATTCCAGTTTTATATATCATATAAAATAATTTTTATTTATTAATTACTTAGTATAATATGGCATTATTAAAATCAAATTGCGATAACAATTTTTAATTGTTAATTGTTACATTTATTTATTTGATAAATTCAGTAACAACAATCTTAAACAACTTTAGCGGTGTAAATACAAACAAGAATATAAAGCACGAGTTCATTTTTATTTCATAGCAGTTATTCAGATATTCAAAGTTTGTAGTTATGTAATAATACAATTATTGTTATATATATTATTTTTTAAATTATTTATTGCATTATTTAATATTTTTATTGTAATTTTTTGTTTGATGGTTCAAATGCCCCTCCCGTCCATTTGTCCTAGATACAGGATACCGAATGGAAAGGTTTTATCAATGTTTTTCTGAGTCCACCATCAGAGACATCTTAGATCATATAACTTCTAATAGAGTAATAAAACTATAGATACGGCATTAGGCATGAATTATTAATATGATACTGAAGCAAAATTTAACGCAATTGTACACCTCTCACTACTCCAGTAAATACTAGATTCTGACAGTGCAATAAAATGATAAAAAATACCTAGGTACTTGATTGTACATTCTCAATTCTCATAGAAATATTAACGTAACGTAAATTGTTTAAGTCTTAGTACATACGTACTCCTATATTTGCCTAACTCCTAATTAGATATTTTTATTCTGTATTTTTTTTGTTCTTTAGTGTTTTTTTCTTTATGGTCAGTGAATTTTGTGCGCAAGAACTCAAAAACCAAAACCAGCAATATTACAATAGCAATTAATTGTCAAATTGAAAATGTATTTATGCTAAATAAAATCTAAATATTTGATCATTTAAATTAAATGTTTCATTGCATTTAATTATTTCAATCATAATTCATAGTTAACTGTATATGATATATCCGTACAGAAAATAATTAGAAATATGAACCTTCATTGTGTAGACATGTAATATATATAGATAGATAAATAAAAGAACATTGATAGTTTAAAAATCGACCAAGTGTTTTATCCATTAATTGTTTTAAAAATTATCGAATGAATTAGTCGATAATTTTCATTCAGTAGTAGCACCAACTGGTTTTGACTATTGAAAGTTTTTAAAAGCAGCCGAATAAATAGATAATTTGAAACTATCGAGTAGTTCAGTAGTTTTTTGATCTGTAGTGTCTATAGTGATATACTATTTAAGACAAAATTGGTGTAAAAATCAACTAAAACCAATTTAAAGTTTAGACCACAAATTAAGATATATCCACAAATCTAAAACATTTATCTTAATTCGTGGTTTAGACTGAAGGAATAGGTTAAATAATAAATTGCATATCTATTCTATAATAAATATTGACATATTTTGTAAAGAGTACACTAGATAGTGTTAGTATAGGGTCGCCATACGTCCCGGTTTTATTCAAGTGTTCCGGTGGTATAATATAAACATTCCGTACATGAGCTCATCATCTGTATTAAAATCAAGCTCTACGATTAGTTTATTTGAATATACCGCCAAATATTTTATATAATACATATTATATATAGTATATGTTAAAATTATTTGAATGCTATTTATATAGCTTACAAATAACTAGATTTGTTGTACAAGACAACGTCGGGTAGGTAATAGGGAAAAGTAAAAAAAAAATATCGTTGGGGTGAGCCTCAAGGCAAAATAATAATGTTTAAGGTTAATTCACATACGGAAATTAGACGTATGTTTCTTTTACAAAAAAATGTGTAAAAATTACTTGGCTTCTAATAAAAATTAGGATTTATAAAGTCAAAATCATATAGAAATGTTTTTCTCATCTATCCGAGTAATTACAAAGACATTAATTTACGAGTATTTAAGAATAGTAATTAATTTACTTTTTTATAGCAAGAAGTTGATAATATTATTTAACATATAGCTGGCTTCCTTGTTCGTAAACTAATAGCTAAATTAATTTGTGTTCATTGTACTAAATTTTTAACTTGAATCCATTCCGAATCCGGATCATTAATAACTATAAATAATCAAGATGGATATTAACTATTCACTAGTGATTAGTGAATACATAATTTATTATACAAGTTTTCCGAGCATTAAGTGTTAAATTATTATATCTCTATCCTTATCAATTTTCTGACAATTTTTTGCATGTATGTTATTAAGTTAATTTTAATTTAAAGTTGATTTTGAATTGAGTAGTTGAGTTTATTAATCAAAAGTACATTGATTTCATTTAAAATTAGAACTGCTACCTACGATTGATAGTATTGGGTTTTAAAAGCTGGAATATCAAAAGTTATTCATTTTATTAAAAATAAAATAAATAATAATTAATATCGAAAATTCAAATTGTATGTTTAAACCGTATAATACCATCACAATATTATTTAATATAATAATATAATTTGTAACTATCACTGGCTTATCACGGAGGGGTATGAAGCGTTCTCCAATAATTATCATACCACGGTTAATTTTCATACCGCATCAAACGCTTATGAATTTCAACCTTTCAAACGTTGGCGTTCGTATTGCTAAACGTTTACCGCTACAGAATATCCTTTATAATCTTATAGTTTTCTTATAGTTCAATGGGTTTAACACGCCTTGACTACATGATAAGGTACATGAGTCAGTGATACTAGTGACTATATTTTGTGCTAGTGATATTACATTATCATATCACTGTAATTTGGATTATCTGATTTCTTTTACTGTTTTTTATTTATATTAATATATTATCGTAGAGTAGACATTTTCATAATTAAACAATTACAACTTCAACATTCCATATTATTATTTGTATGTTATTATAATTACTTTCTAATTTGCTATTATAATTAGGTAAGAACATTATTTTGAAAGAAGTAAGTACATATTTAAAAAATATAATGAGTAATAAAAAGTCAATACCACAATATCCAATAGTACCGATAGAAGAAGAGATTGAAGAAGATTTAAAAGTTATGGATGAAGCTGTAGCCCCACTATTAACTGGTGAGTTTTTGATTAAACATTGCAATTGTATCTACCTATTTAAAATATAATAATAGTGTTTGACTTGTGTATTAAATTTATTTAGATGATGCTAAGGTTTTATTGGAATCAATTGGGGCCGAAGTAGATAAAAATGATATTCAAGAAACTGCTGAAAAGCTCATGGATAATGTTGATGAATTAGAACAAACTATTTCGACATTGGGTAAAAAGTATGATGAACTGATGAATTGTGAAAAAGCATTGGTACAAATTGAAGAAGAAATTGATAAACAAATTAAAGAAATGAACAAGTAAGAATAAACTATATTAGACAAAATCTAATGCAAATAATTTTAAGTTGATATAATTGAACAAAATTATTTCATTATCTTACTTATTTCATTATAGTTTATATCAAAAAATGAAAAAAGATGTGATACTGCTGATAGGTATCCCACTGTTAAAGTTGAAAAAGTAGTATGTTTATAGTAATTTATGTGTTTTAATAAATTTGTATTTAAAACGCCTACAATAAAACATTTTAAGATTTCTGGCAAATTAAAGCCACTTCCACACTAGTTAAAATTTACATTGTACATCGTATTCAGTGTAAATTTGTTCGTGTAGCACTAAATATGTGCGTGTGTGGACGTGTTTGCCGCATAAAAACGCACACAAATATTTTCGGCGCATTTCACACACATGATCTGTGGACCATGAAGTTTTTGCGCCGCAACATAAATTTGTGTCGCAACTTCATTCTAGTGTGAAGTTGCCGCACGAACAAATTTGTGCCGATTACAACGCACAACGTAAATTATTACTAGTGTGGACGCGGCTTTAGATAGAATAAAATGTTTAGAATGTTTACAAATAATGTACAATAGCTAAAACAAATGTAAAGAAAAAATAATTTCAAATAGCTAATATTGTATTTTTACACAAGACCAACATATTTTAGATTTTATTTTATTGAAAAATCCAGTTCTTTGTTCTAAGATTATTTTTTATTTAATTACACTTAAAAACAAAATACATTTTGACAAAAACTGGGGTGTATTTATTCCTATTTTCATGATTTGTTCAATTCTTTCACATTGTTAGGAAAATTAATTTTAAATGGCCTGTCTCATGCATTAACCAGATCCAAAGTATAAAAAATCCTTTGGTGTAAAGTATTTAGTTACAGCAAGTATTATGGTTGAAAAATGATATAAAAATCCAGAAAAACAATGTTATTCATATTAAATTATTCAGATTAATGTAATTACTCTGTTCATAATAGTTTTAATTTAAATATATAATGTAAATTTTGTTTCAGTTGTGTATCAGAAATTCAGTCAAATCCTACTCCTGCAGTCAAGTAAACATATGGATAAATATAATCCATGGGCAATATATTTATTGTATTGAATAGATCAATTATTATTTATTTGTTAAATATATTATTAAAATTATATAATTAATACAAATGGGATCTTGTTAATAAAACAAATTATATTTTTATCATAAAACATGTAATAAAAATTATTTAAGTAAAAATGCCAATAAATAAATCATGTTCTGTTCGTATATTTGTATAAATCACATGGACATGCCGCTTTTTCTCACAGCAGCACTCAATAAAGGATTGGGATCTGGTTCTTCTGTGATTACTTCCACTTTAACCCATTCTTTATTGGCACTGGATGCTCGTATAGCATCAATCACTGCTTGGACATATAAGCTATCTTCAAAAGTAGCTGCAGATGAAACAGGTTCTTTTACCCAACCTCTTTTATCTTCAACTGGTAAAAATGCCTCACGTAAAGCACTGATCATTTTTAATAGACCTTTCATACAAGGCCTAGGCATAATATCTGCAGAAACCACATTTATAGCATCTGATTTTTGCATATCTTCTACATCTAAATAGAGTACTTCATCTTTATCCTTGTACAAGTCTCCACCTTTGACAATTAGATTACCTTCAGTGCCACACATAAGTACTTCTTGGACATAAGTACCTGCTAAGTGATTATTTAATGTAACTGTAACTAAAGACTTGTCAGCCATTTCCATTTGAAAAGTACAAAAGTCTGGACTTGTCACATGTCTTACACCAGTCAAACACTTAAAATCTTTATTGAATGTTTTTACAATACCATGTACACGGATAGCCTTTTGGTCAGTTAAATATGTAATCAAGTCTATAACATGACTGCCCACTAAAGTTAAAACACCACCACCCATTGTTTTATCACATAACCAGTTATAACCATCTCCGTATAAACGGCCCATTTGTACTTTTACATCACATAAAAATACATTTCCAATTCTATTTTCATTAATTTGTTTTTTCATTTGTACAAAAGCAGGTAAAAATCTTAAGCTATGATTAACAACTGATATAAGTGAAGGGTAATATTGAGCAGCATGTACCATTTTGATGGCTTCACTCTGACACAAACCTGCTGGTTTATCGCATAGAACATGTTTTCCAATACCTAATGCTTTGACTGCAATTTGGGCATGAAGATTAGGCGAGCAAACAATGAAAATGAGATCAACATCTTTCCTTAAGAGTACATTATCAATTTTGTTAGTCCAATAGGGTATTTGAAGACGTTTAGCAGATTCTTCAGCTTCATTCATAGTACGACCCCATAGCGCTTCAACTTTGAAACCTTTATCACGCAAAAAAGGTATGATAATTTCAATAACTTTACCTGTTAATAAATTAATCATGTTAGTTTATATAACTTTAAACTTTTAAATAAAATTATGAATTAAATTTGTGTATTTTCTATAGCTGAAATCAACTATCTTTTAATTTATTTGTTTACCTAATTTTTAAAATTGAAAATCTGTAAATGATAATCATTTAACATTATTTAAATTAATGTATGTATACTTGAATAATGTTTTGACCAAACATAGATAAATAATTTAAAGAGGATTATATAATATTAGGTAGGTTTAATGTATTAGGTAAACATGTTTTACTTTATTACTACATACAAATTATAGTAATCTTTTATTCATATCTGGTTTATAAAATGTATCTAAACTGGTTTAAAAAATAAATAATTTAATCAAATAAAACAGTTTATTATTTGATGGTAGTCAATGTTTGAGAATGAAAATTACGACTTAATCCTATTTGAATATATATTCATGATTACCTGTTCCAAAAACACCGATACCCGGCAACATTCTCTTAATGAGAATAAAAAGTCATAAAGACTTTTTATTCAATAATTTAAATGAACCAACTTTTACATTTTTTTAAAAAAGTCTGAACACAATTTTATTCCAAAGAGTTTCTATTTAATTTTTATCTTTTTTAATGAAACCACTTGAGATATTTATATTACCATTGTTACCGCGGTGACCAAGACCAAAATTATTATCATATAGCATTTATCAAATATCAAGAACAACCATCAATATCATGGTCAGGAGTGGTCGTCTTGTGTACCTTAGATCATATTATGTATAATATGTATAATATGTATAATTATGTACAATTAATATGATCTATGTTGTGTACGCTGGTAAATAATGTGCCTTTATCGGTTTACAAAAGTCGCAATATTCATAGACCTTATTTCATAGAGTAATATAGAGTTGTCGTTTTTTAGAAAAATTAAAGAAAACCTAAAACTAAGTACTAACCTACCTCAAAGTAGTAGAAACACAGGAGAAATAAATTAATGTACATATTTTGCCATAATTTTTAATTATAGTTTATAATAGTTAAAAGTGTTGATTGGAGGATTATGTAAGGGTAATAAATTGCCCACTTATAACCAATGATTTCTCATAAAAACTTATTTCCCCTACACGTGGTGACACTGATTTGACGTAGATTTTATTTGTGTACATTTTTGAGAATTAGGTCGAATAGGGGAGTGTATTAGTTATACTCTGTGATATTATCTTAGTCATAGTTATTATCATTTTTTTGTTATCAAACTTTATTTTTGTAATAGACAGAACAATATAAGTTATAACCAGTTATAGTATTATTTGCTCAATTCTTTACTATTTGCTCACTCCTTACTCAGTATAGAATCAAAATGGAAAAAATCCATAGACAAACAATAAATAATAATTTATCTGATCTCATAAATGCTACAAATTTTTTGGATTCTATTGTAGACAAATTATTAGAAATAAATGTAATAAATAGCTGGATGAAAAACTATATTAAGGTAAACAATTATTATTTAAATTTTTTTGATTCATTTTGCTTTATAATTCTGTAAGAATATTCACCTAATATCACTGATCTCCAATTATCCGTGTCCTGAATTCTATCTTTCTAATTTGTTATTTTTAATATTTCTAAATCCTTTGTTTATTCATATATCTATCGGTTAGTAGTCTTCATTTGGATCGTTTTCCATTTAATTGTTGTTCTTAAACTCTTGGTTTCTACATTTGACATCGTTTGACTAAACCATTGGAGTATTTGGTCTTTAATATAACTTGTTACATATTCCTGAAACATTCAAAATATTAATATATTATTTTATACAAATCTGTAATCTGTTTCTTTTGTTAAAGGATCCTACAGAAGAATCTATTCGAAAACTTAGATTATACCAATTAATCCAAGGACGTGGACCTAGGGCATTCTCATTACTTTGCAAAACATTAGAAGAGACTTCTAATATAAATGCTCGCAATATTTTGCTAAATTTAAGAATAAGGTAGGTACCTACTTTTACTATAGTCTCTTAAAATAAATGCATGAATAATATTTTTTCATCTCTTTATACTAATTGAAAAGCACTATCTACGCATAGATAAAATAATTAGTTACAAATTGTAAAGTAACCTAAATTTTTTAAAATATGCAGGTTAAGTAAGTATTATTTCAATTTTGATTTTCTGAGTGGAGCGTGTCAAGTACTTACTCATGAGGGCTATTTTAGTCAGGAGATATTTTAAAATATTGAAATACTAACACCCCATTGTTTCTAAGTCAAATATATATTACATACTAAATGCTTTGGAATCTTACAAACGTGTAGTGAGATTATTCTCTGATTTTATTATAATTTATTAATGCAATTTTATAGTTCCATGAATTATGTGTAAATAAGTTGTATTTATATACAAAATTAAAACATCTCCCTCTTTTAAAAACCTAGTTAGAAATAGTAAAGCTTTTTTCCAAAGTTTTGTTTTTTCTCACAAAAACACTTTTCAATATTTACACTGATTTTTTTATTTTCGAAGAAAATTTTAATTTTACAAAAATGTACCGATTGATAGGTTAATTCATTTTTTTTAGGAAATAATTAGATACTCAACAGTTTACAATATTTATTTTTAGTTTTTACTATCCATAAAATTATAGAGTACATTCACAAAAAAATTAAAAACCAAGTTATTATTTTCATAAGATATGAGCATTGGTAATTTTTTTTTTAATTTCATAAGAAAAGAGTAACTTAAAAAAACATTATATATTTTTAAGAAATAATTTGTACTACCAAAATTATTTTATGAAATTTTTTGTGAAATAAAAATTTAAATAATTATTTATAAAACATGAATTATATGTATTTAGTAAAATTTTAAGTTTAAATTGCCATAGGTTAAAAATTATGCTCAATCAAACTCAAAATTAATAGACCCTATTAGAAGTTTTGGAACATAATTTTGGCTTTCAATATTAAAAATTTGTTAAGCAATTTTATCCTTATCTGTTACATATATTAACATGATAAATATTAAATACCTCTAGGTATATACCTTTTTTGTAATATGATATTTGTTTTCTCATTTTTCAGTGTTCAAAATCCAAATGATTCTTTAATTACTAGAATGATTGATATGAATTTAAATAATAGTAATAGTTCACTGCATGATGAGCCATACGTCAAAATTCATCCTAATCTCCAAAGAATGGATATATATGAACAAAATTTACCTACCGGGGTATGTTTTTTTTATTCCTTACATAATTTTAATTAAGTAACAATTTTCATATTATTTTTATCCTAAAACTAAGTCACATCTGAATCTGGTTAATGCAATGTGGGTAAAAAATGAACTTAGTAAAATAATTAAATAAATATTTACTTTCATATAACCCCAACAAAAAACTTTAAAATTACCCATATACACTTGACTGTGACGAGCAATGCATATTTCATATTAATTGGTTTCAGTTAGGACGTATCGTAAGTACATATATACAATACCTATACATTTGTTTTTTTTTTCAGGCATATCCAATGGGATCAAATCCTAAGGGTCATGCATTAATATTAAATATTAATAAGATAAAAGGTAAAGATGATAGAATTGGTTCTGATGTTGATGTCGAAAATTTACAAAAACTATTCCACGGTCTTGGATATGTTATTCAATTAAAAGTTGATGGTACTGATAAAGTAAATATGATATAATACTTATTTAATTTTCTTGCATTACTTTTTTATTACATTTTGATGTAGGAAATCAAAAGAAATATTGATGATTTTATAAATACATGTCACAATACAAAATCTGCCTCAATTGTTGTTTTTATAATGAGTCATGGTGAAGCTGGAAATAATTCTTCTAGATCATCAGATGTATTGACTTCAGATGGCATTCCAATCAACACTGATTGGATAATTGAAAAATTTGGACCTGATAAAATTTCTAGTAGTGTACCAAAGTTGTTTTTTATACAAGCATGCCGGTAATTTAAAATTTATTGACTTGGAATATTCCCCCAAAATAATATAACAATATTTTTATTTTAGAGGAAATAATATTGATTTTGGTTGGAAATCTTTTGACAACGAAAATAATAGAGTTCAAAATGATGCAAAACAAACTTTTTATGCAATACAAGAAGAACAATCTTTTCAAAATCGACGATATGAAAATGTATTTATAGCATATGCTACTGTTCCCGGTATGATTTTTTTCGTTGTAAATACAATTAAAATACAACTTGAATATGTATTGTATTCATATTTTATGTTTTAGGGTATAACGCAAAACGTGACTGCGAATATGGATCATGGTTTGTACAAAAATTTTGTGAAGTAGTTCGTAAAAATGCCTGGAAATTTGATTTGGACACTATGATGAAAATGGTTAATATTAAAAATTAATAATCATGTAATATGATTATGGCTGTAATGTTTTGATGTTATAGGTGGATATTGAAATTAGAAACCTCAACTGCGAAATGAATGGATTCCAAACCCCTGAATGGTCAAATAGAGGTTTTAATAAAAAGTTTTATTTTAACCCTGGTCTGTATGATGATAATTCTGAGCAGAGTACTTCACAGACTAATTTATAAAGTTCTTTGATAAATCCTACTGATAAATTAAAATAGTAAAATAGACTATCATAAATTTATTTATATTGATATCTCACTATTTTATTTATAACTATAATTGAGGGGCTGGATGCAAGATAGGCATTTTCACAGAAATGCTCTTTTTGCTTAAAATGTTTTTTTGAACTCAGCTACCTCTATACAATATGTATATAAAATTTTAGTTTGAAGTTTTAATAATAGAGCACTGTAGAAGCTTTCACATGATGGTAAATGGCTTTCTTGCATAGAATCACATATTATATATGTTATATTTATAAATAATATTGTTTTTTGTTCAATGATTTAAAAATAATATGGTAGATAACTTTGTTAGTTTTCGTTGTAGATTAATAGATTTGGTAAAAACTGTTTCTAAATTATTATTGTAAGTCTCATGTTTTCGTTGTAATATGTTACACTTCGTGACTATTAAGTATTAGTCATTTTTGTAATTTTATTTTTATTCTCATAATTATTATTATTTATTATTATGTTCATATTATTCAAAAGTTATGAATAAATTAATAAAATTCAAATTCTTTAATTATTATAATTGAAATATAATAGGTAATTACTGTTTGGTGCAAGAAGGGCATTTTCATGACCAAATAACGCTTTAATTTAAAACTTAGTGGACACATAGAAAAATAAAACAAAAACAATTATTTTTTTTTAAATTTGATCTATCATATGACACAAATTTTATAACCATGCGAGTAGATCCAAAAGAGTGTCACACATTTGAAACTTCAACTCTGTTTACCTCAAAATCACATTTTTCTAGAAAATGCTCTTGCACCCAGCCCCTCAATTATAACTATACAATTATTTATTATTTAATTTAATTGATACTAGACTGTGAACTATTTTTTTAAATTTTTTTTATGCATTCTGTGATGAGTTGAATATTTCAACATTTCCAGTTGAAATAGCTTTAAGTAAAAGCTCTATACCAATATATTTTAGATTAAGCAAAGAGAACATATCCTGGACTCTTTTTAAATATATATATTTTTTACAATTTGTATGTTTATAAAAAAAATAAATAATTATTATAATGAGTTGTTTTTTATTTATCATTATTTTTACATATTTTACATTATTAATATATTACAATATTAACATTAAAATGTGTATACTACAACTACATATTTAATATCAATATGTGTATTCATAAAAAAAAAAATACAATCGCAAAAAACCTGAATTATTCTGATGATTCAGAACTACTACTAAGTCTTCTTTTTGTTTGTTTCTTAGTTTTTTTTTCTGTTTTAGAAATTAACTTCTGTTCTTTCATCATTAATTTATCCATTCGATCTAAACGTCTAAAATATAAATCAATAAATGATATTAAATTATTTTAAGTACTTATACAATAAAATAAGAATAATTAAATGTTTAGGATGTATATAAAAATATTTTACTTGAGTAATTTCATTTTCTTCTTCCTAGACAATGTTTTAACATACATGAATAGTTCTGTGTCACTATCTTCTCCATTGTTCTAGAAAAAATAAACAAAACTCAATAATAGTAAGAAATGTATAAGTTACAAATCTATAAAACAATTTTTATTTTATACATTCTGTCATTCAAAAAAACAAAATATTTTTAAGTTTAATTCCAGCTAATTCCCTTAATTTGTCTATATTGAACATTGGTCATTTAAATATTTTATAAAATTAAAACAAAAAACAAGTATCTATATATTTAAAAATTTTTAATGTAACCAATAATATAAATTATAACTAAAAGAACTAACTGTAAATGATATTTGTTGTTGTGTAGAAGCAGCACTTTTTTTCAATGCCAAGCCATCTTCTCGCATTTGTTTTATTAGCTCTTGAGTTTTTATGTTAGCACTGTTACCATTTGTTGAGGAAACATTTGTTACAGCTTCTGATATACTTGCTTGGTTGAATAAGGGACATTCTTTATCTGTAAAATAAAAAAATATATTTCAAAATTGGTGTAAGAAAACAATATAAAATTATAATATATTTCAATAATCAACTAACCTGTATTAATATGACCCCATTTATGACATTTGATACAACGTACATTTCTCACTTGAATACCAAATGGTTGATCTCGAATTTCTTGATCACCTTTGCAATAACTGCAATACATTTTTTTTTTTTTTAAATTTGTTGTTTTTTCTATATAAAGTAAAGACAATATCTAATAATAATAAAAACAAATATACGGCATACAGCTATTTAATAAATTTAAAACCAATAAAAGATGTTAATGAGCAAGTGAAATTTATATATAGAATGATTCACTAAGCGTGCTCACCCCATTATGTTGATTAAATTTTGGTTATATTCAAATTCTGATCTTTAGCAAATCAGTCCAAGGAATTATTATTTTGTGTTAGGCAACAGCGCAATTAGAAATACACGAGTAAAATAAAAGATTAACATAATATAAAATAAAAACGGAATAAAATAGGATTAACATTTAAGTCTCAATTTAAATAAAGTAAAACATCTTCTTTAGGATTTCTCATGATGCACTTAGTCCTTCTCATTAAACTATTTCTGGATTTAAACCGGAATATATCTTCTTGTCTTCCATGTAATATATGTAGGGTATTCGTTAATAATGTTTGTTTGTTGCCAGTCAACCTGTACAGAGCATCAGATTTCAGGTGAAGCTATACTGGATTGAGTGTACAGTTTGTTTACTGAAGTATTTTTCGATAGCCAGTGATTAAATAGCATGTCTCGTTCAAAGTTGTATTAAAAAGGAATAAGAGAGGAGGTGGATTTAGACAGAGAATCTACAATTTTATTTTCAAGGATATCTGTGACTAAGAATCCATAAAAATGTTATCACAAAACTGGAGAAACTAAGATTGTAAAGATACAGTCTTTTTCTAACAGAAATAGAGAGGGAGTAGAATTGAATATATAAGTGGTGAGTCCTTGAAGGCAGTATAGGATGTTAGAAGCAATAAAAAAATGTTAGGGGCTAACGTAGGTAAGAGCTCGAATGCTTTGTTGAATTGTTGGACAGAGATGAGTAAATCAGGGATGTTAAAGAAGTAATTAGTCAAAAAAGGGGATACAGAACCATTGGTGAAAATTAAGATAAAAGAATGGAAAGAAATGTGAATAAACTTAAGAAAGAAGTTATTAACAATAGTAGGAGTAGTTTTGAGGGAGTTAATTGATAAGTTTTAAAATAATTTATCAATGTGAACAGTTGCAAAGAATGAAAGAACCTGAAAGACAAGGTTGTATGATGAAAGTATACTGGATTTAGAATATAGCTGTTGATAAAAGATAATGAATATGCAATGAAAGCAAGAATAAGGAGAGATTTTTGAACGTAACACCATGCATAATAAACGTCAAAAAAATACTTATAAACATCAGGGTATTGAAAGAAAAGGTTTTTTAAAATAAACTTACCGGTAAACCATCTGTATTTAATGTTAACAGGGGATATACAATATCTATTTCTTATCTGAACTTAAAAGTGAAATATCTTGTTTACGGGTAGATGGATATCAAACATTTTAACACCATAATTTATTTAAATGAATATCTATTTATGAAATTTTTAATATAGGTTCTCATCAGAAAAACCAAAATTGGTATCACCACAGGATATTCTTTAAATGTTGAGAAGGGCACGCTTAATAAATCATCCTGTATAAATTACATTTATTTATATTATAGAAATATAAACGTTATATATAAATATTTGTATAAGATTATTAATATTTAAATAAAAACAATAATGTTTCATACTCTTCTCTAGGGGCATTAAATTTTCTTTGCCATTCAAATTTATATTCAGGTTCATTATCTTCGCGCTCTCTTTCTTTTTTTGCCCCAGGTGGTGGTTCATACATAAAATTCACACTTAATTTATCCTTGCTTTCTTTTGACAACAATGCTCTAAAAAATAAAAAGTAAAAAACATAAATTTTATCTCAAGCATAAAAATATTATACATACTTATTATTGTAAAGATCTTGCTCTTTTTCATATTGAAGACGTAATTCTTCCTGTCGTTTTTTGTCTTTTTCTGATTTCTGTTCTGCCATCCATACCTATAGGTCATTAACATAATTACAAACAAAATTGTAATATTTAAAAATATATTGAATAATAGTTTAAAATTTATGACATCTAAAATAAAATAATCATGTAATATTATATCAGAACATGAATATATAATTATAATGTTTTCTAAATATTTACAAACTTCACTAAATAAGTACATCATTGAGCAATTTTCATTCTAAACTTCCACTTGACCAGATCTCCCATCTCGCATACACCAGCTGTCCTTTTATCATTCTCTATTGCAGCAAACCATCGCTTCTTCAGTCTTCTTTTCTACCTATTTCCTCCTGCACTTATATTCATTACAATGCTTATTTATTCTGTTCCTCTCTTTTCTTGACATGGTCAAACCATCTTAGTCTATTTTCTCTCATTTTGTCTACTATCTAAGCCATGCCTAAGCTACCTATTATGTTATCATCCCTTATTTTATCTTCTCGTGTCGCTCCAATCATCCACCTAAGCATTCTCATCTCTGCTACACTCATTTTTTGTTTTATTTTCTGTTTACCCCCAACGTTTAAAACCATACAACATAGTTAGTCTCACTACACTTCTGTAATACTTAACTTTAAGTTTCATTGGAATTTTCTTGTCACATAAAACACTCGACACTTCTCTTCACTTTATCCAACCACAAGTATTCTTATGTTTCTCATGCATATGAAAACCACCATTCTTTTGTATTAAAGGTCATAAGTACTTAAAACTTTCAACCTCATCTATAATTAGGTACTTATTATAGTTATCTGTCTTATTCTGTTCCTCCAAACTCGTACTCTGTTATACTTCCCATGTTCTTAGTTCCATTCTTTCAAGAACAACTCTCCATTCCTCAAGCCCATTGATAAATTATTCCTCATTTACTCCTATCAAACCTATATCATCTGCAAAACATCATGTACCATAATACTTCCTCTCAACTGTTGTCCCTGGGCAGATCGGAGATGGGACAATCTGTCAATGTTTTGTTTAAAATTCCTCATACTATATGACAGAATTTTACACCGGCTGTCGACCTAATACAACTATCAACTGTTATCCCTGGGCAGATCGGAGATGGGACAATCTGTTTATGTTTTGTTTAAAATCCCTCATACTATATGACAGAATTTTACACCGGCTGTCGACCTAATACAACTAGATTCGTCGCCTCTTATGACAGGTAAAGATACCGTGGGAGTATTTTGATCCCCTCCCACAAGGATAAAGAAAAACTTACTCGTTTTAAATTATCTCTCGACGCTGGATGAAAGAACTTTTTACACATGTAATTATTAAACCCCTTGCCCATTTTAGTTTATTGGCAACACAATTTACTTGTATAAAATAAAAATCAAAAGAATTTAAATCAAGATCAACTAAGAAAAATAATTTCTGTTATCATAATACTGACTACTGATAATAAATATCAATCAGAATATTCAGTAAAATAAACTTGGATCCGATTAAAATCTAGTTGGTAACGCTGAGTTTTGAAAAAAGATCCAACAGTAAAACATTTCTTAATTTTTGAATTATGGAATTCATATTATCATTTTAATTGAACAACGCTGAGTTTTGGAAGGGTCCCTATAATAGAGTCCATATAACATGGTCTATGGGAATATAAATAATATAAACATTTAGAAATAGTACTGAAATGCTATAAATGCAAAAGTATAATATAAATAAATAATTCAGTGATAAACACAAACTAAGAATTAAGATATACAGAATATCGAATGAATGTGTGATAAGTGAAACTCGAACCTTCTTAGTTTTGGCAAAGCTACTAACACCATCTAGTATACTCTTTACAAACTATAACAATATTTATTATATGTAATTTATTACATACTCTACTCCTTCAGTCTAAACTTTAAACCGGTTTTAGTTGATTTTAATACCAATTTTTTCTTAAAGCGCTAGGCGTTAGCTGTCACGTCGAACAGTGAGAACCGGACGGACCACAGAGCGAACTTCTCTATGGGGCGGACTTATTAAAACATCGATAAGACGGTAAGACCTTTTCGTTCGGTATTCTGACCTGTATTTTTTAATTCGTGGTACATACCACGACTATAGAATATAGATAATATGGTTGCGAACGAACTGTAATAATGTGAAATTCAAAACGTATACTGGCTTTCAGGGAAACATATAAAAAAGTCGTAAACAAAAACAGCCGAAAATATTTCAACCGACCGTATTTAAGCCTAACATGAAATTATCAGAAAAATATTTCCGCCGAAAATAAAACAACAAAGTATTTCGGCCGAATCGCCCAAAACTCATACAGTAATGCTGAAACTCCACTAATTATCAACTTAAAGATTTCTTATCATTGTTTTTAATCATAAAATGTTAAATGGAAAATTTGGAAGCTTGAACTTGATATCTTGAACAAAAATTGAAAAAATTGAAAGAACGTACAAGTTGAATCAGAATTCCGACACAATTTTGAATAAACAAAAATTAATAAAACGACAACATTTTGAATATTTTGTATGATGAAAATATACAGTGCGTTTCACTCAAATGGTAACACAAAATATTTCTGCTCAGTGATCTCGGATTGAAATAAGATTTTAAAGGGAAGATAGAAAATACTTTTATACACATTTTGCACGGATTATTAAATTTCTGAACCTTTCACTGTGTGCATGCACAATAAAACTTGCATTATTTTAAATTCTTCTTTTAAACTTTTCCTTTATCTCGAAAATTGGCCGAAATATAGCTAGTTAAAGTTAAAACAATTTTAGACATATGAAACTGATTTAAACATGTACAATATAGGTTACAATAATTAACACATGGAGACTTAATGCATAATACAGTTTGATAAAATACAAAAGCAACTAGATTAAAAATATACAAATATTTAAAGTTTTGCAAAATGAACAAGGGGCGGCTCTTCAGGGGAGACTTTGAGACTGCGTCTCCCCTTGAAAAAAAACCAGCTACTTGTAAATAATAATTAATTAAAAACAATAACATAGAGATATTTTTGTTTAAATTGAAAATAAATTATATCGTTTTCATTGTATATTATTATAAATTATAAATAAAATAAAACCTATTAATAGTTATTTCGATGGAAATACCATTTTAGTCATTTCTACGACGGTGGCCGGTTCAGTGAAACTGAAGCCCGACAGTTTCAATCGTAACATGTGGCAATGCCATGGCTGGTTGAACGGAGGGGGCCGGGGAGAATAAACCACGTATTATAGACGCTATTGAACCTGGGTTCACAACAGTTATTGCCGTGCCGCTGCGCCGTTGTTAATTAGTTTTAGATGTTTTAGTCGCTGTTTATTCATTATTTAATAGCTATTATACGTTTATCGGTTACCTATCTAATATTAATTATTTTTGACATTTTTATAAGTATTTATTTTGTTCTTATTTTAAAAATGCAAAAAGAAAAAATAATAGAATTTTTACTAACCAGTGGTTTCAATGCCTTAACATTGTCAGTTAGTGTTAACTATTTCATCTGCTACGGCTTCTAGTGAACGGTCTATAAGTACATTAAAACGTATTAAGACTTTTCTTAGAAACACAATGACCAATGAGCGGCTTTCAAGTTTATCATCCTTGACGATTGAAAAAAATCTACTGGGTGATTTAGCAAAGGATCCAACTTTTGTAGATAGTGTTATTAATGAGTTTGCAGATAAAAAAAAATTGCAGAATTGAATTACTTTATAAACAAATTTAGTATTAAATTTAGTTAAAAATATTAATTAAATATTAAATGAGGTATTAATATAATTAATTTTTTCAATAAAAATATTTTTCTTGTTCGTTATTGTATGGAATTTATATTATATAATTTAAGTCTCCCCAGAATATTTACTCACGAGCCGCTGCTGAAATGAACCAAATCGTTTTACATCCAGTTAGTTATTATTTTTTTAAAGTGTTAAACGATAGAGTTGTTTTGAAGTCTAATGGTAGCATATTATATATTTTTGGTCCTATATATAAGTAAGTAGATTGAGTTAGTTTTCTGTGCATTAAGGAAACAGTTATGTTTAATAATTATCTTGTGTTATATCCATAATCAATAATAGGAGTTAGGTTATTATTAATAATATAAATTACTGATGTCTTTTTTTAATGGTAGAACATTTGATTCTTTGTACAGATATTCTGTGTGCTACAAATGATTCTTTTTTTAAAAAAATTTGTATTATTCTATTTTGTATTATTTTTAATGGATTTAGTGTTGTATCATAGACACCTTCCCAAATAGTAATACCATAGTTAACTATGGCTTCTACTAGAGCTTGGTATTCAATTCTTATTTTCTTAATTTCAAGTAAATTAGCTACATTTTTGAAAGCATATATTATTTTTCTTAGTTTTATCATTGTTTGTTTAATGTGGTCATGCCATTTGAGGTTATGGCACATTTCAATGCCTAAGTATTTACAAGATTTTACTATTTTTAATGAAGTTTGGCATGTACACAATTTTGTATTCGAGTATACGTGTTTATGAATAAATAGGCTGGTTATATCTGGTTGGTTTGAATTAGTTATATAGTGTGGTAATAAATAAGTTTTATCTAAATTTAAGAATATGTTATTTGCATATAACCAATTATTGATTTTTCTCTGATTATCTTCTATGGATGAAAATACCTCGTCCCAAGAGTTATCATTAACAAAAAGCGCATTATCATCAGCATAATAGACTAGTTTACCATGTATTTTTTTTTTATTTAGTTAATTTGAATATTAAATAGGGTGGAAGAAGGGTTAATACCTTGAGGTACTCCACATATTGATTGTGTTTCTAAACTAAATAAATTATTTATTCAAATTCTGTGTTTCCTATGTTTTTATACGAGCTTAATAAGTCATAGGCTTGACCTTGGATACCAAATATATTAAAATGATTTAATAATATTTAATGGTCTATAGTGTTGAATGCTTTAGCTAAATCTAAGTAGACTGTTGCTATTTTTTTTTACATTCAAATGCATTATGAATACATTTAGATACTGTTGCGATTGCTTGCTCTGAATTTCTATCAGCCCTAAAACCAAATTGTGCATTTGATAATAATTTAAAGTTTTCTAAATAATGTACTAATTCATATTTTATTATTTTTTCGAAAGATTTAACAACATTGGAAATTTTAGAAATGGGGCAGTAATTTTCTATGCTTGATTTGTCACCCTGATATTTCTTTTGATTGGTTAGAGATATGTAATTTTTCACTAGAAGGACTTTGTATGGATTGGATAGGTGATTTATTTTTTGAGCGGTTAGTAATATCTTTAATTATTTTCCAGTTAAGTTTGGAGTTATTACTGGCTTTGTATAATTCTGATTGATAATAATTTTGTTTTGATAGTTTTATAGTATGAGATGAGAGATTTCTGTATTGAAGGTTTTTTTTTTCAGTTTAATGTTTAATGGGTTTTTCTTTGTATATAAGTGTAATTTATCTCTATGACGAATTAGTAGAATAATAACAGTGGTTGCCCATGGTTTTATTTTCTTAATTTTCGGAGAAATATCTTTTTCAATTGTGTATTTGTTTGCTTCGATCTGTAAAATATCAATACAATTTTTTGTGGCAGAGTTAACATCAGAGTTGTTGATTATTGAGTATTAGTTATAGTTACTTAATTCTAGTGAAAACTTAGAGTAGTCGAATTGTTTTATTATTTTTGGGTTAAGTGGATTATTTCTATTGAAGATAAGATTGCTGATATTAGTGTCTATTGAAAAATGGCCAGTTATTGACGTGTGTACAACATTCGTTTTTACATTAGATAATGATTTAGATTTCATAAAAACATGGTCAAGACAAGATTCACCTCTTTCATTACGTCTAGTTATATTTGATAAGACTTGTGAATCCATATTCATTAATTAAATCAAGATAATTGTTAGTGTCTAGGTTGCTAATTAATACAATATGTCAATGTTCATGTTACCTTTTATAAGTGTATGATGAGAATTTTTTGATATTGATCTTTATAATATATTATGTTAAAATTCGTGTGAAAATGAATTAATATATGTGTTGGATGGCCTGTAAAGCCCATAAACTACAAAATTATCTTATAAATTGTTTGAAGTTTTGTCCATTATATTAAAATGCTTCTGAACATCGTATGACTTCATCTTGAATAACTGCAATAATTTATTTGTCAGTTGTACGCATTAGTTCATATGTCTCCATCCAACAAATGTGTATGGCGTGGATTAATTGGAGGTTCCATAATAGGTACTTATTTTCAGATGGAACATTAAATGAAAAGAAATTTTGGATTTTTTCTTTAACCATTTATCACCATTGTTAGAGAGTGTTCCATTAGATATTAGCGAAATCGTATTTTTTCAACAAGATGGTGCTCCCACGCATACTATTATTATTGTAAGCTATTATTGTATTATACTTAAGCAGCACATTGGAAAATCGTTGGATAAGGACATATTGGACCGATAGCTTGGCCGATTCACCTGATTTGACGCCTTTAGATTTTTTTTTTTTTTAGGGGACTTTTAAAAACTAGTTTATGCTGACCAACCGATTAGTCTCCAGTTTTTAAAACAGAATTTGAAAAAAAACATCACTGAAGCATGCGCATAACTGACAAACAAACAAATTATGGCGGCAGCTACTCAAGATGTAGTCATACGACGTTCAAAAAGCATATTTACAACATAATGGACAAAACTTCGAACAATTTATAAGTTGTTATAGGCTGTATTTCGGCCAATTTCGAGATAAAGGAAAAGTTTATTTATATAAGTTGTATAAAAAAAAAAAAAATGGTTTAGCCAAAGTGTTGGGAATAAGTTTTTCCATTTAAAAGAATGCAAGTTTCATTGAACTTGCGCACATTGAAAGGTTGAGAAATTTGAAAATCTATGCAAAATGTGTATTTCAGTATTTCCTATTTTCTCTTTAAAACATGGCGTTTTAATGGCCATTTCAATCCAAGGTTACTGAGAAGAAATATTTTATGTTACCATTTGAGTAACACGCACTATATATTATTTAATTAAGTTTAAAATGATTATCCGTTATTTTTAATTTCAACTATTGATAAACATTTAAATTATTCAAGTGTAAATTAAAATCCTTTTACATATGTTGGAATTATTATCGAAACTAAACCAATATATTTCCCAATCAACTGCATGGATTAAAAATTCAAAAAATATAGAAGTAGGTTACCTAAGGCATCTGGTTAACTTATTTTTCATTTTAAAATAATATGAACGGAATTTCTTTTTTTTATTATTTCTTATCACGCGTTATCGTTTTTTGGAAAATCTGACCTTATCTTTTTATTACAGTTGGCTGCATGAATTAAGATATATTATAGGATTCGGATCGAAGTACCTTATCACTGATTTTCTTGAGTCTCGGTGTTACTCGCCATGCGGCAAGACAACTTGCGCTTTAGGAGGTAATCGGTATACATTTGAACTAAGAAAGTGATATACCTACCGATTACCATTTATTAATAATTATATTTTTCTGTCTTTTGTAGTAATATGTTCCGTCTTCTATTCATCTGTGTTATTATAATTGTAATTTAATAAAATAAACTAACGCTTGTTGGATGAATAAACTATACAATTTAAAAACATATAATTAAAAACAAATTAGGTCCGTCGATTTAGGGAGGTCAAAAAATCACCTCCCTAAAGATAAAATTTCTTTTCAGAAAATATGCTACATTTAAGCCACATCATCGGAGCAAGATTTCTGATGGAAAAGTTTGCACAACAAATCGAAGGATATTTTGCGATTAAAATAGACTGAGTAAGCGATGGTTTGGTCTCTAGGTACATCCAAAATATATTTGTTTTGTCCTTGTTTAGGTAAAAGGGGATGCGAAAAAATTGTTTCGAAACTCGGGTTTGAACTCATTATCCATCCCTAGGATATCAATTATCAATTAAGTATCTATAACCATTACACTACGACAGGCATACTTTAAAAAAAGACTATATAGAATTATTTAACAACATTTAATATTTTACCACACAGTACCTGAATAAAAATGACATATAAAATTTCGCAAAATTAAAATGTCAATAAATAGCTCAAAAACGGCTTGAATTTTTTGAAAATTTTACCACGTCTAGAAAAGGTAAATATAAGTTTTTTGTCATCCTAATTTTTATTCCATAAAATCGATACGAATATTTTTGACTGAATTTCAACAAATAACAAAATTAAAAAATAATAAAAACATTATTTTCTTAAATATCCTGTTTTCTTACGTTTTATCCTGGTTTTTCTCAGATATTATGAAAACCGCTTGGAAAATTAAAAAATTATCTCCCAAAATTACCATTTGGACAATATTTCCTTTCAGAAATGGTGCTGAATTTACATATCAGAGCAAGATTGAAGGTAGAATTTTTGTTTAAATAAACTAATTTGGTAATTTCTTACTCAACAAATAAGTTTTTCTAATCGTTTTTTGAGACATTGTTAACCGTAATTCAGATTTGACAATAGATAATTTAGAGAAGGCTCGTTGAACGTGGTCCAATACATGCCTTGGTAGTTGATACGGCAAAGATAAGTAATATCACGGTTAGTGGTTACTGGTTGGTTTATTTTATTGGTTACCGAAAGTTGTTCATACCATCATACTTCATCATCATTGCCTATGGGTTAGCATTTTGCCATTTTTACTAGAGAGCCTAATTATTTATTAATTAAAATCGACAGTTACAAGTATAATATATGCATATATGTATACAAGTACCTAAATGTTATTGTTTTTTTTAAAATATTTTTTATTTTAGTATTAGATGTACCTATTATAATATGTTAAATGCATTAAATGTAGGTAAGTAAGGAAAAAAATGATTTATATATTATGTTATATTATATTACATAAAGTAATATATTTTTAATATAAAAATACATTATTATTAGCCCCCTATGAGTCTGTTTCATTTAAATATGTAAAGTCCTCCCAAGTCAACAACTAAAATTGTGCCTATGGGGAATCACTTAATTACGCACAACATATTTTAAAATGAACTTAGTAAAACAATAATAATGTTATATTATTATAAAATTATGTTATACGTTAATATACATACCTACACACATGTACACATATCTACTTTACAATGGTATTGGTGATAATAAAAGGTTTATGGTTGAAACTAAACTTAAAATAAAAATAATGTTAGTAACTGTCATCGAAAATAAATGATACAGTACAAATAATTTAATAGTTACATGTATAGGTTGGTACTTACACAATGGCGGTGCTGAACTAAATTTTCGTATGTGGCAATAAATATAAATTTATACTCACCTACCACTACACCAGAGGCGTGCTCACGGGAGGGATGAGGGTCTCATATCACCTTAATAACTTTTTTTTTTTATAAAAAAATACAATATTTATATAGCTACTTATGCTAACGACACGTCAATTCTCTCATTACATTCTAACCCTTTAACAGCATACCAAAACTTCCAAGTTTATCTTGATAAAATTTCAAAATGGTCTTCAAGTGGAGAATTAAAATCAACTCTGATAAGTCTTTTCATATCCCTTTTACTTAAAGAAAAGATATCCTTCCTCAAATTTACTGACAAAACGAGCAAATCTAAACTACAACTCAAACCAAGTTAAATAGGTCTAACTTGGGGGGCCACACCTAAAACTAAAAGAATCGCTCTTAACACTAGACTTCATTTATTACGCCCTATCTTCAAGTCCAAGCTCTAAATCAACAACAAACTACTAATATATAAGTCAATGTTAAAACCTATCTGGGCCTATGATATCCAATTATGGGGTTGTGCCAAGCCTTCCCAAATGCGTACCATCCAGGTCTTCCAGTTAATCTCTCTTTGCCAAATAACATCTGCAGATAATAACATTGCATTGGCACACATTAATAACATAACATCCATGGTATGTTTCAAACTTTTCATTACATAAAGATCAAAAAATTAAAACAGTCTCTATTACAGCTAAAAACTTTTATAAAAAATTTCACAACAAATCATTCAATCACATAAATCCACTAGTATCTAAATTAGCCAATAAATGCATCCTAGGCAAACCCCTACGGCGACTAAAAAGACACTGGTTTCGCGATCTTTTGAATCTTGACACTGTTTAATTAACAAACTTCCCCCCAAAGTTAGAGGGTTCCCATTCTGGTGGTGTCAGGGGTGGATAAGTAGTATTTTTGTTACAAGGATATATTTTGAGGGACCACAAACTGAAAAAAATAATATTTTGCCACTCGCATTATATATTCAATATAACAACTTTACTTAGTAATACAATTTTTTTATAAAAATGTTTCACATATCAATCAACTTTGGTTAATCATTTACAATTTTATTATGATATTTTTAACACAATAGTAATTTTTGTAATAATTTACTTTTAGAAGATACTTGATCAATTATTAAGTCAGAGTCAATTCTGTTAAACAATGTCTCAATAGACATGAACATAAAACTTTCCAAAGTCTTGTGATAAGGTGCTCCTTAAATATGATTTTATATGTTTTAATTTTGAAAATCCACATTCACAGCTTACTTGAGTAACTGACAGAGTAAGTAGTAATTTGTAGCAGTTGTAGAGACCAGGATAATCATTGGTGTATAAATTATACTTCACTAAGAAATTAAAAACACAAACCAAACAGTAATTATCACCAACTGTAGTATAGGAACATTTTTCTTCATCATCACCATCAGATTTGTTATCGGAGTTATATTCAGTGTAGTCATAATTTTCATAAAAAATGGTCTTTGAATTCACTCCACTTAGACATAAAGTCTGTAAATTCATCTTTAAATGTGTCATAAGTCATTTCTGTGATAAAATGAACTATTTTATCATACATGGTTGACAAAGCTGTTGTAGGTAGAGGCATGTTTACTTGAAAATTATTTGAGTCAAGGCATGAAAAGTCTGCAAAAAGTTGACGGTGCAATGAAAATCTAGATGAAATACTTTGGAAAACTATGGCTAACTTCTTTATTGCCTTTAACTTCTAATTTATTATTTACCCACACAACACAATTGTCTACTGATTCTTTGACACTTGAGAAGTCACGTGCATTAAGTTTAGGCTCTTCAAGTGTTGCCTGAATGATTTAATAAGATGTCATCATATTTACTCCATGACCTTGTAAATACTTAGAAAGTGGAGTAGTTTTTTGAAAAATCCACAAATAAATTTGAGCTGTTAAAACAGTTTCATACTTGCATAATCCTTCTATCAAACCTATTGCTTTAATCTCAATTAATGTAGTTATAAGTTCCACAAATAAACCAGGTTCTGGATTCTTGAAATGACTTAACACTTTAGATAACACACTATGTTTAGACTACCATCTAGTCTCACCTATATAACATATTTGTTTATTCTTTTTTTATTAGTCCACACATCCATATGCTTATGGGATTCTTTAATAAAAACAGCACATCCATTGAGTATTCCAAATAAATTAATAGACTGAAGAATTTTATTAGTTATATCACCAATAATTAAGTTTAAAACATGAGCGTAACACTATATATGTATTTGATTTTTTGCCACATTACTCAGCTGAGCAGAAAATCCAAAAATCCAGGGATGCATATTTGCTGCTCTGTCAGTAGAATTACCAACACACTTTTTGGGATCAAAGTTCAAGCTATTGAAAACTTTCAAAATTAATTCAACCATATAAATTCCTTTACTAAAGGTACATTTGACAATACAGACTGATCTTACATGAATAATAGTACCACTAATATAGCGAATAATAACCGAACATTGATCAACTACGGATATATTTTGAGTTGTGTCGAGTTGAACGGTAAACATACCAGCATTTAAAATTTCTTCAGACATTACAACTTTAGCTTTACTAAGCTTCAATAATATAATTAATAGTGGTCTTTGACAATAGTAGAATAACTCCACCCCCTTGAAAAGAACCTGCATTGTGACTCTTAGTACTTTTTTTTATAACTTTATCTAAGTGACATTTTATAACTTTATCATATTTACTTAGAAGAATAATAATTTTAAAAAAATTGCCAAGGTATAAGAGGTATCATTTAATTTTTAAGCGGCTTCATTATTTCTATTGCGATAGCTAAGTCCTCGTTTTCCTATCAATTTTATAACATCCATAATGTGATGCATTATCTGTCTTGTATTCTCAACCTGTTTTCTTCTTAAAGAACTTTGGCTATACATTATTTAGAGAATCAACAGATGCAAACTTTGTTATCATTTTATGGGCGTCAACATTATATCTATGAATTGCAGAATCCTCATGGTTCTGAATACGTACATACATATATTTCCAATCACTAAAACCTCATATGAATACTCCAGAATCACGTCCATATGCGATACATATGTAACAAAATAGAGCTTTATCTTTGGTATTGTAAGATAACCGTTTTCTATAACTACCATCCTTTTGTTTATATGCTTTGTCTGCTGTAAATGGAATTTTTTTTGTTGGTTGATTTGGGTGAAATAACCAATACATAGCAATATTATTTGAATCTGGTTTTTTGAATGAAATATCAACAATACTTTGTTCCATATAGTGTTCAGTATTGGAAACTTCAGTTTCACCTATAAAATCAATTACAATCATTAACATTACAAAAAAATAATATTAAATTAACATTTATATATTAAATACATTTTTTTAAAACAATCAAAATAAATAATTACCTAATTCTACAATTGAGAGTTCAACATTATTTTGTTCCATAAAGTGTTCTGTATTGGAATTGGAAACTTCAGGTGTATCTATACAATTAATATCATTACAGTTACCAAAAACTAATTTTATGTTTGTAATACATATTGAATACTTTTAAAAATGTTAAATGTTTAGTTTTTAAAATAATTTTAATATTATTACAGTGCATGATGTACTTTAATTAACTTAATCAATATGGATCCATTAATACATTATAAGAAAACAATTTAGCTTTTAGTTTTAAAAAATCAGCTCACTGGGTTATTTTAATAGTGTTATTACTTTGTAATGTCATTGATTAAATATAATTGTATACATATATAAATATATATATATATATTTAATCAATAGTAATGTCACTCACAGCCCACAGGATAACTAAGTTGTAAGAAACAACTTTTCTTAAAAAACAAGGGAAAGTGAGTGGATCTATACCCAATATAACCTCCTATAATTATAAATACGGCACTGTCTGTAATATTTATAATTTTACACCAAAAGTTGTAGGTCTACCTCACTACTTGCTAACTATATTATTTATTATTATTTAAAAATTAAAATATTAACTTAGGTGCTAAAGCATATAATTATTTAAAAATTGAACTCACCTTTCGAAAAAATTAATTTCATTTGGTTTTTATTATTTCCACATTACAACAATAATTCTCTATTTTTTTCTCGACGTTTTTTCGAACCGGATTTATATTTGTGTTTAGTATTCATTATAATTGTTATAGCTACTTGTTATAGTTTATGGTTAGGTTTAGATATACACTATAAACTTAGATATCTTGTTTTAACTCTTAGATTTGAAATCAAAAATGGGTAGTACAAAAAAAAAAAAAATAAATAAACAAATCATTAACATAAATGTACGATTTTATATTCTTATTTAACTTAATAATATTCCCAAACGTAAAAATCGTAAAACCAAGATTTAATTACAAGATACACTGCTTCCAAATTCCACCTCCACGATGAAACGATGAAAACAATCGACCATGGAATACGAATGATACGATCATGGATAACAAAAATACCATAATAATACGTGTATTAAAAATAGATATTAAATACCCAATCATTTCTGACAGATTTGTATTTCGTATCGCCCGTATCGGTGTTCGCGGCCGGCGATCGATCAGGTATTTCGGTTTTCCATTTAACAATAACAATTTAAAATACTATTGTTAATATTTATATAGTTTCATGTTAAAAATCCGCAAGAAAATTATTTACGTGTTATCATATTATTAAAAATATCAATCTTCAATAATAATAATTTATAGTTTTAAATATTTCTATTTGGTGAATATTATACGAAATAAAATGTGTAGACCCGAGGGGACCTCCGACATAAACATAGACGGTGGTCCACAGGGAAAATATCTTTTTCCCTATGTGCCTATCCACCCCTGGGTGGTGCTCCCTCCTCATGTCTCTCCATGTTGTTAATATCCATTAAGTTATCATATTTACTTATTGTATATAAATATTACGGAATGTAAATTTTCTTTTTTTATCTAATAAAAAAAAAAAGATTAATACCTAATCGATTCGATGTAGATGTTGAAAAATTGTATCAAAAACTGACAAACGATAGAAAGACTTAAGCCTACACGTCATCAGGCCGGTCTTTTCATCTCTCGGGATTTAAACGTATTTACCTAAGTATAGTTAAGCCCTCATGCAATCATGCCGTCGTGAGTGCACATTTCACATAAAACATACCTAAATACATAAGCGTATAATTGGGGATTTTGCCATGACGACAGGGGATAGAAATATTTCATACAAATATCATTTTTGGAGATGAGTTTCTATTCACATCATTCCTACTTTAAATTCTGAACGGATCACGAAGTGTTATATAATTAGTTTTACAATGGTAAATGATGTTTTTTGAGGTAGTGATGAAAATATAGCGGCCCGTGATTAATTCTGCACAATGGTTTATCCTGCCAAAAACTGCTGGGACCAATTCAAATAACAACGTATTGTATATTTTCATATAAGTTGTTTTTAAGTTTTTTAGATCGGTTTTAGACAATTATTAAAATGTCGAGTTCGTCTAGTGGCGGAAAAGCGAGCATCACTGTTCTGTAATATTGGTAGGTAAAAAGCTAGAAAGAAGTCCAATATTGTATAGAAACATTCGATTGGTAGGTACTAATATTCAAAATAATTTAAGAAAATTATCGTACACCTTCATGATTACGTATATTCTTCTCCTTCGCTTTCATCTCAATTATTTAGTTATACACGATTATATATTATACAAATGTTAAATACTCGATATGCTATAGAGTTGATAAAATATTTAGTACGTATACTATACGACATATGTGTGAATGGTGCGACCTAATTACCAAGTGACCATAGGCGCACATTAGGTGAAGAATTAGGAGATGTTAGAATAATTTATAGTGTACAGACCCATAAGAAAAATCCTCTCAATACCCCCCATAATATACTGAATATTTATCATATAATTTTAATAATACTCTTATAAGGTAATTATAGTGTATTTCACGAAGATATTGAGATATCTTGGAAAGTATTTATCTTTTTCTGAAAATTTAAGAAACAAGTAGCTGTTAAATTAACATTATTTTTGAGAGCGAACCACCTACTATTAATTTTCAAATGGAAACCTATATTAATCATTCCATAAATAGATTAATTAATAGTTTAAACACATATTGTTGTTGACATTTTTGATTTCTGTCAACCCGTTTCTTTTGTTGATATACACCCGATGACGAGATATAGCACTTTCAAATTTAGCTTGGAGGAGTTAGTGAAGTAGTATTACCTGCAGGCCCGGCGGAAGGCACAGGCAACACAGGCCTATGTCTGGGGCGGCATTATGTAAGAGGCAGCATTTTCTTAGGCAGGGCCATATTTAGGATAATATGTTGTAATAAGAAAATTTATTATTTTAAAATACTTAAATTTTACCAAAAATGTAGACTATATAAATGTACTGTGGCTTAAACCCGAAGTACACGTGAATATGTTTGAAGATATGGTTAAGGGGATAAGAGGTAAATAGAGAGATCAAAAACGAAAGGGCGGCAAATTTTGATTTTGCCTATGTATACATTTTGTCTAGAGCCGGCCCTGATTACCTGTAGTATACAATGTGGTGTTTGAATAATGTTTCAGTACAGTCTCCTTAACCAAATTTAAAAGTGATAGATGACATCAACGGGTTGACGGAAATCAAAAATGTTAACCCAAGTTAATGTATTTAAAATGTTAAACTAATACTGTAATTATATGTGTATGTTTTACATACTCATGAAAATTAATATTCTTTTGTACAAAAGAATTCTAGGTACTTAAAACTTTCGTCCTCGCTTATAAACTGCTTATTGTCGTTAGTTGTTTTGGCTTGTTTTTCCAAACTCATACTCTGTTTTACTTCTATTTATCCTGAGTATTTTTCCTTTAAGTGCTATTTTATATTCCTCAAGCCTTCTGTTAACTTATTTCAGATCATTTCCTATTAAAGCTATATCATCTACAAAATATCTGAGAAGGGACAATCTGCCAAATTTTTTTCGAACTCCTCATACCGTTTGACAGAATTTACATAGGCTGTTGACCTGACGCAACCACATTTGTCGCCTCTTACGGCAGGCAGAGGTACCGTGGGAGTATTATGATCCTCTCCCACAGAGAGCATGTTGAACATAATATTATACACACGTAATAATATTATCATATAAAATATAATGTAAAGTTTAATCGCTTATTTACTTATCTAATGTTTGAATGATATTCGACTAATTTCGGGCTATTTTTATGATTTTACAACGAACAACTAATTTTCAGAAAAAAAAAAAAATTTAATATCAGTATTTATTTTCAACGATATTTCTGACAACCAAATAGAATATTTTTTTTTCCAGTAGATGGTAAATTCAATTAACAGATAGGAATTATACCTAGAAAAAAAAAAAAATTTTAAGGTTCTGCTGAAGTCCGTAGCACCTCTAGGCTATAGCCTAGGTAGCCTAGTCCTAAATCCGGTCCTGTGTGTGTGTGTGTGTGCGTGTGTGTGCGTATGCGCGCGCCTACAGGTAATTGCTCTCTGTTGTACGAATTAATAACGTGTGACTCGCAGGCGGACATAGTGCACGAGTGTACGGTGACACATAGCGACGGTGACGAAATTCCGGTAATGCGGCGGCGGTGCACGTTAATTCTGAGAAGTTGGCCGCGTGAGCCGGGGCTTTACGGGTAACGGCCGTGGGTACGCGGTCGCTCATAATAACGTAATATACGAGGACCCGGTTGTTTATGTATAGTTTGTGCGGGCGTTATACGTATATAGGTATATTGATTGGTCGCGGCGGCGAACTTGCGCGGGCTGCACAGCTAACTGCAGTCAGACCGCGAGCTTGCAGACGGCCAGAGCGCCGAGCGGGGCCGGTCTGCGCGGCGGCGTGCTCGTTTGCCCTCGGCCCGTTCGACTCCGCGAAATTATGTTATGGTTATCACAGGCCGCGCACTCCTTCGGCTCGTTCGCGCCATCGCCACCGGCAGCGCCGACGTCGACTCCACTTTACTTTCAAGACGACTATAAATTATACGTCATTATTATTACTATTGTACCTGCGTCTCCTAATGTCGTTATTATTATTCCACCGTGTGTCTGCGCGCGGTCCGGACGTCACTCGCGCTTGGTCGGTCCTGTTCAGAGCGCCTCCCGTGCCACGGCGGGCACTTCATGCACGGCTGTAATCTCGCGTATTATAATAGTAATATTACATTTATGCGCACGTCGTTTTTTATTTGACGGTGTGTACGCGGTCTTGACGAGGGAAAACTTTAACGGTAAATATTTGTACGCGCACTCGGCAATCGGGCAGTGTACCACAGCAACGAATATTATTGTCTCGCGTCACGATAAAATAGTAAGTTTAAAAATATTAACCGTCGTTTATATAAACAGAATGCGTGTAGTTAAATATTGTCCGTAGCAAAAACCCTCGCGTTTAATATTTATGAAGTGCGATTTTTTTTTTCGGAAAACTTCATGTACCTGTGCTACGATTTTTATATCTTTAATAATGATTACTTATCATTATTGCCAATATTACTTTGTTCAATATATTATATAGTAGACGAATTAATCAAAAAGATACGGACGTATTTCGCACGATTGGTGGGCTATTGTTGCAGGTGAGAAGTTGGGAAAACAGGTTATAGAGGGAAATTTAATGTATATCTATAATCTGTACGTGACGATTAATCTTTGCTTACGAAAAACAATTCTGTGCGGAGTTCGGTCACACGTGTTTTAAAAGGCCGTTATAAATACGATTTGGGAATAATACATTTCGTAAATTTTTCTGTTTATTATGAAAAATTCCTGATAAAATCAATAAATGACCTCTGTAAAGTACCACCTCGGTCAGATTTCCTTTCAGAAAAAGTGCTACATTTGAAAATCGGAGCAAAATTTTTGGTAGAAAAGTTGTTAACAGATAAAAAACAAAAAAAATCATTGTAAAACCAATACATTTCTTGCTTATACAGAATCTAAAATCTGGAAATCGCAGATGTATAGCGTAGTCCTACGGAATATTGTCCATTTTACAAAAAAAAAAAAAACAGTATAATAATACTGATAAAAACTGACAAATTTTGAAAATTTTAACTGCGAAGATTTTTTCCCTCAGATCGTTTACAAGTAATCGTACAAATAATGCCTTTTTTTCATTACGTATATGCACAAAAAGTACATTGCCAAACGGTTTTACTCATTAAATGAAAATATAGTATACGAATTTTAATCGTGCACCCCTGTTATAAACAAGTCGGTTTCGACTGAATAATTAAATCTGTACCTATATATAGTGATAATTGTAATACCTTTTCAATTTAAGACCAATTTACATTCGAATTTTAATTTTAATTAAATGCGGCTTACGTATGTTATAATGTGATGTGACGTAGTGTATAACTTACGCAGGAATATGTAATTTATATTATAGTAGTATGTCAAGATTTTCGAAATAATTAATATACAAGAAGACGTATATAGATATATAGGTAGGTATATATTATAATATTGTTAGCGAACAAAAGTTCGTGTCGTATTCGCGCGAATTATATTATGTCTTAATACAATATTTCAATATTGCCAAAATATAATACGATTAGCGTTCGTAACGACTTTAAAATATTAATTTTAACATAATTCTTGCAGCAGCAAATCCAGGGACGACGATGATGATCACCCACCCTCTTTTCCCGAACATGTTCTTAATTCCAAAATATTCTAAGCTTGAATTTCATTACAAATGTGTGCTTTTAATGAATTTTAAAAATCGTCCCTCTCATTATTTTGTCCTTGATTCTCGTATATATACATTCGCTGGTAATAATATTATTGTTCTTTAACCCACTAGTAAACCATGTATATAGGTACAATTCTGAAATATTATACAGTACAATATACCCATCTATAATTACATTGTTGTTAGTAGTAAAATCCTATGCAAAATAAATAGATAGGCTATTTTATTAAATTGTATAGCATTTCTATTTTTTTTAATCGTATTAATACCAAATTATTGTATCATACACGAATTTAGTGTTAGAATATATACTCGCATATTATTATAGTCTGTTTTGGCCGAGCAAAAAAGGGTTGAACATTTAAAACGAAGTTCATAATAAGTTGTACTTAATATACCTAGTATTTTTTTTTGTAAGTTTTTTATATTCGAAGTGTGTGTTTTTGTATTTTTATTTTCTTGTGTCTGTGAACAATTTGTAATTTGTCTACTAGAAATCTTGTTTTGATTTTCAAGTGTAGTAGTACCTTGTCTGAACGGAAATTTGACTGGGGTGGTATATTAATCAAGGAGGTTATTTTTTGGTTGTTTAAGTGCTTTTCATAATTAACAATTGAGAAAAATCGTTGTAAAAATGGAAAATCTACGAAATGTATTATTTTCAATTTTATTTTTTTATTTTGATTGTTGCAATTAAGTTGAAATATTCGTAGATTTGAAATTTTGATAGAAAATTTAAATTTTCCGTTTCTATATATTCATTTTTAAGCCATTTAAGGACATTTTAATTTTGCAAGGTTTTACGAAATTTTTATTTGGCGTAAGTATAACTCTGTAGATAGAATTATGAACTAAATAGAAATGCTTGAAAATTTAACAGAAGGATATAAGTCATACTTTATAAGTCGTAAAAAAAAATTTAAGTTAAAATATTAAATTTTGACGAAAATCGTATATATTACGGTCTTTTAAAACATGTATAACCGAACTTTGCTTTGAATTGTTTTTCATCAACAAAGGTTTACTGTTGTTTACAGATATAAATTAATTAACTTTATTTATACTACATTCCCAACTTCCCACTTTTAACAGTTGCACACCCGTCTCCAGTATCGGCTATTTTTTTTAAGTTTAAATCTTGACGAAAACCGTACAAATTACCTATTGTATTTTAAATTTGTGTTTTACTGAACTTCGCTCAAAATCATATTTCCTAAGTAATGATTTACCAAATGTTTAAAAGTAAGTGAACGCTTTCACGTTTACGTTCGTTGGAAAATGAACAGTGTTGACAGAAATCCTCTAAATATCAAACATTATTAATATGGACCCTATCTTCTAAGACAGTGTTCCGGAGTGATAAAAAATATGCTGAATAGTAAATATTTTATATTGAATATATTATTATTATTGTTATTTTTAAGTTTTGAAACGGAGTTTTCACGGGGGAGGGATTACAGAGATTAAATTAGAAAAATATAAATTATATTACGCTCACAACACTCATTGAACTGGCTCATTCACACGAAAATGTTAGTTTCTCAAACTTTAAATTATAGTTGCTCCAAAGTACTTTGTAACTTAAACTATATTGAAAATTAAATATGAATATGGTCACTTAGAACTTAGAAGACACTTATATATATATTTACTTATGATAAATAATTAAGTAATGCATAAACATATAAGATATAAAGTACACTTTTAAAACCAATAAACATAATTTTTTAAATTATTAAATAAATATGTACAAATTATTATGTAGCTAACAGGTCTGACATACTGTGCTTTTATAAATATAACATTTATGAATTAATTATAAAAGTAATTTAGATTTTTTTCAAACTATATTTATCATAGCATCATTTTCAATTACAAAAATAATTTTTTTTTTGTCTCCATTAACATGAATGATTCTAAGTTTTCCATTAACATTGAATTTCTCAATCTATTTTTTAAGTACTTTAATGTCGGATAGGCATTAGAATAAATATTATATTTAATTAATGTATTATAACTACATATTGCACAATTTTTACACATTTTGCATGATTTTGACAGGTCCTTTTCCCTCATCTTCATTTTCTGAGTTACTATTCAAATAATATATCCTTTCATTAAATTCAGTCTACGGATTTTCTTAAGTACTTCCAAGATTTTGAAAAGCTTAATAACTAAAAAAAGCTTAATTTTAATATTATTTTCATTGTTAACAGGATATTATTTTAACTTTACAGCTAATTTAGTAAACGCATTTTTAAGTATTTAATTTTCATTTTTAAATACATATATTTATAATATTATCAATTGTATAATGACTTAAGAATGTCACAAAACTACTTCTTCTTTTAGATCCTTTTAAATTAATATTTTCACTTTTATTCATAATTGTGTATAAATGTTTATTTAACACTGGATCATACTTACCCAATAATATTGTTATTTCTAAAAAGGTTTCGTGGTCTAATGTAGGATCTTTATGAAAATATGCCATTTCATTGTTTTCCTCTGACACTTAAACCATATTTTCCTATTACTTTAATGACATCAACTATTTGTTCAAGAATTTTTCGATTCTTTTTAAATTTCTCAAGATGTAAATGCAATTAATTACCTAATGTTTAATTAACTATCAATATCACTTGATGGCAATGTCTAAAACAAGCATCACAATAATTTACATGAATTTTACTAATTTCATGTTCGGAAATCTTCTGATATAATATATGTTTCCAGTCTGTCATTCCAGAAATAAAAGGATTAATCTCTGAGGAAAAGGCCAAACAAATAAATAAAACATTTTCTTATTGATTTTTTCATATGTACACTGGTGTCTTTTGTAAATTTCTATTGTAACTTTTCTATTAACAAATGGTAAAATTGAATTATCACAAGGTTGTAATGGATGTAATTTAAAAAAAAAAGTAGTTGAAAATAGTAGGTTTTGGCTTTGCAAAATACGGAATCCTAAGATCTTCAATTTGATCTAAGTATTAAAATTAATATAATACAAATAATTTTTTAAAGATATTAAAAAAAAAAATACCATCAAGTATTGTTTTGGAGGGTATTGGTTTGTCTGTATTATTTTTCATGTTGTTTTTGTCTATATGAAATAAAATAAAATATCATTAATGTAATAATAACAAAACAAAAATTGTAATTTGATTTTTTTTTGTAAAATATTTGTATTTGTTTTTATAGTGTCGGTATTCAAAAATAATAAATGGACTAATTTTCGCGATTCGTTTGCAACGAAACTTTGCGAACTCAAAAATAAAAACTCTGGGTCAGCTAGGTCTAAAAAAAGAAAATGGCACCTTTTTAACAGGATACGTACTTTAACTAGTTTTATGATGAAACATAAAATGGGTAGCGACATTAATGATGACTTATTAAATGATTTGGAAAAAATCATAGAGTCTGATTCAATAGTTGAAGATGATACAATATTAGTAGATAATACAGTTATAGAGAAAGAACAAGACATTAATAATTTAACATTTAAACAACCAAAACAGACTTTCTGTAAAAATCCATGTGAAACAAAAGAAAATGATAAGGTAGCAGAATCGATGATAGAATTTTCGAAATCAAGAACTAACAAGTCAGCTTCAATTGAAGAATCCCCAGAATTGTTTTTCTTTAAAAGCCTTATTCCAGACTATCAAAAACTTAATAATAAAAATCAAAGGAAATTCAAAAACGTAGTTTTATCAACTTTAAACAGCTATCTTGACAAACAAGAAGACAATACAAAATAATAATAATATATATTCTATAACACCAGTTGGAGAATAGAAAATTAATTTATGTCAAGCCGGACCAATCGCATTGGACCACAACTAATATATAGTAAAGAAGTCAATATAGAGTTTTTTAACATAAACATGTAATATCTGCATAATATCTGAACTTAAAAAAGCTATAATTTCGAAACTTAGTCAGTTCGCTCAACTTTGACTTTACCATTTTTCTTAAATCAGCAATCAGCAATACACATATGTATACAAATTGAAAAATTAGATTTGTTTCACATAATTTTTTATTCAAACAATTTTCGTCAAAATATAGTATCAAAATTCCCTTATAAATACAAATACTACATTAAAGTAATTTTTTTTTTTTTTTACGACAAATTAAGATTTAATAACCTCCTGTTAAATTTTCAGGCATTTCTGTTAAGTCTAACAATTTTATCACAGAATACCTACCGAATAAAATTTACGTACAACACTTGTAAAATTAAAACGTCTATAAATATTTCATCCATTTATAAATGGCTTAACATTTTGAAAATTTTATCACGTCTAGAAAAGGCAAATATAAGTTTCTGTTCAAATTTCAAATCTCTACGAATATTTTTAACTGAATTACAACAAATAAAAAAATTGATAAAATAATAAAAGCATTAATTTCGTACATTTTCTTGTGTTTTATACTGGTTTTTCCTAGATATTATGAAAACCGCTTCTAAAATAAATCTAAAATAAAATAAATCAATTGTTTATCCATATTTCTATTACTGATCAATATTTTATTTTTATATACGGATCTTATCAGTCAATTCGGATTAATCAAAATCTGTTGAATATTTTTTCAATGCGGAATGTGGATTAATCAAATTAAGTACCCTTTTAATATGAACACGATTTGACACATAGTATAGTGTATTGTATATAATAACATTTTTAAGCATATATTATTATTATAATACATAATGCAGATCCTTATAATACACCCAAGGGCCGAGAGCATAAAAATGGATCAACAATGTGCTGTAACAACAACGGCTACGGCGACGGACGAAACGTTATTCGAATATAAAGGCGGATTGGCCGACGATTTGAAATTTCTCGCGGCTATCCCAGAAGTGTGTGACGTGACATTTTTAGTTGGAGAAATGCGGGAACCCGTGTGCGCAGTCAAAGCAATTCTCGCGGCCAGAAGTCGGTAAGTATATAATTAATAATTTAATTAAAATACTACGATTATATAGGAGAACGCAGGAACAAATTGAACAAAATTTAATCAAAAGGTTTCATCTATCACATTTGATCATTGTATTGCTGTAAATCAATTTATTATGAGTATTCAAAATTTAAGTACAAATTAAAGAGCAAATTATTTTTCGGAGGAGACTTAGATAACAAACGCTCCATCCCGAGTGTTCGCCACTGCTGTAATATTGCCTTAATGTGTCATTTTCAAATTTTTCATATGATGGGCGTGTATTCATGGTTTTTTCACACTTAAAGCCGCAAATTTGATCTTTAGTTTAGTGGGCTAAGTTTTACGCATCTAATTCGTTGAATTTTTTGAAATTTGAGACAATTGTTTTCTAGAAAATTAGCGGTCCAGACAATTAAATTTCAGAAAATTAGAGTGCTGACAAATTATTTTCCTATAAACAACTATTGCTTACTATTCATAATTAGTGTGTAGATATATTGTAGTATACCATGGTATGCTCGCATAATATATACAGTTGCATATTTATAGATTATTCTGCAGTACCTATATAGATATATGAATAGGTACTGCAGAATACTGCAATGTGAGAATGTTGAATTAAATAAACGAGAGAATAATAATGTTAATCGTTTCGTTTTTCGAGTTTCGGTGTTAAGTTCTTTGATCTACAGCTCTGAGAACTCAGTGCACTCAATAGTTATAAAGAGACAATTTGTACGATCGATCGTTCAGTATTATAGTCTTTGTATAGCTATTATATATATTGTATCTTCAAACAGTTCAAACCTTAAAGGCCATTCTAAACCGAGATGTATTTACCTACTATTTTCTCTGGATTTAAACGTAACGATATTAATTGAATTGTAAAGTGGTAACGTTTCTATATATCTATATAGGATCATGTTCACAACAAAGTCAATTTTGTCAGGTTAGGACTATTTGTTTGAAAAACCAGAATATTGGAAAAATAAATTGGAAATTTCTTAAACAATTACGTTTTGTAAATGATTAATAATCATTAATATAATATAATAATTGATTATACATGTTCATTATTTGTTGCTCGTGCTTCGGTTGGTTTAAAAATGAAACAATTAAAAAAAAAATATGTTTATTAAATGAATATTATAATGAAAAATTATTAATTGCATGCATAATTTATCAGCAGAAAACTCACGAAATTAATAGAGAGCATAAGTGTGACCAAATAAATGTGCACGAGGTGCAAAATAAATTTCATATCCAACCCAACTAAATTTTTCCAAAATCTAAAAAAAGAACAATTGCGTTAAAATAATTATATTATGTTTTATATCTCTTAACAGTCTAAAAATCGTTTAATGTTTGGTTTTAATTTTTTAACAATTTAAATTCTTCAATGACTTCATCGTAGTTAGTTTCATTTGTAAATGGCTCCACAAATATGTGATTCATGAGTAGGGTTTGGGATTTGTTGAACTAAAAATTATTGGAATATGCATGCAAATATGCAGTCAAAATAGTCAAAATATGCAGGTAATTTTTACTTTATTTTTGACGCGTAAAACATATTATAATAATTATAGAAATAAAAATCTCGAAAATAGATAGGTATGTATATAATACAAATCATCGATAACAAGGTTGATTACTAATCGATAAACATAAAGAGACACTCACCTACGTCCTATACCTATCCAAAGTAATTTATTAAAAGAAATATTATTTGATGTTATCCAAATACGATTTACCCGACAATTTTAGTTAAATAAAAATTAAAAACATGCAAAATATGCACAAATATGGTAAAAATTGCTCAAATATGCACTTTTCCTAAAATGTGACAAAATATGCTGAAATATATAAATTCAAACTTTGTATTTAATGTCGGTATTTCATATAACAAATTTATGACTTACTTAGAATAATCTACGACCACTACAAAAAAACATGCAAATGCAAGAAGTCCCGAACCCTATTCATGAGTATTAAGTCGAGTCTTTTTTGTCATATTATTTCTTAACTTTGTTTTCACAATATTTAATTTAGAAAATTGTCATTCACATGAACAGCTGCCAGCTTATGACTTGTATGGTCACAAATGTTGAAAGTACTTTAAAAATTTTCAGAAAACTATCATATTTTAATAATTTTTAAAGCCAGCAATGCACTATTTTTGTCGTGGATCTTTTTTTGGGATGTCCAAGTGTTTTTAATTAACGTATTTCAGCCATTTGATAAAACCAAGTAATAAGTGATAACAAACATAGTATAATATTAGAATCATGTGTAGAGAACAATATTATTTTTAAGCTCTTTTGGTTTATAAAATTATAACTAAAGATTTATATTTTTAATTCAAGAATCTTGACATGACTTCAGTTGTGCAACTGCATACCCTGCACACTCTGTAACCATGCCAATAGTAGAAGAGGACAGAGTATATCTATTCATATTCAGTATAGTATTATTAGTTGTATAACTTTAAAATTATAATAGATTTTAATAATTGTCAAAATAATGAGTCATTATTCTGTGTTATATGTATGAGTATTATATAGTATGTTACATTTTTAAATTTTAGACCATTAATAAATGGACCGAAATTACTAGTTTAAAAGCGGTAAATGCAAGTTCTTAAGTTTTACTATATAGATTTAGACTCAAAATATAATTTTCTCTGATTATATAATATATAGTATTATTGTCATTTTCGCTATACAATCCAGATTTACAAAACTATACATTTATTCTCTTGGGCTAACTGTATATCTATATATACTTCGACTCCGGCATTTAGTTTCTCTTCAAACTGCTTTTCGGTTCACTGGATTCTTCTCGCCTACCTATACACAGTATACACTATATTCATGTTATAGAATAGAACCCCTAAAGTTTAAAGTTCAAATCTGCACCATTTATACTGCCAATAAACCGATTCCTTAAGTTTGTGTATACAGTTCACTAATTTTTATAACTTATTTTCATTTAATTTATATTATAACTATTCAAAGTTTTTATGGATTTGTAGGATAGTAAGTTTTTCGGTTATATTTATGTTATATATAAATACAATATATACTCGTTTTTTATCGTATGTTTGCTCTTGAAATGTGATATTTCGGATTTTTAATTTCCAAATACGTATTAAAAAATAGTCTAGTTATAAACATCAATCGAAATGAAAATTAGTCATAAACACTGAAATGAATCTGCAACGTCATACTCCACAAAAACAAATACTGGAATTAAAGAAAAACTAAATAAATAAATACTATAAACATTATTATGGTATAACTACTTTGGACATATAAAAACCTGTAACATTTAAATTAATAATGAAATACATTTAAAAATAAAACGCTTGATTAATTGGCATGCTGCATGAGAATTATATTACATTACTTGTATTGGGTATCTAATGCGAAAAACATCAAACAAATCTGAACACCAGAAAATAATGCTTTAGTTCTATGAGGGATTTTTTTTTTTGTTTACATTTAGAGTGTTTTATAAAATGTTATACAACACAAATGGCAAACAGTTACAAAATCAACAACTTTCGATCGGAGGTAGTTCGTCGTCGAAACGAAGCGGAGGACTGATTAAACAATTATCCGGTGCTACAAGTGGGAGTCCAAATTCTCAGCAGCAAAATAGGTTGAGAATGCTGTTGAAACGTAGTTCAGAACCGTTGTTGATTTTCCAACAAAATCACCAACAGCAGTATCAATCGAGGGTAAACGCAATGTGTTTTCAATGCATTATTTTATATATTTAACGTTATTTAGATAGATAAAATATATTGCATTTTCCAGTAAAGAAATCGATTTCTGAAGTTTATAGATATTTACAGATTGATTTATATACAATGTATATTATACACGTACAGGTATTATAAAAAAAATTGTTTTCAACGTTACAAAACCATTAATTTTATTACAAACAACTATACTTATTTCAATTTTTAATGAAAGAAAATAATAAAAATTATCTAACGTGAACTTTCGAGTAAAAAATCGAGGATAAAACAACAACGTATTATTAACAATAATTGGAACATTATTGAAAAAGTAATTTTATCGTGGGGTAGATAACTTTTTATTTTTTTGGATATGCTATAAGTTTATTTCCAGATGAATATATTTAGTATCGGCGCTACAAATTACGGGGCTTGGTGTAAATTAATTTTGCGAAGCTCTTTTTATATTTTCTTCTTATGTTTAAGAGCGTCGATTCTAAATTTTTTAATATCATTTTCAGTAACCAATTATAAAATTACCTATTTATTAGAAGTGAAATATATTTAATACTGGTTAGGTAAACTAAAATATCTTAGATACATTATTAAAATAAAATAATACCTAACGATTGTTAATATTTAATTTTTAATATTTATAGTAGAAAAAAGTTGACAACATAATTAGTAGATAACATAATTTATAGTAGATAACAGTTTATTAAGAAATGGTTTATGTTATTTTAATAAATTAAATTAATTTATAAAATACCTAATAAATAAATTAAACAGATTTTTATGTATTGTATGTATTTATTTATATTTTGTGTTGTTGTTATATTGACATATCTATATGATAAACCACGAACAGCAACTTCAAAAATCTCCGCCAAACATTAGGAACAGTGTTAAGAACACCAGTAACAAGACAATGACAGGTCCCGGACCTAACGCACCGATGACGACTTGGTCGAAGTACAAGAGAGGAAGTGCTGTCGGAACAACGTCGACGATAAACAATGCTACCTGCTCTGTGACGTCTCCAACAGTGATAGTAATCGAAGAATTTGACGCCGACGTGTTCCGACAGTTGGTCGAATACGTGCATACGGGTTGCGTGACATTACAGCCACGGACGTTATTGGGTATGTTTATACATATTATACAATTTTTATACAATATACACATTGTATTACACGCATTCTAAATACAGAATAATAATAATAATAATATGTTAGTGGTATACTCCGAAATGTAGGTATATATTAATTATGGGGGAGGGAGAGAGATCTAACTATAAATTATTTGTAATAGGAGCGATTTGGGAGTTCAAAAATGAATTGAACTTCTATATGGTAATTTTTAAATTAAACCATCCAATTCCTCCCATTACTTATCTACTCCTCTGGAAATACTTATATACGCAGATACATCAGAGCGATTTCACTATTGTAAAAAATACTAAATAATTTGTATTAAATACACGTAAATAATATCATAAAATAAATTATAAAAGATGTACCATATGATGGTTATACGATTTCTGAAGGCGAATTGAAAAAAAAAATATAGGTATGTATACATCTATTATAACACGTATAGCCGTAGGGTATAGAATTTATTGTTGTCGAACTGTGTGTTATAATATTGTTAATAAAGGCTTAATGAATAAATTTTAGGATGAAATTCAGACCTTAATATTATTGTTTTAAGAATTTTTTAAAATTATGAATGACTTATGATACATTAGGGGGTCAGGATGGGTACAAAACAATGTTTAATTTAAAGGCAATTCGAAACATTTCTGTTTTGTTTTACCACTATATTTACTACCGTTGTATTATGCTATTAAAATGGAGACATAAAAATTAGAAATGTGCATTTAATTTTTTTGGCTATGAATAAAAATTAGTTAAAATAAGTCTTGAGACGGATGTTTTCATGCTGCTATAAAGATTCATTCAGAGGATTGCAGGATACCGGCCGTTAAGGGATTGAGTATAGGCAATTTTAAGGCAATTCATATAATATTATAATATTTACATATGTATTTAATTATATTTGGGTAAAAGTGTTTAAAAGTACTTCTTCATCGTACCTAGAGTTATGATTAAAAACAGATTGGGTTTCGTCATTATTGTACAAGTTTACTGCTTTAGATCAGTAGTTCCCAACATTTTTGTTATGGCGACCCATACATTTACTCTTTTTAGGTATGCGACCCACATTAAAAAAGCTATGATAATGGGGGTACAAACACTGTTGTAAGTGGGAAGTTGGGAAGGTAGGATACAGAAAGGAATTTAATGTATATCTGTAAGCAACGATGAACCATTGCTAACGAAAAAACGATTCTGAGCTGAGTTCAGTTGATAACGATGTTTTTTCAACTATATATATGTCATATTATGGTAAAATAATTAAATAGATATTATATATTTTCTTTAATAATATTTGTTTAATATTGTACCGATTTTCCCATTTTTCCTCCGGTTTATCACATTTTATCAGGAAACTCTTGGGGAAATCGAAAAATGACCTTCTCGAAATACTTTCCCAGTGGGATTCCCTTTCATAAAAAGTGCTATCACTGTAAATCTGAGCAAAATTGCTGGTGGAAAAGTAGTTCACAGGAAAAAAAGAAGGCCGTAATATTTTTTTAACTAATCCTTGTATTTTATACATTTTCAGTTTTTCCTCAGTTTTTTTTTTTGGTTTTTCACATTTGTTTATTTTTTTATTATTTTTACAAACATATATTTTTATTTTTTCTATTTTATTATATTATAATCAAAATATATCTCTTTCCAACCATAGGTTGGACCCAAAGGTTGGGAAACACTGCTTTAGATCGACTTTTCGCTTATTTAGATTAATATTTAATTCTATGTCTATTCAGCTGTGAACGTTTGAAAATGTTTGATACTTAAAGTATAATTCCGTAAACGTGGAAAAGTCAATCTCTAAAATATGAAGAATATAATAAAAATACTACTATCTTGAATTCCTATCCAAACTTTTATTCAACCAGATTGACTCCCCTTCCTTATTTAACGAAATAAGCTTCTGTTCCTCCATGTCACACTCGTTACTCAATTCCTTTTTCCATTTCTCTTTTACCTAATAATTTCTTTCGTAATACCCCAATGGTTTGTCTCCCCTGTTCACCAATCTTTTCTTTTACAGTTTTTAAGGTTTTATTAACAGTAATATTTTATATTAATCTGTTCTTATTTGTTATATTAATGTTTGCTTTGTAATTGGAATTGCTCCGTTTGTATAATAAAATAAAATATATACCAAAACATATCTTCAAATAACGGTTGGTATCTAATTCTCTTAACTTTTAATAAATATAATAACTTATCAATAATTTAAGCATAATATATTTAGACTTTTATTTCCTTACTTTATGGGTAGATCGTAGGTATATGTATGTATAGATATTCGATGTTTCCATTCAAAGTGTTAACACATAAATTCGTTAAAAACCCTGACTTTAAATGGTTTCTAAGCGTGATGTTATCTATTTTTACAATATTTTAAAAATGTACCGCTTGTTTTAATTAATTTAAAGTTGTTTAATGTAAATTTATAAACTTTTTAAAAAAAATGTCTTTGTTTAATAGTTTGTAAAAAAAGCATAGACTTTAATAGTTTACCGCTCGTTTTTCAAAAAAAAAAAAGTGTATAAAAATAATAACAAAGAATATTTTTCTGAAAGAAGAACCATAAAATGTATATAATTGATCAAAGGGTTTTTAATAATATCATATTAAAACATAATAAGGTTTAGAAGTACAAAGATTTGCTATAAATAAATGTGACACTGCACTCCTTGATCCTTTGTCTTAACTTTATTTATATAACTATATAAGGTCATACTTAATTAAAATATTAACAATGTTAATATTTTATGTTAATTTTACATAATTATCAGTGGTTAAAGTGGAGAAATTACCTTTCTTATTTAAGGTAAAATTATTCGTTCCCACTAGTTTAAGTTTTGGAACTCTGAGGGATGCTTTGATTATTGCTACCTACTGAAGTATTTTTAATAATATTTTAAAAACTCAAATTAGTTTTATTAAAAATAAATTATTTTATGACTATTGTGTTATACATAATCAGACTCCGTTTTACTTTATTTTTACTAAGTAGGCGTATGTGTAAGATATTATTTTGGTTGAAGGGGGTCCAGTTTATTTTAAAACCGTATTTAGTATAAAATTTATATGAATAAATGTCTGTGGGAGAAATAAATTTTAAAAGTATTGTCTTTATGATGGGTTTTCTGAAAGTTTAGTTGAGTCTAGTTAGTTCTTGGGAACGCCCTCTAATTATTGGTAAATATAGTCCCCTTCGAAGTTTCTCCTACTTGATAAAACTCTCGATCAAAGCTTTATAATAAAGAATTTATTCCTAATAAATAATATAACATTATTAATTGTCACCGAGATAGGTGGCATATTAAAATGTAGGTAAGCATTATAATTTATTAAGAAGAGGTTATACTGCTGAAGTATGTGCCACTGTCGTAGTAAGAAGTTGGAGAGATAAGATACACAAATAACGAAATATGATTCTGAGTGAAATTCAGTTATTCATGTTTTGAAATGCCGTAATATTTATGATTTTCATCAACATTTGATCTTAAAACGGTAAAAAAAACACCCTATATAGTACTTTTATATTTATATATACTTTTTTTTTACTAATAACTATAATTTATACTGAACGTCCTATTAACTAGGTCAAACAGTAATATTCATATAGTATTTAGCAAATAAAATCTACGTAAAAAACTTGCAAAATTAAAATGCCTATAAATTGGTTAAAAGTAGTAAAATATATATAAAGTTTTATCACGTCTATAAAAAGTAAACATAAGTTTTCTATAAAAATGTCAAGTTTCTAAGAATATTTTCAACTGAATTAAAATAAAAACAAAATTGAAAGTATATCAAATCCATTATTTTCAAAATTCTCCCGTTTTCTCTACGTTTTTTTCGAGTTCGTTCAATCATTAAGACAACTACACTTAAAATCAAAAAAATACTTTTTTCCTCACCAATTAAATTAAAAATGCAACAAAAAAGGTGTTTTAAAATTTGTTTGGTTGAAGCAAGATTTTTGGTATAAAACATAATTCGTACAAATTAAAAACAATAAAATCAGTAACGTCGTGGTATGTTGTAAATATTTGTTTGTTTTTCCTATCCATATAGGGTGATTTTTTGATCAATACAATATTTAAAATATTGTATTAAACTGTATTAATTTATTTCTTTATATTTTTAACTTATACACTGTCCTCCGTTTTAAATTATTAAACTTTTAAAGAAAAGTTTCGTATGGTGTGTCCTTGTGCCAGGCTTGATTGTGTTAAAGTAGAAATCTTATTTAGAAATGTAAATACGAATAATAAGAGCTATTGTTATCATAATATGTCAACCAAACGTCATTATCCGACTTTCATCAACATGATTAAATTACACATTTTGAATATCGTGTTCGTATAATACATTTTAAATTTATTTCTTTTTCTCGATGTATATTCATATACATTTAAAGAACCAATTCATCATCTCGAATAACGGATGATACGATTGATAATTTCCATGATATACCTACTGCATCGTTCACTTCTGGCACAAATTCTCGAATATATTTCGTTTAAATCGTTAAAAACTCATTTATAGACGGTTTTTCTATAGACACTGTCAACGTTTAGCTTCGTAATTAATACTTTTAGCGAGTTTTTTGTTGCAAGTTAACTAATTATTTTTTTGAGATAACCACGCCATTACTTTAGTGTCAGTTATATTTTTTTTTTTGCTTAGTATTTGTGTATTTACTTATCATTTTATAATAATGTATTAACAATAATTCATTTGGTTTTTTAGTTTTTTATTTATTTGTTGTTTTTTTTATTCGTTTGCTTTTTTAAAGATATATCAGGATTAACAACTGGTGTGACCTTAATCAATTAAGAATTATTTGACGTTAGTTAATAATAATTGATCTCATAAATCTTTTACAAACTGTATATTTTATTCAATTTTGTTTGACTCATTTTTAACAATTTTTATCGATATAAACCGATGATCGACCAATGACCAATGACCTACCTAATATTTTACAGAATAATAAACAGAAGTTTTTTATTACATGTGCTTATATGAGTACATGGGGTAATTAATTAAAATGTTCTCAAAATTACACTTCAAAATATAAAACTTGCTGATTAAAAATGACGTGTTCGCGGCAGATGGTATCCGTTCTCACGGTTACCCATATTACACAACTCTTCGAAAATTGTGAATCCACCGTAAAAAATTGAATTTAACCAGGATGATGGAAATCCCTATGACTTGTGATTATATATTAGATATATTATTATAATTTATAACGATCTCCTTTCTAAAAAAGTAATTTTGACCGTAACGTTGTAAGGTAAGAATAGAACCAGCCACATGAAGAAAAATCGTTCTAACTCGTTTTTTTTTCTCCTCCAAAAATGTCATTAAAATTGCCTATACATAATCCCTTACTTATTGCAGATATTGTGACCTCCATTTTTAACATACATAGAGGACCTGATCGACTTCTTATAGAATATCCTGATAGAGTTGTTGATCGAATTTAAATATATGATGAGACATGACCTTTACGCAGGTATTAGTGTGTTCTATACATGAATGTGTATTTTATTAATATTTCAGTACCAAAACCAGCTTAAAAAAATATATCTAGTTCGGTCGATTCGACAATTATTACAGTATATTGATATTATCTATAGCAAGGGATGAAAATAATAATAATAATAATAATAATAATATAACGCGTACGATGAGTGTATATCATAGTATTATTTATACAATATTTATTAGGGGTATTGAATGCTGCCGACTATTACGGTCTGGACGAGTTGCGAGCCGCCTGCACGGGTTTCGCGGACACCGGTGGCGGTATTACCGTGGACACGGCTTGCGCGCTGTTGGCGTCTGCCGAACGGTACATCCACTACAAGTGCACCAAATCGCTGGTGCAAAAAGTACGAGGCCGTTATTATCATGAAGACGTGTTTTTGGTGACGCTATTTCGAGCCATCCGGTGGATATAGATAATTTTTTGCTCAAATAATTTCTTGATTGCTGTAATTTATGAGGTGCGATCAAAAAGTTCTGGGTCTGTTTGAATTTCGTGGTTAGGTTAGGAGCTTTGAAGAGCAGTAGGATTAATATCACTGGCTTTTTTTACTTCTTCTGGGCATATATTATGATTTTGTAGATTCTTTATAACCTTAGTTATAGTTTCTTAATTTTGATGTAACCGATGGTTTTTTTGTGGTTAGCGATTTTATAGTGAATCAAAAATTAGGTAGTGCTTTTTAGGAGGGGGGGTACAAGTAAACATTTTTCTACCGCTATGGTAACATAATCTTGGTTGGCAAAGAATTGCAATATTTTTTATGACTCATGCCAAAAAATTGTAACTAAAAAACTGCAGATGTGTCGTATGGCAGCAAAGGTTATCACAAGAATTTCGAGGATTAAAAAAAAAAACAAATACAAGTTCAAGCAGTAGCGCAACCAGAATTTTTTTTTGAAGGGAATTTTATGAATTTTAAAAAAAATTCAATTTTTGATGGTGTTTGTTGGGGTGGAGGGGTTAAGGTTAAGTTAGGTTTATGAGTAAAAATCTTTAAATTGTTTAACTTTCATTGATAGACAACGCATATTGGAAAATAATTTGGACTCATATTAATTATGTTTTTAAATATACTTTACTCATAAGTCATGGTAAGAAAAATAATAATAATTTAAAATTAAATCTTCGAGTAGTGCCTCACCATTTCATTAAGGACTAAATCTTGTTTAGCTTCAATCTCTGTATAAATGTTTAAAGTGGCTATTCAATTAAGTCTTTATGTCCTGTAATGTTTCTTAAATAAGTTTTTAGCCTTCTAAGTTAAGAAAATGATCTTTATGATAGCTACTATACAAATAATACAACTACGTACTACGCATAACTCGTAAAACACTCTCAAATATGATTCGGGGTGTCACCCCCCCCCCCTCTTCCTAGTTTCCTTGTGTGGTATATGCTAATAAATACGTTTTTATTTATTATAATTAGGGCTAGGGAATTTGTGACCTTAAAATGTTCGAAATAATTAAAAATAAAAATAAAATAAAAAGTACGATAATTTACTCTCCTTTTGGATTAATTACAAAATCGCCAAACATGAAAAAATGTTTTACAAAACAATCGATTATATCAAAACGAAGAAAGTTATAGGTAATCGACAAAAACAGATATGCCAAGGAAAAATCACAGAATCTTACTTTCGACAAATCATTGGCATGCAATTTAAACAGTCTCGAAATTTTTTATGAACACCTCATATATATACTGCCAAAATGTTATATTTATACTGTTATAGTTTAGTGGACGATTTGCACAGCGATCAAATAAATTTAACATCATAGATACATATAATAACTCTACTTGACTCTATGAGTTAATCAGAAACTTCGCAGCCATATATAAAAGCCAAACAAAAAGGCACATTTTATTGATTAATACATGCATTTTTTGTGTCGTAAATTAGATATGTGATAATTTAAAAAAAGAAAAAATATTTGAAATTTATCAAAAATTGTTTTTATAACATATAATTCATAGGTTAACCTAACCTAATCCAACTAATTTAATTTGCCGTCTTAATCTTAGTTTAGTTGTTTTATATACCTATGTATATAACTAATTATAAAACGTACGTCGTACGGTTTTAAAAATATTGTTGTTGAATACTACAGGCTGTCAAAAAGTGCATTCAGTCATCAAACTATTACAGTATCTAAACAATAACGCCAAAACAGTTTGCAGTTCGTTAAGCTATTTATAGTAAAAGGTTTGCTCGAAATTGCACCGAAAAAACACGTCTAATACCTTCGAGTATAGTGTAGAGCTCGGATGTTGTTGCATTTACAACTTTCTATTAATCCGGCAGTAGCGCCGACATTTTAAAAATTTGGTCCAGCGATTTCTAAATTTAGAAGCTTCAATATCTTAATTATTATTTGATATAGTTAAGTCATAAAATATGGACTTCGGTTCCACTAAGCGATTGAATTTATTAAATTCGTTAAAATCTAAACATTTAAAAATTGTTTTAAAACACGAGTAGGAATGTGTTGTATTTTTTCAGTTTTTTTTTTATATCTACCTATTTGCTTTTGAACCACATTTTATAAAAAAAATATAATAATAATATACAACTATACAATAGTATTAATATACTAAATACTGATCTTAGTAACTAACAATGCTATTTTATTTAAATATTGTATGTATTAAGATTTAAAACTGTTAGTTTTTGTGTTATTTTTGGTATCTTTTAGTGTTGTAATATTCTAGTAATCAATTTTACCATAGTTATTTTTGTCGAAACATCCGAGCTCACACCTATAATATTATTGTAATGTGGCGCACTGTATACCACTATTTAAAACATTTTTTAACGCGTGTCTCGTGTGTATGGATTGGTTGATGATTTATTATTATTATTTTTCGTTTGGTTTTTTTTTCCTCGTGTGATTACGTGATATTGGCGATGATGTACATAATATTATTTTATAATATAAGATAAATATATTGGTAGTATTATTTTATACATGTTTAAGTATTAAAAATATATTACATTTTACGAGTATATGTATTAATAATTTGTATTCGTTGTTGGTTTTCACGCAGGTTGATTTTGGAGTCATTTTTGTTTGTTTTCCCCTATACCTGCCTATTGTATTATATATATGTATAGTTTTTGAATGTGTATGCTTTGTGCATATGTGTTTAAGAGGATGTGATATTCGCATCATTTGGCCAGCTCCCTCCCTCTCCAAATTGGAAATCACGAACAAAAATTACATCAATATTTTGTGATTGTCCCTTAGCAGGGACAATTCATGTGTTAGTTTTTAAATATTGACATTATATTAAACTTTATAATATTTTGTCTTGATATTTTTGATTTTTAAGCGAGATATAGGTGTTTTTAAATTGTGATATTTCGCATAAGTTAACATATATTATATTAACTTAAAAATTAAGATATCGCAAAATTTGATATAATTACACAAAATATATAAAGTTTTTAACATTAAGTATTTGTTAATAGGTCATAAATTAATCACTCTAATAATATTATAATTAACAGTATAAAGTTATTCCTACTGTTCTTCATACGTTTATAAGACCTGCGGTTATCACGTCCTCTTAGACGATCATCATAATAATCATGTTCTTTGTCCATGTTTGTGCTATTGCGAATTATAATATTTTGCAGGTAATTTTATTTTATTTTTTTGGTTTTTTTCGTGTTACTGTTCTGATAATTTTATCACGAACGCATGCGCACGAATTTTTTGAAAAAACCTTAAGTCAACATTACTCCATAATACATCACTCATATCATCGATCATCGTATATCATTTTATTTTATTTTGTATATGATATTTTTCATTAAGATATAATATCCTTACCAGGGTTCATAATATAATACATATGTATAATATAAATATTGTAATAGTGGTATCCGAAACCGTATTATTTTTTTCTCAAAATCTCCAAAAAAAACTGTATTTTCATTTAATGTCAAATACACTATAACTAAAATGTAGTATAAATCCCGTGGTTAATTTATCATCATCTTTACAATTTATCCGAATACTATCTAATTTGTTTGCATGAAATTGTAAATGTACAATATACATATACAATAAAATGTTCACTCATATTTTATAGTTTATATTATTTTATAAATATTATCAATTGAAAGTTTTCATTTTTTGTTCAATTATTAAGATTTTAATAAATTTAATAAAATAAGTAAAATTAGCATTTTTTGAAAAATATTATTACAGGTAACCATCGTCGTGCGGTTTACTATCGGTATATTTGTAATACGCGGCGTTATGACGAATTTCTAATAGTCTAGTTTAGAGCAAATTGAACTTGCGACATTTATAAAATATAATTATTCGATAAGTAATAATAAATTATTATTAGACCATTGTATAAAGCATGCTAAGACTAATATTCAAATTATATTTTTTAAAATACAAATAATAATTATTAATCAATAATCATTAATCATTATTAATTGCATATTTATTAATGTAAAACTAAATAAAGCTTTATAAGTAGTATATAATTGCTAATTAATAACATAATTTTCAAAGCAGTTATATACACAAATTGCGTACCTACCTATTATAATGATCTTTTTAATTGCATAAAAAACCATGCAAAATACGGTTATTATACTGGGGCTTGAATTTTATACATTTTTATTCTAATTACTTACATAACCTAATTTTACTACCTAAAATCTATCTATAATATTTTTTATCAAACATAAATTAATTAGGTACCTGCCTACCAAAACTAAAAATCTAACCTAATCTAATCTAATCTAAACGTGTTTCAGCATTATAACCGTGAGTAAACTATTTATTGATAACATATTTGCGAGCTGGTTACTCTCCAATAAACAGTTCAGTGTTTTATTTATTTCAAGTTGTTATGAGGGTTTACTGTTCGATCACTAAGATAAAATTAATGAATCGTATACTAAACAGATTATGAATTATAATTTTGAATTTAATCAAATAAACGGCATGCGTAGTATTGTAATTTATAGTGTTTTTAATAGGTTAGGTTTGGGTTAGGTTAGGTTTATAATGTTTTTAGTAGATGCTTATAGTAACAATGGGAAATACTTTTCATTTCGTCGATTACCTATATTAACAATATTTTGTTGTCAGTTCTGGTGAAACTTGTAGAAAATCAAGTAAACTGCAAATCGTTTCTTGGATTATACGCATAGTTATAAATAGAAACGTGTTTAATTAACGTGGAGACATATACACTGTGCATGGTATTTAGGTATTAACTTTCGGACAAAAATGTTTACTTCGAATTACTGAACTTAATAAAATTAGATTTTTCAGATGACATAGATATCATCATGATTTTAATGTTGTTATTAATATTTTCATCTGATTATATTATGTCCATCATTATTAGTACGTAGGTACTATATACAAGGTGATTTTTTTTTCATGAACTAGCAATTATCTCAGAAGATTTTAAATGAATTTGATTTCTGTTTTTTCTAATCATTATGGAATCATTTAAGCTTTATTTTAAAACAATTTTTAAATTTTTTACCTTCCATACCTTAAATAATTGCATACTTTTGATTTTCAAATAGGAACCCCCCTTATGTGGACTGTATATGGAATAAGTTTAAATAATTAAAAATAGCTTTAAAATAAAGCTTAAATGATTCCATAATTATTAGACAAATCAGAAATTAAATTCACTTAAGATTCTCTGAGATAATTTCTGGATCATGATAAAAAAATCACTCTGCATATATATAGACCTATAGATACGTATTACCTAATAAGTATAATAACCAATAATAATATTAATATAAAAAACATAACGAGAACAAAAAAATTATGATTCAGTTTGTCAATTGTATATTTTTTATCTCGATTGAGTTACTGTTTAAATATTTCAGTGACCAAATTTACAAATTAATGTTTAGGTGATTCACACATAACTTAAGTCTTACTAATTTTAGATATCTTATGAATTACCTACCGAAATCGAACAACTCAAACAAATTACTAATTCTTCATTTTACACGTAAACATCTTGTTTACTGAAAATCTTCGTTTCTATATCCTTTTTCATTTATACTATATATACACTGTAGAACGGCATGCAGTAAATGTATACTTTGCAATTCCTTACCTCGATCCCCATTAATAATTTCCCAGTTGTTCGTGACTCACAATCATCCTTGTTTTTCTTAAAACTCATCACATACTTACCTCTATTTTTCCTTTTTCCTCATCTAATAGTTAATATTATAAAGTATACTCACAAAAACGCTGAATTGCTGTAAGCATTTTCAAAAATGAAAAGGTCGATTTAATTATATTAAGGAGTCTACCAAACACTAATATTATTCTTCTATACAATCTATGCAATGATGACTCATTGCAGACGAAAAAACGATTCTGATTCTTAATACTATAGTATTTGTTTATAGTCGTATTTTTCTCGTTGTTGTTAGTCCAGAAATCAACAACAAAAAAAAGACCAAGGAGGTGAACTATTGAAAATGTCGATATATTTTTAAATATAATATCATCGGCCAGAAATCCACATATTTAAAGGTACTGGATGAAAAAAATTAGTACATTTTTTTAATTAAAGTGTTTTTATAAAATATAAGGAAAATTTTTTTTTGGGGGGGGGGGGAAGGGGTAGTATTGGAAATGTCAAAAAATAATTTATAAGATATGACATTGAAAAATCAAAACATTTTTATTAATCGTAAAAGTGTTTCCGAAGAACAAAAACATATCGTATGAAACTAATTCGTAATAAAATTGTTTTATTTTTAAGCATTAACTTCCTAGACTATTTTTTGCTATTTTTTCAAATGAAACGATTTTATATCTAACCACAAAAATCATCTTTTCTTTACTAAAATCGATTACTTCATCATCCCACCGTGTATTCGATGGATTTTTCTTGTGCTGTTAATATTAATTTTTTTTTAGGTTTTTTTTCAATCAGTTTGTTTTCGAGAGGGACATCGATTTGGAGAAACATTGAATTTTTATTTTTATTCCCTAAAGACAAAAAAAAAAAAAAAAAAAAAAAAAAAATATGACTTTATTTATTCACTTTAGAACATTTTGAAAAAAATATTATTCAAACATTTTTAATGTATCACACATCCGATGAATAATTTCTTAGTTATAGTTGTTTTAATTAGGTGTGAAAACAATTAATATTCAATAAAATAACACGTTATGCGATAAGGAATTACAATCAGCACGATAAATCTTTACCTTCGATTGAATATTAATTGATTTTACGCTTATTTTCTAAAAATTAAAACTGCTCTAATTAAAAAACTATTGATCGGATATGAATGTATGATACATTAAAATGTTTAGAATAATATTTTTACAAAATTGCTATTTTTAATATTTTTAAAAGTAAACAAATAAAATTTTTTTTGTATTTAGGGAATGAAAATAAACATTTAATTTTTCCCCAAATTGAAGACAAACCGATTGAAAAAAAAAATCGAAAAAATGTAATAGTAACAGCGCTAGAAAAATCCACCGAACACTTTGGAACATACTGTACATACATGTAAAGTTCTCCTTCAATGAACTTGACATTTCATCATCTTAATATAAGTCCAAACCTCCATTGTATCACCTTTTTATTTATACATAGCTTAGAGAATACCATTATCTTTTCATTTCGTACACATCATTATTATTAAACTTCATTCCTTTCTGTATATATCGTACACTTAATCAAAAAAAAAGTCATTTGTAGCTTTAATATATCCTCTTTGAGTGCCTTGAATGTGCTTGTACGCTGAAAGATCACTTTTATTTTAAGTGATTCCGAGTCATCTTTCATTCTATAACGAACCGTAGTCACTCCCTATCAACTCTTATAATCTTTATACCTATGCATTATTTTATTTTATTTTCCCAGACAGGTTTCAAAATTTAAGTATATATGCTGTTATATTTTATCTTTTATAATCTTAAAAATGTAAGCGGTATAAAAGCAATGAACCAAGTATAAGTATAATAAATATTTTGATAAAATTAATTCATCATTTATAAAACTTAACAATTTTGACAGTTAAAAAAACCACATCTATTTATAATAAAATCCAAGCCTTAGTTGTTTAAAAATATAGGTAGCGCCATTCGTTTGAGTGCAGGTGTGTTTGATTATTTATATTTTCTAAATGAATAATGTAATTACATTTTATTTATCCAAAATGAATATGATATGTGTTATTGATGTATATGTACGTTTGTAAATTTACGTTTTTTTTTTAATCATTACACAATATACATATATAGTATGTGTGCATATAGTAACGTGTATATAATTTTGATGAAATTATACGTACCGAATCAATTTTTTATCTAATAAGACTATGTACTATGCCAATTCTTTGTAGGTACGTTATTTTGTATAATGATTTAGCAGACTTGTTGACTTTTTTTTGTGCTTACCTTTGTATGTGTGTATGTGTAGGTAACGATTTGATTACATCACGTGTATATTATTGCCATGCAATTTAATAAAAAAAATATATGGTATTTATACAAATGACCGGATAAAATTATAATGTGAATCCCAAAGGTGCTCGAGTTCGTAGACGTGAATGGTGGACGTGTGCTCACTCTCGGATCATTTACGTTATTACCGCAGCACGTGGTCCGACTTATATTGTCCCGGGACGAATTACGAGCGGATGAGCTAACGAAATTCCAGGTAAGTACCTATATATTATTATTATTAAGGCGTATGTGCATTTTTAGTATTTATAGATTATTTAAATGCTTATTTATATACTTACACATTAATATTAATATGTATATACATATATTAGGATTATCCTTATTTTATAGATTGCGGAAAAAAGTTAGATAATTTTATTCGAAAATGAATTTTAATGAAGTTTGATGATGTTAGCTCAACTCCTTCCCGTTCCAAAAAATGGTTGAAAAATGATCTAAACAGAGGATAGTTTGATATTTTTTAAATTTAGTTAGAAAACAGTAGCATTCACATTAAAACTTACTACATTTTAAATATAAACATACAATTATCTGAAAAAAAAGAGATAGAAATACTTCACACATGGGTGGCTACTGTTGTAAGTGAGAAGTTGGGAAGGTAGTAAAGGGGAAATTGAATGTATATCTGTAAGCAACGATATATTATTGCTAACAATAAAACGATTCTAAGCGGAGTTCAATTGATAGTATTGCTTTGTGTTTTTCGTTAGCAATGGGTTAATCGTTGCGTTCAAATATATATTAAAATTTCCCTCTATCTTCTAACTTCTTACCTACATGCGAAATAGCCATACTACTAAGACGTTCATTTCCCATTTGGGAGTGTAACCATGTTTTAGGTTAAATAAACAAAGCAAAGTGCACTGCTACAGTTTGTTGTTAACATTTAGTTCTATAGTAATAGTTCAATAGTTATTTATTACAATCATAGATAATACGCGGTTTAATTGATTACACCAAAATACAACTATGATTTCTTATCATTTTAACTACCTGATAATGAAAAAGAAAATCATTAAAATTGTATTATTTAATTTACCTACCTTCTGTCTATATACCTATATAAATTTTTTAGTATTGAGCTATAATTTATAATATTTAGTGAAGACAAAAATCGCCTTCCAGTCGCCCTCCCCCCTATATCCGCCACTATGTGGCACGTGAAGGGGTTGAGCTATCATTACCAAATTTCACTAAAATTATTCTCATGTATTGATGAATAAAATTTGAAAGTGTTCGATTAAAATTATGTAACTTTTTTTCTTATCTATGAAATAAGGACTACTGTAATGAAAAATATAATACAAGCAAATCCAGAAATGCTTTTCTACAACGGCGCCCAAACTATATTTCAAATTTAGCAGTTGCTGCACATCATATTTTGGGTTGGTGGATCCTCCCAGTAATTTGGGTTTAAAATAGCCGAGTAGAATGTGTATAAGCATTCAAAAGTTATACTTTTAGGGTTGGATGGTGTATATTTATGTGGGTAAAAGTTTTTAAGGTGAGTGGTGTTTTTAAATTTCAAATTTTGCTACACCATAAAAATATAGTTTGGACCCCAATCTTTTACTATTGCTTGATAATAGTGTAAATAATACTAATAATAACACCAAGAAAAAGAATGATAGTTTTATTGTCCGTAATAACCAAATTTTCATCTATGTCATCAAGGTAACCCATGAATAAACAAAAAAAAGTAAATAAACAAGATGTTCATGCCAGAACTGCCTATAAAACCCTAATTAAAATGCATAAGACGACATAAGATTTAATTATTATTTAATATCTAAATATCCCTACAAAAATTTGCCTAATAGTGTAAAATCCGGAGATCGAGGTGGCCATATTACTATTCTATTAGTTCCTATCGAACGATTTTAAAAGTTTTCGTTCAAATTCCTCACGACAATTGCATTATGTAAATCCGTACCTATTATTTTTTGATTATTTTATAATATCTAATACAAGAATAAAATTTATATGTCTGAAGATTATTTTTGAATCGAAAAAAATTTGTATGAATAATACAAAAATATCTAAAAAACAATATTTCAATTAATATCAAACATTTAAATAACCATAACTCGGCAATTTTTAACATAAGAAGTTAGTTTGACATTAAAATTCATAAAAAAAACAAGAGTTAAATTAATTATCAAAAAAAGTGGAGGGTTACCATTTAAAAAAAAAAAAGTTGTGTGCATGTGTGAAATTAAATGCCATACAAATAGTATAATTAATTTAATAAGTGTATAACAACGTTTGCTAAGCACTCAAAACGGCAGAATTCAAATGCATTTAATTTGTGCAGTTATAGAGTGATTCCAACTAACGATTATACATTTAAGTACCTATTTTTTATGGCCAGACATTCTATATTATACGAAGTTGTATGGCATATTTTAGGATTTCGTACATTTTTAGAGCATATCTAAGGGTTTAATTTTTTTAAATATTTTCAACATGCTTTCGTCATTTTTTAATATTTTTTTTTTTAGTATATTTTGTTAGTTTTAGTGTTTATCTGTATAAATATATTTAAAAGTTTTTAGGGTAAATATCTGCCTTATAATTATCTCGTATTCTCGTCCCATTTGTAAAAATAGCGATTGTTTAGGAATTTATGGTTTACAAGTGACGAATGTAATCTCGTAAATTTGAAATTTAAAAGCTTATGATTGTTCTACTAGGGTTCGGAAATTGTAAGAGTTGCATATTTTTCAATATGCAATATTATATTTAATGTTATATGTACTCTTGATTTATAACAAATCAAACTAGGAATCTATTTTAATATAGGTATTTGGTATAATAGAAATAAATAATTTATATTATGCATTTGATGATACTATTTTATTCAGTAACTAACAAGTTTTTTTTTATTTAAACTTTGAATAAAAAATTAGTCTCGAAAATTAGACAGACGGTTGGAAAATAATAAGTAACAAGTTAATTTTTTTAATTTCCTATATTTCAGAATTTTTTTGCACACATTTTCCGACCATTTTAGTTCCGATAAGTCCTATACACATTGCTATTATTAATTGGCGATAAAAAAAAAATATCTATTTATGTTTACACATCATGTACATTTACGACAGGCTGCGCTGATGTGGGCCAAAAAATGGGCTGCTGACGCCTGTGACCAGAACAATCCCGACTCTGAAGAGGCTGACTGGCGTTCTATGTTCCGTGAACATTTCGCACCCATTATACAGTACCACAAGATCGCTGCCAGAGTGATTTTGGACGAAATCATGCCGTTAGGCGTGGTTCCTGATCGGGATCTATTGTCGGCGCTTGCTTATCAGGTATATATCCGTATAAATAATGTATAATACAGTCAGTGACGATTTTTAAAGAAAGGGGCAATGAGGACGATCGCCTCCCTGGACCTTTAATTTTTTGTTAACTGTTAGGTATGTTCTGTACGTAAGTAGTAATAAACCATTACTAACGAAAGAACGATTATGAGCAGAGTTCAGTTAATAGTGATGCTTTGTCAACAATATATATATCATATGTTATATTATAGCAAAATAATTAAACAGGCATTATATATTTTCTTTAATAATATTTGTTTAATATTATACCGATTTTCCCGTTTTCCTAAGTTTTTCCCGGTTTTTACACTTTCTGGGAAAATCGAAAAATGACTTAAAGTACCTCTCCAGTCAAATTTCCTTTCAAAAAAGTGCTATCATTGTAAATCAGAGCAAAATTGCTGGTAGAAAAGTTGTTTACAGAAAAAAAAAAAAATCGTAATAATATTTTACTAATATATTTCGTACATTTTCCCGTTTTTTTTTTTTTTGGTTTTTCACATTTGTTAAGAAAACTCCCTAAAAAATCGAAAAATGACTTGTTTAAGTACCTCCCCAACAAAATTTTCATTCAGAAAAGTTGCTATATAACAGTAAAGTAAAACCAGTAGAACAGTAAAACCATAAGCTTCTTCGCTCCACTCAGAACCAAAAAGGAAAGTTATGTGTAATTTATGGTAGGACTGTAAACAAATTTTATCCTTTATTTAATATATGTCATTATCGTATGGGACCAAACAAATTTTAAGTCGCTCCCCTCCCTTGATTTTTTATCAAAACCACTACTGTATACAGGTAGAGTTTGGGTGAATCTTTTACCGAGGGTCAGGTTCTTTTTTTTGATTATGTCTATAATGATTTTCAGTAAATTTGATTTTAGTTTTTTTCCAGAGATGTTAATTATTAGGTGTAGATAAACTTATTAATTTGTGTTTTCAGAAAAATATTATCTTTTTGAATGCGAATTTAAAAGTGACAAATATTGCTATTTAAAAGTTAAATACTATATTTATATGTATACATATATTATGAAATTCATACTAAAAATCAAATAATAGTCGATACCTATAATATCCTATGTAGTTTATTATAGTACCTATACGGATTAATGGAAACATTTTGAAAATTTTGTAAACGAAGGTTATTTATAACGATTCTCTTCTATTCTAATTATATTATGCAAAAATATTTCAGTAAGTATGAACATTTATGTACAGGATATTATTTTATTATTATTTATAAATTCTTCTTGCCTAGCTTTTATAATTTTAAAAGATAATTCGCCGCCAAAATTGCTTCCCTTTATTTTTCTCGATCTTGGACAATACTTGTCTAACCGTGCACTTTTAACCTTTTCAAACACATTTAACCACCCTTTTCCGGGCTTTATGAATAATAAATTTAATATTGAATTTATACCTTGAAACAAAATTGAATATAGACATTTATAAATATTATTAAGTGGCGTAAACTAATTAATGATTTTTGTCCGTGTCTGTCCGTTAGTCGGTCCGTATGCTCTCTAACCCTTTAAACGATTACGAATTTCGAAATACAGTTTCCATTAAACGATATTTTTGGCTACGAAGGGCTCCATTGATTTTCAGTCTAATCGATATAAAAAAAAATAACGCGCGCGCGCGCTGGAAGGCTGTTGTATCATACTATTCATGAAAAAAAAAAAATGTATTAATGAAGGTAAATACATACAAAATTGGACATAGTGAAAATATACTCATTATTAACATTAAAGTTTAAGTAGTGAAAAGAAATAGTGTATGTCATTATAAGGGTAGACATATTAGAGTTTAGATTATTATATTTGTACAATAACATTTGCCACTCATTTATAATATTTCTATGTGTCGATACTACAGACTTTAGGTATATCTGTATACATAATATAACCTATATTTTATATCCTTTTTACATATTTTTCATTAATTCACAAAACCGGTCGTGTTTGTCTTCAAATTACTTCTTGACGTCATATAAAATTTTAAAACGGTACATCGACGTAAATCGGGTGACACACAATTCCTTCTTCCCCCAGAAAAAAAACTTAAAAATGTATAATTAAAAAGTAGAACATTAAAAATATCGTCCATAACTCCAACACTAGAATCCGATTTTTCCCAACCTAATATTGCGTATTATAAAAATATTTGTTGTAAAATAATAAATAATTGCCGAAAACTATAATATTATCATATTAAAATTAGAACATGAAAATGGTAGGGTTTAAAAGTTAAAATCTCCCAAAACACATCCTTGATAATTCCACTATACATATATAAAATGTCTCCTTAATTTCAATTAAAGAATATTCCACCCGTGCAACAACATCCTGAAATTCATATTGAAATTTAACTCGGCTCTTATGACTACAATCAGCGTGTAAAATAATTGTTCCCGAATTTAAGATCATTTAAGATCTAGAGAGAAAATAAATAAAATAATGAAGTGTTTAAATGAATTAGGTAGGTACTTAAAGACATCATAAATTTACTAGTCATGCATTATAAACATTAAATAGTAAATCTTTTTAAATATAATTTATTTTACCGTTTAGTATAAACACTAGGGTGTCCCTTATATTTATCAATTTAAAAGTTGCTTCAGTCTCAGCCCTCAAATTTGTGTATATGCATAAAAAAATGAGCTAAAAAAAGTTTTAGAGCGATCTATTTAGATTAAAACGTGCCAACTTGAATTCGAAATTTGAGTATTAATTCAATCGTAATTAAATTATATATTTCACATTTTTATGAATATCTCAGTTACATATAGGAAAATTCAAATTTGTTCAATATGTTCAATATGTTTTGAATAAAATAAAATTGTCTATGAATTATATTCTTACATATTTCTTCTTATTTATTTTTATTTACAGATTTACAGGATATATTAACTTTAACGTATGAAAGTACTATTTTCTCAAAATTACATTATACATTATATTACAATACATTAATTAAAATGGTTTTTTCAAAGTTTCCTTTTTAGAGTCGGGGTATAATCTTTCGTGTTCTTGGACATAGCGTAATAGCAACTCAATATATGATATAGGTATACATAGTCTATTCAAGTCAGCACGTGTTAACATTAATAGATCGCTCTAAAACTTTTTGTAGCTCATTTTTTTATGCATGCACACAAATTGGAGGAGTTGATACTCAACAAATACTGAAATTGAAAAATAAGGGACACCCTAATAAACACTGTATTATTTTAAATTTTTTCAAAGCGAAAAGCAAGATTTTAAATAATTGTATTTATGCTGTTAATATAATAATTTTAATCTTCACTTTTAAAAACTTCAACAATTTTACTGACGATTTTTTCCCGGAGAATAGGGCCAGATTAAGCCATTTTGATTCTGGAGGAATATACAGTGCTCGAAATACCAGCAAAAAAAAGATTATACTTTTATACAATTTCTTGATTATTTTTCGCTTTCCGCTATTTTCGTCCTAAAAATTCGAGATATTTTTTTTAAAAATATGAAATTTATAAATTAAGCCATTTCGCGTGCCTCTGAGCATCATACCAATAGGCAATTTGAGAAATAAAGAAAAAAGGTCAAATGTAATTAATAATCCCGGTTTTATTTTTTAAAACATATTCATCTTTTAAATCTTGCACCCAAGTGTCTCCTATTTAATCAAGCTCTGTACTAAATATAACGACCTAATAGCCGGCAGTTCCTATTTTTTGTCGTAAATTTTGCTATTACACACTTTGCATTTTTTTTTTTTTTTTATGATATCTAGTATGCCTAGTTGTTTATGCAACTTCTTTTAGAATTGTATCTCATTAACAAATATTTGTATTTTATCTGTCTTGTGTACATAACTATGCTGAATTACTTATTTATAAACCAAGTATTGGAATTTTAATTATTTTATAGATATTGCTATCTAATATGTGATAAATAATCTATAACATAGATAATTTATACATGGACAAAAAAAAGAGTGTGTTTTGAGCGTAAACGGAGAACTACTAAAGTTGTGATATGCATGTGGTACCAGCTAAAAAAAAATTAGAAAGAACTAGAAAATTTATGAAAATAATAAAAGCATTATTTTCAATTATGTTTTTTAGTTTTAATTCAGTTAAAAATATTCGTAGAAACTTGAAATTTTGACAGAAAACTTCTATTTGCCTTTTCCAGATTTGGTAAAGTTTTTATGACATTTGAGCCATTTTCAGGCATTTTAATTTTGTGAGTTTTGTTCATAATTTTTATTTGTTGGGTACTCTGTGGATAAAATTATTAGACTAAAAAGAAATGCTTAAAAATATAACAAAAGGTTCATACTTCTTTATATAAGTTATATTTTGTGTTCAAAAAGAAAAACTGTACAAATAGTATTTTTATTTTTTAAAGGAAATTTAATATCAAATTTTAACGAAAATCGTAACTATGACGGCTTTTCAAAACATATATAATCAATCTCCGAATTCTTTTTCGTTATGACTGATCGTTGCTTACAAATATAAATTAAATAACTCAATGTGTCCTATATTTCTAACTTTCCACCTATACAACAGTGACACACTCGTCCCCAGCATCGGGAAGTTTTTTTAAATTGCAATTGATTTTTTAAAGGTTTTTAGTGCCTTTAATTCACAGCACTACTTATAAGTATATTTTTATTTTCTGGTTGTTTTTTTAATATTATTATCAGAATAAGATTATAATCCATAGTAATCAGAAAAAGTCATAATTATCATAATGAGTCATAATAATTATTTAAGTTATTTCTTATTAACATTTGTTTTCACTGTCTATCTGGCACGTACAATAAGGCATTTTCCTTTCGCATTTTCACGATTGCGATTCGTTATATCTTAAGTTTAAAGCCAAAGGATGTTTTTAATATTTTCATATTTTATTTTACCGTATAAGCGTATTTTTATTTAACTTAATTTTTCTTAATTTTAATCAATAATAGTTTATCAGGACACGAAAATCACCCGTAGAATCCATCATAATAAATACTCTTCTTTATTAAACTTAAACTTATAATATCTCTTGCCCTAAATTCAGTATTTGACTAATCGCGGAAATGCGGAACACGCCTTTGTTTTGTTATGTATTTCGTGCGTGACTAACAGAGAAAACTAATGTTAGTGACGAGGCTCCATAAGCGTAATGTCATATAATATATTAAAAACACGAACAATTGTAAATATTTTTTTTTTTTTTTTGTTAAAATTAATACAATATTTTCAATTTAAATTTAATCGAAAGTTGAGCAGCTCCACTCAGAATCAAATATTTTTTATTTGTAATAATTTATCATGCATTCAGTATATTTAAACTAAATTAGTTTTATTAGGTATGTGAGTTATTATTAGTAGGTACTTATAATAGTCTATATTTTCCACTTTTCACGTAAAACAATTACCCATAAGTAACATATCGACCGCTAAACGTCCTATTACGAACAGTATTTTAGCTTTTAATTTTTTTTTTTTTTTTAACAGGCTGATCCAAATAGCGTGCGGTTGGACACGATGACTGCGGCCGGCGACCGGGATCTGTTGCGTTGCGGCCGGCGACGAACGCGTTCCATGTCGGTGCAGAGCGGCGGAGCTGGCGGCGATGACAACAGCGATGTGCAGTCGGGTAACCATCAAGTGGTGAGCGTTGCCGCGGGTCCGTCGGTCGCGTCCATCGGCAGCAGCGTTGGACAGGCGTCCGCGACACCGACGTTGAGCAGTGGCGGTAGTGGCGGCAGCGCGGACGTCACGGGATCCCATCAGCGGCCTCCACCTCCGCGGCGTAGGCGGCGGACGTGGTCGTCCGCGCACGCACACCAGGCGCCGGCGCACAGACACCAACATCACCATCATTATCATCCGCTTAACCGGCACAATCGGTCGTCGGACTCGACGACGGCGTGCAGTTGTTGCACAAGCGACGACGACTCGGCGGACGACATGACGTCGTCATAAACACGACCGGATGCGCGGAAATCTATTGTTTTCAGTGCTACCCTCTCCTCTTCCTATCGCATACACTCGCATCTGTATACACCGCTTTTGGGCATGAAAAATCGGGGTCGGACTAAATTTCAAAACGCTAATGGCTAAAACGAATTAAGTGAATTGCAACACCCAAATTTAAAGAAAAATCAAAAAGAACGAAAATAAAATGTTTAAATTGTACACACTTACGGATTAATAAATTACAGTATATGCATTTCAATATATATTTTATATTCCTAGACGCATACTTATACGCATTTAAATTAAGAATTATAATTTAAAATACATGTATAAATAAAAGAATTTAAAAAAGCTATTACTGTTCGTACGCAACGATAAATCATGGCTAGCTAACGAGAAACGATTTTGAGCAACATTTGAACTTCTAAAAATCTAAAACTACTAAATTATACGATCAAACCGTTACGTACAACTTATGATGCACACCGCGTTAATTTTTCGAACATTTCTGATGAGCCAAAACGATTTTACCTAAAACCAAGTACAAATTTAAAAAACTCGAAAATGTCTACAATTCATAATCAAAATACAATAATAAAACGAACTTTATAAAATAGAAGTTTTTCTATGGTTGTTACCTGCTATTATACTAGTGTGAGTGATTACTATTTATTTTTAAGTGAGTACCTACGTGTATAGTTTTGAAGATGGTGATTTAATCATTTTCGTACTTTTTGTTTTTTCTAATATTATTGTAATATTCATTTATTTCACTTTCGTTTTATTGGTACTCTTATATTAATATTATTAATATATGACTGATATTTAACGCACCTCCCCCCCCGTTTTTAATAATCGCTTTTTATACAATTTCGACAAGCTCAAACAAGTTTTATATTAAGGTTCACCATGTTATAATTATTTTAATGTCCTGATGTTTAAACGACCTTATAATATCATGATAAACGAAGGGAATAGTATTGAATAGATCCATACGCTTAACTAGGTGTTCAATTTATTATTGATTTCGCTATTTGATTTTAAAGTACCTGTAATACCCAGTGGTGAACTATATATATATATAGTTTGAGCAGTTGAGTGTTCAAATTTGAGATTTGTTTTTTCGTAATTCTACGTTACCTACCTAATTGCGTAATTTTTATTACAATCTCAGATAAATCCTCGTAATTTTGAATAAGTGCACTCCACTATTTTAGTGATTTATTACCCTAAACATCGCTGTCCAGAAATTTGTTTGAAGTTTCATATCTCCCTCCCCTCTCGGAAAATAAATCCTGCAGGTTGAGTCACTCCACCTATCCATAAAACATTATAAAATAAAAAACATATTTTAAACCCAAATTTTATAAACTTGTATATCCTTGTCTAAATACCACAGATTTTATTTTATATACTTGTACTTAACCACCTTATATTACCTTGACACTAAAAGTTTGAAAACAACACTAATAAAGCGTATTTTATGTTTATATTAGGTACCTACGTATGTTCAATGGCGCAACCAGAGGGGTGGGGGTGTTTTGGGTGTCTGAAAAAACCCCTACATTCGTGTTTAAGTTAGTAATGTGTTAAAAACGTGTTTTTTTTTTTTTTTTAATGTAGACATGTATACCTCCAAAAAATCCTGGTCGTGCCACTGCGTGTTATATAGTTTTATAAATCTCTTTCGAGGGACGATTATCGAGGTAATGGCGACTTGTCAGCAGTCAGCAGCCGTAGTGTTGATGATATTATTAACTAATGAAATATTTGTATTATAAATTAGCGAAATGCATAATATAATGTACGGATTCCCCTTTAATTTGTTCATATATTTTTGCCTACCTATACCGTTTAATTTAAAAATCTAGTAATGCTTTTACAGGGAGCGTCTTTTTATATTTGTAAGTATACTATATTGATATAAATATATATATGTGATTATCTAGTTATTAAATACGATTTATTCCTCGTGGCTTATACAATAATATAAACAATATGCAATACAACAACTTAACGTTAAATACAGGCAAAATGTTGAGTACGATCAATTTTTTTTTTTTTTTTTTAAATAATAATTCGAACACTGGTATACTTATATGACTAAAATTAAATATGCCGCGTGTAGTCATGGTGATGATAATATTGGTACGAAACATATTAAATAGCCCGAGGGCTGTGCAGTGCTTGCGGGTCGGACGGTGGATTTATATGGTATGCTACCAGATTGACGCTGGCGATGCATTGGTCAGGGAATTTGAGGTACGTAGTGGCGGTCGACATCGGTATTAGTTGTTTTGGCTGACGTATTCGGTCTTCGGAAAGTCGACGTTCCCTCTATTCCTTGTCCTTGGCGCGTTGACCGGCAGACTCGGACATTAGAACAGACCGTTGAGGATAAATAACGATAATAAGGAAAAAAAAAATAGAACGAAACGATCGGTAACTCAGACAAAGATCACGATGAAAGTAAAATCCAGTAAAAACAATTTGAAAGTATTAATGAAAGATTAATACACAACACAGAGAGAGAGAGAGAGAGAGTGGAAAAAAAATACCTACACGCAGTCCACAAATCAAGTGAGACCGTGTCGACTGACCGGCCGGTAGGTAAAAAAAAAAATAAATAAATGCATCAACGATGTAGCAGCCCCCCAAATTAACGACCGGTAAAGCGGGGCGAGATATCAATCCGACGGCGTCAGAACGGGGCAATTTCAATTGACCGGCAGGTAAACAATCGATGCGGGTCCGTCGCTGGCCGCTTGGCAGACGAATCGAACATATTTGTTCGTGTACACATATGTACGCACGAGAAGATTACACGGACGAGACAGAGTGCACGGCAAGTGCAACGTAATCGAATGTTAAAGATGCAACACGTTTCCGATGCAATAAGATTACCCGGCGCGTCGGGGCACCACGCGGAACCATAGCACAGGCGCATACAAATTTTAAACAAACATAAGAATATTGTTGGCACGGTATCGAAACAAAATAGACAAAGGTAACCAGTTAAGGGTAAAATATTTTACATTTTTTTTTTTTCTCTCTTAACGGGATCGGCCCGTACTGAACGATTACAGAATCCCGTTAAAAATAATGATAATAATAAATAAATAAATAAATAACAATATCAAAAATAAGTGTTGCTAACAGGTACACGAACATCCGATCAATTAGAAAATCCGTATTCACACCATTATTTTTTTTTATGTTACTCACAGGGACGAGGACTACAAACATTTATATTTGAATTACATTTTTTATTGTAATTAAAAAATTATTTTATTTTATTATTTTCGGAAAAATTTACAGTTAGCCGTTGTGTAGATTTTAGTTATTTTTTTTAATTTATCTAATAAAAAAAAAAAAAAAAACATTGATTATCATTATTATGTCCGGAAATATTCAAGTGGGTATATCTTTGTCGGACGGCCTGTATAGAATAATTTTTTTAAATTTTGTAATATTATATCAATATTCAATCATTACTAACATTTGCGATGATGTTTAGTACCTATCAGATATTACCTAAATACCAATATTATGTTGCTTTGGTTAACACAAGATATATTATATCAACTTGAATATATGTAATAATTATTATGTTAAAATATTTTTCAAACAACGTTAGTGTAATATTTATCTATTTTATAAAAACCCGCATATTTGTATATTATAATTTATACCGATATAATATAAAATCAAGATTAGAAACGAAAAATTATATGTTTATAACAGATATACAGAATGCAATGTATATAATATATATATAAAAAAAAAGAATATCTTAAATAAATTCCATGAATTATCTTTAACACACATTATTTTAGAATAATGATATGATAAGGTATAACATATGTGCAATTACCAAGTTTGGGCATGTTTAAATAAGTTCAAGTGATTTTATTCTATTTAAATACTTATTTAAAAAAGTTGCTTTTTGTATAATTAATAGTATTGCTTTTGATTGATATTAAAAAAAAAATTATATTTTGTTAATTATTTCTGTAATCTTCATCGTATTTTATTTTTAAGTCAGCTGCACATTTCTTGAATATTTCAATTGATATTATAGATAGTGAATGACCAGAAATCTTCAAATAGGTTTTGTTTTTATAAAAATTTCTCGGAGATTTATTACATCTCTAGTTAGTCTACTACTTCATTACAATTACAGTCATATTTATAGAATTTTCGTGAATTGATTTGCTAAAAATTGTATTTTCTAATTGTTTTTAATTTTTTCCATTTCGCACACCTGATAGATTTTTAGGGGCTATTCTACAGAAAAAAAAAAAATATAATATAAGTATGCAGAAAGTAATATGACTGTGCAGACCTACTAACATAATTAAATTAGCTCTACGAATATATTATAGTAAATGTCGCAACTGGTATTTCTTGAGCTACACCCCAGTACAATTGGTATGATTTATTGTACCAAAATTATAAACAATTTTTTATATTTCTCTTATTCTGTAATAACTGTTGTATATGACAACAAAATACAAAACTAGTTCATTGATGTTTTAATATCAACAATTTTAGAACTCTGTAGCTGGCTTAAAATATGATCGCAACATTGTAACACCAATTCCCTTATCCCTCTTGATAGTTGTATATTCCCACTACTGCTAGTAGTTGAGTATATAGGTGTTAATTCATTCAGTAAATACTACAGAACACTAGGTAACCTTACAGAAATATAAAACACATAAACATAACTAAATATAAAACAGTCTAACTAAAATATAACACAATAATTTAACACTGACTGGGATCGTTATCCAGGTCTACCAGCTGAAGCCTCAGAAAAGAGGTACTTTCATTAAATAAATTAATAATAAGATAAATACGTCGACTGAAATCTAAACTAACGTCAACATTTACCAAATCAATTGCAGATTTTTAGAATTTGCAAATCAAAATTGTAATTTTGCCTTCTTGTCTTCTGTCTTTTCCATTTAATTTTATCCTCTTACTAATTTTGAGTACGTGCATTAGTTTCTGGTGAAATATTTCCTAACATGTTTGGTCATTTGTAATTGATATATGAATATTGTTAATAATAAAATAATTTATTATTTTTACAAAATAGAAAAAATTAAGCATTGTATCTATATATATCAAATTCCCCTCTACTCTATATCCTACCTTCCCAACTTCTAATCTACAACAGTGTACCCATTATGATGTTCATCTTTTTTTATTTCTTATATATATTATGTACATAAATTAAGTGTCTGCCTATGTAATCTTTTGAACAAATATTTTATGTTTAAATTGAGTAAACATTGATTTAAACATTGAGTATATGAATATAGAGTAACTTAGGTAGCGTATTATCATGTTTAATATAATTTGTCTTAATTTTCTTGTTAATTTGTAATTGGTTAAAAAGAAATATAGCATATAATCAAAACACATTAAAGGAAACAAAATATGAATGGCTTACTCTTAAATATAAAATTAATCCACACAAAATTAATAAACTTCTAAATTATTAAACAGTACTATTTAAGAAGTTCTTTGTTACTGACTTGTATATTAATATTATTTGTATAAATAACAATAGTTTACATACCATTTAAACATTTAAATTTACAGAGTAAATTATTTTACTTACTATAAACTACATACATAGAAATGTTTTTAATCAAAAAATTTATTTAACAAATCATATGGTTTGAAAACATATTATATTACGTTTTTATGTACAACAAAGTTAATCAGATTCAGTTCATTTCATCATGTAACTGAGCAAGTAATGCTTTTCGTTTTGCTTCTAAATCGTCATCACTATATTCACCAGATTTGAAATTTCTCTTGTTTTTCACCTCATCTATGTCTGACCTTCTTAAACTAGAAGACTAAAAAAAAAAATCAATTTAATACACAATTTCATATAAAATATAATGTCATAGAATAAACTACCTACCCTAGAACGAGACCGAGTCATAGGACTTTCTGAATGTTTCTTTTTTTTGGACTTTTTGTTTTTACGCCGCCGACTTTCATTGTCACTTATGTCAGGAGAATCATCTTTGGTCTTTTTCTTATACCTATAATCTGAATCACTGGATTCCTATTTAGACAAGTACATTGTATATATTTTAGGATTTTTTTTTTCAGTATAATTCTTTCTGAAATATTGTGTTTCCTAATGCATAACAATGTTCATAACATTTTTTTATTTATGAGCAAGGTTTTTAGGAAAATATTAGAAATTGTTTTGTTGTTATTTTTTTTTATACATTAATTATAATGTTTAACCCTTTGAGGAATACATTTTTTGAAAAAAATTTATTACTAATTAATTATTAAACATTTTTAAAATTTAACACTAATATTACATATAAAAAAATAAACAAAAAATTTACGGTTTTACTATAATACCAAAATGCCTCAAAGAGTTAAAATAGGATCATTAAATACAAATTTATCAGAAGAAAAAACAAAAAATATTATTTTTTAAAAATTAATTATTCTAAATATTACCACTTATTTAGACCCTATAAAAATAAATTTTTAAATAAAACACATCTTTAATTGTGTTTAACTTATTCCCCATTTACAAAAAAATCTTAAATTTGTCATATATTTATTTCTTGTCAATATTAAATTATTATTTCTATTATTTTTCTTTACATTTCTACAACTTGTAGCAAACATTGTTTTTGGCTTTTTTGTTCTCTGAAAACTGGATTGAATTCTCGTGTCATTGCAACCCAAGTAGAAAACTCATCATGTATATATACAAGTATGTTTACATAATAAATCCCTTATTCTGTGAAATCATTTATTAATTGAATATGGATTGTCCTCCCAATCTTTCATGAATTTCAAAGAAATTAAAGTCATTCTATATTATAAAGAACATGATATAATAGTTTCATATATTATATTTTTTCTATCACAAAATTGTCAGTTTTGATGGTAAATTGACACACACTTTTAACCACAATTTTCTACAAGCCAATAAATAAATTTTTTTTACTACTGTTTTGTTCATAATTAATAATATTGATTATTGATAGCTGCAATATATATAAAATAAAATAAAAAAAATTCATAGAAACACGATAGTATAAACATCAGCATCAGAATTCATTCTAAAACCGTCAAATAATCTAAGCCCAATTATTAGAGTAAAAACACATACAATTTTATCAGTTAACCATTGCTATTACGATAATGCCAATAATTAAATAAGGATAAGGGTTAGGATCCCAAAACGATTTTTCCAATGTTATTTTAAAAATACATAAATACAATAATCTAGTAAATCAAGTAATCTAAAATTAAATTGATATATATATATATATAATATTTATTTTCTTCATATTTATTCCACTCATTCCATAATGAATGCAAAAATAATTTTTAATGTTAGTCAGAGTAGAAGTATAACCATTCTCTAGGAAACTAAATGGAGAATAAATTAATAATCTTTCTAACAACTAAAAAGATACAAAAGGGCGGGTAAAATATTTGATTAAGAGGACGTTATACCCGCATCTATTGTCTTAGTTTATTTACTGGGTAATATGTAAAAACAATGCTTACGCGGAAAAAATAAAACTATTTTAATTTTGATTTTAGAGTAAAAGAACCAAATTATGACATTTCTAAAGAACAATATTTTGGAGGCAATGTCATAGATGTCTTTTGAATTATGAACTATTAAAAAAGAAAAAAAAAAAAAAGGTTTTTGTACATATTTTATTGGGCTACCTATTTTGGATATTACAAAAACCCTATGACATTCCCTCCAAAATAATGTTCTCTATAAATTTCATAATAAGTACTTTTACTCTAAAATCAAAATTGAGCTAATTTAGCTTATTCCGCGTAAGTATCGTTTTTGTATATTACTTGGTAGTTGGACTGAGACAGTTGATGTGGGTATGTATAACATGTCTTCTTAATCAAATATTTTACCCGTCCTTTTGTATCATTATAATTATAGATGTTACAAATATTATTCATTTATTTCCCATTTAGTTTCCTAGAGAATGGTTATACTAATAAACTGACTTATATTTAAAATTATTTCTATATTCATTAAAGAATGAGCGGAATAAACATGAAACATTAAGTTTTAAGACCAGAATGTGTGGTAGTTTAGAACAATTAATTTGAAAAAAATAAGTTTTTTAATTTTTTTTTTCTTCTGATAATTTATGATATATCTAATCTTAAAAATATTTATTTATATATAAGAAAAACAAAAAAATAAAAAAACTTTTTTAAAAAAATCAGATTTAAGTAAAATGTTAAATCACCATAATTTTTGGAGTGGTTAGATTACAAACTTTTAATTTTCAAATAGGAACCTATATTAAAAGTTCCACTTAATATAGATAATATATATATATATATATAACTAATATTATTGTATTAGTTTAAATAAATATTGGCTACAATTTTAGATTATCACCAACCTGTTTGCAAGATATTCAACTTTTAAGTTTGGACAGGGGAGAGTAGTGGAGTACCATAATGTGTGATGGCACAGCGCAGTGTTTGAATAGTGCTCTACTACTTTCTTCCTACCCAAATTTTAAAGTAGATTATCTTGTAAACAGGTTGATAAACATCAAAATTTATTTGAACTAATATTCTATCTATGTATGGAACTTTTATAATATAGGTTACTATTTGAAAATCAAAGGATGGTAGTTGTTTCACCCCCCCTCAAAAAAAAAAAAAAAAAAAAAAAAAAAAAAAAAAAAAAAAAAAAAAAAAAAAAAATAGTAATGTAACATTTTAGATCTTTTCCGTTTTTTAAATTGTCAAAACATGTTTTTTTTAAAAATAATGAGAGTTCAACTAAAAAATATTCATCCTATACATTTTTATTAATTTTAACATACCAATGATTTTGATCGAGATTTTTTTTTATGTTTTTTACTCTTCTTAGATCGTTTCATTTTAGAATGATGATGATTACAGACTTCTTCTGTGTCAACTTGGTATTCCTTTAAAATATATAATATGATAATTGTCAATATATTTATTTATTTTTCTCAATCACTCACTTACATGTTCAAATTTGTGTTTATTTAAATAATCAGTACTATATACATCTAAGCATGTATATTTTTTAATTAAGTTTCTCTAAAAAATTACAGTAAAAAAAAAAAAAAAAAAATTGTAAAATGAAACAATAAAGATATTAGTTTATTTAATGACTATATTTAAAAAAATATTATATATATATACATAGATAGACGCAAGGTATTGCTAACAATATTCAAATAGATTTTAAGTAGTGTAGACTATAATGGAAATTTCCATCATTATTACACAATTTAAAAATATATAAATATATATTGTAAGCTCTGTATAAATATAAAATATTCTAAAAACCTGTTTAATTTGAATTAAAACATTATTACCTTAAATATTTCCTTTAACTTTCTTTGTACATTCTTAAAACAAATCTAGAAGTTAGGAAGACTTTTTAAAATAATATTGTTCAATATTTATTATCTCATACGCACATAGTGCAAAATTTAGCAATACATTATTTGCTCAATTGTAATATTTGAACTAGTATTATTCAACAATGATTATTAATTTTTTTTTTTTCTAAGATGGAATTTACAATTAATATAAATATTTAATAGAAATCTACTATTGAATAATATTTTTAAATATTTACTTTAAATTATAAATAATAATAAAATAAAAAAGTGTGATTTAATTATTATTAAAAATGTGTGAATCAATCATATCTACACAATACTACTTTCAAATTAATTTTTATTACCAACATTTTTTGTATATATATATATAAAGTAAACATTACCTTAAAAATACGAAGTCTTTCAGATTCTAATGTTATGGCTTGGAAAGCTTGTTGATTCTCAATTTGTCCACGCACGGTGTCCCAATTAGATTTATAGTCTACATCTATATCTTTGAGCAATGACCGAAAGGATGTTTCTAGTTTCCGTTGTTTTCTATTTTCTTCACGTAATCTTTCTTTTTCTCTTCCCTCTGCCTATTCAAAATTAAAAATAAGAAGTGGTTAAAAATTACAATTAAAAAACATTTGAACAATTACTTTTTCGAGAAATCCATGGTAGGCCAATTTTACATTACCAGCATCTAATGTTTCTGATTTTTTATCCAAACAGATTACTCGAGCAAACTCTTCAAATGTAGTATTTACCTAGATGAAGTAACATTTTAAAGAAAAATTCTAGGTTTAAATTAAAAAAGTACTTTACATCAATTATAAATGAGTTTTCTTTAAGTATTTCTTTTATAATTTTTTTCTCTTCATGAAATCTTGATTTTAAATCTTCCACATAGAATTTAAAAAGATCTAAAGCTGTTGAACCTTAATATTTTACATAGTACATACTAAATTAGAATTTACTGAATAAATCAATGCATAATAATAATAAATAAATATTGTATAGTAAGGTAAGATAAAAATAACATTACCAGGTTGCCCAAGGAGAGCAGAAAATCGAATGTCTGTACTTATAACAGGGTATAATTCTTTCCATAATGACACTGATGTTAACTTTCCTTGTTGATGGAGTTCTTCCAAAAACATCTAAAATATAATAATAAATATACATACATACAATCAAAATTATTTATTTAAGTAATCTTTACGCCAAAATTGTCACGATTTTTGCGTTCTTGTTGTTTTCTTCTTCGCCTTTCTCTTTCTTTATCATGTTCTTCTTCTTTTTCTAATTCGCGAATGTGATCTTGGAATACAGTTAAAGCATCTTCTTTTTCCATACCTTTAAATAAACATAACAATTATAGAACAGTAAAATACAAAATTAAGTAAAGTTGAGCAAGTTTATTTTAGCTAACCTAATAATTTTGGGTCATTGACAAAATTTTGATTATTGAGAAGCATTTCTTGAACTTGGTACCAAGTCGTGGTATGATCTACTATTGTCATGGAATCTAATAATGCAGCTAATTGTTTCATATTACGTTTTTTTTGTACTTTAGCATCTTCTTTCTCTCTTTTGGCTAAATTAAAAACTACATCATCATAAACATCACGTCGATCTATATCAGAAACATTCCTCCAAATCTATATTGGTTATAAAAATACATAATTATTGTAGTACATTATTTCTATATAATAGCAATTGTTTATCTACATTTTTAAATTAATAAAAGTTATCTGATTTAGGAATAAGTAATTGAGCACCATTTAATAAAAAAAAAAAAAGCCACATGTAACACAATATTTTGCCGACATTAAAACCTATGATTTTATACTGTCGACTGAAAATAACACGCCAAGGTATAAACAAGGACACCATATTTAAATAACATATTGGCTAATATGAATATAACAAAAACTAACAACAATTAGGAAAACTTAAGCTATATTATTTTATTGCAAGTACTCACATCTAAATGCTCATATCTCTCTTCAAGCCTATAATATTTAGTTTTAGATGTCATATCTTCATTTTTCATTAAAAACTTTTCTAGATCTTCTTTAGCCTTTTTAGCTTTCAATCGATGTTCATCTTTTTCATCTTTTTGTCTTTGAGTTTTATATGCATTGAAGAGCTGTCTTTTTTCATTTAACTTCTTTACTTGTAAATAAATTGGATCACGACTTATTATTTTAACAGTCTGTTCCCATGATGCATTACTAGGAATATTCTAAATATAAGAAAAAAATGCACGATTTTAAAATTATTGAATTTTCATTGTGTAGCTAAGATTTATACTTTTTTTTTTAAAAGTTCTTTAAACGCATCAATTAATTCTTGTTTATTCTTTAATAGTGGTACTTCCTGTGCCTGTGATTTGGACTTAGAACCTTTACCAGTCACATTATTGGCTGGTCTATTTTCATCATCTGGTATGTCTATATACGCCAAAGTAGCTTCCATTGCTTGCTCCATGGCCGATTTAGCATCTTAAAGTAATAAGAAATACATTTTATTTTCCTATTTAAATAATTATAAATTAATTAGATAAAGTTTAAATTATGTATATTTTAAAGACCATACTGACAAAAATTAGTTTTAGTTTTTAACCATTTTATAAAACTGACAAATTTAATACTTCCATAAAATGACTATAGAAACTTATAGAGAATATTTAACACTATAAAATTAGTTATTAACATGACATTTTTTTTTGAAATTGTTGTTTTTTAATAATATTAAGTATTTTTTTATCATTCTTGATTCATTTTTAAATATGAGAGCATTCTTTTGTATTTAGTGATTCAAATGTATTTTTGTATAATTTGATCCTTTATCGGTTTAAAAATTAGAAATACGGAAACTAAAAATATAATTTTTATATAATAAAATACTTTTATATTTTCTTTTTTACAAAACATTCTAAATGAGGTATTTACTTTTACTATCAGGGGCAATAATTTGAAAAAAATTAAAATATAAAACATAAATACAATGTATTTAATAAGTTAAATTATTGAAACTTTAAGAATTTACATACTATTTTTATTTAAATATATTTGAAAAATTAAGAAATTTGAGCATTAAATAATAGAAAAACCCCACTTATTTCAAAATTTATTACCTAAAGAATCCATTACAATTGGACCATCTATTGCCGCCTGCATTAGAGGTGATCCACTGAAACAATAAATAGTCACATAAATATTAATTACATTGATATAGTTATTGTTTACCTTATTGTTTGTTCAGAAGCAATTTTCAATTTTATCTCTTCTAGTTCAGCTGGTATGGTCCAACTTGATTCTTTTGAATTAATGTTATGATAGTATGTAGCACCAGTATCAGATTTGTATTCTTTCCAAGGACTTTGGTCCAACATTATCTAATATTACAGAATACTTTACTTTGATATTTTAAAAAATAATTATGGGTGGGAGACATTAAATGGGGATATCATAATCAATTAAATAAGAAATCCTAAATGATTGAAATAGAAAATGTGTTGAATATTAAAAGGAAAATGTTAGAGGAGGCAAAAAGACTAATAAAATCGGCTCGTTTTGGAAATAATTTTGGGGTATCAAATAGAATATGAAGAATTTTGCAAATTAAAAAGTTGATGTGAAATACACAGAGTAAATTAATAAAAAAAAAAAAATGTAACAAATATTACAAACCTCTGTTTTTGTTTTTAATTCGTCTGGTTTCTCCCATGCACTCTGTTTGGTTACTGAGTTATAATAATAAAATCGTCCATCTGGAGCTTTATGTTCAGTCCAGTCAGTAGATTTAGATTCCTCACTACACAAAATCGTACACATTAATACAAAGCTAGCTACTAAATATATTTTCCTGTAGAATGAACAGTTAATATTAATAACAAATTCAACATAATATTACAAAAAGCTCGTTAATAATCATACGAATACACAATATATATATTGTACAAATTGTTTGTGCGTTTAAATAAAATAAACTAAATTATTCTGCCGCAAACGAAATTTCTCAAATAATTTTAACCTATTTACAACACTATAATTTCACTTACCAGAAACTAAATATTTCGGCATTCAACGAATAGGTAGTTAGATTTATTATTTAAAATGTATTATTTCTGGTAAATTAGTAATTATCTATAATAAAATTGTAAAAACAATTTTTGTTTTTTAAATTTAATAATGATTTATTGTTCAATTATGATAACTCTTACCAATCGTAGTCCTATTCTCTCGGGTGTCACCACCAATCATAGATACTGTAGTAACGACATTCAGCAAAATCAATAGGAATCGTGTATGGCCTAATATCAAAGTTTATCATATTTTAAGTCTAGAATGTTAAGGGCCAGTTACCAATATACATGCATATATAAAACGAAAATTAACAGGACTCATTATGTCTAATACGAATTAATTAATTTAAGTAAAAATAACAAGTTCATCAATTTAAATAACTTAAATGCATTAAACTATATTACATATTTTAATTAAAAATATATTAAATTTGTATATACGTAATTATGCTTTAATTATTTATCATGTTTGCACCTTAATGTCTCTTATGAAAAAAGTTATATTTCATTTATTTATATCTAATAGATGTTATATACAAATATTATATAACTAGTTATAAATAATAAAAAATATATATTATTTATTATTTACATACATTATTATTTCTAATTAAATATTTAACAACACAATTTTGTGACTTGAATCAGCGATTTAACTATGCACAAAGAAATTAATTCTCATCAAGAATCAACATTTATCTATAATCAAGTATAGATATTTCATAAGATGACAATTATTTTAATATTAATAATGAAAAAACCAAATAAAAGTATACCTTATTTTAAAATCAAATTAAATAAATAAACAGTAGGTAATAATTAATTAAAAAGTTTCATTTTAAAACAAATTTTTTGTTTAGCAAATTTACATTTAATTAAGTAATAAGAATTAAAAATACTATAAATCAATACATGCATAATGTTATGTCTTGATATAAGTATATCATACACGATGAAATAAAAATTATTTAAAAAAAAATATTAATATATTTTATAATACAAATATTTATGGTGAATTTTACTCACGTTGGTAATTGCAGGACTTTTGCAAAGGTTACTGGAGCCCCAACAATCTCTCCTAAAAACAAAAATTAACACTAATAATCATATTTACATTAATATTATATTTATGTTGGTATATTTAACATAAAATATAATTACACAGTATAACTAAAAATAATTTACATAATTAAAACTACTATTTGGGGATGTTGGTTAATTATTTACTAATAATAATTGAATAAACAGGATCTTAGATTTTAAAAGTTCAGTGTTAAATACTATTTAAATACCTATATAAATGATAATAAATAAATGACAATTTTTCTTAGGTAGCATAATACAATATGTATTTAATTATTGAGTATAAATATACATTGAAATATATATAAAATATAGGCAGGTATGTTGTAAACCAGTATTGTTAAACACAAATTCTCTAATTATTAGTGAAATATAAGTACATACTTATAACCCACAAAGATTCAAAAAGTGCAATAACTTCTGTTTTGTTCAATGTTTTTAATTTTTTTTAATAATAATTAATAAAGCCTTGCACACATATTACTCAGATTTTATATATTCTTTATAACTTAAAAACCCAAAACAGCCATTTTATAAATATATTTTGGAACAGTATTTTTGGCGTTACATATATTAACTAATAGTGAATTAATAAGTTTCTAACATTTTTTGAAGTTTAAGATGATTTAAATTATTTTCATTGCCACTACTAAATTATATCAAATTATAGATTCACCAATTTGTTAATAAAAATAACCAATCTTTAAAAAATTGTGGAAAAATAACGACTCATAATCATTAGTCACTATTTGTAACACCAAAATTTTAAATTTTGTTTTTATTTAGCATGAAATATTTTGGTAATTTTGTTCCTATAACTTCTCATCTTTAATTATAACAATATTTGAACGATATCCAAAAAATATTACCTATTTATTATCAATTATACACAGAGATTAAAAATATTATAGTGATATTTCTAATAAATTTTAATATTGTTGTTATTTTTCTAAAGCAACCAATATCCTCAATATATTAAACAACTTTTAATATTATTATTTACCCGGCATATTCATATTGAAAGGAGGCATGAATGGTGGTGGCATACCCGGCGGGCCGATACCCATTGGTGCCGCAGCCATGAAGCCAGGCGGTATAGCACCCGGCGTGAAGCCCATTTGAGACACCGGTGGAAACGCTGGAGGCGGTATCATCGGAGGTGCTACTCGGGTGTTCAAAGCTGGTGGTCCAGAGTTTGGGGAATCCTGAGAAATCAAATCGTTGTTCGTGCGAATAGTCAATACTAGTATTCCTAACGAATAATATACATTTCGTTACACACTTACCATTGCTAGTTTTACTATTCCCAGTGATACATAAATGTAACTACAGCAACTCGAATATTAGTTAGGTACCTAGGCAAATGATGTCAAGTTAAGCTGGCGTCATCATTTTGTAAACACAGTCTTACAAAACTTACTAAGTTTAAAACAAAAATAACAAAGTAAAACAAATACTGCTATTTGAATGAGGTAGATACTGTACAATATTTAATAATTATTATTTTGATCGTCGGGCTCGGATAAGTATTTTTGTTATGTTGTTGGCTGACAAGAGAATGAAGTTGGTTACGAATCCAGAATTTACAGTATTCACATACTCTAATGATCGGCCGTTGCCAGTAACAGCCGGGCACGCGATAATTATTGTATTATCCCAAAGACATTCGACAACGTGACCGGTTTACTATTTACACTTTTTGGCGGCAATTTTAAAATCTACGATAATGCAACATTGTTAGCTGATAATAATTATTATATGTGTGTTTGTTTTAGGTTCTATTATGTGTTCTTTTAAATTTTGAACGTGTAGTGTTCGTTTTATTATGACCTGTAATATGTTTTCTGTATATAAAGTAAACTAGTAAACATTGACACTACATTCTACCATAAATCTGATTGTACCGATTATTATTTTCAAGGTTGATTTTTGGTAGGTAGTAAAATATCTTTTCTAACGCATTACGAAGGCGACCGTTTAATTTGTCTTGTGGTTTACTTAATAAAATACGGAAAAAACATCGGAAAATATACGTAATAACGGATTCTGAAATTTACGATATTGTTTTATTTACATTAATTTAGTTAAAAATAATTGTTACGGCCTAAAATTTACATCGAATACCTATTTACATTGACTTTTCCTAGACATGGTACAATTTTCGAAACACTGACGGTTTTTAATAAGGTGAATACCAAAATATGATTACGTCCAGGAGACTTCCTCTACTTAAAAACTTATGCACGGTTTTCTAGAAGCATTATGAATCATTAGTTGGTAAATTAAGCAAATAAATACATAATCAATGGCAAGTAGGTAATTTTTTTTAAATTTCTTTGATACCTACTTATTATTTTTAAATTTGGGAAAAAGCGAAAAGTTACGTATCGCTGGTTTTTAACAAAATCGATTAATAATTTTTTGGTTTGCGCGTAGACAGTATGTATATTTTATATGTTTCAGCTAGAAATAATCATAGAGTTCTAACCAAATACTTTTTAATTAGAATTTTTGGTACACTATACAATGTAATATACAAAATATCTTGGCTCTTAAAGTCTTAATTAATATGGTATACAAATATAAGGTCATCGTAATACATGTGTCGCAATTCGCTCTATAAGTTATTGATTTTATATTAATTGACTGCTGTGTATGATTTTATATTATGGTTACATATTGTAAACCAGTATAGTAGCGGATCCAATGTTAAATTTGAGAGGAGATGGGGGGGGGACGGCTCTTAAAAAAAATTACTACTAAGCACAAAAAAAAAGGTGATACTAGGGATGGGTACAGCTACTGTTTTAGGTGGGGAATTGAGAAGGTAGGACATATAAGGTTATTTTAATTTATATCTCTAAGTACCGATAAACCATTGCTAACTTTTTTCTTTATTGGAGTAAAATTTCTGGAAGAAAATTTGTTCACAGACAGAAAAATAAAAATACATCATACTACAATTAATACATTCATCGCTTATCTTCCTTGGGAAATATTATTGTATTATATATGCGTTAAACAATTAATTATTTGTGGAAGTAAAAACTTTTTTATATTCTAAGACTGACCTCTGGGTCCCCCCAGGATCAGTCACTGAACCAGGGGTGATTAAACGAGGTGGGATAATGGGAATGTATTTTTCCATGACCTCATTACCCTTCAATATTTATAATAATACCTATATTACCTTTATTATCTATTGAGGCGCGTAGCCAGGAATTTCTAATATAGATTGTATTATGAAAAAATGCAAAATTTTTTTCATCATCATTATTTATTAGTAAAACACTTTAGAGAACATGCTCTCCGATATAGCAAATAATGTTCTACAGGGACAACTTTGTGCTATTAGTTTTAATATTAGAGTGAATTGACCTATTTTCAAACTTAAAGATAAGAACACTGTGAAAACTACAGGAAAAACAAGAACGGTTTGTGGCGTTAAAAGTTTCATTATTTTCGATTTTGTTTTTTTTTTTTTTTTTGTTGGTTTTGGTTAAAATAATCGTAGAGACCTAAAGTTCACTGAATTTTTTTTTTAGCCCTTTCCGGTGATTTTTGAGCAATCTATAGCATTATAGGCATTTTACATTTTTGATTTTATGTGAATACAAATTGTTTTAGCCATGTAGAAAGGCTTAAAAATTAAACTATATACGAGGTTTATAGTAAGTTGTTGTTGATGGTTAAAATAAAGTCGAGCGTAATGTAAGTTTTTAAAAAAACGTTTTAAATTTAAATTTTGAGTGAAAATTATAAAAATTGTTGTAATAAAAAAAAATGTTTTAATCTTGTTGCGTCCTCCTTTCAATTACATCGAACACAGTTATTATCGCTGAGGCGCCCCCTCCCCTAACAGCAGGCGCCCTGGGCGTAGGCTCTTGTCGCCCACCCGTAAAGCCGGCCCTGGTGTTCAGATATAAATTAAATTCCCCGCTATATCCTACCTTCCCAAATTTTCACCTGCAATAGTGGCCCATCCATCGTGCGAAGTATGTCCGTCTTTTTAGATATGGGTATCTACCTACCTATGTAATCTCTCAAAAAAGTCATTGCCACGTCATTGACGATCGATCGTAGTAAGTACTTTATTTTATATATCTGTGTACCTACCTCTATTTACAAATTCTAGATATTAATTTTTACAATCTGTAATATTTTAATACAAATGTATTATTACAGTTGTAAATAAATTAGTTTATAACTTGTCTGATATAAGTACCTACAACGGTATGCCATATAATATGTCTGGATGTGTACCAGTCAATAAATAACACAGCGAAGTTAGGAAAAGTCATATTATATTTTCACTATCATCATATACGATTTAATTATAGATATGTCCACATACCAATATATTATTACCCGTGGATATCCACATTGCCTAGACGTAAATTATGTCGCGAAGCCATAAATTATTCTTTTATCTAACCAATTTATTTACTATTTTTTTGGCGTAGCTACCCGTCTCGTCTGCAGAGTGCACTACCACCATACATTGTAGAATTTTTATCGACAAATGCTTAATATTATTTATTATAATAAAATATTAGGTGCCCACTTGTATGGGCTATCCATATATAAAGCACGGGTTTTCAACCCGCGGCCCGCCTTGTCTACATTTGTGGCCCGCGAGCACATTTTAACCATAGCGTGTATTGTTTCTATTTTGATCAAATTAGAGCGACTATCAGACATCTAGACATATTACTATAGATAGGTATCTATGAAGTATGTTGAACCTAATAAAATAATTGATAAATAGTTAGTAATTATTACGTTACATAAAATGATGAAAAATAATGTTGCCTTGAATAAAATGTGTTGATGAGAACTCTTTTTCGCAGATGGCCCGCTACCTTAAAAGGTCGAAGACCCCTTGTATATTGTGTAAGACATTAAATATAATATAGCCATATTTTAGCTATAATTAATGTACATAATATATAACTAATCAATTTTAATATTTTCGTACGGGTGTACTTATGTTGTAGTAAGATTCCCTGTAGTTAATACCTTGTGAAATATTTTTAAATGTACCTAATATAATTTATAACTATTGTACAGTTGACTATGATATTTTTATATTTAATATTTATTATGTATAAGTACTAGATAGTAGGTATATCAACATATCAACATTAAAAAAAAAAAAAACAAAAAAATAAAAATATATTTACCATTTGTACGAACTGAATATTCTGTTATTTATATAGAAAACATCTGTTTAAACAAATATTAAAAAGAAATTGATGTTAGGTACCTGCACGGTTATCTGCATGACGGAAGAAACTATTATACAGGTAAAACGAACTTCATTTATTATATTTTTTTTTTTAAATTTTATATACAGATATATACTTGTATATTATATGAAACAACGTTTGCGATAAAATTTACTTCAATATAGCAATACAATACAAATGCTATATTAGTGTTATTTCATCCAAATATTAATTTTAGAAAACTGAATTGAAAATGTTGACCTAAACAAATCATTAATATGTTTATACGGTTTTTAAAAAATAATGCAAACTGTAGCCTGTGAGTACATTATATTATATATCGGATTTAGATTTTATTGTTTTGTATAAAAAAAAAAAAAAAAAATACTCATAGTAATAATCTATGATATAAGACTCTAAAGGCGGGTTCACACTACACCGTGTCGTGTCGTGTAGTTTAAAATAATTTTCTCCGATTAGCTGAACCGCGTGGTTCCGTTCAAGTATGCCATATGGTATACAGTTATTTTATCACACGGTACCACAATAACCAAACGATACCGCATAGTTGAATGTATTCAACTTTTGATCGTGTGGATACATTTATCTGTAGAAGAATAATAACTAAACAAAAATATTGTAAAATGTTATCATAATATCAGGTACAACAACAATATTTATATTTCAAAGACCAGATCAACCAATCAGTAATTAATATTTAAAATAGAACTTACAAGTATACAGTATTCCAAACTACAATAACAATGTCGTTCGTCAAAGTAAGGACTAAATATGTAATATAATACAATTATACATATTATATATAATATACAGATACAATTTTCATTTATTCCCACACTTGAACATAATTAGTTTAATTAAATGTACTCTTGTAATACATATTTTGTGTTTTATTTAAAAAACTAAAATCAAAAATATAAAACAGTATAATGGCGATAATAAATGCCTTAGACACCCACATCATAGTAATGAATTAATAACAGGTAAATCCATGTACGGATTACGGAATACAGATTTTATGTTTTAAGATTCCGAATTTATTAATGTTATCTTTATCAAGTATAATACTCGTATAAATTGATAACAATCGTTGGTATCATTGGTATTGTACGTTTTGGAAAACGTACGGCACGAACATACACGATTATAAAAGCACCGCACCACGCGGCGCGGTGTAGTGTGAACCCGGCTTAAGGTTGACGACGAAGTGACCTCTCTTTTTTAACTAATACGATTTCCGATAGCGTTGTTCTCGCACGTTTAATCGTTGTCCGCACTGCTGTTTTAGGGGAAATTCTTTCATCGTTTAATTATTATTATTATTATTATTGTGTCGATC